GAGCGATATCTCCATTAGGAATGATTCTCTGTAAATGAAACTACGCAAACTTGGAGAAAAACACAATTAGAACTTTCAAAGACTCAAATTTAGTTTATAGTCTGTGTGCCACGGATTGAAATTTCACCGAACGACATTCCGTTGTTCCGCTGGGCGCCTTTGTACGCTTTAATTTTTCATTTCATTCAAGAACACGACCAACACGTCTTCCTAATGGATCAGTACATCTATCAGAAATGAGAACCAATTCGAAGCGAGACCGAGGCTTGCAAAGACGAGTCGCGACGCAGCGGAACAGCGGAATGTCGTTCGGTGAAATTTCAAGTCGTGGTACACAGACTATAGAAACCAAGTTTTTGCAAAAGCCAGCAAGTCTTGAAAAATGGCCTGTTTCGAGAAATCCGTTTTTAAAAAGTTTAGCTTTTTATCCATTAATGTTGGTAAGAGCCTGATTTTATTAGGTAGGAAAAATGATCAAAAATGATGTAGTACAGTCGAAACCGGGAGGGTCCCTATAGGTCTGAGCTGATGCGGTTTGGGCCAAAAACATATCCCACACACTAGACGCCATCGTTTCAAGCCTAGAATAATAAGAATTGTACATTGCTCGAAATTCCGGTTTTGTGACGATTTCCACGTCATTTCAGGCCTTTTCGACCCCATCTTCGTCGAAACCTCTGCCCGAGTCGGCCCTGCAGCCACACGGTCAACTGGCTGTCCAGTTCAAGCACGGCCTTCCCTTGATCGACGTGCCTCTGCCGTCGCGACAGGAGGACTGTCAGTTCTCGCTGCGGCCACTCAGCGACACCGTCGGCCACCTTTGCGACAACCTCCGTCGCGAGGACCACGGCCTCGACTACGTTTCCATTTACGGCAAAGGTTTGTTTCTCCAGGATTATTCCAGAACCGTCTAGTGAAAATTTCTGTTTTCCTCTGCATTAATTTCGATACTATAGATTAAATTATTTCTGTTCATGATGGGAAAGTTTTTAGTGGCCACTATAGAGTTTTCACGTTTCAGTGGTCATTATAGTAGTCAAATTAGTGGCCACTTGAGGGGTTAAAAAGTAGTGATCACTTTAGAGGTACTACTAGACCACTAAAATATTTAGGGGGTTAAAAAGTAGTGATCACTTTAGAGGTACTACTAGACCACTAAAGGCCACTTTAGGGGCCAATGGATCAGCACAACTGGTCCAATAGGCTTGTTTTAAAATTATCAGAGTTACTGGAAGGAACACTGGATGATAAACTACTGAATTAAATAGGAAACCTCTACAGTGGCCACTAAAACGGGAAATAGTGGCCTTTATAAAGGTGGGTTTAGTGACCACTTTATTGTCCTCTCCAAGTAGTCTTTGCCGAGCTTCTATAGTGGCCACTAAAAATTTTCCCAGGAAAGCTGTGAACATATTGAGGCTCGATCCAGCTTCTGCTAAAAAAAAATAAGTAAAGTTTTCCGTAAATTTCATTATGAAGCAGTCGGAGAAAAAGTTTAAAATTTTAATATTTCGAATCATTTTTTGAATTTTCCAAAAACAAGTGTTCCGTCTAGATGGGATCCGGATCGCCTCTTCCACTTCGATCGACCACCTCCTGCAGTTTGGCGAGTTCCGACTGCGGCTCAACGATCGGATCTACCAAGTCTCCGTCCCATCGACCTACCAGGGCCTCGAGTTCGACAGTGACAGGTCTCGAAACTCAAAAATAATAGAGCGAGATGAAAATGAGTGTCAAAAACCAATTGACAAAATTAGGAAGAAGCGAATTTATTGTATGCAAAAATAGAGACAAAGAAAGTTAAAATCAAAAGTTTCACTCTTCCCTTTTTTAGGGCGAAAAAACACGCACGTTCCAAGGAAGATATTAAAAACCAACCACAAAATAAAGGTTTTATGGTTACAAAACGAATTTTCGGGAGATAGATCGCTTTCGCAACACTCCCAGAAGCGCGAAAAGTTCAAAAGTTCAACTTAATTTTATCGAATTTAAAATTTAAAAAAACTTATGAGATAGAGAGCGATAACTTAAATGAGAAGAATTACTATGAAAAAAATTTCCCTGATGAAAAAAATAGTGTCACATAAAAAAAGGAAGTGATAGATTTAGAAGGTTAGGAATTTCATTAAATACATTCGAAAATTTCGAAACAAATTCTTCCAGAACAATATCATACAGTCGATTGAACAAGTGATGTTGAGCTCATCTTTAGTGTGGCTGAAGTAAACAATGTTTTCATAGGACTTCTCACAGATCAGGGTCATGGTTGTTTGTCCGAAGGTTAGGTATTCTGTTATTTTCTGGCGAGTAGTAGAGGTGCAGAAGATCTTCATACTAGCACCTTCGAAGCAGTTGTAGCATCCTTCTATGGCGTTCACGACTCCAGCGCACTTCTCCTTGTCGATGATCTTCACGAAAGTAGCGTTTTCCATTTCAAGTTGGACTTGAACGACGGATTATTTTTTTGGTCCAAACGTTGCCCTTTTTGTCGTTTTCCGCATATGGTGGAAGTTTCTTCTTGAAGAACCTTTTCAGCGAAACAGATGAGCACCGGCTGTTAATAGCAGTCCCTAAGGGGGTACAAGTACAAGCCCTTCCAGAAAAAAAGCATTTGAATTTTTCTGCGTCTTCGAGTGTTATACATTGAAGATCTCCAAGAGTGCCTTTTTGGGGCCCTCCCGGCAGAGAGAAAGCCATCGTGGACGACTTCGTCTTGTGAATGAAGGTGCTGAAGTGAATCGGCGTAGGCGGCAAAGAGAACGATGTTGCCGTCAAGGAAACATTGAAAAATTTCAGCTTTTCTTTGATCCCTGGTCGTAGACGAACCGTGTGGTTTTCTCCGTTCATGTTCACGGGGACTTCTACCACTGAATCCCAAGTTGGACATTGGAAGATCTCGTAGACGTGCGGGGAAGTTGGCTTTGCAAAGTTCCGGAAGAAGATGCAACCAGCTGAAACAGCCGGAGCAAGTGATGCAACCGCAACCAGCAGTGCATCTTCTGAAGCCTGGTGACATCTTGGCTTCGTTTTTGAGCTCCGACAGCTTCTCGTCGATTCCCTCTTTGCTACATCTGCGGATTGTAGGTTCGGGTCCTCCCGTGGTCGCCAGTTTTTGTCAAAAAACAATTGACAAAACTAAGAAGAAGCGAATTTATTGAATACAAAAATAGTGACAACGAAAGGCGAAATCAAAAGTTTCCCTTTTATAGGGCGAAAAAACACCCACGTTCCCAGAAAGATATTAAAAACCACCCACACAATAAAAATTTCATGGGAACGAAACGAATTTTCGGGAAAGAGAAAAAGATCGCTTTTGCGACAATGAGAAGCAGCATCAGAAATTAGAAAAATGCGTTCGTCTCCAAAAATCAAACTTAATTTGAAAATAAAGCTGATGGATTTCTGAAAAGGGAAACCATTTCACTTTGAGGTTGGGAATTTCCTAAAAATCGGCCAGAACACTCCTTGATGTATCAGTTGAAGGAAATTTTCCGAAACTTTCTAGTTTTTGAGATCGAAAACTTCTAATTTTATGAAAACACGTAAAAGTAGGCCATTTTGAGGTTTTAGTCCATATTTATTGAAAACTAGGACGTCGAGCAGATTCAGACTTTCAGAATCTCTTTTGGTACATCAAGAATTGTTCTGGCCAATTTTCAGAAGGTTCCCAACCGTAAAGTAGGATGATGTACCTTGTGAGAAGCATTTGAGATCTCTCTAGGGACCACTCTGGTCGATTGCGTAGCATTTTGTATAATTAGTCTGAACGTAAACGTGCGCAAAGTACATAAAACTCGTGAATTATCGATTTTTCAAGGCTTCGACGGCTGGACGATCTGCGGACGACGGTCGCATCTCTGCACTCGTCGCTTTGCGTCGACGAGTTCAAACTGGCCCGCGAACGCAAGATTTTGTTGAAGCTCGAGACGGCGGAGTCCCTGTTAAGGCCCCTTCAGGAGGTTTTTCTGAAGTTTTGAATGAAGTTATGAGGGTTTAATTTTTAGGAGAAGGTCAAAATAGAGCAGGAGTGCGAACTACACACTGAGCGGTGCATGTGGGGCGGGTTCGCCGTGATGGGCGTTCAAATGGGTATGATCCGCTCAGGGAATTTCGTGCGATCCGCGCGAGACTGTCACGTTCAAAAGAACAGAAAAGAAAAAGCTACCGTAATCACAAACGTTTGCTCTACAAAACTGCCAAAAAGACAGCGAAAAACAAAAGTCTATGCTCAATTTTGATCTAATCGGTCTTTTTGGCGGGAAGAAAAACGGGACAAGCTGGTGTGGAATGGGCTATATCAAGAGAAAAAATAGTTCATCTTTCAACAAAAAGAAAAAGCTCAGAGTAAACTCGAGTTTTTATTACTTCCTGTAAATTGATAATTTGTTTTTTTCTTTTTCAAAGTACAAAACAACTATAGTCTGTTCGAATTTTGAGTGTCAAGTGCAATGACGTCATTATAAAAACGCTCTCTGATTGGTTTGTCATTTAGGGGCGGAGCTTGAGACTTGAGAAAAAGGCTCTGTGGATTAATTTGTCATTAAGGGCGGAGCTTGAGACTTGAGGTCCTGAATCTGGATGAACCATAACTTTAGCTCTAACTCAAGTTTAAAATTTTCTTTGTAAGCGTCTTGAGTTTAAAACTAGTCAAGAGTAGAAACATTTCATATTGAAAATGTGTGTAGCCACGATTTTTAAGTTTTGATCAAAGTTGATCATTTTGTGAGCCGAAAATCCAAAATTAGTTTTTTATAGTCACTTCGAAGCTCGCCGTGCGTTTGGAATGAATCATATAGTTTTCTTTCCGACTAGGGAACGTTCTCAGCTCACATTGGGACTTTTTGATGAGAAAAGACTTACTGAATGTAGCTTTTTACGATGATTCCGAATCTTTGCCTAAAAGCTGCCTACAAAGCCTGTGAAAAAAGTTGGGGACTGCCAAATTCGAAAAAATTTGTCTCTTTTCGAGCTCATTTTTACATTTCACATATAGTTAGCCTAGTCTCATTCAGAAGTCCCACTGTGAGGTAGGAGCATTCTTTAGTTGATTTCAAAATCAGATATATGGTCCATTTGATTCGCGATAAGAAATAGACACGATTTCAACTGAAAACATTCGAAATGTTAAGGTTTATTCGCCAGACTAACCTGGTACGAGTACTCCTGGGACATTATGGAGCCTGTCACTTATTTTGCCACCTATTCTACGGTCGTCGCCACTTTCGGCTACTACTTGTACACTCGACAGGTTTTCATTATCCTGCGTGTAGAAATTTATGAAAAATCCCAGTCGTTTGAATACACCTCTGTCCGGGACCGAGTCTACACCAAACAGTTCTACAGAAGGGCTCTCAAGAGGAATTTCGATGTCGAGCGGTATAATCGACTTGTTACCGAGGTGAATTATTGCTTATATTCGATTTTTGGTGCTCTTATCAGAATTTGGTTGTAAGTAAGCATCGTCGTTAACTTTATACGTCTGAAACTCTTCTTTTCGCACACTATTTCGCTTTCTAGATTAAACCGGGCAATAAGTTATAGCGTTTTGAATTCCAGCTTTTCAAACCTTATAAAATCTTACTTCAGAAGTTTGAGATCTATGGAAAGATAAATGTAGTACCCGGGCAAAGGGTGGATAATGATCCCTAAAACCGAGAGGCTCAAAAAAGGCAACAAAAGGAGTCCCTTTATCGAGCCTCTCATTTTTTTTTTTCTAGAACTGGAAAGGCTCAAAAAATGGTGGAAAAAGGGAGAGACAGCAAAAATGGTGCAAAAAGGCGGAAAAAAGGAGCCTTTGTAATCCTAAAAGGGACATTCGTATGAAGCCTTTTTCAAACCCTTCCGATTTTTATTTGTAAAAAAAAGTAAAACGTAGATTGCACGATCTATTCGCCAAGGTGTCCACAAGACGTGAAAATTTTTTGATTTTCCTCGTTTCCTCGTCATTTTTCCTTCCTTTATGGCTTATTTTCCTCTTTTGTGTCTTAATTTTTTTTTTGAATAAGAAAGAATTTCTTTCCTGTATAACTTTTTCATAATTGCCCCTGTTCAGGTGGAAGAACTGCGGAAACAACTGAGCCGAATCCGAGACCCACTCTTTCAACATTTGCCCGTCAGCTACTTGTCGAACCTCGAAGATGAGCTTTCCGAGAGAGCTAACCCCAAATAACCGATTTTCAAAAAATTTCGTACAAATTTCTATTCAGATGACATGCTAGAATATCGCAATTATCACCTTATTCAACCAATTAGAATACCATTTCTGAATGATATGATTAATTTGATTGTTCCCTATGATTGCTGGTAACGCTGTTCGTATCCTATTGGGTCAATTTTTGAGAGAAATCGTCGCTGTACTGCCCCCCTTTGAAGTAATCACTGGTATAGTCAATGTTTCCCGACTTGAAAGGCGAAGGAGGCGGGGCAAGGGGCGGGACGAGTAGCGTGTGCGTTCGCGGTTCTTGGCACGAGTTCAATTCAACCGCCAGCGACTATTTAAAAAGCTCGACAACCGCTCTTTTTCAATGTTCTCTACTATTTCTTGATGCACACATGAACATAATCAATAAATAATTGAAAAAAAGAATGAAAAAAAAGCGAAAAACGGGCTTTTCAAAGAGTAGATGGCGGTTGAATTGAACACGTGGCAAGGACCGCGAACGCACACGCTACGCGTCCCGCCCCTTGCCCCGCCTTTCTCGCCTTTCAAGTCGGGAAACATTGACTATATACTTGGCAAGGTTCTCAAAGGAGCATAGGCGATTTTCGGAAAAAAGGTCTCGAGATCCTTTGCGCCTTTAAAAAACTCGCCAAGAAGTTCAACTGCCCTAAAGTTAGAGAATGATTACAGAAATGATGCTTTTTTAATTAGGTGAAACTTGGAATGAAAAATATTTTGAAACATCGGAACGTACAGAAAAAGAAAATTAAATAGTAAAATTATAACATTTATATCAAATTCATAGTTAACATTGGAGATTAGAGTCACAATAGGAAATTAATGAAATACTTAACCTAAGATACAATATAGCAATAAAATTACGAATAATTAATTCACAGTAGATAACGACAGTAATGGCCAATTTTCACTAGTTGGAAAAATTCCCAAAATTAGTAGGAACATTTTTTGCGAGGAGCGTGGAGAAAAGTTAGATGAAACAAAAATTGAGCAAAGGGTAACCCGTACGAGGCAGATGAGATTTTTTTAAAAAAACCCTAAAAAAACCGTTAAATAGTGTTTTTCAAACATGAGCTATTTCAAATGAAACTTCCTAAATACGATACTTTTAGGATACCTAAAAAAATCCAAGAAACTGGTGAAGAAAAATGTTGATAAGACAAGCTTTTACCTAAAATCTCACAATCAGGAGAAAATTATCGATTTTGGTCAATTTCCACGTTGCCAGACGTTTTTTTGGGTATTGAACGTCGAGAGAACAACTATTTCGTCGTCATCGGAAGAATAGGAAATGTAGCAATCATTTTCAAGCTGCACGACGCTGGGTTGTCTGAACGCGTAGAAGTTTTTGAAAAAGGTCAAAATTGTATATTTTCAAAAGACTTTGATGTTCTAGGAAAAAAATCACTTTCAAAAAAATTTTTTTAATTTTTCATGAGCTTAGAATATTAGTCGATTTTTCAATTATCTGCCATTTATAAATATATTCATTTCAAGCTCTTTCAATCCAAAGAAAAAAATCATTCAATCACCTTTCTTCAGACTTTGCAACCGTCCCCACAGGCAATTCTTGTTTCATGCGCTTCGGAGTGCTTCCTTCTTGGTCTCAAAAAATGGATACAACATTTTTATGAAAAATAAAATCCCCACTGTTCATTCTCTTCGAACTGAGAACCGTCGTGACGTCAGGCGCTTTCTCGTTCCCATTTGAAGGCTGAAATAATTGATTAAAAACTGATAAGATTGATCATCAAAAGTTTTTTTTGCACTCTGAATGAGTTCATCATGAAAACTAGGATCTACGCAATCTCTGACGGTTACTTTGAACATGGAATGCTTCATCTTCACGGCGTTTTTGTTGGTGGAAAAAAACAAATGCGAAACCGAAAATGAGGAGGCGGAGTCCGTTCCCATGTGACGTCATGGGAAACAATCATTACAGGAAAAATTAAAGGCGCATGTTCAATGGGTCATGAGGCGAATCGATTTTTCATTTTAAGAAACGCAATTTTGTTGCTGTGTGTTCAAAGTGATTCCGCGAAATTCAAGATAGCCGCCAGGAGGTGAAAAAAAAAACAACTACGAAAATTCAGATATCACTTTGAAATTGGCGAAAAAAAAACTTTGAGCGTGCGAGAGCGCCGCAGTGCATGCACACGACACACTACATTTTACGGAAAAATATGGGCGGGCATCGTCGAAAAAACGCCGTGTCTCGGCAATTTTCGCCGTCACATTTTCTACGCGATTAACCGTTTGCGGAGTCGACGATTTTCCCGGGGTTCTCGCCCTGCTCAGCCACTTGTCGAGAACCGTATTCAGGGGCACGTCCGGTTTCTCGTCCTTCTCGATTAGCGTTTTGGAGCCCTTTGGCGTCGTTCTTCGCCCTTTGCCACTATCTACAGAGTTCGGCTCGGCCGACGCCCGGAAATTCGTCGTTGGAGTCTGCGGCTCTTGCATCCGGATGGTCTGCGGCGTAGCTAGCTTCCATGTAACTTGAGTTAAACTTATTTTCTTTTTTTTTGTAAATCTTATCACCTTCCACAGGAGCGTCATCCTCATCGCTGTCATCAAGTTGAATGATCTGAGAATAATGAAAATAATTATTTTTCTCAAAACTGAAAAAAAGCAAACATCAATATCGCAGGTTCTGCGCCTCACTGGCTCCAGAATTTCCAGAGGCATATCATCCAAATTCTCCGTTTTCACAGTATTGAGCTGTTCTTGTTGTTGGTCAGTGTTAGGAGCTTTCTGAGAAGGGAAAACTTAATCTTTTCAACGAAATTTGAAAAAGCGTAAACTCAACCAATATTTTAAAAAAATGCATCAGAAGCTTTCAAATCTTAAATGCGAACCGGGTTCGCCCTAGAGTTTTTTGAAAACTTCAAGTAGTCCCTTAAGAATGCTGAAACCGCTTAAGGGATCACTAGAAGTTCAGGAGAACGTCCGGGGGCTCTCGCGTTACCGAAAGTATCCAAAAATTCCTTATTGGTCAAAAATATTTTTAAAAAAGCCCTTCGGTATAGTCCGCCCGCCGCGACTGAACATTTTTAGCGTTTCTACGTCTCTCTGTTCTCTCACCGGCGAGGCCAGAGAAATATGAAAATAGGACGTCAACATGAGAGGGTCGCCGAGAGACGAGGAGGGCGCAGAGAAGCCACACCCCTTCAAGTCGGGAAAAACGGACTATACATTCTTCCTATAGTCCATCCTGGACATTTCTCGGCGGGTGCCTACTTCTCTCTGTTTCCTCATGGGCAAGGTCAGAGAAATATAAAGAAAAAAAAATAGCGCGTAAGCATGAGAGGGCGTAAAGGTCATTTTTCTCTGTAGATCATTCTGAACCTCAATTTCATTGGCGATGAAAGCTGGCTGAACTTGCGGCGGGGCTTCCGACCAGACGATTTCCGGGTCACGTCTAGTTTCCAGATCTATCAACACAAAAATCAAAATCATAGTCCGAACATGAGATCTACGTTTCAACGCGGCTGCCAGATCGTGGAAGTCTTCCGGCCTTCTCTCAGTCCCTTCCGTCTCTTCATCAATCGACGTCGTCAGATCGTTTTCGGGAGCTATTGAATCGAAATCGTCGATTTCCTCTTCAAGTCCTTCCAAGGGGTCACGAGCCGGGGTTTCTTCAAGAAGTTGATCTTCGTCGAGCGAAAACAGCATCGGGAAAGTCTTGACGTCGTCAATCGCCATATTCACTTCAAATTGATTCTCCGAGGAAGGAGGTTCAGTCGCCGCCTGCACTTCTGGTACAGCGGAGTCGCTGAAAATCCAAAAATTCCTCAAAAAGTTCAGAACTGAGTTTGGTAGCATTATTATCAGCAAAACTAACCTTGACACAACTCTCTCAGAAGCTTCATCTTCCCTTCCAAAAACTCCAGAATCCTGAGAAGGGATCGTACTAACGTTTGATCCAACGATTCTCTCGCCATCTCCAATCGCTTCATGCACAATTTTAGGTCCTTTCTGAAGCAGATCTGGGATCAGGAAAGCCTAATAAGGTTCTCAAACCAATGCTTTTTTGGCAAGAGAACCCGTGCGTCTGCCCATTTCCAGATCGTAGATCTGTTTCCGGGTGGGCTTCTGAGACACGCTGAAAATCATTCCGTCAAGCAGTTAGCCGACTTCAAAAAACCATAACTCGGAAAAAATCTCTTAGGGACGGTTTTTTTTTCTGGGATCAGGGGGGGTCTGAAGTAAACTAGAAATAAAAGCCTAGTCTGGCGGGAGAGAAAAACGATACATTGAAAGGCTCGCAAATGTACCGCTTTGGCGGCTCACCTTTCAAGCGCACGAAAAAACTTTAAAAAATTCCAAGACGCGATATCGCGCCGAAAAATGCGAAATCGCGCCGAATGAACGCGATAACGCGTCGAAAAAGATTGCGATATCGCGCCGAGGAAAGCGCAGACAAATGGGACAATGCGTTTTTGCGATTGTACCTCCAGCGACCTTGTGCACTTCAGCTAACATAGATAAAAAGTCACACTGGGCGTTTCTAGACTTCCATCAACATCTCAGATTGTGTCTTTTGGAAACCCCCAATTTTATTTTTTTCCTAAGATGCCTTGAACTGACACTTGGTACGTGTGGCAGCAGTCGTCGCAGTACCACGGAGATCTTTTCAGATTTTTCATGTCGAAGTCGTCACACGTGAATGGCGACCTCGAGAAAGGCAGCCCGGCACAGCCAAGGTGCGCAAAAACGCCGCAAATATCGCACCGCGGCATCGATCTCCATTTGCCGTCTGCAGTAAAAAATTATTGTCCATATCTTCAGCAAAAAAATAAAGTAAGGTTGGAGGTCGAAATGGTATTCACGGCTGGCTTGAGCCATGGGAAAACGGGTCCTGACACGATAAAAAGGAATGAGTCCCTGGTTTGTGGAGAGCGCAGACAGGCCTTTTGAAAAATCTCAAGCTAACCGTGAATAAATTGGGTGGTGACTCAGCATGCGCCTTTAATAAGAGTCCCATTTCATAACTTATTTCTTTTCCAATGAGCTTTTCGGATCATGTAAAGTTTGAAAAATAAAGTCATCGAATGAAGCTCTTATTAAAGGCGCATGGTGACGTCGTCGAGGGCTAATTTCTTGTAAACCAAAAAAAAAAAAATATTTTATTTACACTCTATGTCTTTTTTAGAGCACCTTTCTGCTATATCAGGTCAAAAAAGCTTTGATAAACAGCTCTTTTTTCTTCCACGGGACCTTTGTTACATTTCTTCAAAAAACCCACCGAAATTCGGATCTTCGCCCGGGATTCCTGAGAAATGAGTGGCTCCAAGTGGACACAGACAGCCTCTCAAAACTTATTTTTAGTGTTCGAGTTTTTTAAAAATATAACCGTCCATCATTCCGCATGGTCCGAGCAAAGTAGCAGCGGGGCTTTTCTTCGCGGCTTCCCGGCGCTGAGCTTGAAGAAAAATCGATGAGAATTGGAAGATGGCGACGGATGGAACTGACTGATTTGGTGGATGGATGCCTTGGAGGGCCATCAGCCTCAGGAAGGTATCCTCTTCGTCGCTCCCACAAATGGGACATCGAAAATTGAGTCCCTGGCGAGTGGCCCGCTTCTGAAGAGCCAGATGGATTAAAGGCGCATACTAAGAGAAGCTGTTATATTAAAGGCGCAGAGACGAAAACTTCAAGGCTAACTTGAAGGCGCATGCAATGAGAAACTGGTATATTAAAGGCGCAGAGGCGGAAACTTCAAGGCTAATTTAAAGGCGCATTCCCAGAGAGGCTGTTATATTGAAGGCGCAGAGACGGAAACTTTCAGGCAAAATTAAAGGCGCATGCACAGAGGGGCTGTTATATTAAAGGCGCAGAGACGGATACTTCCAGGCAAAATCAAAGGCGCATAAAGAGAGAGCTGCTATATTAACGGGAGAAAGAAACATTTAGGTTAATTTAAAGGCACATGCACAGAGAGGCTGTTATATTAAAGGCGCAGAGATGGAAACTTCAAGGCTAACTTGAAGGCACATGCAATGAGAAACTGGTATATTAAAGGCGAATAGACGGAAACTTTCAGGCAAAATTAAAGGCGCATGCACAGAAAAAGGCTGTTATATTAAAGGCGCGGAGACTTCTAGGCTAATTTAAAGGCGCATACAGAAAAAGGGGCAAAGACGAAAACTTCAATACTTAATTAAAGGCGCACACAGAGAGGCTATTTCAAAGACGCAGAGACGAGAATCTTCAGGCTAAATTAAAGGCGCATGCATAGCTACAGGCCGCGCGGATTGCAGAAACGTATTCCGTAACAAGTTAGCACGGAATGGGCTATACAATTTTGAGGTAAGGGCTTTCGAACCAAAATGCAGTCGTAGTGATAGTAGGCCGTCCCGCAACAGGCTCCCACGACGACTTCGTTGAAAATGACGCGGGTCTGATCCAGCGGGTCTTCGCACTCTCCGCATATCTTTTCCGTGTATTCCTCAGTCGCTTCTTCTTCTTCCTCGGTCATTTCGGACTCAGCCGACTCTTTCCGTTTGTTTTCTTTCCTTGCCACTTCGATCTCATCGACAAGCTCCTGCAGTTCGGACGCCACTTCCGACAATTTTTCCCTCTTGCAGTAAGCCCTGAAAGATCGAATATAGCTGATTCACGACTGGCTTGAGCCATCGAAAAAGGGTCCTAACACGATAATGCACGAGACAGCGCCTGGCTCGTGGAGAGCGCAGACAGGATACGCCCTCTAACGTCCCAAGCTAGCCGTGAATCAACTATACACTGCGACCCATAATTATAGACCCACCCTAATTTCTCCGATTTTAAGAAAGATTGAAAAGCTTTGAGCCACCAAACTTTTTTTGTGATAAACCTTGTTGATAAAAAACATAATCATATCATAATTATCAATCACCCAGTTGAAAAGTTTTTCAAGATACGAGAAAATCTGATTTTTGACCGACCCAGAATTATAGACCCACCCCAGAGTTTTCCGAGTTTTCGTTTCAGGTAACACGTTTTTCCTGTTTTTTTCAGTGGTGTATAAGAGAAAAAGTCCTCGTGTATCACTATAAGCCATAATGCCTAAATCTACTCAACTTGATAATACCGAAAAAGCGGTAATCGATGCTCTACTCAACAACGGCTTGTCCCATCGGGAAATCGCTCGTCAGACGGGTCGCTCAAGACGAACTATTGACCGTTATGCAAGGAATCCGCAAGAATACGACTCAGCAATACTTTCTGGACGGCACAGGCTGCTATCGGTTCAAGCTGAACGAGACGTCTGTCGAAAAGCATCAAACTCTACGAAGTCCGCCAACCAAATCAGATCCGAAATTCCTGAAAACGTCTCGAAGAACACCATCTTACGAACAATTCATCGTTCCGGTCGGCTTGTGAATACTCCAATGAAGGCAGCACCTCGTCTACAGCAACGCCATAAGAATGAACGGCTCCAGTTTGCACGCTCTAACATGCCCACGGATTGGAATAAGGTATCAATGTTTTCTATCACCTTATGATTCCCAATTTTTCTGTTCAGATCATCTTCAGCGACGAGAAGAAATTCAACCTTGATGGGCCAGATGGGTACGCTCACTACTGGAGAGATTTGAGGAAAGATCCGATGTACTCCTCCAAGAGAAACTTCGGCGGCGGCAGCCTCATGGTCTGGGCGGCTTTCTGCGGCAACGGGACGGTAGCTCTTTCTTTTATTGGGACCAGAACGAATTCGCAAGACTACCAGCAACTGCTTGCCCAGCATCTCCTGCCCTATCTCCGTCGCCGACGACGTGCCAATATGATTTACCAACAAGACAATGCATCTGTTCACGCGAGCAACTCCACATTGGCTTGGTTTGCGGCCAAGAACGTGGTTCTTCTGGACTGGCCCGCGTGCAGTCCTGACCTCAACCCTGTAGAGAATTTATGGTCAGTCCTTGTACGAAGGGTCTACGCGAATGCCAAGCAGTATACGACGGTCAACGATCTGAAAAGAGCGATTCGTGCCGAGTGGGATGGTTTGGACAAGTCACTGCTGCAATCACTCGTTGGCAGCATGCCGAACAGGATTTTCGAAATCGCTCAGAAACAAGGAGGCATCACACATTATTAATTAATCTTTTTGTTATACTTTGTTGACTTTGTGAAATGAATTTTGTTGATTACTTATAGTGGGTCTATAATTCTGGGTCGGTCAAAAATCAGATTTTCTCGTATCTTGAAAAACTTTTCAACTGGGTGATTGATAATTATATTATGATTATGTTCCTTATCAACAAGGTTTATCACAAAAAAAGTTTGGTGGCTGAAAGTTTTTCAATCTTTCTTAAAATCGGAGAAATTAGGGTGGGTCTATAATTATGGGTCGCAGTGTATAACCTATTCGCTTTCCCTCAGAGCTAGAAAATCATTCCGTTCGAAGCGCGTGGGACGTTTCTCTACATGCGTCTTTTATTTTGCCTAAAAGTTCCGGTATATTAAAGGCGCAGGCAGAGATAAATGTCGCGCGCATCGAAGGGAAGGGTTCTGTAGCTCAGAGGATATCGAAAATCGTGACAAACCGGCGCGGGATGAGCTATAACATCTCTCGCGCTTTTCAGAAGGCGCAAAAAAAAAACCTATCTCCGTAAATAACCCATCACGTTTTAAATTTTTTCACACGCGAAATAAATATATGCTGCAGAATCAACACACGTTAAATGGAGAAAGTCGTAGAATCCCTGGCTTTCGAAAAGACAGGGCAAATGATAGGATCGGACGCATTTTTTCTCGGCGCAGCCGATCATCGCATTCGGTTTGAAGCAATCCGCCTTGGCGCACTTCTGGAATCGACAAAAGTTGGGGAATCAAATATTTTGTGCAGGGAACTTGTTCGCAAATCGAGTTTAATGAGTTGAGTGCTAATAAAACTGATTTACGGGCCATCGAAAAAATGGTCCTAATACGATGAAAAAAAATTTAAGACAGTTTTAGGAATTTTTGAGTGGTCCCTATAGGGGTTCGGGAAAAAAGCCCTTAAAGGGACCGAAAAAGTCGTCCCTATAGGGGTAAAATCAAGGTGGTCCTTATATGAATTTAGGGTCGGACTCTTTAGCCTCTAAAGCTTGAGGGGTCCCTATAGGGTGGTCGCTCAATTTTTTCAAGAAAGGTTAATTCTTTTAGTTTTTTGCATGGAAATGCTTCTTCGCATAGAGTTCATAAAAGTTATCGACGAGCAAGTCCCCTAAAGGGGCCACTAACTAAAACACCCATTCTGAAATCTGTAGTGGCCCCTATAGGGGTCATTGAAAAGGTCCCTAGAGGGGACCCTCAAACGGTCCCTGAGATTACTCTTTTAGAGACCACTCTGGAGTTCCTAAGGTGCCTTTTTGGTGAAGAGAGCTGGCCCGTTTCTCAGAGCCCCAAGCTAGCGGTGAATCGTCTCCACCCAACCAAAGTGGAACTACCTTTTCAGTACCTTATTAGGTTCAACAGATGATATAAAGTACTATTTAGGTCCACTTAAGTTTCCACTCGGTCAGCGAACAAAATTTTTGTCGTACTGGTGAGCTCACATTGATGAACCCGCGTCTTCGGACCGCTTTGGCCAAGTTAACAATCGAGTAGGATTCGAAGCTGAACGACGCCAACCCCGTAGAAACCCTGTCTTCGTGCAGCTCAGGGATACTTTGCTGCAACGTCAATTTCGTAAATTTTTCGCCAAGAAAAGTGGTTTCAATTCTAAGTTTAGACGGGAATCTCCGGAAAAAAAAAACATATTTTTCGAGAAGAACTGTGCTATAATGTTCAAATTGTTGAATAACACTGAGAAGAAGCTGAAAAATTTAACATATTATTTTTCTATAGTCCCAAATTCCAGCCGCTCTTCGGACATGACGGCACCATGTATGTGTAAGACAGGTTATTCATATTCTATAAAAGTTCTTTTCACAGTTCCGGTTCACAACTTTACCGAGGATTATCATAACTCTAATCTCGAAAACCCTCTCTCAGTTCTTACCAAGCAAAACTCGTGGACAGCGAAAAACTGCGGGTACTGTGGACACCAGAGCAACTGTCCGACCTTCAGGCACTCGTATCTCTGACAAATCATGCATGTCGGAGGCCTGAAATCGAAAATCTGCGAATTCCCAGTGAAAATTCTGAGTGAGACCGGGAGTTTTCCGAAGTTTAGAGAAAACTGGCAAACATGAGGAAGTTAATGAAAAAAAAAGCGTGCCCTCTCACTTTTGAACGCTCTCTAACTCTTAAAGATTCAGAATTCGAGTCTATAGTCCGTTCGTCGCGACTTGACACTCTTCGAATGTCTGCGTCTCTCTATTCCCTCACCCGCGAGGTCAGAGAAAAATGAAAAGAGCACGGAAACATGAGAAGGTCGCCGAGAGACGAGGAGGGCGCAGAGAAAAAGAGCCATTTCAAGTCGCAGAAAACGGAGTAAAGGAGAATCAAAAACAGACGCTGATTCCCAATTTAGGCTTCAAAATTTTCTCGGAGCCTCACGCATGGCGTTTTTTTTATGTGGAAGAAAATGAGAAAAACCAAGAACACGGTGGGCGGAGTCGAAACCTCCGTCGTTCCCACTTGACGTCATGGGAACGGCAAGCTAAGCGAGGGGATATTAAAGGCACAGACGACCGCATTGCCCGAGGTCTTTAATACGAATTTGTCTGCAAAAAAGCGCCGCAGTGCATGCACACAAAACATCACACTTTACGGGAAAAATTTAAAATTGAAGTTTGAAACAAGAATTTCCGTTATCCGGAGAAGCTGCTCTTCTTGGATGAACAGTCTTCCCTTTTTTGCCGCTAGAAATTCCGTAATGAGCTTGAACCGGTTTTTCTCGCTAAAACTGACGTGCGATAGTCCTCTCTGAGGATCGTGTCCCACATGTGATAAAAGTAGCTTTTCCAGCGAGGTTTCAGCGACGTATTGTGCACTTTGGCATCTGCGGGTTTTTTATTGATATCGGGATTTTCTCGTGGCCCTACCCGTGCCCCAATGAAGCTGAAGGAACTTTTTGCGGAGTTCCCAGCAGTTGCCGCGGTTCATCTCGTTGCACAAGGTGAAGAGGGGGTTCCAAAATTGGTCCAACTCTGGGGGCAGGTCCATTATCCAGAGTTTCAAGTCCGTCATGACGTCCACTTCATTTCCAACGGCTCGGGAATGACGGAGCTCCACCAGACTCAACGATTTCAGGCTGAAAAGAATGACATCGAATCGTAGAACAAAGAGATCAAAGAAAATTTGGTGAAAGTCAAACTTTTGAGGGCGCCCTTGAACTTGAGCGAAAATTTCTTCGGATTCCGAAAAACTGTCGTCATCAAAATCGCTATCGTCAGTGCAGGTTCGCGATTCCGAGTCATCTGGAAAAAAAAACTCAGTTTTTGACAGAACATTCAAGAGGTGGTATAGAAAAAAAAAATGGAAAGCGCGACCGAGATTCGCAAAGGAAAACACGCTTTCACGGCCACAAGGTCACGCAGCGGAGTGTCGTTCCGAGAAAATTCAAGTCGTGGCAAAAAGACTATAGTCTGTTCAGTTTTTGGATTAAGATTGGTCGCTCAAGCTCCGCCCCTAATGGTGCGATAAACCAATCAGATAGCTAGAGAATTTAAAAATGACGTCACTGGACTTGAAAATCAAAATTTGAACAGGCTATATCAGAAAAGGAGGTTAGATGGAAAAACAGTGGTCTTCGGTCAGAGAAAAATACAGCTAAAGTTTACACGATATTTTTATGAGATAAGTAAACACTCAAGGGAATTCATAGTCCATCCCGGACCAGTTTTCAGGTTTTTCCGAGCTACAGAACCCTTCTTTTCGATGCCCGCGGCCTATCTCTTTACATGCGCCTTTAAATTGTTATTCCCACTGTATTAAAAGCGCATCGAAGGAAAGATTCATGTAGCACGGAGGAAAATAAAAATCTTGAGCCGAAATTTTTTTAGAAAACCAAACAAAATAGACCCAATGATTTTTCAGGCTCGTCGTTTTTCTCCGTCTCTTTTTCAGCCTTTTTACTTTCTCGATAATTTCTCATATAATCCCTTTTCTTCGCGAGTTCTCGATCTCTGTTCTTCTTGGCTTCCTGTCGAGACAGCTGTGCCTTCTCGTTTCTGTGTTGTTTTTTCTGTAAGGCGTAAAATAGGAACTTCGGTCTTAGACGAGCAAAATCAACCTTTTCTTGTAATGACATGGGTGCAGCCCTTCTAGGCCCCACTGAAAAATCATGTATTGTAATTCTTCGGCTATGACATTCAAAGCGATGATACAAGTAAACGTTTTTAACCCTTTCTCACAATAGATTTGGTTGCCGAGTTAAAACGCTCCAAAAGCTTGAAATAGCGACATTTTTGGCATTATTTGCAAACTTTGAAGCTTCACTAATCGAAAAAAAGATCTATTGCGAGAATTTTTTCCTCTTTTTCGTGTGTAAAAACGTTTCCTAAAAAATATAGAAAATCACATTTTCGCTATCACTATCCAGGCCTTCGCCCGATTTTCAACTTGTCGCGACTGCAACACGTTACAATTTTTTGAAGGTTTTTTTAAAAATATATTACTTACAGATTTTAAATGTCTAGTCACCGCTCAAGCTCCGCCCCTAATGATGTGATAAACCAATCAGAGAGCGAGCCATCCACAGAGGGTTTTCGAATGACGTCATAGAACTTGGCATTCAAAAATGAACGGATTACAGTTTCAAAAAAGGTCTTCACAAATTTTCAGAAAATTCTCGAAACTCGTATTTTTGAACCTTGCCCGATTTACCTGGTCGCGGGGTGGGATCATTGATCGGTGTCTTTTCTGAAAACGGAACATTTTGATATCTCTTTGAAAATATTTCTCACCGTTTTCTTCTCTCAATTTACCGGCTTTTATTCTTTCCTCATATCTCCGACGAGCTTCTCTTCTCTGCATTTTTCGCCGATCTTCTTTTTCTGCTTCAGAAAGACCAGCGAGACTGTTTCTTCTCCCCTGTAAAGGTCGAGAAATAGACAGAAAATGAAGAAAAGTCAACCTTTCCTGAAAGCGAACTGTTCGCAGATCGATTCTTTCGTCCCACTGAAAAAGAAGAATTACGATTTTTCATTGTATAAATAGGGCCTTTAATGGAAATAGCTGCAAGAAAAAAATTGGCTATAAAACGGGAAAATTCAGCTTTTTTCGGCTGATATGTTCCCAAATTCTCTCTACATCTATTTCGTGAATTTTAGTACTTGTGTGTGAGAACTAAAACATTTTGATTTGATTGATTTTGATATTTACCTGATGCCGGTGAAAAATTGTCGCTCAAAGTTACATTTCCTGATGTCGTTTGGTTTTTCTGTAAACCACTGAATAATTTAAGAAACCTTAAAAAAAGGTCAAGCTTTGAAAATTCACAAATGGTACAAATTTTAAATTGGCAAAATTTCGAGCTCATTTTTTTCATATGGAAAAATTTGAAAATATTAATTTGGTAATATCCTAAAATCAGGAATTTTTGCGATTTAACTCAATTTCAAAAACCGTTTTTACCTGATTCAAAGCAATCATCGAGTTCCCTACATCACTTCCATTCAGGGAACTGTTCGCGGCCTCTGAAAAATATATTTGAGCAATAATTTTTAAAGAAAAAAATTAACCTAATTGCCTTATTCTCAACAACTCGGCTCTTTTCTTTTCTCGACATCTCCTATCAGATTCTCTTCTCTGCTGTCTCTTCCTCTCCAATCTTTCCTGCTTCTCTTCTTCCGTCAAATCCGCAACTCTGTACACTTTTCGCTGTAAAAATATAAAAGAAAAATCGTTTCAAAAATAACGAAACCAACCTTTTCAACGATTGAATTTTTCTGCAGGCGCTGGCGAATCATTAACTTGTCCCACTGAAAAATTGAAAAATTTTGCAAAATAAATCAGCGAGTTACAGCAAAAACTTTTCTGAACTTTTATGGAATCGAAATTTTAGTTTAAATGAGTTCAAAAAAATAATTCCCCCTTTTTACCTTTTTCCAACTTGGCGGCTTGTATCCTCAGTCGTCTTATTTCAGAACCCATTCTTCGTTGCTCTTTTCTTCTCGCCTCTTGACTTTCCGGAGACAAATCCGACAACTTGACATCGTATGTTGTTCGCTGTGAACGCCAAAGTTTTTTTTCAAAAGCTAAATGAAAAATGAACCCTTCTCCTCGTCGGCAAATCTCCTAACGTTAGCGAGGCATGCGCTTGTTCTGAAAGCAAACAAAAACGATTTAATTTTAATCTCGCTGAAATTCACCTGATCCCGAGGGCAAAACTTCGTCCGGCCGTTCATCTACGACTGTTGTCCGCCGAGTTCTCTGCGAAATACCGACTTTTTTTTTTACAAATTTCAGTGCTATTTTTTGTTTATTTTATCAATCTTAATGACAAAAGATCATAATTTGAATCGCCTACGCTATGAACGTTGCAAAAAAAAACTCCAGTTCGCTTTTACCTGACCCGAGGATACCGACTTTCTGTTTAAATCCCCAAGATCGGTACCGCTCCGTCGAAAATTCATGGAGCGGGACGCTGAAAAGATTGGTTCTTGAAAAACGTGAATGACGACTTTGAATTGAAGCAAACATATCCGAATAGAGCGAAAACAAGTTTGAAAAGAAATCATCTAAAAATTTAGCAGACAATTATCAACCTTTTCCTTAATTTCCGTTTAATATATCCTTCAAAAAAGCAGAAGTCAAAGAACGATTTTACAAATAATGTTTCAACATCAAAAAATATTATAAAATAATTCATCAGTCATTCATTTTTTATTTTCATTTCAAATGTTTAAGCACAACAAAAAAAGGAAAAAAATCCGTCTATATGAACTACTTCCCACACACAGTGTGTGTGGAATTTCTAATGCAAGTATCAACTAATAATGTCAAATATATTTTGAATTTCAAATTGGAAAATAGAAAAATAACAAAAAAAAAGCTTCCAAAAAATTGTGTTCACATAATCTGAGAGCCCATAACTCGTATGAAACTTTTGGATACACATAAACATCAAAAAAATAACAAAGAAAAAAACAAAAAAATAATGAATTTATAACAAAAAAACATAAAAAAATTTTTAGAAAAATTGGAGCGGGAAGTTTTTGAAAATTTTTAAACTGGCGCGCAAATATAAAAAGAAAACTGCGCTCCAAGGTAGCAGTCCCTCCAGGGGGACGATGTTGCCAGTCTCAAAACTTTCATGTGAAATGGAAAAAAACGAATTCATGGCGTTCTTTTTTTCATATTATTTTTCAAAAAAATTATTATTCTTGAAATCCCCAAATCATCCATTTTTTAAATAACAAAAAATCATGTGATCAATTGCGATATGAAAAGAAGGAGCATAAAATATTCATGGAAATATCAGAGGGCTAATAAACTGTTCGGAATCCTTCTCGTGACAGGATAGTCCTGACTGCCGCGTAGAGGTCGGACTCGACGTAGTTGGGCTGAAAAATTCAGCTTTTTTTTCTCTTTGAAAAATAAAAGGAGTACTTGTCGTAGAAAAAGCTGTTCTCCGGGAGCCAACGCCTCATAAAGCATCGAGATTGGCTTGACAACACCGTTCATTTTACAGCCTTCTGAAGATATAGTGTTTGAAAATATCAGAGACATTGAAAAAAAAACCTTGATAAACGCCAGTTTCGACCAAAACTGAAACACAACGCTCCACAACGTGTCGAGAACGGACCTGATTTTTTTTTTGTTTTGTTTTGGACAATAGTTGCATCCTAATAGCTTTCTGAAGGAAAATAAGCATTGACGAGCGAAAGAAAAACACAAAAAACGGCTTCCCGCCAGGATGCTATGTTGAAATCGGATCATGCTCCTTTAAAAAACTTTAGGGAGTGGAATCAGTTTAATGCAAGAATTTTGGATGAGAGCAAGTCCGATTGATTCAGCTTTTCCTGCTGATTCCTCATCTCTAATTAGAAAACTCTATAAAAGCCTTTGGAAGGGAGGGGGAACCTATCAGTTCTAAAAGAAAAAGGCCAGCCAAAACGATTCAGGTTTGCTTTATGAGCAAATGAAAAATGAGATTTTGCCTCAAAAATTTCCAAAAAAAAATCTGATACATACTTTCGGCAGCTGATCGTCCTGCTCCTCGAATTGATCCAGATCAAAGTGATCGAAGCGTCCATGGCCACCATGTCTCAGATACCTGTCAAAGAGTCGGGCGCCAAGGACGTCAGACATTGGATTGTCACTAAAAAAAGGCATTATTCGCTTCAAAAATTTTTTTAGTATATTCAGACGAGCACAGAAAAGGTCTCAAGGCTTTTTTTTCAATTCCGGTCATGGAACACGCCAGCGCCTTTTAAAATCTCAACGAGGTAATCAAAAGATTTCTCTCTAATTTAAAGGAGCACAGGCAAAATTCAAAAAAGGTCTCAAGAGGAAGAGCTATTTTCCGTTTATGCGCCTTTAAAAACTAAAGAAAGCTGTTACGAGATGACTAAATGAGAAGAAGGTACCCAATGACGTAGATTTGTTTGACGTCATCCCGGCCCATCAACTGCGCCTGTCTTTGAAGAATGTGGGCCGCATGGAGGTAGCTGATCTGAACAAAAATGAATCATATTTCATTTTTTTCACTTCTAGACAAAAAAGAGAAAGAAGCCGTCAAATTAGGAGAAAAATGATTTTTTGAATTTTGAGCCGAATCGAGTTGATCACCTTCGGTCGAATGGAGGTCAACTATCCCACCCCAGGGATTTGTTGTAGAACTACTTTTTCTTGAAGAAGAATACCCCTAGTTTCATAATCAGAAATAAAATTCGTACCATAGGGGGGTTCTTACTCTAGTTATGGCTCAAAAACTGAAAAAATCGCTGTTTTTGAGGAAATTTCGATTTTTTTTCTCCCCGAAGAAGTCGAGTTAGAAAAAAAGTTGCAACTGAAAAAATGCTCAAAATAGTGTTTTCTTACATTTCCAAACATTTTTGAATGAAAATTCTCAACAGGAAAAAAAGTTAATTTTTTTCAGCTTACTGTCTACAGTATCTTTTAAAGGGGCGGAGCCACCTGGAACCTGGTGCTAAATAATTAGAAGCACGTGTGTGAGCCGTGACCACATTTTGAGGCAAATCAAAAAAACTTTTTTTTTATTTTGCTTTAGATTCATCGACTTTCTTTAGATTCTTCGACTTCAGAGAACGCGTGTTAAGTGACATCCCTAGTTGAGTCATCGATAAATTGACTATATAGAAACGATCCAATGTTTCAAAATGCCCATACCTCAGTTGGCTTGCCAAGAACCGCCTGAAAGTCCAGCCGAAGTCCCGTCAGGGTTTCATAAAGCGACTCCAAGAAGTGAATAAAGACTCCATGGCCGATTCTGAATCATTATCCCATGATTTTTCTAATGTTTCAAGGAACCTCGGCAAAGGGCTACCCTCCTCAGCCATCCAGACGAGGTCGACGTTGCAAGCGATCAGAGGGAGCTGTTTGAAAGAGCCGTTGACGCCTCGAATCACGTCGTCCATGGCTAAAATTGAAGATTTTTGGTGATGAAAAAGGAATCTGAAAATTGACAATGGAAAATGGTCACACTGACTTCCCATAGTCAGCAAGCAGTCGAGGATTAGTTGAAGGGACGTCTCCCATTTCAAAGGCTCTCCAAGCATGACGATGGCTAAAAAAATATTTTATTAAATACAGTACTGGCCATAGAGGTACTCCAAAGTGGTTTGTCGAGCACCTGAAAGTGGTTCAAATGTCCTAAAACTTTGCACAGATTTTAAATAACTATGCAATAACTCATTTTCAGAAGCAAAACACATTTGCTTGAGTCAGACCAGATTTGTGAGCGAAAAACCGAAAATTGTGAAAATTGAAGTTTGTCTTTTGAGATTTGAAAGATCACATTTTCCGAGAAAGTTCGATATTTGATCTGGAACTTTTTTCACATGTTAAAAAAGTCTTCTGTTTTCCAAAAAATCTAATCAATTCGATAATAAGAGCCCAGTAACTTTTTCTTCGGTAGGCTCTTGCGTTTTAAGGCTTTATCATTCAAATGGACCACATGCGCTAGATTCTGGACCCTACTTTTATTTTTGAAACTCTAAAACATCCTCAAAAATAATTTAACACTGTTTCCTTCAATTTTATCTCTCTACTTCCTCTTCAGAACCCATCAACTTCACTAGATCCGATTTTTAAAATCTTCTTTTGAATTTTGGGCCGCAGGCGGAATGACTTGACTACTCGACGAAATTTTAGGAAGATAAAGGCTTCGAAAAGCACTGAAGCCAACCGCAACGCGACCGCGACGCTTTCAGCCATTCCAAGCGCGACCAAACTGACCCAACCTTCAATGGGCTGAAAGTTTTCGCGAAGCTTCGCCGTCTCCTTTTTTGTGAGAAGCTTCCGAGAAAAGTCCGTGCAGGCCAGATGAGGAAAGGTGTCGATCAGTTTCTCGATAGTCATTATTTTCTTGAAGCCCACGCTTGAATCACTTTTCGATTAATTCATTTTTTGAATAATCTTTACCTCCGAGCAATGGCAGCCGCGTTATTCTGTCCTACAGCGAGAACCTAATTTTACCTATGAATAGGTTGGATCAAATTGCGTCCTCACCTGCTTATTGTGCAGGTCGGTGAGTGTTCTGAGGGGTCCGTGCGCCATGATCATGCATTCGGCCGGTATCTCAAGAAAGTTTCCTTTTTTTGTTAAGGTAACGTTGGGAAATAAAGTCGATTCACCACTGGCTTGGAACGAAAAGGGGCGTGGCCTGTCTGCGCTCTCCACCAACCAGGCACTGTCTTTTTTATTATCGTGTCAGGACCCTTTTTTTCGATGGCTCAAGTCAGCCGTGAATCAGCTATGATATGCCTTCAAAAATTTATTCTTTTCGTCTAGTTCATAATGGATCAACTCGTTATGCAAATTTTCAGCGCAACCGACCAAAAACTACTTGCGCGCGATGCACAGTAAGTTAAGCGAAAAGGTTTCAAAACATAGCGAAAATCGTCAATGTTAAAAAAAAGGTTCAAACCCCTCAAAAAGGGTGCAAAAAGGGTGCTGAAAGGCTCGGCCATTGATGATTCCAATTTTATTACTGTAGCACATTGTGGTTCATACACAGTCACTGGAAAAGATTATTCTCAATTTAAAGAAAAGGGTCCAAAAAGGGTCGATAAAGGCCGATGAAAGGACGGAAAAGGGCAGTAAAAAGGACACCGTTGTCACTTGTTTAGAAAAAGTGAATGGAACCTTTTGCACCCGTAACGGACGCTCAAAGGGCCCTTAAAGGATCCCTCCGACTTTGCCTATACTATCTATCTTCTTATCGTGTCAGGACCAGTTTTTCATTGGGTCAAGCCAGCCGTGAATATACTTTGGTAACTAGGGAGCTTTCTGAACTCATTTTAGGGTTTCTAGACCCAGATTTTTAACTGATTTCAAAAATTGTGAAAATTAATAGTAGCCTCGGGGACCTGTGAAAAAGGTATGAGTGCTCAAAATTGAGATGGAGACTTTTTTGGAACCTCAAGAACGATATTCATCTTAACTGTCATCCAAAAAACTAATTTTTTAAGCCTTTTTTTTTATGAAAAACACCTTTCATGGACATCCTAGGCAATTTTCGAACACAGATTCTGAAATATCCGATTTTCTTATCCGGAAAAAAGGCTTCGAAAACTTGTAACTGATTTTCTTACTTTTTCAAATGCCGTAGAATAGCCCCTTGTGTTATAATAACCGACAGAAAATCCAGACAAACCTCAAATTCGAGCATTTGGCTGAGTTTCTGGGCCTTCTCCTTCTGTGAGCTGTTGGTTCCATTCGTAAGAAACACCTAGAGAAAATGCAAGATCTATTTTCTGGTTAACATGAGCAAGAAACCGTGGGAACCTGAAGCTTGCCCTTCCCATTGGTCAGCATTCGTAGGGCCTCCTTTACTCTTGGCAAAAGCTTTCGACCTCGGAAAAGGACACCATCGATGTCGAGGACTATTCCGAAGGGATGCTGAACGGAAATTCATACTCCATTAGGTCAAAAAAAAGCAGAGATGTCTAAACCTCTACTTTTGCATACTATTTCGCCCCTTTTGAAAAATCAAAACAAACCGTATACTTGTTTGGTGAAACTGTAGCAGAGAAGAATCGATGAAAACTTTTTATTCTAAAAAATCTTGAGAATTCTGGCCTGTCTGCACTCTCTCGATCTCTCAGCGGAGGTGAGAGGGAAAAGAGTCTGCGCTCTCTTCATTCTCACCACCTCTAAAAGATGATGAGAGTGAAGAGAGCGCAGACAACGAATAAAACTCACTGAAATGAATGAGAAGTCAAATTCCAGAGAGATTTTTTGAACGTATTCATCTTTTTCTGTGGGCACCTTCAAGGTACGAATTGTTCAGTTTTGAAAAATGCAAAAACTCACAAAAACGACCCACGGCACCGACCGTCAAAGTTGCGAAATGAAGTTTCCTTTCACTTTAATCATATCACTGGATTTATCATTTTATTACATTAAGAAAACGTGATTAATAGAATCAACAGGTCAAGTTCGCGTGATTCAAACCGTAGGCAATCTGAGAATTTTCGAAGAAACTTTCCGCATAGAATGGATAAAACTGAATGAGACAGCAAAGTACATAGTCAAAGTGAGAATGATAACAAGGAAAAAGAAAATTTACAGGAAGGAAGTCTAGTTTCTCGCGAGGGATCTAGATTTCTTTGGCGTCCAAGGTGCCGTGGGTGTCGAGGAACTCCTTCCAGTTGACGTTCGTCGCCAGCTTCATCAGGGTGAGAAGGATGAAAGCTTCGCCACTTGCTGGTTCGAGGACCTGAAGCAAATCAATAAGTATTCTGATAATCATAGAATTATCTCAAGATTGAGCTTGACAGATTGGGCTAAGAGAACGTGAACAAAATAGCCACTAAAAAAATATTTTTCCACATCTAAAATCATATAAAAAGTACAGTTCAAGAAAGAAATTGAATTGAAGATGCTTTCAAACATCAAAGATTACATAAATTATTTTAGATAAATGGTGAGCCCTAGGTAACATAATTCTCCAAACTATGGTTGGTTCTTTTCGAGACTATCTCGTGACAAAAATGCGATTTTTCAGCTTCTTTTCCCGCAATTTCGATCTTTTTTCGACAAATTTCGAAACGAGATTTGTCTGTACTTCTAAAAGTCATATCTCGAACAACTCTGCTCTGAACCGAGTCTCAAAAGAGCTCTGTGGAGTTCCCAAATCTTTCAAAACTTTCTAGAAGATTGAGCGAAAATCCTAAAGTATGAAAAATTTTCCGTTTCTTTAGGTTTTTTCAAGGTTAAGAGCTCTTCCAATTCACTAAATTACTCTGGAACCTCTCTAATCTTTGAAATTTGCTTTTTGAATAAATTGAAGAAACCAAAAAAATCTTTCTCGTCTTATTATAGTCTGTGTGCCAGGACTTGAAGCTTCACGGAACGACATTCCGCTGTTCCGCTGCGTGCGTTCGCAAAGCGTCTTTCGAATCTAGATCACTCTTTCAATTGATTTTTTTTGCTGTGTTAGCATGGTAGCACCTTGATAGAAGAAAAAAAAACCAAAAGCGCGACCAAGGTTTGCAAAGGCGCGCAGCGGCACAGCGGAATGTCGTTCGATGAAATTCCAAGTTGTGGCACACAGACTATAATAATTATAAGTCTTGTTACTCCCCAAAAAGTGCGGCCTAATGCAGTTCATTTTCAATTTCTTTGTTTCGCGCTTAAAAAGCCAAAAATCAGCCGATGTATGGTCTTACAGTTGCTAAAGAAAGGAAAAAGTTCTACTCGCCTCAAATTCGGCGCTGTCCGGGTTGATCTCACAGGGGAACTGTCGGATGTGACACGAGAAAGTGTCTTGTCGATTTCCATTTCCTGTAAAATTCAATCAAGTTAAATTTTGAATAAAGAATGAACCTTTCTTCTTTTTCTTCTCCGTATTGATAACGAGGACAAACTGAAGAGAATTTTCCGTCAGGGCAAAGTTCGTGAATCTTCCGTTGGCAAGTAATCTTGACGGTTGGTGGGGCTGAAAAATTATAGTTGTCCCAAAAAATCATGGAAAGAAGAAATTTCTTTATAGTTAGTTTTTTCTAGAAAGTGAGAAGCTTCTCTGCGCCCTCTCATGTTGGCGCCCTATTTTCATGTTTCTCTGACTTCGCTGGTTAGAGAACAGAGAGAGGCAGACACTCGAAAATTCGAGAAAAAGTAGTAACCTTTTTGAAAGTCGTGATGAGGTTGCTGAGGAATCCCTTCTTCTTCTTGAGCCCATGAGCTTTGAGCATCAGTTCAACCTGAGAAAATATTCCAGCAACTTTCGCAAAAGTAAGATCATGATTATAGTCAATGTTTCCCGACTTGAAAGGCGAGGGAGGCGGGGCAAGGGGCGGGACGCGTAGCGTGTGCGTACGCGGATCTTGGCACGAGTTCAATTCAAGCGCCAGCGAGCATTCAGAGAGCTCATTTATCGCCCTTTTCACTTCTTTTTTAAGTTATTTATTGATTATGTTAACTTGTGCATCAAAAATTAGTAGAAAATACAGAGAAAGAGCGGTCGCCGAGCTTTTTAAATAGTCGGCGGCGATTGAATTGAACTGGCCCGCCAAGAACCGCGTACGCACACGCTACGCCTCCCTCCCCTTTCAAGTCGGGAAACATTGACTATACCTTAGTTCCAGAATCCTTGACTACCGTAACCGCGACGCTTCGGTGCAAATCTTCTTGTGAGCTTGAGCTGGACGACATGCCTGAAGAAAGTTTAGAAATATTTCTAGTGAAAATTGATCCATTGATTGATATTTTCAAAAAGGCAGCGAAAAAAAAATCTTCTCAGAAACGGCCTGGACGAAATTTTACAGCAGGTTATAGCGCTCTCCACTGATAATATCAGAATTAGCTATCAAAAAAAAATTGAGCTTCTTGGTCCGATTTTCAACTAGTTCTCTTGCAAACCGATATTCCATCATTCCATGCACTCTTTTGAGCTTTCAATATTTTTTGTATTTTCTAATTTCCGTTACTACTTCTTTGTCCTTTTTAATTCTCCAGTGCGAAATTTGGAATCTTATCTACCAATAATTTCCATGATATAGTCCGTTTTTCGCGACTATGCGAGACTTCTCTGCGCCCTCCTCGTCTCTCGACGTCTCTCTCATGTTTACGTGCTTTTTTCATGTTTCTCTGACCTCGCCGGTGAGGGAACAGAGAGACGCAGACACGCGAAAACTGTCACAAACTATACCACTCAAAGATGGCACAAAAACGGACTTTGTTGCTTGGCAGGAGGCTGCCGAAAAGGCTTATTCTCCTGAAGAGGCGACGGCAGCGGCTGTCCGAAGCGCTGGTCTGACGTCGGCGAGTTCAAACTTCCGTTTTTCGGCCGTCGTGGCTCGTTGATGCCAATGTCCCGATGCAGCTGAACCTCGCCCGTCGTCTTGGATACTGCAAAAAAACTCATCCGGTGCATGGGTTTTCGTGTGGGAATGTAACAACGAATCCGGAGAAGTTTAAAAGTCAGAGAAGAGATCTACTCTTGTTAAAAATTGAAAGCACCCGTCCATTATCGAGAAAAAGACGACCCCCCCCCTCTTCGGGAGATTTGAGAAGAACTGTAGGATTACTGTAACCTGATCGTAATGATACAACCATAAGCTCTAGTGCGTCTACTAACTAAAAAAGCAGGCTTGAAGAAAAATTCCAAGAAATATCTAGGAAAAATAACGATTTCTACGGTGAGTAAGAAGTTAAAATAGTTGCAAGCTACAAAAATAGGAGCCAAAATTAGTAACTATAAAATCAAGCCGCAAAAAATGAGCCCTTCCATTTTTTTAAATACTTCATTCGCCACAACTTGAAACACTCTACCTTGTCTGCGCTCTCTTTTTTCTCACTCTCTCTTCAACAGTTTCTAGCTATCGTTGAATGAAAAATTAAGCAAAAAAAGTGTTATAAGCTCAATTTTCGCATCTTTAACTTTCTCATGGAAATGCAAAAAAAACCTCCAGAAAACTCCTCGTCGTATCGATAGTAGGGCTGTCCTTGTGTCGTCATCTTCTGGTCGCAAAATCCAACGAATCGAGTTCCACACAAAAAACCGTGCTGAATAAAGCGTCGTCGAGCGCTGCCAGGAAAAACACAACAACAAAAAGTCTCTCGAAGCGAAAAAGAACACACGATGGGGGGCGTGGCCACGTGAAATGGTATCTCGAGGCAAACAACATGCGTTCAAGGGGCTCTTCTAGTGTTTATTCTCATGTACTATACTACTGTGAGTCACTCGGAAGGTCGCCGTGTTAAAGTAAAAGTTAGAAAAAGAAGTGAGATCCGATTTTATTTTTTTAAATTGATTTTCTGAGTTTTTTTTTTAAATTTCAGAAACCTTGGAAGTCTTTAAATATCACTGAAAAAGGCCCCTCACTTGTAGAATTTGAGTAAATTTGTTCATGGTCCCTAAAAAAAGTTCCAAAAAACCCCCGAAAACAGATCAGACTGTAGAAGAACATGATAAAAATCGTGGAAATCTCGAAAAATGACAATGACGATTCCAACGGTCTACTTGTAATTTCATGAAAGATATTTACTTTTAGAGAAAAAAAAGGGGTGTGGAAGTGATTTTTCCATTCATATTCCAGATAAAATGGAAGGCTCCAAAAATCGCTTCACAATTAAGAGAAATGGATTAATCGATAAAGCTTCCAAGGCCATTACGAACCGTGAAAATTCCAATTTATCGCCAAAATTCAACTGAATCGAAGAAAAAGGGAAAGCTCATAACTCAGGCTCTCAAATCACTAGGTTGGAATATACAATCAAAAGAAGCGCAATTAATTGCCCCTTGCTCTTCGACAGGATTATTGATTGAAATGAAAAAAATAAAAAAGAGAGCAGAATGAGTTTCGGAGGTAGAGAAGGCAGGAAACGTTGGGAAATGGACTGGGAAACTACAAATATGAAAAAGAATCGATTTTTCTTTCAGTCGCCCTATTCCGTTTTTTTTTTTAAATTGTGTTTTGATATATTCTCTGTTTCTCTGGTGGAATCAAACTTATGGGAAAAATATATCAAAAAGCGAAAACTATTTTCAAACTCACATTTTTGCGAATAAAAACGGAAATTGAAAGCCTTGGCAGTTTTTCAAAAACCTCAGGATATTCTCAAAGCACGTAACAAATTTTTTGAGCCGATCGCCTATTAATTCAAAAATCTAAAGTCCTCCTGAAAGCTTAAGAAGAAGCTGATTGATTTTTGAAACTTTATAAAAAAGTGTAAGCGAGAAAGTTTTCAAAACCGGGATATAAATGCCCAAAATATATAGGAAGTTTCAGTGGGGCGAAGATGGTTCGGAAACGTAAGCTTCGAAGTAAACACCCGGGGCCACAACTTCACGCACAGGAAGAATAAACACAGAGGGACGGCTCCTCCTCATTGTTCCTTTTATTTTCCAAAACTCGGCGAGAAGCCTTTTTCGTTGGTTTTGTTACAGTTTATGTGGTTGCGAAACATGTGGTGACGGTGGAAATAATGTTATTTTTGGTACTGTGATGACTCAAGGGAGGTACTTGTGAAACCAATGAAATTGGTTAGTGGTACGGTAACCAATTGGCTTTCGAAACTTTTTTTGGTCGGTAAGGGGGTGTAGGATCGTTTACAAGAAGAGGATACGCTTTTTGTGCATTTCGAATTCGTTACAAAAAAAAAATCGATTTCAACAAATTTTTCAAGAAAGAAATTTCATCGTCGTTCTCGGGCAAAGTCGGAATGGTAAATAAAAGCCGCTAAAAGGGAGAGGCTCAAAAAAGGTCGCAAAATGGCAGCAAAAAGAGTCCCTCTATCGAGCTTTCCATTTTTTCTAGAAGTTTAAAGACTCAGGAAATGGTGGAAAAAGAGAGAGGGAGCAAAATTGGTGCTTACGAGCCACAAAAAGGCTGCAAAAAGAGAGCCTTCGTCACCCTGAAAGGAACTTTTCTGGAACCTTGCAGAAGCCTTTTTGGACCCTCGGAGAGCCCTTTCGACTTTGGTTATATTTGTTTAAAAGGTTTGCCAGTAAAATTTTACGAATTATTTTTTGTAGGGACGTTTTTAATGTTTCTAAGCTAAACCTTCATTGCATGAAAAACAAGTAACGAGTTTCAAGAAATTTCGGACTATTTCGGAACATTTTCAGAACCTTTCTACACCTATTCAGAACATACTGAAAGCATTAAAAGATACAAAACCCTTTGATCCAAAAAAAAAGAAGCGAAAAAGAGGGCAGAAGACGGACGGATGAAAATGCCAGAGGAAATTGTGTGCACAGATGGCTCGCCGCTTCTGACTCACGCAACTGGTGACGTCATCTTATGAATTTTTGCAGCCGACTGAAAACGGCTTGGGTCGGGCAGAATTCTTCAACTTTGAAATGCACAACGGCAAGTGGAAGCGATGAGACGAGGATGCGTCGAAAATTGAATTAAGCAACGGGGGCAAATGAGAAGCGATGAAGGCACGAAAACGGCCATTTTGCATCGTCTAGCAACGGAAACAACTTGGAAATTTGCTTTTTTCGATATTTTCAGAGCAGCAGTTTCAACCTAGAGAGTTTTTAACGGCTGGTAAACCAAAAAAAAAGTACAGTCTTTCTTGAAATTTGAAAAATGTATCTAGTTTTTGAAATCTATTGTCAGTTCATAATGACAACTTCTTCAGCGAGCTCAAAATTAAACGGAAATTTGAAAAGTTGAAAAACAGCAGGTGAATCAGGGAAGAAATTGCAGCGTAAAGACCAAACGAGAGCGTTGAACAAAAAAAGAAAGGCTCTGAACAAAGCTGTGAAAACCAAACTTGAGGAGCGTGAATCGTTACTCTGGCTGACGAATTCTGAAACCTGAGCCGTTTGGGTTTGATGTTTTTCAACATAACTCCTACTGAGGGAAATTAAAGCATTCTACTAAGAATAAAGGTTCCACATATTATTTAAGACCCGCAACAAATTATCAAAAATTCCTTCGCTTGTTCGGCCTCCTACATTTTTCGCTATAATAGAAATTTTATTTTTTCTTTTCAAAGTTTTATATTCCAATTATGGAACATTCAAAAAAGAAAAAATAGTGCGCACGACCGAAAAAATCGTTAAAAACAGACAAGATCAATTTCGTTTCACTTTTCTGTACGACACTCCGCTGAAACGCAAGCAAATGGAGTGAATTTTATATGAATCGAAAGAGGTAGATTCACTTTTCCTTTCCACCAAGTTTCTTTAGAATCGGTTCAGTATTGCGCTTTTACGAAAACAACAAACAAAATGACCAAAAAATGCCATTCACCATTGCAAAAAGGGGCATGGCCTTGTGGTCTCTACGTATTATTCCATAAAATAGACCAAGAGTCATGAATCATGAACTCCGTTACAAAAATTCGAAAAAAAACTTGATTTTTTTCAGAGTACATAGTGAACTGAGATGCTTGAAGGGATATATTCGATTTTCTGGCCTCTTGAAGTTTTGATGATAGAAAAAGCTGAACTGAGTAACGCTACATAAGATGTTTCTAGCTCTCCAAATCCAACAAAAAAGGAATTTCAAACTATCCAGCACCCAGTAAGCCGTCCACCACCTTCTCCACAACGACCTCAGGCTGGCCATTATGGAGATTCAGCATAAAAGGCGCGTCGGAGTGGAAACCAATGTGAAATGAAGGGCGAACGGACAGTTATACCGCAAGCGAGAGAATGGATCGTCGGCCGCAAAAACGAGAAGGGCCCGTGACAATTAACATGATACTTGTCGTACGTCGGTCTCTCGTTCTTTTCCTCGTCCATACAAGGCCACACTTCAACTATTGTATACGTGAGGGGAATACCGTCATGGATGTCATTTCGTGAAGGTGGGGAGAGGTGTTGGAGAAGCAAGAAGTTGTGTCTTCTTAGGAATGCCAGAGTGGTCCCTATAGGGGTGAAACCAGGGTGTAGGGTCTGAGCACATAGGCCCTATAGCTTGAGTGGTCGCTATAGGGGTTTAGGGTCTGACTACTTAGCCCCCCAGTGGTCCCTATAGAAGTCGTTCAAATTTTATTCAAAAAATGTTGTTTATATAGTTTTTCGCATTGAAATGCTTCTTCGCATAGAGTACATAAAAAATATCGACTAGGACTTCCCTACAGTGACCACTTTCGCAAGCTTTCGTGAACCCTATAGGGGTTATTAAAGGGGTCCCTTAAGAGTTCATAACAATATTCGACGGCCGTGCGCCCTATAGGGGCTACTTTACAAGATTTAATGGCCCCTGTAGGGGTTGGTAAAGTGGTTCTTAAAGGGTACCTTCCAAGAATCCCTATGGTTGCCCCTATAGGGACCACTCTAGAGTTCCTAGGTTAGTCAGTATCGGCCAGGAGCTAGAATTTTTGATTCCCAACAAAAATTGGAGAAGCAAAGAAGGTCAAAATTGACTGAAAAATTGTAAAACTGTCCGTTGAATTCTCCTGTTTTTCAAGAAATTTTGAGCTCCAACAAAAATTCTGGAACTAAAAATTTACCATGATAAAACTGAAATGAAATTTCGTACTTTTTGTCTATAAATATTGAACGAAGATTGAAAAAATGGACAAAGTCCAAGAATTGACCAATCATTGTCCTACAATGTCGCTACTGACATAAATCGGCTTTAAAATCTCACAGCTCAGCTTCTCCATAATCCCTCTTAAGTGGCCACTCTTCAAGTTAACAATACGAGTCCAGATATCCTATTCAATCTTGTTATGAAAGAAAAAAAATAGAGGAGAGGGTAGAGAGAGCCGAAGAAGTAATACATGATTCAGGGGATGTCGACACGACATGTCGGATTGGCGCAACACAATTGATTCCCAGGACATTCGGAAGCCTAGAGCATCTTCTCCTTTCATAAGAGCTGGAAGTTGCTGGGAAAGTTTTTAGTGGCCACCATAGGGTTTTGACGTTTTAGTGGCCACTATAGCAGTCAAATTAGTGGCCACTTAAGGGGTTAAAAATTAGTGACCATTTTAAAGGTCTAAGTGCTACTACTAGACCACTGAACATTTCAGTGGCCACTTTAGGGGTTAATGGACCAACATAACTGGTCTAATCGGCTTGTTTTATAATTATCAGAGTTAATGGAAGGAATACTGAAAGAAATATACTGAAGTGGTCACTAAATAAAGAACCTCTATAGTGGCCACTAAAACGGAAAATAGTGGCCACTATAGAGGTGGGTTTGGTGGCCACTTTAGTGTCCTTTCCAAGTAGTCGTTGGCAAGCCTCTATAGTGGTCCCTAAAAATTTTCCCGGTGGAACTTGAAAATTCAAGCTCGGAATCAATCGATGAGAAATTTAGCGAGTTTTCAACCTTCTCAAGCTTTTTCTGTAATGAAGGGAAGAAGTTTATTAATTACTCTTTTATTCAAAGAAAAGGTATATATTTATTCTTTCAAAATTAAAATTCATCTAGATGTTTTTTAGCGGATTTTCGTACTCAAAAACATAAAAGAATTGTGAAATTTATTGTTTTCTTTGTTTGCAATTAGGCAGGCTGGAAAAGTCGGTCGGTTCAATCACAGTTTCAAAATGGCAATTTTTTTCGAAAAATTTTTCAAGTTTTTTTCAGTTCTTGATTGTTTAAGCGTCCAAAATGCTCAGATTTTTGTTTGTGGTTAAGTTTTAAGTTTTAAAAAACCGATTTTTGTGTTTTCTCAAAAAATTTGATGTCAAACCCTTTAATTTGGCCTGAAATAGAAATGTTTCAAGTGCGAAATAGTGTTCATTAATATCTAAAAATCATTTTTTTCGGCGAAAATGGAAAATTTCAGAAAAAAGTGAAATTTTGTAAATTCGGAACTGTCTTATAATGAAGAAATAGGTACTTCGAAACCGTTAGAACCCTAATGAAGCCCAAAAAACTTTTCAAAATTTGAAGACTTGAAAAAATAGGCGCAATAAAAATGTTCTCGTTCTTTTTCATGGTTCATGGTTTTGATGATCTGGAAGTAGAAAAAAAATGGATTCCAATTCATTTAGAAGAAGTTTTTGGAAGATCGAGAAGATCAGGTTGATAAAAAATTGTAGGAAGCTCGAATTTTAACGAAATGAGTTAACATACAGTACATAAAAAAATTGTGATAAAAGTTATGATTTTCCATTCTAATATTCACGAGGAGGGTCTAGGAATGCCGTGAGGCTGGCTTCAAAACCAGGACCGCAAAATGCAGAAGGCTTTACCGTCTGTACAGTACCCTGTCTCTAGAAACGAATTTGGTTTGAAATCAACAGTTGGACCCAAAAAAAAACAGTTAGAAGACGTCAAAGAGGCTTAAAACATTGCGAGCTGACGGAAATAGTAGCCGCCGCCAGCCGTTCGACGAGCAAATATCCGGCGAGGCGTGCTGCTGCTGTCGAAAGCTCGCAATGACATGGGACGAAATGCATTTTTGCCGTGCCCCCCGAGTATGGCAGCCGACCAAGATTTATTGGCTTCGCGCCAACTCCGCCCCCTCAAGGACCTACTTTCCAGTCTTTTGTTCTGATCAGAAGATGAATTCATTCTGGTGATATGATGGATTTGCTCCAATGAATCTCGGGCAAAGTCGGAATTGTGGATAATGGCCGAAGAAAAAGGGAAGGGCTCAAAAAAGGTTGCAGAAAGGCAGCAAAAAGGTTGCAAAAAGGCCATAGAAAGGTAGCAAAAAGGCAGCAAAAAGGCCGCAGAAAGGCCGCAGAAAGGCAGCAAAAAGGCAGCAGAAAGGTAGCGAAAAGGCTGCAAAAAGGCAGCAAAAATTTTCAAGGATCAAGAAATGATGAAAAAAAAGGGAAAGGCAGCAAAAAGGTTGCTTAAAAGCCGGAGAAATGGCGCAAAAAGGCAGCAAAAAGGGACCCTTTGTCCGCCTAAAAGGAACATTTCTTTGGACCCATTTTCCACCCTTTCCGACTTTGCCTATGGGCCAAAATTCTATCCATTTTGAATATTGGCTATGAAATAACAGTTCTGAGGAAAGTGAAATGATAGAAAAAATAAAAATCCAAGAAAACGATGAAGAAATCGTTGCAACGAGAAGAAATGTGTCAATTTTAAGTCGATTTGGTGAATCATCTTATCAGCCTGTTAGGAGAACTGGAACTAGAATCATCTAGGAAGTGACTAATTTGAAAAAAACTCCAGGAATATTTCAACATTCGAATCAATGCGATTCAAAAAATGCAGAAAAAATGGAGAGAGGAGAAGTGTTCGAGAGAAAGAAAGTGTAAGAAGTCGTCAAAAGAAATTGGTCGATTAATCAGGCCGATTGCCATGTTTTTGAAACCACTCAGCAGACTTTTTTTTTGTTTTTTTCGTTTTGCAGCTTTTTTCTATGGAAGAGATACTACATGATTTGACCGAAAAGAACAAATTTTTGATATCCTTAGCGATAAATCCTGTAAGACTGCAAAGAACTACTGACAGCCGGGCTGGAAATGGAAGAAAATTAGCAGAAAAAGGCGGCAATCAGGTCGGTTGGCAGTGAATTGAGTGATCTACTTCCATCAGCCGAGACGTCTCAAGGACGTTTGCCCCCCGACGCGTCCGTAATTTGCGATTTTCCGACCCTCTTATCTCTTTATCTGTTTTATCTGCTCACCGATCAGCACTAAATTCATTATCAATGTTTATCAGGTTCAGATTTCAACTAGAATAATCGGCTAAAATTTGAGAAAGGAGAACTTAGGACCTCCAGAGTGATCCCTATAGGGGCAACCATAGGGTCCTTGAAGGTTCCCCTTTGGGGGTCACTTGACGTCTCTCTACAGCCAATAAAGCTGAAAAAGTGGCGCCTAGAGAAAGGAGAACTTAGGACCTCCAGAGTGATCACTATAGGGGCAACCCTAGCGGTCCTTGAAGGTTCAACTCCGGGATCACTTGACCTCTCTCTATAACGACCACTAAAGCTTGAAAAAATGGCCCCTATAGAGGACGTGATAGACAATCCTTTTTACGAAACAAGCATTTTTTAAAAATATCAACAGAGGATGGTTTGATCATTTAATTTTCTAAGATCCTATAGGGACCACTTGAGCTTTGTGAGCATATGGTTCAGATCCTCAACCCCTATAGGGGCTTTTTTCTCCCTGATCCCTAAAGGAACCACTCTGAAGTATTTATGAAGCGTCGTCCGCGAAAAACTCAATAAAATCAACGTTATTCGAATAAAAAATAACAAAGATGATTTGATTAAGTTTGTCTTTTTTATTTTCAAAGACCCTATAGGGACCACTTGAGCTTTGGGAGCTTGTGGGACAGATCCTCAACCCCTATAGGGGCTTTTTCCCCCTGATCCCTATAGAGACCACTATGTTGTTCTTAAGAAGCGCCGTTTATTCTCACAACTTATCAAATTTCAAAAAATTACTGTTTTCCGATTATCATTTGATTTCTTTCAACTTCAAAAAAATGAAAGATTTTTCTGTAGAAAAAGGAAAAATTCAGAAAGTTCCATTAAAATCGCAAAAGATAAAGATCTATACGATGGCTCCTTTGAATTCGAAGAAACGCCTCGTTTTGGCGGACGCTGCCGAACCGCCATTTTTCGGCCAATTTTTCAACTGTCAGGGTAATTTAGCACAGGACAGCGTTGAGTGTTGGAGATGGGAAGAATTGATTGTGAAAAAGCGCCGAAATTGTTGAAATACAGTGATTTTTCAATCAGCGGGTCTTGAAGAAAATTCACACATAGGCAGAGTCGGAAAGGGTGGAAAAAAGTTCCATAGAAATGTTAATTTTAGAGTGACAAAGGTCTTTTTTTTTGCTGTCTTTTTGCGGCCTTTTTGCAACCTTTTTTCTGCCTTTTTGCGGCTTTTTTGCTGCCTTTTTGCGGCCTTTTTGCTTCCCTTCTGCGGCCTTTTTGCTGCCTTTTTTAAGCCTTTTTGAAGCCTTTTTCGAGCCTTTTTTAAGCCTCTCCCTTTTACCGACTTTGCCCGAGCAGTAACTTCATTTTGTGACGAATCATCTATAAACTAAGTGGGCGAAGACTTCTAGTATCAAAATGACGCTTTTTCCGATTCTCTTGTTTATACAGCACTTGAACGCCTCTCTGAGACTTTGATTAAAGAAAAATCGACATTTTTCATCCCAGGGCTCAAAACCAAGGCTCCCTTTCTCTTTAAATGTGAAAGGGACATAGAAAATCAACAATACAAAAAGAAATATACTAGATTCAAAACGGAATTGTCACAAATTTCAAAAAAACTGTAGAAAGAGGCCATTTTTTCTGGGAGGATCCTAACTTCAGTAGATAGGAAAGTATGTAAAGACAAAAAAAAGCTCCAAAACAGCCCAATATGGGTTGGTTTGGTTGTTCAGAACCAAAAAAAATTATTGCGGACTAATCCGATTAGCGCATTAGTCGTACTTCCAAACGGTAAATTCCTCAGTTTTTCCTGTTTCCGAGGATTATTTTGAACTCACTTTATATAAATCAACCTAATCTTTCTCGATATGAGAAGCTGGAAAAATGAATGCCTATTTAATTAAACTCTCAAAATCCTTAGATTAAAACTCCTTTTTTTGAACTCATTAATATTCAAAAAGGAAACTGAAACTCCGTAGAAAAATTTCATTGTCTGGCAGAAGAATATTCGTAAAAAGTGGTACCTTCAGGCCTCTCGTTTTTTGCAAAACGCGACGAAATTTTTGAAGCGTTGTCCACACGTCAACCTATCATTGGGCGGGGCTCTAAAAAACTTGCGTGAAAATATATGAAAAAAAATTGGAAGAACTCGGAAGCTTGACGAGATTCTGAAGGATTGCTGCTGGAAGCCGTCCTCGTTGAAGCCGTCGCTTGGAGGTTCCTTTTCATCATAATCTTCTGGTTTGTTGTCGTGTTGCTGGTGATCTGAAGGTGTTCACAATAAATCAGAAAACGTTTTTTTTTGCCCCCACGACGTTAAAAAAATTTTGGGGCTAAAATTCAAATCGTATGTACGCAGCCAAAGGCAATCGAACAAACAAGTTATTAACGTTGAATACTCAGTATAATTTGTGACGTAGAATGACGTCATTTGATCCGGAGCGCCAGTTACTTTTTTTTTTGTAAATTCTGAAGTTTTGACGCCCCGCTTACCATTAGGAATGCCGTGGATCTCGGTTGAACCTTTCGTGAAAATTTACTAAAGTGACCTCTTGATTTCAAAATAAGTGAAAGAATATTTTTCGCAACAGTTCTGGTTTTCTAGTTAAGACGCTTCAAAAGCTTGAAACAGAACATTTTTTCTTTTTCTAGAATCAGAAGGTCCTAAAAGAGGCTTCAGCAGGGAATCAAGGACGTTTTAAACAAAAAGAGATTTAAAAGAGGTTTTCCTTTTGTTAAAAGTCTATTTCTGAGCTTTCTTCTACAGATATAGATTCAAAAATTTCTAGCAGTTTTCAGTGAATTTTCAGTTTGAGTAAGACTTATACGCCTTCAATAAAATCCAGCAGGAAACTGTCAAAAAAACTAGATTTGAATAAAATAATTAGAAAAAAATGGTACTACAGATCAAAAATCTTCTCATTCTCATTCTCTTCATATCATCCCAGCTTATCAGATATCTCTTGGAGCCACAAAAAAACTCAAAATCTGAATTCGAAGAAAACCTGCTCAAGTTGAATGGAACCCAGACCGCAGGTCGACACAAGCAGGACAAATGTTGATAACGAGGTCAAAAGCAGGAAACTGTACTGCTTTAGAGTTTCTTCTGAACAAAAATCATTGAAGAAAATTCAACAAAAACCAACCTAGAGAAAGATTTTTCGAATACAATAGTAAAATAACACATGCGCCAAAGGAAAGGTTGCACAGGGTGCCGAAAAGTATGATACAGACGAACTCGCGGTGGTTCGATCTGAAGTCCGTCTGTTGATAAGGGAAGGATTTTACTCGAAAATTCATAAAATGCATCTTTCCTAAGTTTACCTATTTTCTTTTATGTAGGATTGTTAAGCATAGCCGATTGTATGTTTCCCCCAATTTTTTCCCAAATCGGTACAAGAAAAACTGTTTTAAAATATAAAAAAGAACCAAAATGCAACGAAAATGACGAAGTTTTTTGAACAGCGAAGTGGGCGTGGCTCTGCGGTCCCTACCTGTAGGACCCCCTAAATCTCAAACTCCCTTTAGGACCCACTACAACTTTTGCTAAATCATTCCAAAAATCTCAACGTTCTATTTTCCTGTAACAAATGTCTCAGAAAGCTCAGCGTATTATGAAAAATTGACTCAGGAGCATTTTTTCTCGGAGAACTAGGAGCAGATTAACATTTTCAGTAGTCTAGAGTGGCCAATTTTCGGAAACTTCCGAGGCCAAAATTATCATTTTTCAGTCTTTCTCAAGTCGCTTTCCTTTTAAAATAGGCTTGTTTTATGCATTAGTTATGCAGTTTTTATGAGACCAGGCAGAAATTAAGATACTTCCCCTCCCCCAAACTTCAAAAGTCTAAATCAGAAAACGGGTGGGAAATACCTGGTGATACACCGGTTGAGCCAAGGACAGTGATGGTCAAAGTCGCGGACGCAACTAAAATCCAAGTTGAAGGCTATTTTTTAGAAAATACGTTACTGGTCGCAGACAGAGCAGTGCTTGGACTCGGCCGGCCTTGGAACCCAGCAAGTGAAGCAATAGATCGGAGTTTCGGCGAGGTCTGAGGTCTCTACCATTTGAACGTATTCTTCTCGTGCGTTTTTTGGCGGTTCGATCACTCCGTCATTCATGAAGATCGTTCTGGATATGTTCATTCTTATTATGAATCATACTCAGGTAAGAATTTGGGAGCTTCAGCTTTCGGTTCCTCGGAAGGCGTTGGAAGCTTACCAGCAAGTCGTCACATACCAATTATAGTTTCGAAAATTGGCCGTTCGACCAATATTTTTTCAACATGTGATAATAAATATTCATTGGTCGAACGGTTGGACTTTCAACATTTCAACAAGTCGCTTCAGAGTGACATGTTGGTTTTTGACCGTTCAAAATGTCACTCTTAAAATGGTCGGTCGGTTTCGTGAATTTCAGGAACTGGTCAGTGAAACGAACAGTCAGAAGAATGACATGTTATAACCGTTCGAAAACTGAACGGTCAAATCAGTTGAACGGTCTAATTGGTCGAACGGTCAAATTTTAGAACCTTGGTACCAATCCAAACGCCTCCTAGTTATAGTCTGTTCAGATTTTGAATGTCAAGCAGCAAACTCCGCCCCCTACAACGCTCTGTGGATGGCTCGTTCTCTGATTGGTTTGATCTACGCATAAGGGGCGGAGTTTGAGAGATGACTTGACCTTCAAAATCTGAATAGAAACTTCCAGAAGCCTGCTGGAAGTATTTTAGCGACATTTTTTGGATTCTACCTTCCAAAGGACTTGCAACTAGCTTCTTAACACCTTCCCAAAGTCTTCTCAAAACCTTCAACCTCCTGCTGAGAGAGGTCCCTATAGGGGTTCCATTAACCTTCGCAGGATTTGTCTAAGTAACTATTTGGAACTGTTTAGCTTGTTTCCTATCGAGGTCCTATGAAAATGAAAGCAGACCAAAAAACCAAAGCACAGAGAAGTCAGGCTATTTGAGGAACAAACTTAGTGAAAAAGAAAGTCGTGCTGGACCAGAATATCAAATAGACCACTTGTAAGATGATTGGAGTTTCATATATGAAGTAGGCGGCCCTGAAGAAAAATAAGTCGATTTGAGGGATTATTTCGCAACACGGCTTGTCTGTGGCCGCACTTGGAATGGCTTTACTCGTAGAGGTTTTGAACTTCGCGCCGTTATAGCCTGTGTACCGCGAATTGGAATTTCACCAAACGACATTCCGCTGTGCCGCCGCGCGCCTTTGTGAACCTTGGTCGCGCTTTTGATTATTTTTTTTTTTTTTGCTTTTATTAAGGTAGTTATTTCCATGTGCTCCCACAGCAATAAAAATCAATTGAAAGCGTGATTTAGATTCGAAAGACGCTTCGCGAACGCACGCAGCGGAACAGCGGAATGTCGTTCGGTGAAATTTCAAGTCTTAGTACACGACTATAGTAGATATTTGAAGGTAAGCGACACCTGTAATGCAAAGTCTGGAGTCTCGACTTGGACCGCTACGCGACCGCGCCGCATAGAGCCATTCCAACTGCGGGAGAACAAAGCAACAAGCTCACCAACAGACGAAAATCGTGACTCCGTAGGAAAAAATGTATCCGACTGGTAAGAGATAAGTCCTCTTCAACTCGATCTTATTCAGTATTACAACTGAAAAGAGCATCAGAAGAATCAGAAGGCCGAAGCCGATCGCGTAATGTGTCAGGACGAAAACGGCTCCAAAAACGCCGAAAAGAAGGGCTAAGATTCAAAAATTCGCAGATTATTTCAGGCTGGACAGACCAGGAAGGAAAAATGTGCAAGTCTTGAGAAACAAGTCGGGATCCATCATGCAAATCTCATCGTTGTAATTCCGATCAAAAATCGCTGAAATGAAAGTTTTTCTTCTCCTTGTCAGGAAAAAGAGTCGAACCGAGCATCATTTTGTTCTTCTGTTCTTCTGCCACCTCCAAAGGTGTCTTGCCTTTTTCGTTGGCGATTTCGGGATTTGCTCCGCCTTTCAGAAGTTCTCTAAAAAATCAAAGAATAATTTTTAAAGATAAATTCTTAGTACTCAGCCGCCGACAAGTTATTCGCCTGAACGGCAATGTGGAGGCAGGTGTCTCCCTGAAAATTGAGTTACTGTGGTTGATTGAAGGTTGGATACCGTAATCGGGTCGGCGCTGTCGACGTCAGAACCTTCGTCGATGAGCAGCTTGATCGGGAACATGCCAAACGTCGACTTCGCCGCCAACATCAATGGGGTCCGGCCTGAAGTTGACTTTTTCTTATAGTCTGTGTACCAAGACTTGGAATTTCACCGAACGACATTCCGCTGTGCCGCTGCGCGTCTTTGCGAACCTTGGTCGCGCTATTAATTTTTTTTTCTTTTATCAAGGTACTCTACTTTCGTGTGCTCCCACATCAATAACAATCAATTGAAAGCGTGACCTAGATTCGAAAGACGCTTCGCGAACGCACGCAGCAGAACAGCGGAATGTCGTTCTGTGAAATTTTAAAACGTGGCACACAGACTATAAAATCAAATCAAATCATTTGAGCTTGAAAAGAGGTCAATTGAGGACAGTACTGTCGAAAAAAAACTCGAAACAGTCGCCACAAGATCCTGACCAGAGCTCTGCTAGGTGCAAGATGTTCCCATTGCAAAAAAATAGAGGAGGCTATTAATAAAATTCCAAATTTCTTAACTTTTGCTGATGGGAAAGAGATAATTTTATTCGAAAAGATGGAAATATAGTCCGTCGGCCGCGACTTGACACTCTTCGAATGTCTGCGTCTCTCTGTTCCCTCACCGGCGAGGGCAGAGAAACATGGAAACAGCACGTAAACATGAGAGGGACGCCGAGAGATAAGGAGGGCGCAGAGAAGTCCCGCCCGCAAAAAACGGACACAAAAAAATCAAAAATTCATGGCTGACAGATAAAGACCATGTATTGGTCGAAAAATAGCAGTTTTTAGATCCGAACTGGACTAACTATACATCGTTAACTATACATTGTCATGGTTTGAAAATGTCTCGCCTCTCTAAACTCTCCTATGTTTACACGCTCTCTCCAAACCGCGAAAACGCGTGAACATAGAATCACCTTTCCTGTCGCGAAACTTCTTGACATCCCCAAACTTGACCAGAAGATAGGCTACTACGGCAGTGGCCGACGTCTGTGCTGCCAGATGAAGAGGCGTCTCACCGTTGATGCTCAGAACTTCGCCACTTGCTCCACCCTGAGGATTATTTGATGAGTAGTTGAGGAAGACTGTCAGCCAGACTTTGACCAGAGCAACAGCGGCTTTCAGGCTTCCAGCGTAGGCGGCCCAGTGCAGCGGCGTCGACTTGAGATCCCCTCCGATGATGTTTGGATCGGCACCGCTGTCGAGGAGTCTGACAACGGGATGGAGTTCTATATGGCGGGGGGTATGTGAATATAGGTCTAATAGATGCGCTGTCTTAAGCTTTTCTCAAACTTTGAATTGGTGAGCTTTTAGCTTCAATATAGGATTTTCAAGCTTTTTCCAGAACCGAGTATTCTAAACCTCTCAATGATGTGCACATGCTGATTTATCGCCGCCCAATGGAGCATGGTGCAGTTTTCCTGAAGATCTTTGGAAGGTATACAGAAATTGGACGAAACCTGATCAAACTGGTTAGGAGAAAGTCCAGCGGAGAGCACCTCATCCAAACCGGCCAGATCTCCGGTCAAGCAGGCCTCCACTCCTTCCTTGATCCCATTATTGTGTTTTTGTCCTAAAAATTTTTTTCGAAATTTATGAAATTTTTCAAAGATCAAAAGTATCTATTTTTTTCATACGAAATTAATTCCAGTGGGAAGGGGGGTTCCTATCTTCACTGATGTCTAAAAACCAGCAACTATTAAACTAGATACCAAGTGAGATTCCAAATATACTCTGTTCAGATTTTGAATGTCATGTCGTAGCTCAAGCTCCGCCCCTAATGGTGGGATAAACCAATCAGAGAGCGAGCCATCTACAGAGTGTTTTTGAATGACGTCATTGCACTCGACATTGAAAATCTAAACAGGCTATAATTTCCTAGTTGAAATCATATGACAACTGTTCTATTTCTTCTGATTCAACTTATTTTTCGGACAAAATAAAAAAATCAAAATTTATAATACAAAAAATCTTCCTACAAAGTTGAAACGTTATTCTCAACGAAAGAACCTCGTAGAAACTCTAGGCGATGGTATATTTTCAACTGTTCCCGTAGGCGAAGTCAGCGACGACAACGCCATCCGTAAAAATGGCGTGATTTCTTTGAAACACGTTAAAAGATTTATTTATTTTATTTCTTTCAGGTAAAGCTAGAACGTGACTTTCGTGCATACTTGGGCCGGCGACCTGGGAAATTTTTTTTAAGAAAACCAGCCTTCTCAATGTTTGAACTTTGAATGAGATGTTAAATATTAATTATCGAAATACTATTCAACTCCAAAACTATAATTTCTCCTATCAGTTGGCTCGCAATTTCGAAGTTCCAGCTCCATACTGTTATCAAAGTTCTTCTATTCAACCTAGAAGAGAAATTTATATTAAAAATCTAAAATTGATGGCACGAGTTAACGAAAGAATAGGAGAACTGTGACTCACACAAAGTAAAAAGAAAAGTGAGACATGAGCCGAGAGTATAAAAAAGAATTCCAAAAAGGGAAAGAGCATTCCGAAGTCATGCAAACCTTCACGCTCATGTTTCTGGTTTTCGTTTTCCTCGGCCTTCTGCATTTCGCCGACGCCGGCACTGTTAGTTTTCGTTTTTCGTTTTCTAGGAAACTTCTCGGGCCTTCGAAACGCGAACGGGACGCGAATCGGACGTGTCGAGAAATTTCTAGTGGCCACTTTAGTAGCCTCAGCTTTCTTAAGGGATCCCTAGAAGCGCTTAGGAAGTCCGGAGCACGTCCGTTTCGCGTTACCAATGTCCGAGTTTTTGTCGTACTTCTTTGACATGGGGCGCCACAACTCTTTCTCTGACATACACTATTTCGTCGTTATCTAGCTGCGAAGAAACGACGAAATAGTGTGTGTCAGAGAAAAAGGTGTGGCGCCCTTATGGCGCTCCATTCTGGAACTGCATTTTGAGCCTAACCAGGGAGCGTTTTAGTCCCCGGTTGATTTTTCGATGGAACTTTTCCGAAATGTACTTCAGGACCTCCTGAGTCTACGACGAGATACAATTTCTCGCAATGGATCTGGTTTCCGAGTTAAGACGCTTCGAAAGCTTGAAAAAGCGCCGTTTTGTCAAAAATTCTTTTTTTGCAAAATTGAAGCTTTATAACTCGAAAAAAAACCTATTGCGATAAATTTAATTTTTTTCTGGGATTAGTAGGTCATTTCCCTAGTAAGTGAACTTTAATCGCATAAAAAGTGCTGTCAGTTTGTGAGCCAATCATTTCAATCTTAAATTCTTTTTTTCAGCTTTTTTTATTCAAAAATATCAGGATATGTAAAGCTTAGTTTATCAGTCTTTGCTCAGTAATTTAACTTGTCAGATTGAAAAAAAACAAATGAAATTAGCAAGAGATCATTCCCCATATACTGGGATCAGGGTTAGGTTTTCTTCAGAAAATTGGTTACGACATAATTTTCGGAAAAAAAAACAATCCGAAATGTATTTTTTAATAGTCCCACTTTTCAGTTGACTTTGGAAGAAATGCTCGCAGAGATGATCAAGTTCGACAAGAAGTATCCTCCTTCCACCAACTCGAACGAATAGAATCGCGAATCTTTTTGAAACCCCAATATGTTCAGGAAAAATTGATTAATAAACTTTTTATACTTTCAAAAGTCATTTTCATTTAAATGTCAGCTATTGTGGGACATTTATTTTTTCCTCTAGCTCAATTATGAACCGACTTTGTTTTTCCATATTTTTCAAAGCAATTTCTGACAGCTCCATCTCAAAAACCATTTGCAACCGCGAAAATAGGAATCCTAAACGAACGGCCCACTTCGACGGATTTCATGGAGCAGAGTGGAGTGCCAAAAAAAGGAATTGAATTTTTTTTTCGGGATTTTCTCTACTCCAACGGTAGCCTTCTTCACAAATGCGCAGATCTCTGAGGCTTTATTTCTATTTGAAGCTAAAGGCATACTGGAAAAATGGAGCTGATTGACCTGGCTAAGCTTCTTTGAGTTTGAAAATACCATATTTTTTGTAAAGAAGGATGAGGCTAGCTGATAGTTGCCGTAATCAACAGACAGCATGGTGTAGTGGTTAGAAAATTAGTCTGAGAAACATACGACCAAAACTCGAGTCCTCCCGGTGCGAATCATATTTGCCATCTTTTTTTTGACGGCTATCCATCCGAACTTTAAAGATAAATATAGCCTTATTCTTAAATAAATTGAGACTTTTTTCAACTTCAACTTCTGCCAACTAGCGGGGAACTTGTTTAGTGGCCACTTCAGAGGTTTTCTATTTAGTGGCCACTTCAGTAGTTTTTCATTCAGTATTCCTTCCAGTATCTCTGATAATTTTAAATAATTAGATTTGACCAGTTATGTTGATTCATTGACCCCTAAAGCGACCACTAAAAATTTTAGTAGTAGCACTTAGTGCCCACTAATTTCAACCCCTTAAGTGGCCACGATATCGACTACTATCGTGGCCACTAAAAAGTCAAAACCCTAGAGTGGCCACTAAAAGTTTTCCCAGTAAAGGAACTCAAATCAGGAACTTTTTCTGGCCGCAGAGGGCGGACTACTCCGGAACAGGCCTAATTTGAGGCGGCCACCCATTCTCTCTAGTCAGAATCTTCCTTTTTTCGGAGTTTTCTCTCTTATTGACTCATTTTTTTGCTTTTTTATAGAACTATAAGAGTTACATCTTGTTTCTAGAAAGTCAAGTATTGACATATTCTATCATTACTTCTCAAAACGTATAAAAAACTTCGACTTTTGATGTCCAAAGTCGGGGAAAATTCCTTTTTTTCCAATTTTTGCAATGAATCTAGTGCTCTTCACGGACCAGCGCTCAATTTTTCCAGAATTTGCAAGCTCGAAACCAACGGAATCATATTTTGCTCCCATTTTTCGCTATAATTCGTTCAACCGGGCAATTTTTATTTCATTCAGGTTTATTTTGTTATCACTGAATCAAAAGACGAAGCCTCGTTACTTTCAAATATATGTTTGATAGAAAAGTTAGTATGTTTTCCGCGCCTTTCCTAATTTATTCATGGTTCCCTAATTGAAATGTTTTTTGAAATTCCTCTAAAAAGTTTTTAAATAAGCTCTCAAATTTAGAATTTTTTTCGCTGGAACCGCGACGTTTTGAGCTACTTTCTGCAGTATTTTTAAGTAAAATCGAGACATAACTCTTCAGCCAATCCAAAAATAAACTAAAATCTCTCAATTCTGCGGAATCATTTCGATCAAAAAATCATGAAAATCCAATAAAGAGCGATGATAAATACTGATAAAGCCTTTTTCGAACGGCATGCTCATTTCCACAAAATCTCTGTAGAGAAGGCAAGCCGGAGACGAAATTGGATTTGAGCGTCGGTAGTTGCCGAGTAAACATGTGTCCCGACGACGGGTGTTATCCAATCGAATCGCTGCTTTCGCTTTTTAATCATTTTTCTCTTGTTTTCCTGTTCTCAATCACTGAAAATGAGTTCAAAAATTGTTTTTCTCTGAGCGAAAAATCGTGAAATGAAACAGGTCCTCTCGCGAATTAAGGAAAGGTACTTCAAAAGGAAGGTCACCAATTTCTCTCATTATGTGAGTGACTTCAAAATTAACTGCTATTTTACTACTTTTTCGCCTTTTCTGCTAAACGCGTAGTGACATCGGAGCGGTTTTGGTTTTGGAGCGCCCGACCTAAAACGGTTTGCGTCCGTTGGGTGATTTGAACTCGGATATTCGTAAGCGGAAGTGCTCCGGACGTTTCTGAGCAATTCTAGGGGTCACTTGAGAGCGCTGACGCTACTAAAGTGGTCACTAGAAATGTACAGAAACGGCCGGAGCACGTCCACCTCAGACTCTCTACTCGGACCTCATTAACAAAAACCGAACGTGACCCGGACGTTTCTGAGCCATTCTAGGGATCACTTAAGAATTCTGACGCTACTAAAGTGGTCACTAGGAAAGCCCAGAAACGTACGTTTCGCGTTACCAAGTTCCGAGAAGTTGATTTGAAGTTAGTTATAGTCATAACGCCCCAAAGCCATTCCAAATGCGACCAGGGCTTTTAAAATTTCAAAAATTCTTTCGAAAAAAAAACTTCAACGACTGAAAAGGTCACGAGAAAATTCGAAAAGTACTCAACAAATTGAGCTTGTTTTTCCTTATTTGTTCCATTTCCATGATGATTTTTCTTCGGGAATTTTCGGCGGCCATTTCTCTCTTGCCGCCGTTGTTTTCCCAAGAGGATCGCCCTCTGCCCTCCTTTATATTTCATTCTTGCCTCGCTGACACTTCTTTCTGATCCCTACGGCCATCTATAAATGATTAGGAAAAGACGTGGGCTTTTCTTATTGATAAAGGTTACAAACTATTTCTGAAACGAGCTTAGAAAACGTCAGGATTTTTGAGAGAGAACCTTTTCGGCCGAACAAAAACCACCTGTTGGGGCAGCTGACCGCTCGGTTTGCGATTCGATAAAGCTTTTCTCATGAATCACACACTTCGGCTTTTGAGAGGTCATTTTCCTTGGATTTTATACTCTACTGGGAAAATTTTTAGTGGCTCGCCAAGGACTACTTGGAGAGGACACTAAAGTGGCCACTAAACCCACATCTATAGTGGCCACTATTTTCCGTTTTAGTGGCCAGGTTCTCTATTTAGTGGCCACTTCAGTAGTTTTTCATCCAGTATTCCTTCCAGTAACTCTGATGGTTTTAAAACAAATTGGACCATTTATGTTGATCCATTGACAACTAAAGTGGCTACTAAAATTTTTAGTGGTCTAGTAGTAGCACTTAGACCTCTATAGTGGCCACTAGTTTTCAACCCCAGATATGGCCACTAGTTTGACTACTATAGTGGCCACTGAAGCGTCAAAACCATATAGTGGCCACTGAAAATTTTCCCAGTATTCCCCGCGAGCTTGAAAAAAAAACCCACGACAGGGATTTCTTGACCTTTTCTTTCCTTTTCTTATTTTGCTAATCTTGTAAAGTGACCCTTACCCGATACTGTCTATAACCAACGATAAATCTCATTCTTTCGATGTTTCTCAAGCTTTACATTGCAAACTATTGATATACTGCTCGCACTTTGTTTTTTGCTCGAATCGTACAGATTTCCTAATGAAGTTTACCCGACTTCTTGGCCACCTGGCTCGGTTCTGGTTTGTTTCTCTAACACCTGCGCTTCCAAGAAATGATGTCGTTTCATTTTCGGCTATTTTTTCCGCTCGATTTCGTGCCAAAGGTTCACCCGAGTAGCGTGTGAACCAAAAGAAAGTCCTGCCATTCTTCTCGGCAACGTGAAAAAAATTCCATTTCCACCTATTTTTTTTTGTCACCTGTTTTTGGTCAGAAAATGGAACTTCTTCTTTTTCTCGACTGACAGACAGACCAGACTTAATCGAATTGGCGGCAAAATCGAATTTCAACAAGGGTTTCCTCTCAAGTTCGCCATTTGATTGTTTCTCATTAGCGTTGCTTTTTTCTTTCTTGAAGTTCTTTTAATTAACTAAATATCACGACGGCTTGAAAGGTCGTGGCCGCACGTGGAATGGCTCAACGCGTCGGGATTAGATTTCTGTTTGAACTGTGATGTTATTTTTTTAGATTATTTTTGGTATCTCGAGAGAATAAAAAATAAGAGGATCTTTTTACGATAATTACGTGTACTGTAGAGTACTGAGCTGAAAACTCTTACCGTAGAATTTTAAAAAATCATCTTGTATGAAAGTTTGATAAAAGCGAAACCGCCAAAACAGGTTTCAATACTTTAGGATGCCACACTGCGCAAGGAGTTTTAGGTCCGGCGCTTTTTAATGCAACTTTCTTGATATTTTTATGAAATATCGAAATAACGAACGTTTCAACAAGCAAAAAAAAAGAGAGAAAAAAAACTGGCTTCATTTGAATGCGTGATGTTTTTTTGTTTCGAAAACATACCCCGAGGGTGGAATTATTTGCCTCGTGACTTTTCGCTTCGAAATCGGCATGAATTCATTCAATTTTTTTTTCTAATTATAGACTTTTCAAATTTGAAAACGTGTGTTTTGAGATTTTTCCTGTGTTCGTCTAGCTCTTTGGATAAAAAAAGAAACTTGTAATTTGAGCCAAATCGAAAAAGTCTAATTGCCACGCAGTTCGTGGGAAGACGCAATTAAATAATGAAGCAAATTTTGTTTTGCGTCTTTTGGGCCTCGATTTGAATTCGGAGATTTTTTTCAGGTTTGCTTTTCAGTAGGAAAAAAAGGCTTTTAATTTTCTTATTTTTAAGTATTTTTTTGTAGTTATCGCACTTGGAAAGGCTGAAGCGTGGCGGTCGAACTTCAGTTTTTTTTCTTTGCAAGTAGTTTTGGGTCCTCTTACCTTTACGCAACCGCTCCGTAGACGTTACGCATCGAGTCATTCCCCATGCGATTCTAGTTTTTCTAAAGTCGGCTATACACCAATGACCAAATTATCAGCATCTCTCCCAGTCCACCGAAAAGCGCCTACGTCAGCAAATTAATTCATTCAATTCAACTGCTCTCTCTGATTAATGAGATGATTCAACTGATATTTGCGCCTGGAGAAACCAAAAAAAAGCGTTGCAGTTTCAATGAAAGCCGTCTCTTTCTCCAATCTAATTACCTGTTTCGCGAACTTCGATCTTTAATATTTGCCACGCTTTCCTTCACTCAAATAACAGCCTTTTAGCCGTTCGTATTTGGCTTAAATTACTTTATCTCTGTTCACTGAGCTTTTTATGATGTAAGAAATAAAGTCCACTCAATAAAGCTCTAGGACCACGACACAAATTTATTTATGCGAATCTCGTTCAGCAAATAAAAAATTAACGGGGAAAATGTTTAGTGGCCACTATAGTAGTCGAATTAGTGGGCACTTAAGGGGTTAAAAAACTAGTGGCCACTATAGAGGTCTAAGTGCTACTACTAGACCACTAAAAATTTTAGTGGCCACTTTAGGGGTCAATGGATCAACATAACTGGTCCAATCTGATTTGAAATTATCAGAGTTACTGGATGAAAAACTACTGAAGTGGTCACTAAACAGAGAACCTCTGTAGTGGCCACTAAAACGGAAAATAGTAGCCACTATAGAGGTGGGTTTAGTGGCCACTTTAGTGTCCTCTGCAAGTAGTTTTTTTTTTTTTGGCGAGCCTCTATAAGGGTCACTAAAAATTTTTCCAGTAAAAGATGGTTCCTTGAAAAGAATGTTTTCTAACACCTTTGTAAAGTTTTTGTCTCAAACCTAATATAAATATTCAATTGAAAAAACCTTTAACTGATTATTTTAGCCTTCTTTGATTTAATATATTAAGATCATCTTATTTTTCGAAAAACAATGCCTTTAAAAACTCCAAAAAACCGTCACTACGTTACAAATTTCGAAGGAACAGTGAACTTCCGAAAAAAGTTCTGGAACGAACTATACTTTTTTTACAATCTTGTGCTGAATGGAATGCTTCATATTCTCACAAAAAAGTGAAATCGAGAAGGTCCGAAAATAACTCCATATTTGTCCTCCATCTTTGAGTTTTGAAAAAAGATCAAGTTTCAGAAAAAGACAAGGGTACCTACAAATTGACATCTTCTTATACAAAACGGATGTTTTGTAGTTGTAACATAACCAACGTTAAACCTACTATTATGTTACCCACTTCCGATGTTTATTATGCCTCGAATATTTGATCTTTTCGTTTTTCTAGTACTAAAAAAATAATCGATAACTCCTGACAAAAAAGGCGTTCTAACTGACCATTTCTGGGCAAAACTCACTCTTTTGCGTAACAGCATTTTCACGAGCACATTATCGATGCAAAGCAGGTTTTAACGTTTTTGTTTCAGCCCCAGCCATTTCGAATTGCCTTTACTTCTCGTGCTCGAATAAAAAACTCATTTATGTGATGTTCAAGTTTATTTCTTTGCCACTATTTGGTTTGACTTCCTCCAAGTCTTATTGCCAATCAACAATTAAAAACAAGAAGCGGAAGTTGGTCTGGAATTCTGAAAAAAATTTCTCTGTTTATAGTTGATTCAAAAAAAAAAAAATTCGGCGTCTTCAACTTCCAGTTTTGTGCAGTAGCCTGACAAGGGAGGTCATTTCACTTTGGGAATATCTTGAAATTTGGCCAGAACATTCCTAGGTGTACCTAATGAAGATCCTGATAGCCGCAACATGCCCAACTTCCCAGTTTTTGAGAAATAAGGGTTTAGAGCCCATGAGTAGCTTATTTTTTCCGAGATTCGACTTTGAAACGTCATTACTCAAAAAATATAAAGTTAAGCAGTTTGAGGCACATAAGGTACATTGAGAAGTGTTCTAACCATTTTTCAGAAAATTCCCAACCGAAAAGTAAAACGACCTTCCTTGTGAGTACTTAGGGGATTTTTTAAGAAGCTTCTAGCCATTCCAAATGCTACCCGAAAGCTCTGAATTAGAGCAAATCTATTTCGAAGCTTCAGAGAATATTGAGCTTTCATGTATGCTTTTTAGAGCTCCATTATTTATGATGCCGTTTTTACGGGCTTTTCGCTCTTTAAACTACGTCCATATACGAGTTCTCCTTTTAACCCCGTTTTTTTAATTCACTCTTTTCAGAATGACAGAAAAGCCCATCAAAGGACTGACTACTGTGGTCCCACATGTAGAGCCTGCAGCTCCTCAAATCCCAAACCAAGCCAAAACGAAAAGATTCAGTCTGGTGCCTAAGAACGCGGACCGACGCGTCACTATTCGACCTTACGAAAGCTTCAGGTCGAGATGGAAGAAAGTCTCAATTCGAAATTGTTTATTTCAGAGAGCGGAATGAGAAAGAAACGTCAAAAAGCTACACATTTGGGTACGCTTCGCTGAGCGCCGATTCCGAAGGACGACGACAGAGTCTCGAGGAAGAAGGTTCCTTTTTTCAAATTACTGAAGCGCGAGAAGAAACTGATAATGATCAATTTGAAGAGCTCAAGGATTGAATTTGGAATGTGAAAAATTAAGAAAGTTCGTCAGCTTTTTAAAAGGCAAAGAAAATTTAAATTTAATCCGTCGTCTTTTTTTCAAAGTTAGTTTGATATCTATGCGCCTTTGACATAATTTAATCATTGAAAGCATCCGATTGATATACAACAAGCCTAGAAAAAACTTGTCGATTCTTAGATATTTTCGCGGATGGCTTGAGACAGCGAACGGGCGGTTTAATTTTCGCGGCGAAAGTAGATCATGGCGACTATCTATGCGCCTTCCATAAAAGCCCCATTTTATGACTTATTTATTTTTCACTTATTATTTGTCAATTAAAAAAAAATCTAAAACCCAATATAATGAATGTAAGAAATAATATAAAAACACAGAAATAATTCACCAAATGAGGCTCTTATTAAAGGCGCATGTATGACCGTCATGACCTACCAACGCCGCGCAAGTTAAACTGCCCGTTCGCTGTCCCAAGCCAGCCGTGAACGGGCTATACGCACCCGCCTACCGTAACCCGACTACGGTTGGAGGAAATGGCTCAAAAAGTTATTTCCGCAATCCTGACGTCATTTGATAACACTAGTTGAAATTTCATCAAAATCAAAAAATATTATTTTTTTCTTCTGTACCCGCTGATTACGAACTTGAATGATAAATAAAACATTTTTGACATTTTTTTTTTATATCTTAATTTACTCCGAAACGAGGAAGCAAATAGTGATTCCAGAAGAGCGTTCGGACTCACCAACTCCCTCAGTCTTCTCAATTTACGGAGAAGAAGTCGGCCCATCGACGTCATGCGAACAGCCGGTCGGCGTCCAGGCGGACCTCTTCATCTCTTCCCTAGAGGAGAAGGTTTTGGTTCAATTGAAGAAGTTCATCGAGAACACTCCGCGAGAAGAACACATGTACTTCGTTTGGATCAAGGACTCCAAGACGAAAAAAGTACCCAGAACTGAGAACTTGAAAACCTAACAAGGTGATTTTAGATAACGGTATTATCGCTGAAAACTCTGGAAAACCACCTGAAGAACGACAGCCGGGTTCGGCGAGTCAAGTGGCGTCATTTATCCACAGAACGTGTCTCGATATACCGTTATAGCATACCGGCGATCACTTATGAGGTTGGAATTTTCGCCGTAAAGCTTTTAAAAATATCAACATTTGTTCCTCGGTATTTTGGTTATATCATGCAATTTTTTTTAAATGTATAGTCGATAATATGTAATGAACTCCTCAGACAAAAATTTTTAAACCTTTTTGAACTTTAAGAATTGGAAAAAAAAGTTTTTCTAGTTAATAAATAATTCTGCTTTTTTTAATTATAACGTTCTTTTTATTTTTGAAGAGGACCTTCCCAGAAAAGAAAGCATTGAAAAGGCGTCAGAAGATCTTTCAAAAAGAATTTTTATAAGCTTCTTCTGAACTTAGCTCATGAAGCGCTTTCAAAAAAAAAAAACACCCCCAGGTTCTCTGAAAAAAAATTTCATCATTAGATTATCGAACCTTCATTTTTCAGAACTCCCGAAGGTGTCGAGAGTGCGTCTGCCGTCACAAGAAGCTTTGTCTGCTTTTCGTTTGGCTCTCCTTCGTACTGTTCCTGTGCCTCGTCGTGGTTCTCGGCTCGCTTTCTCCTGATGACAAAACTCATCCATTTGTTCATTACCATCCACGCAACACCACTACGCCCAGTACTATCAACTCCATTGTACCCACCCATCCGTCTATAGCATCGTAGAAACTCGCGTGAATTTATCCCACACATTTTGCTTACTCTTTTCATATATAGGAACTCTCTGATGATTGTGAATTGGGCGCAAGTGAAACACCCCATCAAAATGCAACGGGTTCTTTTTTTAATAATAAAGACTTTTGGGTTTGGCAAGTCTTTGTAAAATCTACATGTATCAAAAAATAGTTAAAATAGCTCGTAACATGGAGAATAATACAAAAAAATTCTTTCTTAATATAAACTTTTTTTGAATAATCCCAAAAAAAGCAGGTCTGCGCGCATATCAAAAATCTTAAAAAAACTGGATAGGCTTCAGAAGAGAAAAACCTTGATCTTTTTTTCTCAAAAATTTTTGTTAATAGTAAAAAAATTATATAATTAATTTATTTTTTTAGCGAAAATAGACTTGATTTAAAAAAAGACTCAATTTAAAGGCGCATGCAAAGGTCTCGAAATGATGACTAGATTTCGAATTCGCATATTCGCGCGCAAGCCTGGAAGTTATTTTTTTCTTTTTTCCGCTGCTTTTTTTAAATTTTTTTCGAAAAAGATATTTTTCACGTTTATTGTTAATTTCAGGCTCAAAACTAAAAAAATTAATGCCGTGTTCAAATTAATTTCGCGAAATGAAAAATTTGACTCTCTAAAAATTTATTTATCTTTTTTTCACTTACTAACGGTTATTTTGGATTTTGCGAAAAAACGGCATAAAGCTCCAGAAATTTTTTTGCGATTTCTTCAAACACAAACTCTCATTTCCAAACTTCTTTTTTTAACGAATGCCTCAACAATTTTCACTCTTTCAGTTCTTTATAAACCACTATCCATAGTTTGGAGCTGTGTCAAACGATACATAAAAGTAGGTCAAGTCTTTCATTAGTATTACAGCATTCTTGTTAGTCCAAGTGCCGGTAAGAAATTTCATGGGTAGAATTTTGCTTCTAGAATTATTTTCTTTTTTTTTCTCGGCATCATGTCTTATTCTGTTAAAGTTTCCATCAAGTTGATTTTTTGAAGGAGCGATGGAACGGCAGAATAGGAACGCTCCAAGCGATAACTCGTCATACCCGTGCAGGAGCTTCAAGGTAGGATTTTGTTATTCTCTCTTCTTGCCGTAGCTCATTTAAAATTTATTTCACTTAATCAAAGACTTGGTACAAGGTTTTTCGAATATTCCTTGAAGGAAGTTGTGTTTCAAGGTGTTATCTTCAGAATGGATACAGAAATGGACCGCCTCAAGGCCGACCATATAATATGAATGCCTTCAATGGAGATTTGTCTCATTCTCCCGATTCTGGTGCGAAACTTCATAAAATGAAGCGTTCATTGAAATATATTCAGGAAACTTTTTTCGATTCTCTCCTCCGACGGATATGAATGAAGGACGTTTTCCAAAGCCGTTGTATGGAATGTATTCTTCTCCATTGATATCTCAAAACGACATCAATTTGATAAACGAGCAATTCATGGTTTCATAAAATTTTAAATACTTGATCTTATTTTTTTTTAGAATATGAATACAAATTCCTCACCCAGAGATTACGGTCACATGCGTAATAATCCAGTTAACGGCTTCATGAACAACGCTCATCGCAATTTACTTTCGTCCGACAGCTATTCTAGTCAAAATTCACGCAAAAGCTCGTCGACCCGTGTCCATTCTAACCGTTCCGACTTCACAAGTGATTATTCATCGTCTAACTACTCTATGAACTCAAATAGCATGTCGCATGCGCGGTAGGCTGACGTATTTATTCTTTGAAGGAACCTCCGTTCAGACCCAACAGTCGACAATGTTTGCTGCCTTCTTGGGCGCTCGATTCTCATGGAAATTTGGACTCTGGAGTTACCGTTCGAATGGTGATTGAAAGAGGCGATCTCGTCAAGTTTGCGATGGACAAAGCTGGTTGCCAGTAAGTTTTTTTTTCGATTCGAAAATTTTCTCATCATGCACGTTGCAGTTTGCTTCAAGAGAATTTCAACCTCGAAGACTTTATCAAGAACGACAAATACGACGTTGTGCGAGAGCGCGTCTTCAAAGACGTTATTGAAGATTGCCACGTTTTCCTGGTTTCATTTTTTTCCTTCTATCTTTATATTTGTTTTTATTCAAGAACCTTTGCACCAACATGTTCGGCAACTTTTTCGTCCAGCGAATCGTCGAGAAATCTTATCCGAATTCGATTGAACAGCAGATGATCAGAAACCACTTGGCCAGCGATTTGCCTAGACTTTGTCTTGACAAGTGTGCGTGTCGCGTTGTGCAAATTGCTCTTGAGGTCTTTTTCTTTCTTCTTTTCGAAGCTGTTTCAAGTCCAAGTTTAGTTTTAATTTTCTATTTGAAAAGTCTCAGTGAATTATACTCCACTAACTGCTTGAAAAAAAAAAATTACATTCCAAGGACTGAAATTGAACAATTGAAGACTTTTTATTCAATGAAATTGTCTTTAGAAGTTGGATCCGGCTCTTTCTTCTTCTTTGGTGGATTATCTTCCTCGTGACGATCGTATCATTAAGATATGCACGGATCAAAATGCGAACCACGTCATTCAAAAAGTGAAAAAAATATACAAAAAAGATAATAATAATATCCTCATTCCCAGGTCCTGAAAACGATGCCACTGAAAAAATGGGAGTTTCTCGTGGATTTTTTCGCGCGTTCCGATCGGGACAATTTGATGAGAATTTGTCAGGATAAATACGGCTGCCGTGTTGTGCAAACCATGCTCGAAATGATGACTCCGCCTGAAAACCAACATGTTTTTCTGTTCAAAAGTTATATTTCGATTTCAAAAGGTTCAGGTTGGCGATCACACGCGTCTCCTGCACAAGTTGATGGGGGCTATCGTCGCCAAGTGCCATCAGTTGGCTTCCAATGAATTCGCCAACTACGTTGTGCAGCACATTCTCAGCGGCTCTGGCAGTTTGGCCGATTTCCGAATCATGATCATTGACAAGTGTTTGCTGTAAGTACCAATATGTCTATGCCAGTGGATTTTTGAATAGAGCGATGAATTTTATTTCTTCCGAAAGAAATTTACAATGTAGTGATGAATAAGTTAGCTACGAAAAATTTAGAATTTGTAGAGACTCTAATCCTTATTTTTTATATTAAAAAAAATTGAAACTTACTTTTTTCAGTCGCAACCTGCTGTCCATGTCCCAAGAAAAGTATGCGTCGCATGTGATTGAGAAAGCTTTCCGCTACGCGCCTCCAAAACTGCTCATTGAGATGTTTGATGAGATTTTCGACGGTTATGTACCGCATCCGTATGTTTAATTTTTTTTTTCAAAGATGATTTCATTTAATTTTATTTCATGATTATAAGCTTTCAGAGAATCTGGCAAAGATGCTCTCGACATTTTGCTTTTCCACCAGTTTGGCAACTATGTCATACAGCGGATGCTGGATATCTGTCGCGAAGTTGTTATCGGAAAAAGGTTACCAATTTTTGGATCTTCTTACATATTTTTTTTGTTTTCCAGGGTTTATTCGCAAGTTTACACCGCCAAGTTCACTCAGTGGATGTCGCGTATGGGTTACCGTGTTTCTCGTGAACAGAATAGACTTGCTCGGTTTTTTCCCTACCAAAATATATATCTTTACCTTTTTTTGCAGATTTTCATCAGGAAAAAAAATCATCGACATCCTGAACAGCCTTGAGCTTCGTAATCCGGTTCGAGATGATCTCTTCCTCGCAAGTCTTCCTGGGTCTCCCGGCAACACTTTGGACCAGTCTGTCACTGAAAATGGAAGCTGGAATCGCTCGCCACCGTTCTCGGCTTCGTTGCATGATTACCAAGGACATTTCGACTTCAATTATGGCCGTTAATCCTTCATATTGCACGAAATCCTCATTTGATTGAGATTGAACTTTTTGCATTTGTTTCGCTGCCGCCTCTGTGTTATTTTCACCCAAAACCCCACTGATCAATAGTTTTCTCAGTTTTCTTATGTTGATATTCATCGTTGTTTAGATGCCCCATTGTCAAATGACAAAATTAATGAAAAAAGTAATATATAGATTTTTATGGTTCACCCCCAAAAACTGCCCCAAGACTGTGAATTGTATTTACACTTTCTTGTAATTTTTTCTTGATAGCAATCTCAAAATTGAATCGTTGATCATATTCGCTAATTTCTCTGCATAAAGTCTTGTCTCATTACCTCTAATTGGCAGTAGTTTTTTTGTTGTTTGCTCCCCGGTTTTTTTTTTTTGTAGAATCTTCTATGGATCCCAGTTTTCTGACAATCTGAGTTAACTTTGCCTTAAACAAGAAATCTCCTTGGTCTACTCGACCCTAAAACCCAATTGTATCATCCTTGTTTTTGTTGTTGTTTTTGCATTGAGTACTCCGAAAGTGCTGCCCCAGTGGTCTGCCTGTGCTATTCTGTATACAAAATAAAGCATAACCACAAAAACTTGTTCAAATATTTATCAGTAAATTTGTACGTAGTTTCAAACGGAATGTCTTGCGTATTTTCCAATCGGTGTTCTTCTATTTGTTGGTTGCTGAAATGAATTGCAGGTTGTGGTTTCGTAGAAATTTGAACCTTCAACTTGAGCGTGGCGAGCGGATAATCGGTATGGTAAAACTGCGGCTCTCGACAGAAACCACAGCTCTTGGCGCAGTAAATCCGGAGAGCTGCCTTGCTGGAAAAAGTAATTTTAATTTAAAAATTAGGAAAGTTTCAGGTCAATTAACAGATTTTGTTTAAAAGCAGAAAATCTTTGTGACCTGTAAGATTGTTGGCAAGCGCCGCTCTCGGCAAGGTGCTGGCAGGTCTCCAGTTCGTCCTTGCAAGGCGAGAGAGAGTCCGCGAGTCCTGGCGGCGGCGGACAAAGTCCACAGGTTCTGGGGCAGTACTCGGCCGCCGGCCCCAGCTTGCAACCTCCGTGTTTCTCTACCTAAACACGACCTTTTCGCGAAAATTTCCGTTTCCGCGCACCTCTGCACAGTCGATTTTGATCGAATCGATGCATTGAAGACCTGAAATGAGTTTGATGTTTGGATCGATGGTCTGACTCACCATTGCAATTCTTGCAAGTGACGGGACATAGTTTGAGGTAGTAGCCAGGTCGGGATAGACAAGTTTCCGGCGTCACTTTCGAACAAACCAGAGGATCTCGATCGCGACACCCTCAACGATTTTTTCATGATTCTTTATTTTTTGGTTATAAAAGTACAGTCTATAAAATTCCCAGAAGTCTTAGGTTACGAAAATGGTATGAACCTGATTCGCAAAAGCTTCCAGCGGCGTTAAGAAAATAGTAAAAAACACGTTTCTCTTATCTAAAAGAGCAAAGTTTGAAGCCGTAGACGTAGCACCTTTGATTTTTCTGATTTTTCTGAAGTGGTCTCATTCAGAAGTCCCACTGTGAGCTGAGACCATTCCCTGGTGAGAAGGAGCGCACTTTAAAATTATTTTAATGGAGAGTTATTATTTTTCTTTTGCTTCTATCTATCAAATTTTTATACCAGGTTTTTAATTTCCCTGAAATTGAAAAGAAATAAAATCTTTTCAAGGCTCAAAGCACTCAAGCTTGGATAAAACGAACCTCCTCAAATTTAACGTAACATTCATGCTTTTTTAAATTATATACTGGAAAATTATAGGCGAACCGAGAAAAGCGATGAGGTCAGAAATGGCCAAAGGCAGCGGCGACTCGTTATTTGGGGCCTGAGCCGGCTCGGCTGCTGGCAGCAACGCTGGCCGAAGTCGCGGAGGAGCGTGACTGGGGATCAGACCTGAATTTCCTTGGAAGCTTCCGTACGGCAGCATCGCCTGAAAAAAATAAGGTATATTTTGAACTTTTATAACGAACCATTGAATGGGAAGAAGGTGAACGTCTGACTTCCATAGAGGAACTGGCACCGAATGACGGGTTGAATGCGGTTCTTATTGGTCCGATCCTTCTAAAGAGCTTGGAAATTGTAGCATTCAGTGTATCATAAGCTCAAAAGAGAAGTAGGAAAGTTGCTCCACTGAGAATCGAATGAAACTTGGTACTTTAGGACGCATTGATTTCAAATGAATTGGAAAAAATTTTGCCTAAAAAAAAATAATAAAAAATAATAACTCACTGCGGAATCGGCAGCTCATAAGGCTGAGAATAAGGATAATGAGGCATTATTGGAATTGGCTCTGGCTCTGGCATCCCGTAGAACTCGTCGACAGGACGGTAAAAATCCCCTGTTCCTAATATCATTCTTATAAATCGAAAAATGAATCCCACCTGAGCCTAATGTATCTTGCTCCACGATCAACTTGTTCTCGAACGGTAGATTTTTCAACTCGTTCGTCTTCACCGCGTATGGCTGTTTCCCGAAGTTTAGTCTGAATGAGGGGAAATTTTATTTGTCGAAAGGTTCTTTTGAACTATATAAAAAAGAATATTTTTCGGATAATTTTTAAAAAATAACCTGCGGTCCCTAGGCATATAAAGTATCTTGCGATTTACAGAAAAAAAAATCTGAAGCTTCTCGAAATTTTTGAAGACTCACTTGATGTCGTAGGGATCCCCGACTTGTCGTGACGGCGTCGAGTTGGTCACGTCCGATATAAAAGTCGTATTCTGAATCAGGAATTGAACGGTAATTAAATTCAAAAAGTTCAAGACGAGCGATTTTGAAAAAAACCGAACTGTTTCAGGGAAGTTTTTGTTGAATTGGCACACATTTTATTGCCGAAAATCAAAGGAGTTTTCAAAAAGAAAAAAAAACTTACTGAGCGATTAGAATTTTCGAAAAAGGAGACTTCAAATTAGTTTATCTTTTTTTAAAAATGTTTTCTAGAAAAAAAATTTTTATAAAGTTTTCTAGAAAGAAAAATCAGGATAATTGATTTTTACTGAAGCTGCACAAACTCCAAGTGACCGCTTTAGTAGCGTCATCGCCCTTAAGTGATCCCTAGAATCGCTCAGAAACGTCGCCGTTATATTTAGGAATTTTCAAAATGGCTTTTCTGATTTAAGTTTTCTAATCTCAATTAAACTGATGCTTGAAAAACACCGTTTTTTTCATTCCGCAATGATCAATCTTGGAAGAATCCTTCTAATTTCGAAATTTACAAAGCTTGAATTTTAGATAGTTTACCTAATAAAAGTTCATCATTACCTTTGTTGTCGACGAATTCTTATTATTAGTTGGGAGGGTAGCTATCGGAACCGTATCTCAAAATTTAGAACTTTGAGAAAATCGACAAATTTTCATAAAAAACTTATTCTTTTGATGGACTTTTTGCGAGGGACACAGACGCCACACAACTGCGGACAGTAGTCCCGGAGCATCGCATCACAGTCTTTTTTGCGCTCCTCGCTGCAGTTGATGTACTGAGAGTCGTAGCAGAACTCTGCAACTCTGTTTTGGAAGAAGAGAAGGAAGAAACAGAAGACCTGTACAGTTGCCGCAAGTCTTCTTGCAGTACTGAAGGGCGTAGCCGGGTCGGACTGTACAGTCGTTGGTGTTGCAGTAAGGGCTCTCATCAAAGCAGGTCTTTGTTGAGCAAAAATTGATCAAGGACAGAAGTATGAGAAGATATGAAAGTGTCTTTGACATGACTGAGGATTTCCGAGTACTCCCAAAGTGTTGGACTCAATTACCCGTGTAATTGAACACCGCAGGACACGAATTACTGTTTGTCAGCCGGCAGGCACAAGAAGCCCTCGAGTGCTCCTGTAAGAGAGGGAGCTGGCGACAAGCCACTTGACGCCTTGCTGACCGCTTCCGCCTCTGATTTTCGATTGAGTTGGTCCCGACAGGATGAAGCGCTGTTTTTTGGGGGAGGTCATGGATAAACCCTGACCGAAAGACTCAACGAAGGGGCTCATAAAGGCCTTGAAGCTCGGAATCTTCTCCATTGCTAGATCAGGCCCTCATTAAAACGGGCAATAAATCACGAAAGGACTCTAGAAGCTATTCGAAAGCTTGAAAACGTTGCCTGTCATTTAGCTGCTGAAGATTAATATTTGAAGAGAATATCCGCAAAATTTTGATAAAGACAGCTTTATCCAGGCATTTATAAAAAAATGGGGGAAAATTCGAAAGTAGGACTGCAATTTCTGACTAAACGCAGTTCAATTACAGTTAGTCACGACTTTTGAAATTATACCTGGTTCACGACTGGCTTGAGTCATCAAAAAATGGTCCTGACACGATAATAAAAGAGATAGTGCCTGGTTTATGGAGAGCGCAGACAGGCCACGCCCTCTTAGCGCTCCAAGTTAGCCGTGAATTCGCTATACAAGTGGTTTTCAAGATATAAATTTAAAAAAACTACGAGTGATCGAAAATTTTTGGTTCTTCAGCAAAATTTACAGGAAAAAGTAATTTTTTTAAACTATATAATTTTTGCAATATTTATTCGGCTCATAGAAATATAGAAAAAAAATATCGAGGATGCCAAACTGCAGTAAGAAAATGAAAGCCGACTTTTTTTGACCTGAAAGTCGTTCGAAAATAACTAGGTGAAAATTAAGAGTTTTGATATAATTTTTACACTGATAATTTACCTTGGTTCTCAATCGGATTATCCCAAGTCCTTGTGCTCTTCCCCCAAGACTACAAATGTACATACATGGCTCTTCCCGTTCCTATTTCCGTTGCGAACTTTGCCGGACCGGCTCCGCGCAGCTTCTTCCGGCGTCGGAAGGGCTCTGCGTCTCCGCGCAGGCCTTATCTCTCTTTCTGGATGACCCCTGCCGCAACAAATTGCTTCTTGTTTGCTTGAACGGTCACTCCAGTCGCTGAGCTTTCAGGGGAAAAAAAACACGTTGATCTGAGCCGAGACTTTTTTTCTCTTAGTTCCTGGAAATGGGAAAAAATCTCAAGCTTTATTGAAAATAATGAGAAGGGAAATTAACTTTAAAATATAACTAAACAATCATCAGTGATTTATTATCATTTGACCTTCTTATTGATGTCAACATCAACTCGTAAATCTCCTATTGGTCATTTCCATGCACTGTGAACTAAGCACGTGAGAATAGTCCTGCAAAAAAGAGCTGAAAAAATAAATGGAGACCAATGAAACAAATAAATACACTGTTTTTCATAGTATCTTTATCACTGACATGGTTTGAAACATTGATTTTTACTCGATTCGGTAATACAGTAGTAAAGATAGCGAGGTCTCGAAGCGAAAAATTATTTTTTAGTGTTGATTATAGTCATGGGCAAATTCGAGCAGTTATGAATGGATTATGATTTTCAATAGAGTTCAATTTTCCATATTTTTTATGGAAAAGAGCTCAAAAATTTTGATAGAGTTCCTTTTTTCTAACTATTAATTCACCGGAGAATAGGGTGAGAACAATATTTTTTCTAAAAATCAGGTGTTTCCCAAGAAGGGAACCTTCCTGAGAAGATGGACGCCTCTTTCAAAAGTCTCTGTTTTGCCCACTTTTTGAGCGAGTTTGCTCTGTCCTTGTGCCCTTTTGAAGGAAAACGACGAATAAAACCGTCGGTTGATAATAAGGACCACGTGTCCCGAACACATTGAAAAACAAGCCCTTTTATCCGGCCTTATCAGGTTAAGGGCGTTCTGTAGGTGTATTTCAAGGCCCGTCGGGTATCCTTTCGATTCCCATCGCTTTTTCTTCTTATCACCTACTGGTCAGTGATTGGCGGCAGTTTCAGAAAATTTTCGAAGTTTGCAGAATTTGAAGCGGTTTTCTGTCGAGATATTAGCCGAAATGGGGCTCTGAAGATCCATGGAAAATTTTTAAAAATACAGAAATTTTGAAATTGAAGAAACTGCCGTTAATCCCTGCTGTCGAGCTGTTGGTTCTGAAGAATGATGAATTTACGATTTTTCTTGTGAGGCTGTCTGAATAAAAAAATTAATTTATAACAAAAAAATATCAGGTTACACCCCCTTCTTTTTGCTGACCACTTCGCATATCGATTTAGAAAATTCTTCTTGAAAATACGCCGATTTTTTGACATTATGAAGAGTTATCGCTGGTCAGGGATGATTAGTGGACTGGCTTTAAAATTTCAAAAATTTCTCGAACTTTTTTTTTGATATATTTAACTAAATTTTTCCTAGAAGTTCTGGTAGTTTCTGGTCTTCCGAATTTTTTTTTGTTGCTATTTGCAACTTTTATTCAAATAATTAGCATTTTCAGAAGATTCCAGATTGAATATCACGTGCATATAGTACACTTATCCTCCAGGATATATTCTTTGTTCTCACTTTTTCCATTTCTTATGATCTCCCCGGGTCTCAAACACTGCCATAGTTTCGAAAACTGAAGGCCCCGCCTCTCATTTTGCTGCAACCGCAGGTCAAACAAGAAAGGCGCTTTTTTTTCCGGAAACACCTGAATAAGGAAGGTTCCGCCTCGGAAAGGTCATATTTGAGGAAAAAAAGGACCTCTCAGGACTATTTCCTGCCCTATAAAAGGAGTTGCTCCAGTCCTACTGGATTCAATTTTTCCTTCCTTTTTTGAATGGCTTTTGCTTCAAGTTCAAATTTATTTTAATATTAATGACTTAGTTTTTAACATATCTTTCCAAATACTTCTTGATAAGAAGTTTAAAGAAGCATGAATTTTTCGGAGAACCTTTTCTAGTGCTTCATACCAAGCATGTAGTTTTTTTATAGGAAAATCGCTTTTTTTACCCCCTTCAGAAGGCCTAAAGATTCAGGTTATTATTATATTATTATTATTGTTGTTGTTTGGAATTTCAAAAAGAAAAGCGATGAGTAACTTTCTCTGCGCTAAGAAACTTCTTCCACAGTCTCTCCACGTGTTCTCGTCAAACAACAAAAGCGCCAACAAATATTGACAGAAAACTAGAAATGCTAAAATTACCACACCCTGACTGTGAAGAAAGTATCAACTAGAACAAAAAAAAACATTCAATTCCCGAGAAAGCCGAAAAAAAATTCCCAATAATTACACCAAAGAACTTGTTCGTTAGGTTGTAAATTTACAGGACAAGCCCCTCTTTAGACATTCAAACGAACATTGTATTTATTCGAGACCAATTTTGCATCATTGGTCATTTTTTTCATGCTCCAGCCTCGTGCTCTGAAAAACAAACAGAAGGAAAAGGGTTCACCCGGTTTCCTTTTCCTGAAACACTGTTTGTCTTGTCTTCTGTGACTCATCTCTTCCTGCTTCTCCCGGAAACAGCAGAAGCTTTGGGCTTTTCCTCTTTCCCCATTTTGAACATATTCCCTTTTGAAGAAGTCTAGCGCTTTCTGAAATAGTTTGAAATGTAAATGGCTCAAATTTTCGCGGTAGTTAGTCCTTACACGAGAGGTCATTTTACTTTGCGGTTGGGATTTTCCTGCGAATTGGTCAGAACGCTCCTTGATAAACCAGAAGAAGGTTCTGAGAGTCTCAACCAGCACTTCTTAGTTTTCGAGAAATGAGGGCCCAAAGCGCCAAAATAGCCCATTTTTAATTTGAGGGTCTTTTTTGACTTTAAGGCGTCTTTTCTCGAAAATAAGGAAGTTGTGCAGGTTGAGACTTTCAGGATCTTTTTTCTGGTACATCAAGGAGCGTTCTGGCCAAGTTTCAGGAAAATCCCAAACTAAAAGGACCTCCCCGGTTAGGAGAGACCCTAGAAGAAAAAAAATAATCTGCTTAGCGTTTTAGGACACTGAGAAAAAGTCTACCTCAAAGGCAGGAGAAGCTCAAAAAATTAAGCTTATCAAACTTTAAAAAATGGAACAAAGCTTTTTTGCAAGTTTCAATGGTGAGAACTCCGGGAAGAACATTTTTGATGGAAAATCCAAGAAAATTGTTCGTTTTCCTGCACACTTTCCATAGGTTTTTTTTTCGACTTGAACTTGTAAAAGTCATTCAAAGGCGCATAACTTTTTTTCTTATAGACAAATTTTCAACAGTTTCAATCTCAATTTTTCTTCTCAATCATCTAGAAGTAAACAAGAACTGGGGAAGCTGTTCAGATTTTTTTGTTTGTCTTTCGTTTTGATCACAAACAAGCCTACAAACCAGTATCCCAACACTCACAGTGCAAAATCTGATCATCAAGAAGCTTCTTAGATCTCTTGATTAAGTTGAAGTTCGAAGCTTGAAATCTGTGGTTTGATTCCGTTTTTTTTATAAAATTGAATTTCCGTTGTTTTTTGAATGTGCATAAACTTTAGTAAGCATTAATTCTCAAAAAAAGGTTTCAAAACAATTTTTAAAAACTTTTTGGAACAAGCTATTTTTGCATCTTACAAAATTTCATTTTATGAACTTTCTCCCTATTTTCAACTATGGCCGGACTCAGAAATTCCCTAAACTTTTCAATTTTTATTTTTCATACAAGCTTGGTTCAAAGCTCCAAACCATTAGCTCGACAAGATTAGTCAGACCCTTGTACCTTCTAGGGAGACTGCCAAAAATGGACCTCAGCTGGACTTGATTGTTTGTTTAAACACGTGATGTGTTTGAGCGGAAACTGATGTTTTTTTTTTCTTGCTCCTTCTTGTTAGCTTTGACCTGACTGGCGCTTCATCCGCAGCAGAACCCATCCGCAGACCAGAAATAGACGAGCAGCGCATACAAGGAGCTGGTCACTTGTTGTTTGGCGCCAAGCCAATCGCTCGGACCTCAGCTGCTCCATTCAGCTGAACTTCAGCTGAAACCTCGGTGGCCCTGGTTTTAGAGGTCTTATAGGCCAGTACTGTTCGAAATTGATTATTGCGCTCTGATAGTGTTTTTGCCGATTTTTGGGGAAGCTATTACTTTAATTACCTTCTTTTTAAACCGTAGAAGTTGTGGACGACGATTTAAGAGTTCTCGTAGGAACTCAGTTTTTCTTGACCCTACTCGAACCTTGTTAATTCAAATAGAACGTGTTGGGGCGTTTCTAGGATCACTAAAGTGGACTGACGCTACTAAAGTGGTCACTAGAAACGCCCCAACACGTCCGGCTCGTGTTCCCACATACCCAGCTTTTTTCCTTGGCTGGCTCCAATTTTTGACCGACAGAGCCGAACCAGTAACCTTAAAGACCTTGAAAATAAGTTAATCCCCCGTTTTGCCTCAGCTTGTCACTATTTTTTTTCCTCCAAGCTACAGAACTCTTCCCTTTGATGTGCGCAGCCTGTCTCTGAGCATGCGCCTTTAATATAACGAAAATGTTATGGCTAAGCCCAAGGGAAGGGTTCTGTAGCTCGAAGGAAGCGGATTGGGACCATCTCTTCCCCTTATTCAATATCGATTCCAACCAAATCCGCCAGTATTTTTGTGCTAGTTTCCAACGAAAGGCTCCCCTGAACGTCTTCTTCTTGCAGAATGAGACGCCTAGTTTTGGCCTTTGCGACATGTGCCGCCGTCGCCGACTGCATCGGAAGTATGTTGGTGCAAGGCCGAGCCGACACCATCAGAGCCCTTCGAACCATCGTCCGTCACTCGGCCACTGTGTTAGGACTTTTCAAAGCAATTTTGACAGCTGTAGAAGTTATAGTTGAAATAGAGTTGGAGGGCGCAGAGAAATCATAATGATGCAAGCAAATGAGTATCTTTATCTGCCCGAAGATCTGAATAATCAGAAAGTTTTCCTCCCAAAAAAGTAAGTTTCCAGATCACCCACTGCTGAATTCCCGGAGAACGCCTGGGAAAGTTCCTCAGTACCCATCCCAAGAGAACCTCTACGCGACTTACCTGAGACTCGTCGATCGCAAAAGATCCGATTTTTGAAGCGAGACCGACCGCGAAGACACATCAGCAACGCAGTGATCGAGTCTGGTGAGGATATAGAAATGGTTTTGAAAAGTATTTTTTTGCTCAGCGAAAATATTTTTCCATACCGTATTCCATGGTCAAGTCCGGGGACGCAAGGAATTTTTTTTTTGAGCTTTAGATGATCTAGAACTGTTTCTTTTTATAGTTCATATCGCACCAGATTGTCACGTTTTTCCTCTTCCTATGAGCTAAAGAACACTTCTTTTCAATGCGCTCGGCTTTTTCTGTGCATGCGCCTTTAATCCAACGGAATTTTTGGGCAAATTGAAAGACGCATGCGCAGAAATATAGTTTGTTCAGCTTTCGAATGTCAAGTCCTCGCTGAAGCTCCGCCCCCTGATGGCGCGATAAACCAATCAGAGAGCGAGCCATCCACAGAGCTTTTTCGAATGACGTTATTCTACTTGACATTCAAAATCTGAACGGACTATAGACCGCGTACTTCGAATAGAGTGATTATGTAGCTGAAAGGGAAAAACATCGTGACAACGCGGAATTGGCTATAACTTATTCGGTGAGACTTGGAAACAATCTAGTCTGTCTGTGCCCTTTTTTTTCAGCGGGTAGGTCAGAAGAACATGATGTTACTAAACAGGAGTGCGTTTTAAAAAGAAAAAAATCGCAGTAAAAAAAGAGGTGTTTGTGAGTTTTTGAGAATCTAACGGTGATTTGATTTTTTATAACTTGCTTTTCAAAATGTTGTCGAACAAGGTTTGCAGGACACTGCGAGCACGTCGACCTGATGGACTGCTCCGATTTTGAAACGGACGAGATGACGTGCATGATGACGGCGACGGGGATGACGTGCTGTGTCTGCACCGGAGCCCTCCGAGCAGCCAAGAGAGATCTCTTCTGATGACGTCCGACATCCGAAGAAATAGAAGAATCTGGTCACTACGGGTCGATCTGTCGCAATCGAACGTCGCGGAAGATCTCCAGAAATTGATGAAAAACGCTTGAGAACTACATTAGCTTTTTATTTTCTTTTAGCTTTAAGAGAGACAAAATGGTAGCCATTCCAAATGCGACCAAAATTCAATTCACCAAACTTATAGTCACAAAAAGGAAGCGAACCGTGATTTTCCAATTTTTCTGACCCCATTAGAACTTTTGGACAAGCTAGCGGTGAATTGAGTGAGTCAAAATCAAAGGTTTATAAACAGCTAATGTAGTTCTACCAATCGTTAATTGTTCTTCTTCTTCCTCTTGTTGCTCAAAATCTGACTTGCCGGGTCCCCGACTTGTGTTCTTTCATCGCTTTTTTCGATCTCACACAGTTTACGCTCAATGAAGTGATTTGTCCCCAATAAAACATTTTTCAATTGTTTTTTTTCCATATGAAACGTGAAAATCGTCAAGAAAAAAAATATTTGAAAAAGTGCGCCGGTTGACTCACTGAAGTCTGGTTCACAACAGCGCGGTAGATCATATTAATATATTTTTCAAGTTGTTCCTATTTTTTTTTTAAATTTTCAGATCATTTTGACGTTTTCCTCGACTTTTAAGGCCTCTTTTTTTATCAAAATAAGCAGACTTTGTATGAGTTTTAAATTAATTAACCAAGTTTGAAGAACGAAAGTCAAAAATTGCCGCCCTTACCGAGGTCATACTTGACGTCAAACTCGCATGCTGAGCAGGTGTCTCAACGGGTGTACCCGTATTAAACCCGTGTTTCTGAGGTTATTTTAGTCTCAGTTGGGCTAAAACGGGGGAACAACGGGTGTAAGAAAAATATGTAACCCAGCTGGGCTAAAGCGGGGTCTCAGTTGGGCTAAAAATTGCCAAAAGTTCTATCAGCTGGGCTTTTACGGGTTTAATACGGGGGCACCCGCTGAGACCCCGTGTTAGCACGGCGCGGTTACCCTGCTCAGCATGCGAGAAGTTTTTTGGTCTATATTAAATCTCAAAAACTCCAAAATTTTCTTTAAAGTCATTCGAATGGAATTATATTTTAGTGCTTATTTTGATTAACTTCGTTTCTCAACTGAACTTGGCGTTTTTTCGCGCATTTGAATGTCTTTTTCGTTAATTTTTGTATTGGAATTAAAAAAATAGATATTTTTTTGGACCGGTTCCCTGTTATTTGAGGCTATTAAACCCGGAAAAATCGAATTTCCGGAAAACTTACAGTGCACTCCTTGTCGATTTAGAGCAGATTTACCACACGCTCCAATTTTTTTAATTTTTCCTTTTTTTTTATTCATTGTCCTCGGTTTTTTTTTGTTTCCGTAAAATTTTCTGAAATCGTTTTGATTATCACATCAATTCAAGTTGTCCATTTTCAACCTGAAACTTTGTTATTGTCATGCGAATCAGCATGATTTTTATATTTTCTCTACGTTTGATTATTAATAGTTTTGCGAAATTTTCCCACTAAAGTTTGATCAAAAAGGTCAAACATTTTGCGTTTTTTTTTATTAGTTTAAGGTACTTTCGTGAATTAGAAAAAGTAGGCAGCGATAGTTGAGGCACTAAAGTTAACTAAATTGGAATCGAAGAAGCCGAATTTGCTCCATTTTTTGTTTCCAATTTTTCAGTCATGACGCGTATGGTCTTCCAATCAGTCCCCAGAGCCAAAACGTCAACCTCGGGAATGACGAAGAACCGTAAAATCAAAGGATCTGAAAAGTTTTTGGTGAGCTTTTCTGGTTTTTAAGTTTTGCGAACTTTTGATGCAATTTGCGAGATTCTTAAGGTTCATTAGCCTTTAAAAAAACTTTAACATATATTTATTTCTCGACCTCAACTTTTACAGACGATCCTCTACTGGTACGTCGGAACTCCTGATGTTACGAATAAATGTGTCGTTCGCGAGGTTTTTCTTCTTAATAAATTTGGGACTTGTGCTAACTTTACATCATTTCGCAGCTAACTTTTTTTGAGTAATAAAATTATTTTTTAGCGATTTCTGAACCGCGAGGTGACTTTTGAAGACATCCACTCGTATCTTCAAAAAGCTTGCAACGACAGCAGCATTACGTTGCATTACGCAGGTTTAGAAGGAAATTAGTTATTTGCGTGGAAAGACTTGATTTTGATCAAAAGTTTTTTGACTTTTACGAAGAAAGAATGGAAGCGTTTTGCAAGAAAAAATAGCTTGCTATTACATTTTTCCTATTTCTTTATATTGGCATCAATTTGTCTTTTGATTTATAATTCCTCAAAACTGAAAAATAATATTTTTTGCAGTCAACGATCAATACGTCGAAATAACCACCACCGGTCAATTGCAAACGTTTCTCGATTATATTCGGGACATGGCCGGCAAAATCCTTTATGTTGAGGTTGTTTTTGAACGTATTACTCTTTAGCTTGATAAATCAAGTCTTTCATTTTTTTTTTCAACAAACCTATCTCGGACCTTTATTACGCGAAACGGACGCGAATCGGACGTGTCGAGGCATTACAAGTGACCACTTTAGTAGAGTCAGCGCTCTTAAGTGATCCCTAGGAATGCCTACAAGCACTTCGTTTCGCGTGGGAATTTATTTTTAGAGATGATACCTTTTCCAATAACTTCAGCGTAGTTCTACCGTGTAAATAGTTTCGCGAAGTTTGAAATTATCTCTGACCCTCCGAATTTCAGTTGTCTTTCACTCACTATGACGACCGTTTTGAATTTCGCGCTCATTTTGAACAAGTTTTTCTTTCACAGAACAAGGACTTTGTGTGGAAAGTGACGGACAAGAAGAAGGGCTCGAACTGCGATTGCGAATGCCATTGCGACTACGACCCTACCGTAAGCAAGCGGACGACTTCCCAAGGCTGCGTCGACGGCGCCTCGCAGTGCGACTGCGCGTCCGAATCCAAGTTTATCTTGTACTCATCAGGAAAATATGCCTCAGAGAAGAAAAACACAGTCAGAGAGCTACAGAGATCTCTCATAGACATTTTTAGAATCTAGAAGTAACATTTTAAAGAAGCTGTCTTGAAAAAAAATTGCGCGCAGGCCGCTAGGGTCGTATCCAATTTCAATTTTTGAGTTTTGTTTTTGATTTGAAGATTGAATGATTTTGATTTTTGGGAAATCGGAGCTTTGAATTGTTTAGCCATGGTTCAAAACTTAACCAGGGAACGTTTTTTACATCCCGGTTGAACTTTTGCTGGAACTTTGCTGAACGTAAAAAGTGGGTAAAAAACATTTGCTCGTCAGATAAACATTTCATGACAAAAAATGCGAAATTTGGACCGCTTCGCGGGCCGCGACGCGACTCCAATGCTGGCCTGCGCGAGACTCTCCTTAAAAATCCAGAGTTTCGGGTATAGAATGAAGATTTTTCAGTAGTTTCAAACCGAATTAGTTGTAAAATGAAGATGTTTTTTTTTCATAGCTTGATCGCAAAGTATCAATTAATGGTTCTCGAACAAGACGAAAGCCACACGGTAGAGCAAAGATTTTAAAATTAGATTAATTTTTTTTTCTCGAAGGCCTATTTGTGAGCTTCCGGCTTACATTCAGAAACTTGTCGAATTTTTAAAAATCAATGTTTTGAAATTATTAAAATTTAACGAAAATTCAAATAGTTTTTCAGCGTCTCCGATTCTTCCGATGAAGACAGCGCGGCGGACGTTGCTCTGGGAAATGAAGAGAACGAGGAAATCAGTGATTCTCAGAGTTGCAAGGTTCACTTCAAGGGATTCTAGTAATGAGATGGAAATTTGATCAGTGTTTTACAGAGTATAACTTTTCGAAAAGTATTAGGATCTTCTATGAGTGTCAAGATTAGACACGAGAAGAAGTTGCATATTCTTATTTTCGACCTCCGAAAGAGCCAAGACCGTAAAAAAAGTGTCTATCTTTTTAATAAATCTCATTTTCGGCTAACAATATAAGATGAGTAAGTTTAGGTGTTTGTGGACGACGCCACGGAATCGGAAGACACGTCTTCTGAGCCCGGACTCAATAAGTCAGAAGACGATGAAAGTTCGGTCAGCAGTTCGGACACCATGTCCCTCTTCAAGCCTGTCAAGGTTCGAAAATCGATGAATTTCATGTCAGCGTTTTTTGTTGTAGAAACCTCGCTGCGAGCCGACTTTCGTCCCGCAAAAGAAGGAAATCTTGATCAAGGCTGAGTATACAGGTTGATAGAGGGGTTTCAGTGGAAAAGAACAGAGAAATTCTTGGTTTTTTAGTTTGAGTGTTTCGAAGTTTTCCGAGATGATGATGTATTTTTTTCCTATGCGTCGGCTGGATCCCACCCCGGGCCGTTAAAAATGTTTCTTTTGCGTGCCAAAAGCGGGGACGGGATCCAGCCGACGTATGCTTTTTCCTCAATTTCTACCAGTTTCATATTTTTAAAATTGTCGTGTATAGACCCTTTTGAGCTCAGTTTGCCAGTTTTGTCCTCGAAATCGAAAACTTTCTGAGAAATTCGGAATTGAATAATCATTTTGAAGTCTACCTTTTTCATTCTCAGCGCCTCCGGAAAACCCCGAGGACTTTGAAGAATTGTTCACGAACCTTCTCAAAGACGACGTCTCGTGCTTCGATTTTGCCTCGTTTGCGGTCAAAGAAATGGTCTCTCGACTGGCCGATTTCGCCCTTGGAACTCTGAAGGTGGAAACCGGCGAGGAAAGCGCGCTCCATGGATAATTGGCGTTGAAGGAAGCCATTTTTCGCTATTTTTTCCTTTTCTGATCTAGGAAATTAGTCTTGGATACACAGGAAAATTGAAGAAAAAACATAGAGGAGAGTCTAAATCTCTTATTTTTGCACACTGTCTTGCTAATCTTGTGAAGAACCTAAATTAAGTTTTTTTTTTAGTGTTTGTATCTTGGTAACGCAAAACGGACGTTTTTTTCTAGTGATCACTTCAGTACTCTTAAATGATCACTAGGAATAATCAGAAACATCCGCAGTACTATAGCTGTTTCACGGCTGACTTGAGCCATCGAAAAAAGGTCTTGAAACGATAAGAAACGAGATAGTGCCTGTTGGATGGAGGGCGCAGACAGGTCACACTTTTTTGCGTCTCAAGCTAGCCGTGAATCGACTATACCAGTTTGAGTCCGAGTTGAATCAACTCTATCCATGGAGCGCACTATCACCCAATATTTCCTCAAAAAATACGCTATTTTAGCTGAGCTCGAGGGAACGGAGAACCCGAAACTTGAAAGGCATCAACACCTGCTTCTTCGCCATGATGCAGAACCTCATCAAGTATTATTGGCGACGCAAGAGCCGCCATGACCAATACGTGACCCTCCAAGACGTCGAAACGGCCGTCCTGAAAGTCGTGCAGATTGTGCTGGAAGTCTGGGTCGAGGAAATCGAGGTCTCAAAATGAATCCGTCGGCAAAAGCTTGTAGTTTGAATGCGTAGCGGTCGCGCAGCGGCTCAGAAGCACCAGTTTTTTTTTTCCCATTTTGAAGTCTCTGAAAACTCTAGAAACAGTTAAAATATCATGGAATTGGATTTTAGTTGAAGATCGTGTTTCAAAAACGCCGTTTGAACGGTTTTTTTCAAACAAAAAATCGCAAAAATGGTCTCGAAGCGAAAATTATCATTTCGATACGCTTTGAATGCTTTTAAAAAAATCGTAAGATGAGATAAAGAGGTTTTGGTGGAAGTATAAGTGTTTTGGAAGAATTTATAACTGATTTTGAGCTGAATGAAACTGAAAATTAGAGTTTGTAGTTGGTAAATAAGAAATGAAGATTTTTCGTTAATTTATTTTTACTTGAAATATGATAAAAAATATTCAAAAAGGTTTCATTTCATTTCAAGGACGTCATGTCAGTGATGCATATGGTGAACAAGTTTTGCATTAATATATTGTGATTTTTTTTTCTGCAAGAGTTAATCTTTTTTGAAAGGTTCACTTATCAAACTTACGCCGTTTTCAAAAAGATTCCGCGAGATACAAAATAGCCGTCAGAGAAAGAGAAAGCTAAATTTTGAAGAGTCATAGATAATTTCACCGATTCGCGGAAATTTCCTTGAACCGCTTCGCGACCGTGACGTGTCCTCGAAACGGCGAAGTCGTGGCGACCGGCTTTTAAGTACATTTCATCTTTTTGCCGAATTCAGAAGCTGGCAGAAAATATGCAGACAACCGAAGAATGGACTGCTCAAGCCGCCAAGAAAATCTCTGATTTGGTTTTCAAAACACTGAGGGAGTCATGTTCGGCGACATTTTTTTTGAACACGGGAAAAATGAATTTTTTCAGTCAAACGTGTGGTGATTTGGCAAGAATTCGTCTATGAACTGGGCGCCATCGAGCATTTCGACTTCAAGAAGTATATCGTTCTGGGAGATTTAGAAAATAGTGAGTTGGATGAAAAATAGAGGAAGGGATGAGGATAATTTAAAAATAAAATTTTGAAAAATTGGAGGTAGCTTGACAGAGTTTCTTGACTTGACCGGATTCTAATCGTAAAAAATACGGTTGAGTCTTATTTTTTTTTCCTGCACTGTTTTCTCCCCGGCTAAGCTCTCCTATTTACGAACTATTTCGTGACGAGGGAAAAGAGACGCAGACAAGTGAGACTGCTCAAATTTGTGACCAAAGAACCGTTCGGAAAATATACGAATAAACGCTTTTTTGACCAAAACTTACTTGTAAGATAATAAATCTTTCTGAAACCTTCTGAGGCTGTGATGGCGGTTACTTATAACACTCTGGTCAAACTTCAATTCGCAGAAAGAAAAAAATAGCTTTATATGCTTTTGAAAAGATTGAGCTCCATAGGAGGAATTTGTGAGCGAAAAATGTTTCGTGTTTTTCTGTTGCTTTTGTATAAGGTCAAAAATATTTCCGCTGATCGGATTCACAAATAAAAGGGAGCTGATTTTTTTTTTTCAGAAACCAAAGCTACCGAAATCTTCAAGACTATGCTGGAAGCAACTCTTCTCAACATTGAAAAAGTTCTCGAAACTATTGACAGTGATTGGATGCAAGAGAACAACTGCCAGTGTCTGGAAGCGATTCCCGAAAAATTGAGGGTAATCGAGTCTTTTCGATACTAAGTTTATTGTATTGGAGAGCGGGAGAAAAATTTAAGCTATTTTTTAAAATTTTAATTTGTATAGATACTTTTTTTGTATATATAGATACAGTTTAAGTTTAAGTGTACAGTTTAAACCTTTTTAAAAGCGAAAAATTTGATTTATTGGCGGGTCTTAAGATAGTTTTAGGGCGGCCTGGCCCGGGTTCCGGGTCTCGTTTTTGAGAGAAGGCCTACGCGGGCGTGGGCCAGGCTCAGCCTCGCATAACATTTTTGAACGCTATTAAAGAATTTTTATTCTAAATCACAATTTTTTGTACCAAAAAACGCTTTTTACTTGTTAAGTTATAGTTTTTGTTGAAATCCAAGTGGAAAAAGAACCGAACACGTGATTTTTGTTATAGAAAAGTCTGAAATTTGACTCTGAAAACGTGATTTTTGCAGTAGAAAAGTCTGAAATTTGACTAGAAAACTTGCGATTTTGGGTCATGTCGGCCTTATTTGCTGGAGGCCCCGCTAAGGTTGGGCCGGCTCTGGCTTAGAGAATGCCCGGGACCTATAGGCGGAAGGGTCGGTCCTCGTGAAAAGCACAAAAAAGCTGAACTTTATATTTGATATTTTAAAGATTTTACCTCAGACATTTTGTTTTTGTTATTTTTTGATTCGTGATCTCAACCAAAACATGACATGTTGTTTTTCCCATCTTTTTCCACGTTTTGAGAATTTTGTTTCGCAATTTTGTTTCGAAAATAGAGTGTTTAGTTTCTGTCGAAAGAGCTATAAGAAATGATGTTTGAAGATCAAACTCGAAATTTTGTACTCAATCCTTTTGGAGGCTAATTTTACGCGCCGCGCGTTTCTAGGAACGTGTGACGTCGAAAACAAGTGCGTTGCCCGAAATTAATGACGAAAGGTGGTAACGATACGTTTCCTTCAAAAATGAGAAACAAAGCGGGAATTTCTATTCATCGTCATAGAAACTCTTTTCTAGGTTTTGGAGCTGTTATGCTAATCATGTGACCATAAATCCTTTCTAAATGCATTAGACAAGGAGAGAGCGTAGAGAAATCATAAGAATTCAAGTTTAGACTAATAAGGTGTAGAGAAGTACGGAGAAGCTTTTCAGGCTTGATTTAACTTTTAGGACTGCTTTACGACGTTAGATTTTTCGGTTCCTTGAAAAAAAAAGCTTGAAACATAAGGAAACTACTCAAAAATGGTTGAAGCTGATTTTTGGCTGTTTTTCTTAAGTATGAGTCCGAATTTGAGTGAATTTAGCTATAAGATATTTCCGCGCGCAAGTAGTTTTCAGTCCGGAGCGATGAGAAAGTTGAAAATCTCTTATTTCGCTACGAATTTTAAGATAACCGCTTCACAATGACGTTTCAAGTCCTGGCGAATATAGCGTATTCTTGAACTGATACTTGTTCTATTCTTCTATCGATTTTATTATCAAAACCAAAAAACTGATGCAATAGTTGTAGGCTCAAAATAGCAATCTAAGAAAAAAATATATTCGATACAGAAAAAAATTTGTAAAAAAATATAGTTGGCTATTTTTTTAAATTTTTTTCCGCAGATTCTTCTAAATTTTTTTGTCTTTTTCGCCTGTCTGTACGGCTCTACGATTTTCTCATGATTCATCATCACCGTCTTTTTTTCAATTTTTTTTCTCGGCGCATTTTCCGAAATACTTTTGTATGACATTTTCGAGCCGAGATCTGCGTATATAAACCGAAAGAAACGGTCATCGTTTCATTTTTTGTCCCTTGTCATCTTTTTTTTTTCTTCTTTCGTTGACTTCATAATTTTTATTTCGCTTTGGCTCAAAAATTTACACGAAGGAGTTAGATAAAACGATTCTTTCAACCTTAAAAAAATAGATTTTTTTCTTTTTTCGAGTTTCATGAATTTTTTTCTCCATAAAAAAACCAAGATTTATCATGCTTTTTTTGTTACGAAATATTTCTCAAAAACTTATTGAAAAACAAAAAGTTTCATACGATTCATATATTCCATTCACTCTTGACAAACATTGCTAGAAAAAAAAAAGCCTAAACCTCTTATCTTCGCACACTTTCTCGCTAACCGTGTGAAAACCAGATTTTATTAATTCAATTGTGAATGGACTGTTATTCCGAATATTTCAAAATTGTTGCAGGAGCTCAAACAATTGATCAAAAAGAACCCGATGTCTGATCCTGAATCGTCGGACTCGGTGGAATCTTGGGACGAATGGAAGCTGGACTCTATCGAACAGATCACCGGTCTCAAGAAATCATGGTCAACTTTCTATTTTTCTAAATCTGAAATTTTCGATTTTTCAGCTGCAAGTCCCACGATGCTTGGACCATGCCGGGCACCGGGAAGAAAACTGTGACGAAAAGTGGACTGAAGCTGCAGGTCCAGGTGGATGGCAAACTCCGGACTCTCGAAGGGATTTGCATCAAGAATGGAGCCAACAATGGGGAGAAGCACGAGGAAACGTCTCCGGAAGACCTGGCCGCCGAGCTCAAGCTCCAAGCTCTTCAGGAGGAGAATCGAGCCCTGCTCGCTAACCTCACTGAGAGTTTCACCGAGAAAAAGACCAGCGGCCTGTCGGAGGAACAGAAAAATGAGCTCAAGAAATTGGTGGGTTGTAGGTGGATCTTGGCAAGAATTGGATACAGAGTTACACCTTTTATCCCCTAGTTGAGAGGAAATTCTTTGACTTCGGAAATCCTTAAGTTATTGACCTACAAAGATGCTGAAAATCAAAGCTTCAAAGTCAAAGAAAATCAAAAACAGGTTTAATGAACCACTTTTAGAATTGTAGCTCTTCTTTTTTGACATTGAGACTTCCAGGATTTCTATCCGCACACCAAAATGAAACGTTTTCAGAAAATAAATGGCCGTTAAGTAGAACGGCCTTTTTTGTAAGAAGCGCTCTCACGCGCCGTATGAGTCAACATAGTGCCGCGATTTCTCAACTTTAGAAAGCGTATTGTCTCCTTTTTTAGTCGTGTTTGATCTCTCTTTTTGACGGTTATGGCCAAAAATCTGCCTAGGAAATAGTCTAAATTCATATTATGAGTAGAATAGGATCACTAGAAGAGATTCTGAAACAGATTTTGAAATTAAGATCGGAAAATGCTTAATTTTGAGCCTAAGGATTGGAGGTGGAGGATTGGAAAGGCAGCCCTTGCGATAGAAACGATTCATTCACTTACTATTGAAAAAGTAATTTCTGCTTTTGGGCGTTTATGGCTTGGCAGGCAGGGGGCAGCCATCCTCCACCTCTGCGAAAGATTATTCATTTTCGAAGGTCTTTTAAAGACCTCCGTTTTTTTTTCACTGTGTATTTCAAGCATATATTTGAAATTAGCGAGAAAATCCACATTCAATGAAGTCGTTCTAGTTTTTTTTTATTAGCGAGCTCTTTTCCAGATGAAAACCCAGCACAACTACGTCTATCCTCCTCTGCCCAAGCCGGGCATTATTATGGTTCCCACCGGCGGCCTGGCGCGTTGTCGCTGCAAGAAAGACTGCAAGTTCGAGATCAACGAGGTAGCCAAAAAAAAAAATAGCCAATGAACATCTTGCCACGAAAAGCTTTCCCAGTTTCTTTAAAATCTCGGTTTTTGGCGTTTTATAAGTCTTACGAAACTAAAACAATACAAAAAAACGACTTTTCGCCTCTTTTCTTCCCTAAAATTAGCCCATGCGCATCGAAAAGCTATTTAGAATCGACTAAAATGATGATTTTCAGCCCGCCATGGCCTACTTTGAACGTTTCAACGAGCCTCGCCTTGCCGTCTGGGAGAAGACCAAGCAGAAAAGAAGCAAAAAGAATTGAATTACCCCCATTTCTGTTTTATTCACTTATTTCTGGTATTCCAATGACGGTTAATCTTCCTCCTGTTCTATCCATTATTAATTCATGCATGCAGCGTTATTTATGTTTGGATATTAAATGTATAACTTGGCCTTTGAAGGTTTGTAATTCAATTGTGTTTCCGTCTTTTTCATCGATGATAAAATTTTCGCTCAAAGTTGGTTTTTCAAATTGAAAGATATTCGATTCTTGTTTTTATTTTTGAAATTTTTATTTCGAGCCAAGGAAAAGGTCGTGCACCAGAAACATTGAACCTCACGCGCGTTTTTTCATATTTTTTTATTTTTGAAATTAATATTTTTTTATTTGAGGAGTGTTTGAGGATGAGCATATTAATAATTTTTAAAACGCGTCAGATTAAAGTTTCTTTTCGAAAAAAATTTCAAGATTCACTGTAATTTTTTTGAGGTGTTTCGGCTCCAAATAAATTTTTTTGCCGGAATTTAAGAAACTTTTTATGAAATACTTCGCCTTTTCTCTTGTAGGAACCGAGTATAATTTTTCAAAGCAAGATTTATTCTGAATTTCGATTTTTCTTGAAAAGAAATGGCTTGAAAGATTTGAAAAACGCCTATGAATCAAGCGAACTTTTAAAATGTCCTTGGGGCGGAACGACTTGAATTTGACTAATTTTAAGGAAATCGCCTCGTGAAACGTATTTTTATCCATGAAAAGGGTGGTAGAATTTATGTTGGATGATCAGGTATGACAGATGAAGCTTCAATAGCAATAACGATGCCGAATGTGGAGTACGATGACGAAGTTTCCAAAGCTGCAGAGTGTCTTTTTCGTTCGGAATGCGTTTCAACTTTGCTTGCCCCTACCATCAATTTGAAGGCTTCAAGGTTCGAGATATATCCTTGAAAAGAACTTTGATGCAGATTATTATACATTTTTGGTCGGTTTTAGCATCTTTCTTTCCGTTTTCACCAAGTTTTAGAGGTTGTCAATGCAAATATCAAAGAAAAATGTGGTAAAAATCACCCTCATGAGTGTTTCTATCCCTTTGAAAACTGAAGGAAGGGATAAGAGTTAAAATTTTGAGTTTTTTGCACCTATTTTTGAAAAACATTTTTTAAGATGTTTTTGATGATGGTAAAAGTTTGTTGAAGTCTCTTTTCAGTGAAACCTGCAATCTTGGAATCGATACAATTATTTCTCGAGGAGAATCTCTTGAACCAACGACGAGCCTCGTTCCTATCATCAATGACGATGGGAATATTGTCGGTTAGTTTTTTTTTTTCATCATCAGAAAAAAAACTTTGGTTTCAGAATTCGTTGAACAGTCGAGAGCGAGTGAAGAGTTTGGCTCGTCCAGTGTTTCCATGTCATTGAATAGGTGAGTTTTGCGATTTTTAATTTTTGTGGTCTTTTTGAGAGGGTTTTTTTGATCCTTTGTGCAGATTTTTCGACTTTCTTTTAACACGAAAAGGTCAAAAATCCAATGGTTACTGTAGCGAAGCTATAAGATTTCTTTAGAAGTGATTTTCATCTCTAAAAAATGATGATATTTGAGGGCCCCGTACAAGGACTCAATAATGAGAACAAGCGTGGCGCACAAGGTCCGCGGCTCTTCCAGCAATGTCCCTTTTTCTCCTGGTTTTTCTGCCACAATCTCTTCGGTCCTATGAATTTTTCAATATTTTAAGGGTTTGGAAAAGGAATCGATGATATTTTATCCGGCGCTGAAGTCCCCATCGACGATGAAAATGCCTCGAAATACAACGAAAAAGAACTGGAGTTCTTGGATTTTTCGACAAGTTTGTGGAGTTTTCGAAATTTTTTCTGAGTTGTTGAACAATCTAAATGCTTGATGAGACCTGTAAAAATGATCATCAAAGTTGTTTCCAAATTATTTTTTGAAGAGGATTTTTCGAAAAGCTACAAAGACATGAATTGATACTTCTTGTCCTATAAATGATATTTCTGATTTTTTTTTCTAGTTAGCATTTAATCTTCTCTTTTTATTTTTTTTAGTCAGGTCAAAGCTTTTTTCAGCCCTGCTGAATCAAGCGCCTGGATTGAAACCGGTCAACTTGTCCGAGAACGCTTCCGGAAACCAAAAAGCTCCCGAAAAAGAAGAAATTCCTTCAAAACCACCGCCGGTCATCGATCTGGATTCAACGAACATCTTCGATTTGCTCGACTTTGTCTCTTCTGGAGCACCGAATCTTCCCGCTTCCAAGAAATCCACCGATGAACAGAATAAAGATGAAAACGCAACAAAAATCGAGGAAATCCCTATTGTGAGACCCTCGCTTTCCTCGGCTTTAATGATTTTGTGTTTGTGAAGGATTCCGCCGAAGAGAAGGAACTTGAAGAATGCATTACGGAATCTCTGCCGCACGTGAAAGAAGACACGAGAAACTATGATCTGGAGGCGTCCACGTCAACGAATTCCACGAAAAAGTTCGCCTACGCCAATGAAATCAACACGCTCGAGTCTTATCCGGAGTATGAGAAGCTGTTGCCGAGAATGGCGCGAAAGGTAAAACTGCAAAAAAATGTAGGGGGAGAGTGATAATTTTGAAGTTTTCTGGGGGACAAGGCTTGTAAGCTACGACCATCGATTTCAGTGAAAAAAAGTTGAAAAAAATTATTTTTTTAGGCATTTTTCATTCTATAACCTTAAGTTCCGGTACTGAAAAAAATCTTAAAAAAATAGCCGGAATCTCCCAAATATTAATCAATTTTTTTATTTTGTGTTGAAGTTCTGAATGTGAACAAGAATTTTTTTAAAGCTAAAAATATGAGATTAGAAGAGATTAAAAATAGTATATTTTTGATATTTTTCTGTATTTTCCACTGTACCCTTCCTCATAAGCAAAATCGGAAAGGGTGTAAAAAAGCTCCATAAGAATGTTCTTCTTGCTGCCTTTTTGCCCCCTTTTTTCGGCCTTTATGCAGCATTTTTACTGCCTTTTTGAGCCTTTAAAATCTCAAAAAAAAATTGGAAGGCTCGATAAAGGGACTCTTTTTGCTACCTTTCTGCGACATTTCTGGAGCCTTTTTTGAGCCGCTCCCTTTTAGCGGCCATTATCCACCATTCCGACTTTGCCCGATTTGATTTCTAATTTTTTCTCTTCTGAAATTTGGCATTGAGCCTTCTTGAAATACACACTCGTTAAGAAAATTCCTAAGAATCCTGATGATTTATATAATTTTTAACATAAAACATAAACATAATTAATTTCAGTACCCATTCACGTTGGATCCGTTCCAACAGGCCTCGGTTCTGTGCATGGAACGAGGCGAATCCCTTTTCGTCGCCGCGCACACTTCTGCCGGAAAAACGGTCGTCGCCGAGTATGCCGTTGCCATGTGCAAAGTCCACAAGACACGGTTCGTCAAAAACATTGATTTGTAGGCAAAGAGAGTGATTTTATAAGCGAACGATTTATTCACCAGTGTGAGAGAAAAAATTTAAAAAAAGGGTGAAGAAAACTAGGACGACAGTTTTCAACAGATTCAAAAAATACAGGGAACATTGAAATGTCGAAATCTTTATTTTTAGAGCAATCTACACATCCCCCATCAAAGCGCTCTCCAACCAGAAGTTCCGAGACTTCAAGCTGGACTTTGAAGACGTTGGCCTCATCACCGGAGACATTCAGCTTCACCCCGAAGCTTTTCTGCCTGATCATGACCACCGAAATCCTTCGGTTCTCCGGCTCTCCGATCTTTTTGATAGCCTTTCGTGTAGATCGATGCTCTACAACGGATCCGAAGTGATTCGAGACCTCGAATGGGTCGTCTTCGACGAGGTCCACTACATCAACAACGAGGAGCGCGGTCATGTCTGGGAGGAGGTTGGAAAATTGAAAGAAATGAACAAAAGACTGCGAGAAGTTCCTGTAGCTATACATCGGCTAGATCCCACCCCAGCTTTTTGCGCGCGAAAAAAAATTATGAAACTGTACTGAAGTAGGCCGCACTTTTTGGGGGGTAGGCCGCAGTTTGAGGGGGGTAAGCCGCACCCCGGGGTGGGATCCAGCCGACGTATGCTACAAAGCTACAGGCTGTAGCTTTAGTTGTCATAATCAGTTACCGCTCAACTAGGTTTTCTAGGTGTTAATCATGCTCCCGTCGCACGTCAAAATCGTCATGTTGTCAGCAACTGTCCCCAACTGTGTCGAGTTCGCTGATTGGGTCGGGTTAGAAGAAATATGTAGCTTCTCCGAAGTCCATGCGTTGTTCAGAAGAATCAAGAACCGGCGAATAAATGTGATTTCAACGTATCGACGACCTGTCCCCCTGGAACACTTCCTCTATACCGGACAAGACGGCAAAACAAAGAAGGATCTTTTCAGGGTACTTGATTTCATGCTTGAAAAAAATGACATTCTAACTGAAATCAAGTTATCAAAATCAGGAAGTTTGCAACATTTTTTTATATTAAAGGCTATAAAGAATACATAATTCGACAAATCAGACTAAATTCTATACTAAAGAATAACTGGGAACGGCCTTGTTACAAAACAAATAAATGAGGTTTACTTCTGGCCGCAGATCTTTTTTTGTCCATGTCATCACATCTCCTTTATACGTGGGCAAGGAGTCGAAAATTACAGAGGAGACTCACAAAAAGTTTTCAAGAGTTAAGGATAAAATTACGTTTTAAGCTCAGCAAGGTAGTACTGACTTCAATTTTGAAAGAGTTGGTTGAAGGTATGGCGGCCTTTATCAAAGGTACCTACAATCTTTTTATCATTACTCTTTTTTTGCCCATTTTTTTCATATCGGTTTTCATCTTTTTTTGACTCTCTTTTCATTGATATCATCGCCTTTTGTTGTAGTTGTTTTCTTGTTGGCTTGAGGGATTTATGGGCCACAAGCCACATAGAATCCTAACTTTTTGAAAGCTCAGAATCAAACTCTTGAGAGCCTTCGAAGAGAAGTTTCAACATTAAAAATCACCGAAAAATTTCAGTCGATTTCCAATAAGAACTTTTCTCTTTGTTCAAATGTTTTTTCTAGCGGAGCTTAGGTTTGAAAAGCATCCCAAGGTTTTTTCTTCCAAATTTTTGGGTTTTCAAGATCATCGACAGCACTGGAACGTGGCTAACGAAAGGTTACAACGAGGCAGTCGAGGCAAAGGTACCTGAATTGAACAAGAAAAACAAGTGTAAGAATAAAATAATCAGGAAAAGCTGCATGCGAAGCAAGTTCATGCCCACCAGAACGACAGAAACCGTGGTGGAGGTGGCGGTCAAGGAAGAGGAGGGGCTCATCCTCCTACCAGAGGTTCTTTTTAAAATTTTGAAGCGTATTTGGAAGATTCTAACCCCTGTCTAAGTCTAATTTCAGGCGGGGCGAATGGACAGTTCCGCGGAGGAGCAAATACTGGAGGAGGCAAGAATTATCCTGGAAAAAATGATCGAAATATCTATTCGAACCTGATCAATCACATGAGAGAGTGTGATCAACTGCCGATGGTCGCCTTCGTTTTTTCACGGAAAAGGTATAGTTCGTTTTTCGCGCCTTGAAAGGGCGGGACTTCTCTGCGCCCTCCTTATCTCTCCACGTCCCTCTCATGTTTACGTGCTGTTTCCATGTTTCTCTGGCCTCGCCGGTGAGGGAATTGAGAGACGCAGACACGCGAAAAATGTTCAGTCGCGGCGGGCGGACTATACTATAAGTTCATGTAATGCCGATTCACGGCTAACCTGAGACGTTAAGGGGCGTGGCCTGTCTGTGCTCTCCATAAACCAGACACTGCCTCTTTTATGATCAAGTTAGGACCCTCTTTTTTTTCAAGCCAGCCGTGAATTGGCTTTAAATTGAGTTAGATGAATATTTTGAAGGAACTGAAGTCGAAGATATAGTTTTGAGACCCTTAAGCTGTCCCTTTGAGTTTTCTGAACTTTAGGCGGAGAGCCAGTCTTACGTTTTTGCCAAACTTTGAAGGCACGGTTTTTTTGTTGTATTTTTCTCCTCTTAGATGCGACGATAACGCACAGATCCTGCAAACGATGGATTTGACGACACAAGTCGAAAAATCACACGTACGGAAGTTCTTCCAACAGTGTGTTGAGCAGTTGAAAGGCAGCGATAAAATGTTGCCGCAGGTTATTTTTGACGGCATTTTTCAATTAGTGATGAAGATTATTAGGTGCTACAAATGCGGGAATTGTGTCTGCGCGGCTTCGCCGTTCATCACAGTGGAATCCTGCCGATCCTGAAGGAAGTCGTCGAGTTGCTCTTCCAGAAGGGATACGTCAAGGTTGGATTATTGTCCAGATGAGGCTGGGTTTGGAGTTTTCGTGAAGAGTTAGTCTAGAAGATAGTCGCTACGGATGAACTTTTCAAAATAAAAAATAGCGTTTTATATAGGTACATTTGCGCTCCATGGATTCAAAATTGTCAATTTCAAGCTTGAGAATTATTTCTTAGTTAAGCGAAAGTGAGAGCACGACTTTTTTTTTCGACGACGCTTACGCTTTTCTTCTATGTTCATGCCCCTTTTCCACTCTTCCATCCAAGTATTTTTGAAATAAAAATGGTACGAAACTGAAAAAATGTGATAGTTGTGCAATTTTTGTTCGTGAAGTAGATACATGTTTTTTTTGCGGCTTTTCTGAACCTGATTTGAAAAAATTCGAACTCTGATAATTGGTTCTGCGAAGCAAAAATATTATCTACGAACAGCCATTTACTCAATAAGGCTCTGGTTACTAGTTTTACCTGGTTTTTTTTGTGGCAGTAACGCACTTTCTATTTTTTTGGATAACCCTGGCCTAAATGTAACTTCTATCAAAGTCCTGATTAATTCTGTTTATGATTTGAGATCCTATTCGCGACGGAGACGTTCGCCATGGGCGTGAACATGCCGGCTAGATGCGTCGTATTCGACAGCATCGTCAAGCACGACGGAACCCAGAAGAGGATCCTCAACGCCGGAGAGTATATCCAGGTTTGAGGAAATGCTGCCAAAGTTCTATGTCGTTTTTGAGCAACTATGGGGATCATTTAAGAGTTCTGACTTTTTTTTCGAGTTTTAACAAAAAGAGCGAGAATTCTCACGCCGGTTATTTTTCTCCTGTAACAGCCTTGAAAAAGGCTGGGAATTAAATGGAAAAATATGAATATATAGAAACCAAGAGAAAACGCCGTGTCAATGCTGTATATACTGGTATTAACTTTTTAGGAAAAAAAATCTCTAGTATGAGCAATAATGAGAAAACGTGAGATGTTAGACTTTAAAAATTGAATTGATTCTCTTGCACCTTGTGACAAACTTTGGTTGATATTCGTTGATTTTTTGCCGAGATATGAACTTTCAAAGTTTTTTACCGTAATCCTTCGAGCTACCGTATCTCGAAAACTACTCTAGAGATGTTCAGTTGTTTTTCTAAAAAGTCCTAAAAATCGTGTTCCACAGCGTTTTTGATTTCGAGACCTATATCTCTAGTGTCTCTTGACTCGTTCAGATGGCAGGTCGAGCTGGCCGACGTGGCCTCGACCCAACCGGAACCGTCATAGTTCTGTGCAAAGACCCCGCCGTGCCTCAAGCCGCAGATCTGCAAGTTCTGATGAACGGCGCAGCTCTTCGACTTGAATCCAAGTTCCGCGTCACCTACTCCATGTTGCTGAACTTGCTCCGTGTTGAGCAACTCCGCATCGAAGATATGCTTCAGAGGTTCCAGGAACCTTGAAACGTATCATCCTTACAACCTTTTTCAGAAGTTACGCTGAAAGCGGCTCTCTCCGTGAAGCGCGCGAGAAGAGGAAGAACTTAGAGAAGGTTTTTCAGCGTCATTTTGGATTATTCCAGTACAAAAACTTGAATAGTATGACTTTTTGTTTCAAAAATCCACGATAGTTTTTTATAAGCAAGAACTGAAAAAGAAGAAAATAAGGAACGCGAAATACTCGAGAACTTCCCTGTTTTCAACTCGAGTGGGAAAAGCTTCCTCGTGTTCCGAGAGTTTTCAAAAATCTGAGCTGTCAAAACTTGAAACTTTTTTCGAGTGGAACATGCTATAGACGTGTCACGCGTATGGAAAAAAAAAGATAAATTCGATTTCAAGCGGGAACTCGAATTTTGTGCGATGCGCGAAAATGAAATTAGAGATTATTTGGATTTTTTTTCTGTGACTTGAAATTATGAGACTGGATCAACGTATCGCGGTTTAAGCTTCTACTTAAGCCCTACTAGGAGTGTTACCAAGCTTAAGATTTTCGTTGCGCGCAAGTCGCTCTTTGGTCGGACGCCCTTTTATGAGAACTTATAAGTTGAGACTTTCTGGGAAAGTTTTTAGTGGCCACTATAGAAGTCAAATTACTGGCCACTTAAAACGTTAAAAGTAGTGGCCACTATAAAGGTCTAAGTGCTACAACTAGACCACTAAAAATTTTAGTGACCTCTTTAGGGATCAATGGATCAACAACTGGTCCAATCTGTTTGTTTTAAAATTATCAGAGTTACTGGAAGGAATACTGGATGAAAGGAATACTATATGAAAAACTACTAGAGTGGCCACTAAGTAGAGAACCTCTGTAGTTGCCATTATAGAGGTGGGTTTAGTGGCCATTTTAGTGTCCTCTCCAAGTAGTTCTTGGCGAGCCTCTATAGTTGCCACTAAAAATTTTCCCAGTTACATGCTTATTTTCAAGTGGACCCTTTCGAAGATTTCTTTGAAACTTTCTTCAGTTTCTGCCTAATTTTTCTTGAATTCTCAATCGAAAAAGTGTTCCAGACTAGCTGGATTGAATCTAGAGGTTCAGCGAATCCTTCTTTTTCAGCTGGAGCAAGAACTCAGATCAATGCCGCCCATCGACTGTGCGACCTGCGAACCCACGTTGGCCAAGACCAGCTTCAGCACATTCGGCCTCCGAGTCTACCACGACGCCTTGTGCAGCTTCATCTACCGCGTCTCGGACATGTGGCCCAAAGTGTCTTGTTCGTCGTGTCTCTTGACTAGAAAAATCGGAAATTTTTCCAGCCGAACAATCGGTCAGCAAATTGCTCAACGTCGGACGTTTCCTCATCGTTAGCAGCGCTCAAAATTGCTTCCAGAACGATGTCGTTTTGCTCCTCAAAGTGATTCTTGATTCTTACCTATTTCGCCACGAATTGAAACTGTCTACCTTATCATATCTTCTTGCTGTTTTCCTTTTTTTCTTTTGAGTCAGGGAAAAGAGGACGCAGATGCTTCAGATTTTTAAAATTAAGGAGAATGTGGTATACCAAGAATTTATAAACTCCCGGGGAGCTTCTGATCGAGAATAGGATTGAAAGCAGTTTTTGCGCTGAGCTTGAATCGGTGCTCTAAAGCCTTATTAGGGAACTACTCGGACGAGTTTGGAGTTGTAACTTTGGTAGCCTGTAGAACTAAGCTAGAGTGCTTGGAATCAAGTGAAATTATCTGCTAAACCCCCATAGGCTTCTCAGAAAAAGCTATCCAGGTACGAGCCACTAGGCGACCTGATGCAATGATTAGAAGGCCAGTCTCATGAGTGACTTTTTTGAGTAGGTTCGACCCCTGTCGAGTGTAAATCTTTTTTGCATTTTTCTTAAAGACAAAAAAAATTTTTAAATGTTGTACCCTACCTCCGAAGCCTGGGAAAAAGAACGGCAGGTCAGCGCGCATCAGTTTAGAGAGCACGGTGAACTTGGAGAGGACAGAATCTCGCTCTCTACTTTCTATACTCTGTCTAAGGACCTGCCGATTGTTTTTTACATGCTCGCTTGTCTGCCACTTTTTTTCTGAGGCTGATTAGACTGAACCACGTTTCAGATGTATTTGAGCACGCATAACTTTTTTCACAGAAAATTTTAGTCGTTTTAAAGCACTTATTCGGAATCAGTCTGCAGAAATATGCGGCTGAAACTAACCTCTGGCTCGAAATCAGAAAAAAAAAGTCGTCTAGGAACTCTCCAGTGGATCTTCGAGGTCTTTGCTCATCATGGCCAGTTGTGACAGCCTTTCTTCCTCAGATGAGGCCCTGAAACAAGCTGACGCCTTCAGCCGCTTGAATGCCACAGTGAGATTTCTTTTGAAGTTGAAATATGAGTTGATGATCTCAGGAGAAGAGTTGGAACGAGGAGACGTGCCATTTGGAAGGTCTCGCCAAGTTCGGCATCAATGGAGCACGAGTTCCTTCTAGCGGAAGGTTGGGATCATTTTTGGAGCTTTAGATTTCAAATTCACACCAGCCATACCTTAGCACTAATATACAGCTGTAAATTATTTTTATACTATTATTTTACTGAGAATAGAACTGCATTAAACTTGTAGATAGTTAGTAGAAATGTTTAGTAGTGATTCTGAAGTAGAAAAATAATTTTATAGTCACTTTTTTTCATAGAAAACTGTTCCGAGTCTGCGAACTGTCCTACTCTTCCCTCGTCGCTATCGTCAAGAAATCGCTCAAGTCCGTCCAAGCCGTCGAAGTGATTGCCGAGTCAGATCGCCGGAAACTGCCGAGATTCCGGTGGAGCGCATTTTCAGCTTCAATTTAATCTTTGTTTTTAGTAATGAGCCGGTGTCGGATGGCGTGGTAAAGCTCATCAACCAGTTGGATGGCGTCGCCGAAAGCCTTTCCAAAGGCGAAGTCGAGGTTTTGACGAACCCTTTAACACACGTTCTCCTAGAAAAGCGCTGAACCATTGACACTAAAAATTCATTTTGCTTTTTTCGAGCTCATACTTTTATTGCAACAACTTTACAACAACAGGCGCTGGCATTCGTTTAAAAAAAGTTTCATTCGATTCGGACCACGGAGAAAAAAGTTACATTTTTTTATTTCGGCTACAAAAGGGGCGGAGCCTGTCAAAACCATTTTCTTAAACGAAAGCCAGTGCCAAAATTTTTTATACTAACTTTCTTTTTGAATATTTTTTTCAAACCGAAAAAAATTGACTTTCATTGAAAATCCTGCATTTTCAGTTTTTGTGGTTTTTAAGGAGGAAGAACCCCCCAATCCGTGTAATTTTATTTTTTTAAACGAAGCGTCATTCCTTTCTACTGAAAATAATAAAGTTTCCAATAGGAGCGAGATCAAAAAGTTCCGATTTTTTTAAATTAAATAACTGCTTCCACCGTGTCTGCCTTAGTGCCTACTTTAGTGTCCTCTCCAAGTAGTCCTTGAGGAACCTCTGAAGTGGACACTAGAGTTTTCCCCACTCATTTATCCTGTTGTCCTTCTGTCTCATTACAGTACCCATCCAGGTTTATTCGATGAACGAACTCGCCTCGATGTGCTCCCGAGTCGAGCTCGACACACCTCTGGTGGAAATAGCTTCTTTGGAATCAACGTTATCTGACCCTGCAGTATATCCCGCTCGTCATTGCACCAGATTCGACCAACATGTGTGTCGAAAATGAATTTTGAGAGAATATTCTGACCCTCAGATGATGCTCCAAAGAGAAAAGGTGCGGTACGAGCGACGGATCGAGACACTGAAGTATGAGCTCTCGTCGGACGCCTTGCTCCTCAGCGACGAGTATCAGAATAGGCTCAAGGTGAAAGGAAATATGGAGTTTTCGCCAGCAAGTTTCGAAATTTTAATGGTAGATGGATGTGAAGCCATATCGAAAAAAATATCTGGTTGAAACAGGAAGTTTAAAGATTTTTAAAAGTCGTAGTTCATTAACCGCTGACTTGAGGGGATGCTTAATAGAGTATTTATATGATACGAGAGACACTGTGCAAAAAGAGGAGGCTTAGGCGTACATGTAATGGTTTTGAGCTTAGTTAAAGACGAAATTTTGAAAGTCTGGTACATGGGCTTTTTTTTTGAAGTTTTTTTCTCCCCTATAATGAACCAAAGTCATGCTCCTGCGTCTTCAAAAGACATAATTAGCCTTAAAATATTATCAAGATCAAAATATCCCAGGTCCTGGAAGCCCTTGGCTATGTGGAAAACGAGAAGATGGTCAGCCTACGTGGACGGATCGCCTGTGAAATACATCACCAGGTGGCCTCGAATTCATGTACCTTTTCAAGTAATGATTGTTAGGAACTGCTTATAACCGAACTGATTCTCAACAATCGATTCGTGACGCGATCTTCGGCCGAAGTGGCCGCCATGCTCTCCGCCCTGACCTGCCAGTACAACTCGGGGAAAGAGATCCGATTCCCGCCGGAGACGATTTTCGCCGAAGTACGGAAGAGATTTTATCACGGCTTGAAACGTCTTAGTTGCTCCTATAATCAAGATTTTGAAGCCTCATGTTATCGTCTTTGGTTTCAATTAGCGAGCTGAAAATTTTGCGCGAAGAGTCATTTTTCTAGCTTTCTGGTTGGTTTTAAACCATTGAGCGTAAACCAGAGAAAGTCGGGCGCATGATTGGAAAAGATAGCTCTCGAGTTTATTCAAGAGCTGCAGCTTGATGTTTCAAGGCGTGAAGAATGGATTAATCAGGATTTTGAATTGGAACTTCTTTTTTTTTTTTTCGCCTTTGGCCTGAAACAGCGCGGAGAGCCATTTTTCTAGCCTTCTGGTCGGTTTCAAACCATTGAGCGTAAACCAGAGAAAGTCGGGCGCATGATGGGAAAAGATAGCTCTTGAGTTTATTCAAAAGTCGCAGCCTGAAGTTTCAAGGAGTGATGAATGGATTAATCAGGATTTTGAATTGGAACTTCTTATTTTATCGCCTTCGGCCTGAATCAGCGCGGAGAGCCATTTTTCTAGCCTTCTGCTCGCTTTTAAATCATTGAGCGTAAACCAGAGAAAGTCGGGCGCATGATTGGAAAAGATAGCTCTTGAGTTTATTTAAAAGCCGCAGCCTGAAGTTTCAAGTAGTGAAAATGGGATTTTAGAAGTTCAGTGAGAATCCAGTGTGTTTTTGTGTTCAGTTGCAAGACAACGTGACGGAAATCATGATGCGATTGGACCAAACCGCGTCGAGATTCAGCGCCCGAGCCGCCGAAGTCGGCTGTGAAGTGAGGATATCTCTTCTATTTTTTGTTAATTTTTGTAGTCTGATTTTTCCGAGAAGTGTAGTTTGTAGTTATCCAAGAAAAAAAGCAGGTAATTGTCTGCGACAAATTTTACATCTCGACTTTTTTCTTTAATCTAGTTTACTGCGAAGTCAAAAAAAATCGAACATTTGGATCCCTGAGTCTGTGACAAGTCATAGTAGAAAATTTGAGATTTCTCACTTATTTCTGGTTTTTCCCCTCGATTTCCGTTTTTGTAGTTTGATTTTTCCGAGAAGTACAATTCGGAGCAATGTTCTGAACCAAAAAAAAGTTCTAACAATATAAAGTCGCTCAAAAAGAGAAGACGATAGTAGTGACTCACGGTACTAACAATTTCGTTTCGAAAACAAATATGGGTCTTTTTTCTAGCTTTTTCACCCAGTAGCTCGTTTAAAAGGTCGAGTGGAGACCCAAAAATCGAGTAAATGAAGATTTTTTTCAAACTCTTGAATTCAGCTCCGTTTCGACCTGATGGAGGTCGTTTACCAATGGGCCAATGGAATGGTAAGAATCCCTGAGAATCTTGAAATGTTTAAGCCTAAATTCAGCCTTTTGCGGAAATCATGCAGCTGACAGACGCTCAAGAAGGCCTCATCGTCAAGTGCATTCAGAGGCTCGACGAAGTTTGCAAGGATGTCAGGTGAGCCGAAAAAAGAGAAATATTCCTCGACAAAAAAGCGGCATATTCAAGAAATGCGGCGCGAATCGTCGGCGACCCTGCCCTTTTGGAGAAAATGGAGGAAGTTAGTGCCTCGATCCGCCGAGACATTGTCTTCGCGGCCTCCCTGTACACGTCTGTTTGAACCCCTCAGATCTATCAGTTTTCCTTGTTACTTAACGTGTTAATTTATTCTGTTCCCTGTGCCTCAAAGTCGGTGTCCGATACCGGTTTCTCTCCTTGTTGATTCTAACTTGATAACCCTCGATTTCAATTGTTTGACACTCTGACATCACAAGATGGATTTATTGAACCTTCTAATAATATAGGTAAATGTGATAGGTAGATGGTAAAAGAATAAAGTTGGGCCGTTCAGTAGTAGCTCAAGTCCTGCGGGTAGCCAGCTGCAACTAATCCTTTTATGTATGAATTTAAATCGCGCCACGATTTGACTGTCAAATTTTAAAATTGATTCAAAGGGAAATCCCGAATTTCGGCTCACCGAATCTTCCGAAGTCGGTCGGGTCGCGCTTGTTGTTGCGTTGTCGGTAGAACTTCTGAAGGTAGGACGGGATGCGGTCGAGGCCGCCGAAGGCCGAACTGAAACTTGTCATTTCATCTGGACACTTTGTTAATAATTCAATAGGTTTTCTAGCTGGAGAATTTATTTGTAGGAGAAGAAAGAAGGCTGTTTTTCAGCTTGTATGAGTCATCGGCTTCAGGTCCTTCTATCACAAAAAAATAGAGGGTTTTTTTTGTTTTTAGTTGGACACAGTCAAAATTTAGTGATTTAAAAAAACTTTTTTTCCAAAATGGAAAGCTGTTTTTCATCTAGAATTTTTCAGACTTTCACCAACTCTGTGGACTTTAAGTGTTGAAAAACTAAGGTGAGATTAAAAATAAAACTCATTTTTTTCAACTTCAATTGAGTCCTGAACTTTATTTATCTTATCCAAAAGGACTTCTAGTACTTAAAATGATTTTAGGTAGTTATTAGGATCAATTTTTTATCGATTGAGTTTTGAACTTCAGATACTTCATTTAATAAAAAAAAGAGGAAAATTAAAAACTGCGTGGAAAACTGAGTTCATTTTCAAAAAGTGCTCCTACCAGGTTTGGAAAATGAATTCAGATAGAAAAAAATGTATTCAATTTTACTGTAAGGTCGGTTATATAAGCACTTTACTGGATTTGACGGTTTGAGGAAAAAAAAAGTTTTCGGTCATGTAGGACTTCCTAGACGTCCTATAGCTCCGTCACTCCATTTATAAAGTTCTAGATTTGAATCTTAAAAGTTACCCTCCCATCGCAGCTCGTTTTTCCTGTGCTTCGACTGTAGAGACGAACAAGGCTGCCGCCAGAACCACCAGCAAAGAAACGAAGAACCGCTGCATCGCTCTGTCAAAGTTGGCTCAAGGTCACCTTAACAGATTTATGAAGTTTAACGGAGGCTTAGGAGAGAAAATAGCTTGAAATCTGCAACAAACGAAAAGGGATAAAAAGAGCGAAAATTTGAGAAGGGTTATGTAATGGAATTCGTTTGGCACACAGTTTAGAGCTCTTCAAAATTTTTACTTTAGTCCAGTTGAAATATTGGAGCCCGGAAGACTTATTTCAGCTTGGAAGAAAACAAAAAGACTGCGAAAATTGATGTCAGGAAACTTTTCGAAGACTTCATTCAAGATATCACGATTTAAAAGTGGTAGCTTCGCAGAAAAGATTTCAAAATCAGGCGAAATGTATTTATAGGAGAAATGGAGGATTTTGATGCCCTTTTCTATGTGTAGCTTTATTCACTGGGAGGGAAGAAAAATAATTAATTTAGGCATAAAAAAGGTCCAACACATGCTTATGTGAACATGAATGTGGATAGAATCAAATCGGTGGGGTTTTCCGTTTTTTAAGGAAAATTTTTCTCTTTTTTTAGCCTTATGGATTTTCGGTCATGTCAGGTAGTCAATGAGAAAATTTGAGAAAGACGTAAAAAGTGAAATTTTTTTTGAGAAATAATCAAAATTCGACAATAGTTGATCCATATATGCAGTATTTTTGAAGGTCTCGCATGGAAGATCCTTTAATAAGCTTAGAAAATCTTTTTGAATAGACTAAAGGATAAGTCCTTTCCCCAAAAATCAAAAGCTAGAATGCACTTTTTTAGGAAAATAAGAAGCCGGCCCGATTCTTTAGTGAAATGAAAGAAGGACTGCAAAGAAATAGGCGGATCCTTTTGTGGGCGGATTTCTCTTTTTTTCGGCCGAGAGCATCGGAGCTCATTCATAAATCCCAGAAGAAATTGGCTCGTTGTTCTAATCTGTTCCTATGAGAAGAAAAAGACAATCAAAAGTCTGTCTGGCTAATTAGGACTTGATTTAGTACATGAAATATTGGGAGAAAGCTTATTTTCCATTTATTTTCGAGAGGAAGTTCAAAAATTGTCGTATGAAGATGCGAAATTAAATAATTTTTTTAAAGAGTTAGGCTTATAAACGTGAAAAAAAGCTTTCTTTTTTTTAAAAGAAACCAGATTGAGTTTTTTTCAGCATAAGCTAGATAACAATTTTTGCCTTCCGCAGTTTTTTTTTTCGTCCAAAATTTTGCCTTCCAAAAGACAATAGAAAATAGGGCTAGGTTCATTTTAAAAAGCCTGATTTTCAAAAAAAGGCTCATTTCCATATTTCCACAGCTCGCCCTGAGGCATTGTGTTTCGAGTATGAAAAAGAAAAGAAGACATTTTTTTTTCGGGCGACGGAACTCATGAATGGGTAACGTTTTTTTTTGCAAACAAAGGCCGTTCATATGAACCCAGAAACCAATTTTGAGTTTTTTCGAGAAAAATCCCATTCCTTTTCATTGTTTTGAAAGCGAAGAAAAGAGATTTTGAAATACCTAGAAAACGACATCTTGGCTTATAGTATATGAGAAAAAATGAAAGGATGCAGAAATTTCATCATCCGTCTGGCCATTTTATGACTTTTCCAGCAGAATTTGAGGATTTCGCGTACTGAAAGCATTGAGGATTAAATTTTTGATTTCATTTTCGAGACGAAAAAGTCGTTTTTCAAAGGGTATTTGATATAATTAACTATTAAAATCAGGACTAACAGAGCTTGAATTGATGGAAATTTGATCACACTTTTCAAATATTTATAACTTTCTTTGTCCCGCACCAAATCTGATGGAAATGGTATCATTCGAAAGATGAATATGTAAGCTTTTGGATAGTACCCAATATGGGATAGTATGATTCACGGGCAAAGTCCAAAAGGTCTCAAAAAGAACTTTTTGGAAGAGAAGGCCTCGAAATCGCCTTTTTTCTAGACCTTTTTTTGAAAAGGACCTTTTAAGAAGGTGTAATGACGGAAAAAAGGTGAAAAAGGAGATTCCGAGGGACTTCTGACACCTTTTAGGAGCTTCAGGCTCTCCTTTTCAAGACCTCTTCGAGACCTTTTGGACTTTGGTGGAAAACATAAATTCTCTGATTTTTTTTTTCGCCTTCGGAGCCTTGAGGATTTGCCAATTAGAGTCTAAGCTTTTGATGCCCTTTTTTACGCGAAGCAATTTCCGAAAAGAAGAGAAAACAATCAAATTAGCCATAAAACAAGATCCCACACAGGCTTCTGTATGCAAATAGGAAGGCAATTAGGTGAACAATCGGCTAATGAGATTTCTTCTTCTTCGGAGAGATGCTCCTTCCTGTCTCATCCGCTCACATTTTTTCCGTCTTTTTTTTTCTGCCCAGAGACGTTGTTCTTTGCCTTGTTTTGTGTGCAATCGGAAAAATCCGGGGAATGTGACATTTGCACGCTTCTACCGGTTAGGCAGCTCTTCGAAAAGGCTTCGGGAAAATTTCCACGAAGAATAATTGATGTTCGTGTTTTGGAAAAAAAAAATTCACGCTATAGAGGCTTAGGGGGGGCAGCTGAGCTTACACCGAGGTATGGAAGTAAACTTTCGGTAGAGGATTTTCTGGGAAAGGAACTTTTTTTTCGAGGAAAGTGGTGTTAAAAATATTCTTCGATCTCCAGATCATTTTTTTCAACAAGAGTCGAAAATCTGAATTTTCAAAATCAACTTCAAATTTCCGGATAACCCTTGGAATGGTTAAAACGAGATGACTTGTGCATCCGACCTAAAACTACTCGCGCGGGACGTAGGAAAATCTTGAAACGAATGTTCGAGCCATTCCAAGTGCGACCCCTTCAAATCCTTAACAAGATTAACTTCAAAGTTTTCCATCTATTATTTTTTATAAATAATATTCTTTGATCTCGATCATTTTTTTCAAGAAGACTTCAAATTTCCGGGTCGCACTTGGAATGGCTTCAAAGTGCATCCGACCCAGAACGACTTGCGCACTTGGACACGAAAAAAACTTTAAACGAATTCTCGAGCCATTCCAAGTGCGACCACGCCTTTCAAAGCCTCAATAAGACTATCTTCAAATTTATCCATATGTTCTTTTTATAAATAGCATATCTCAAGTTCAGAAAATAAGTAATTCCACGCATTTTTTTATTAATTTCAAGAAAAATCTAACCAAATCTAATCTCAACTGAAATCTCTGGTTTTTTTCATTTTTCAGGCTTCAAAATGGAGTACTCAATGAACCAATTTTCTAAGGAAATCGGCCATCATTCTCAAAAACCATTCCCAAGGTCGTGATTAGATGACAGCCGTCCTTTCAAGACATATGTCATTATTTTTACGAGCAAAGTGCACCTCCTTTAATTCTAATGGAAAAAAAGCAGGGACTTTTATAAAAATAACTTTATAACAAAATACAAGAGTTGAATGTACAAATAAAATACTTTCGATAAGTGAAGATACTTCGAATTTTCCAGTAAGTCGGGGTAGCCCTTATTTTAGAATTTGAGGGAAAAGAAAATCGAATAAATTGTCATGGAGAATATGGCGAACGAGAAAAAAATGTGCATTATTTTTGGAGCCTTTCGAAATCGGCTCACAGACTTCCTTATTTGGATGGATTAATGGACCAGAAGAAGCTTAAAAATATGAAGAATAGAAAAAAAAGGGGGCTCAATGTTTCTCGCCGCGCTTCTTCTGCCAATCGGAGAGACCTTTGCCGGAAAGGGCCCGACGGAAGTGGTTGGCGATGGACAGAGAAGTGTCTGCAATTTACAGATTTCATAACAAAAAGGGCATTCTTTGATTTTTTTTCAAATTAGAGAGAGTATTTTTTTCTTCTAGGATTGACATTTACGCCATAATTCTGGCCTGTTTGCGTCTCTTTCCCCTCACTTGTTGCAGAAATTTTGAATACAAGGAAAAAAGGCCAGAGAAGTCGGACTATTACAGGACGTGGAAAAATTGGTGGAAGACGAGTTTTTTTTTGTTTGTTAGAGCTTTTCCAAGGGATGATTCGTTTTTTAAAATTTTGTCATCCAAAATAGTCCAGAAGGTCATATTCAAGCTCCTACTTTTCGCATAAATCTCAATAAAGGAATGAAAGTTTCAGAGAATTCAGCATTCCTACCTTTTTTCGAAGCCTTCATGAATGAATGAAATTTTTATTTCGCTCACAGACAGATCTGTGGCGTGGAGGAAGAGAACCATGAAAGTTATATTTGTACCTTATAATATACCTTATAATAAGAAAACAGTACCTGAACAGGTATTATTAACGATGATAGGTGTTTGGGGAGACGTAGCCGGCTGAACGGTAACCGTAGTCGAAGAACAAGGCGTCGTCTGCAGCGAGGAGACCGACGTGTGCACGTTGAACGACGTCCGACGTCGCAATGGAGAGCTTCTCGCCTGAAATTCCTCTTCATCCAGAAATCCCCTTCTTTGCCTCACCTTTTCGTCTTCGGTTTTCGCTCGCCTAGGCCATTTCCCACTGAGCGACCTTCTGAAGTGCTCCTCGACGTTCGTCGTCGATGACGTCGTCGAAGGCGTCGAACCTCCAGAATAACTCGAAGCAGAGGACATTGACCGACGGACCGTCGTGTGGGATTCTGGAATTTTGAGCTCTTTGTAAGCTTGGCTTGTCTGGAGGTATTGTTACTGGGGTGTCAGATTTTTACCGAACAGATTTTAGATGAATACATGCGTAAGTCGTATTGAGGTCGGGCGCAGCGTTATTTATCACAACCGTGTTGAATCATGGGTATCAATAGTAAGCCCAAAAAGAAAATAACTCACTTGGCGCAGCTCCATCGATGATCACAGAAGGTCGGGAGCATGACGGTGAGGCCAACGACGGGTGCTTCAATGACAGATCCAGTGGCTGAAATCCATTGAAACTTATTCGTTCCGACCATTTGAAAGCTCACCAGATCCTCCTCCTCGTCGCTGTCGTTGCCGAAACTGTTCCGCTGCTGCTCATCAACAAGCTCAGAAGCCCAGAAGTTCTGCGGCGACTTCAGGTTGGTAGGCGTCGGCGGCGATGGCTCCTCGTCCTTGTCGACCAGCGAGACCTCCTTAGTGGAGTCCGACAGGCCGACGACGTCAATGTCTGGCTCGACGACCTGCTGCGGAACCATATTGTGGAGCAGCAGCAGCTGGGCGGCCGAATGAGCGTGATGCGCCGGTGGAGTGTAAGTCGTCGGGAAGAACTGAAGAGGTGCCATCCAATCTGAAGCCGAAGTTCTTCCTTATTACAGGTGGTCAGGGGTACCAGGTATGGCGTGGGCGAAGGACGTCGACGGCGCCGTCTGTAGAGCCACAAAGCTGGAGATCGACGACGGCAACATCCGCGACATCGGCGAGTCACCCGGACGCGGCATTTCGACGCTGCAAGTAGTTCGTTTTTTTTTGATTGTTATACAGTATCCACTTCATAGTGTTCTTGAGAGAAATTCTTCATAGGAACTTATGACCGCATTTGGAATGGCTCAAAGCGTGAAATCAGTTCTACAGGCGAGTCTTAACGCTCCATCGATTTTTAGCATTTGAGCGAAAGTCGTTTTAAGTCGGACGAACTTAATAATGGCCTGAAGCGATAAATTCCAAGTGTGACCATGATTTTTAAGCTATAAAATTGTAGAAAATGACGGGAAAGATTGGAAGTGATAATAGGAAAATTTGAAGTTACTACTTAAGAAGTGAGAACATGTTTTAGTTCGAGTCTTAAGTGACCACTTTAGATGGTTCTTCCTCATTTTCTGATAGTTAGAGGTGCATTATTAACAAGAAGAACTCTGAAAGTACCATTTTTTTAATTTGTGTATATTTTCCGTTCTTCGAATCAACTTTAAAAAATCGACAAAAATAGCTCAAATTTAAGCCAGAAGCCAGTTATTTAATCAGTTGTAAGGATTAATATTTGCCAGAAAATGTTTAATCTCAAAAACTAGAAGAGGGATTTTATATTTTCGGGACTTTTCCAAAATATTTTGTCCTCTTTTTAATCTTTAAAACAATCAAGAAGTTTTTTTTTCCAGTTTCAAAACTTTCAATTTTCATCAGAAAACGCGTTTTGTTTGCCCTCTTTGCCGGTTCGAATCGATGGAAATTTTTTTTTTCTTAAAGCGAGAGAAAGGTTTAAAAGTTATTGAAGAGAAGAAGAGGAATAAATAAGGTATAGGTGAACGAAAAAAAGAGTAGAAAAGTCACGACCCATTTAACTTTTCTCTTTCACTCTCTTGATTTGAAAGCTTCGAAATTGCAGGTTTTTCAGTGATTTGTAGGTGGAAGAAAGGTTCAGACAAAGTAGGAAAGGCCATTTTCAATATATATAATAGAATTGAGCCGAGAAAAAAACGGAAAAAAAGGCTCTACAAGTACCCCATGTAGGGATCGCAAATTTGAAAGTTCGAAAAATTTTTTTGTTTTTTTCGGATAGTTTCCGAACTTTTTGTTTGTAAAAAGGCCTTTTATCCAAATAATCAAATCATAAAAAAACTCTCTGGAAATTTTAAAGGCCCAAAAAAACTGATTTTTTTAGCAGCTCTTTTTCGCTGCGAGAACTTTTTTTAACTTTTTTTCCATGATTTTTTTCAAAAAAATTGAGCTAATGTGGATATTTTTCCTCCAAAAATTAGTCCATTAAAATTCAAATCAACCTTTTTTTATTAAACATTGCCTCAAGTTGACTTCGTCTTCTTTTTCGTGACAGCCCTTTTTCGCTGCGAGACCATTTTTAAACTTTGTCCATGATTTTTTTCAAAAAAATTGAGCTTATTTGAATAGAGATAAATCTCCAAAGGTAGTCCATTGAAGTCCAGATCTACCTTTTCCATTAAATATTGCCTCAAGTTGGCTTTTTCTTCTTTATCATGACAGCTCTATCTCCCTAAGTTTTGGAAAATTGAAAAAAAAGGACTATAAAACGGGAAAAGTTGTGGAAATGGCAAAAAAGACAGCAAGAGAGACAGAGAGACAGATCTGTGTGGGGGGCAAAAAGGAGGACGCGCGTCGAGAATACCGCGAATTCCGATAACACAATACAAACTTGGGGTCTCCGCCGTCGTCTGCCTGTGTATGTGCAGGCCAGGTCCGACTGTTGACTCACAACCCGGCGGCAATTCGTCTCTTTACTCGACTCTGCGGCTTCTCCTCAACTCTTTCAATGAGAGAGATGGAGAAGAAGAGAAGAAGAAGTTACAGGAGTACACAGAGGAAAGGTGAAGTGGCTCCCAAAAAAAGGGTTTGCACGTTTGAACTGTGGTGGATGCCTCTGAGCTTGAAGGTACGATCTGACTCGACAAGGAAGGTGAGGAGGGTTTGGAAGTTTCTATAGATCTGCCCAAACAATCTTTGATCGACTAGGAATCGATCCCCCATAATCGCTATCTGCGCAAACGTTTCGTTTTGGAAATATGATTTTTTTTAATTTTTGTCCTTAAACACGTGACGCCGTTTGGAAGAAATCTATGCGCGCAATCAGCCATCGCTTGCAAGTTAGGAGCCTGGCGCAATGGCTAGCGCGGTAGCCTGCGGATCATAGGATGAGTGTTCGAGTCATTTTGCCGAAAATTTTTTTGCCATAATTTTTTTTCAAGAATTCTGATGAGAATGTTGAAATTTTATGAGTATAATCGTTCCAAAACCGTTCGATGGTGTTAGGAAACTCACACGGCGAAGACTGAACAGATTGGAAATCGACTCATCACAATATAACTCTGACCATCAAGCTTTTCTCATTATTGTTGAATTTTAAGTCCTAACCACTTTCTGCGGTGCGTCGTAGCGCAACAGGTTGTATGCCTGTCTACGGCTCAAAGGGTCTCAAGTTCGATCCCCACCGCGACCCAACTCAGGGGTTCAAGAGATGTTGGTAGTTCCAAACCAGGTCTTTATAATCATCAGTCGTCACACAAAAAAGATATTTCATTGGAGGAAGTCCACTGATTATCATTGATATCAGAATAGAGAGGACCTTGTCTAATAGACTTGGGGCACCGACACCACTTCAGCGATTCAAAGGCTCAAGAAAAAGGTGTAGAAGATTTCAACTTTTTCTAGATGTAATTTTGTAAGCACGCCGTGAGCAGTATCTCTTCTCTAGGAAGTTTTTTTAAAGCAACCGTCTCTGATAGGTTTAAAGGTATCAGCTGGGATCTTCAAAGGAAAGAAAAGAAAGCGCAGAAATGAGACTTTTTCAATCCTTGGCGAATGAGGTATATGAAAAGGAAGGAAAATCAACGAATATGAAAAATGGTTTTCGATTGAATCTACTAGAACCACTAGAAGGATAATTCAGATTCGTCATGGTCTTTTCAAAATCAAAAAGCTCTTTCATAAAACAAATTTTTGAATCGAACTCAAATTTCCTAGTTTGACGTTCGATTTGCCTCCGTGATTTTCACCAAAACTTGTGTGCTTTGGTTTGTTGAGCAGAGAAGAAAAAATACATGGAAATGACGAGAAATGAGTACACAAACGAGGAAAAAGCTCGGCAGGGAAGACAAATACGGTCCTTGCGAAAAAAGTCTGGGTGGTAGCGGAAGAGCACAAATCATAGTGATTCTAAATTGGATAACTTTATTCATTTCTGAGGACTTTTTCAAGTTTTCACGTCTTTAAAGGAGCCTTTGAACTTCTAGTTCGCCAAATATGGTTCCCGGTTCAACCTGAACACGGTTTCCCCCTTCTAGGTGATGATAAACATGTCTAAACAAAGCAAAAACATCAGTAACGATAGTGAGATCGCTTGAAAGAGTGATTCTAGCGAGAGCGAAGCAGGAAATCGACCAAGTCGGTTTGCAAAAGGAGAAGGCCTCCGTCAGTGATAAGCTGTCCTTCTTCTTCTCTCTGAGAACGGCAGAGACAGTCGGGCGCCGTGCGGAGGAAACAGGGGAAAAGAAGAAGAAGAAGATGTCGCGAAACATTTTTCGCATTGGGGAGATGGAAAAATAGCGCCGCGGCACGACGAGGGCGCCCGACGAAGAAGAAACAGATAGGACAGGTTCGGAAACGCTCGGAATGCCTCGAACGATCGGCGGTGGTCATCTACCGGCTCGGCTTGTTCAGGAATAATCAGAGTAGTTGGAATGTTAGAGCTCAAGCAAATTCGGGGCCGGTGTTGGGAAGGTGTATGGAAGCTAGAAGTTCTTAAGAAAGCATTTGGAAGGTGAAAATAGAAAATGCCTGCCAGAGTCCTGCTGAAAGCTTCTGAAGGTCGTTTTTGCGTAGGGTTTTGAATTTTCTATAAATTTGCTGAAACAATCTTTGGTGGACTGGGAATCGATCTCTCATAGTCGCTATCTGCGCAAACTTTTCGTTTTGGAGATATGATTTTTTAACGTTTTCATCTTTAAACACGTGATACCATTTGGAAGGAATGTGTCCGCAGCACAAGTCATTGACGCTAGGAGCGTGGTTCAGTGGCTAGCGCAGTAGCCTGCGAATGATGAAGGTTCGAATCTTTTTGCGGCTATCCTTTTTTGCCATTTTTTTTTTGACAGATTATAATGAACATGTCGAAATTTCATAATTAAAAACGTTCCAAAACCGTTCGATGGCCATTTTCCTCCAAAAAGGACTTTTTTAACAAAATTTTTTTTAATTTCTTGAAGTTGCGTTCACATCATCAAAAAATATTTTTTCTTCAAATTCATCTGTTCAAAAAAACGTTTGGGACTACGAAAATTTGGAAAACATCACTTGTATAGAAATGAAAAAGGAAAAATTTGAAGAAAAATTTTTTTCCAATAAAAGCTCGATTGGCAGGCTTTTTTTCTAGGTAGAAGGTGTTGGGAAACACTGTGGAAGGTCACTTTCTGGAAAGCTTCCAAAAGGAACCGAAAGCAGAAGCTCCTAACTTCTACATTAAATAAGGCTATGAAGATTGGAAGTTCATGACAGAAAAAAAAGAAAAAAAGTTGAATGATTCAGAAATACCAAAAATTGAGTCTTCAGACCATCTCCTGTTGAAAAACCATCCATTGACTATAAAAGGTCAGCATAGTCTATCCATTTCCAGCCTTAGAGGGATAGTGAAAGAACATCAGTTTCAAGAAATCTTCAAAAAACGAACCAGTCCGCAAGACAAGCCGGCACAGTGAAGACGTTGCAGAGAAGCATTTTGGAATCGAAAGTCGGGATGTAATGGCAGAAAAAAAATCCGAGTGGCCTCTCCGAAGGGGCAGGCGCTCCTTCCGAGCATTCCACGCATTCCTCCCCCTACTACTCCTCAACTGTTTTTTTCTCCCCATTCTGTTCTCTCAGATCGCTTTCTCTACTGCACGCCTGTTCGCATTCCTCTCCGATCGCTTAAGAAACCACTGGATGGAAAAAATGGACATTCCCCAGACAGCTGTCGCCATCAACCATGAGCGATGAACCTCCCTCCGAAAAAATGCTCTTTTGTGTAATGTTCGGGCCCATTTTTCACGGCCCCTATCCATTAGAAAAGTATCAAAATAGTTTCGGCCCACGGAACGGCTTTGCAGAAGGGGATCAAAAATCTGATATTGAGCGCTTTTCTGTTGGATTTTTCAATAGAAGTCTGCAAATTTCTCTGAAAGCCCTCTATTTTTCGATTCTATCAGAATATGGTTGAATTTGGTAACCTTATTTGGAAAGTCTGAAAAGCTAACGGATTAATAAAAAATCTGCAACAAATCCATCACTTTTTCGATCTGCGAAACTTGCAAAAGGATAAAAAAAATCGTATTTATTTCAATAAAAAAATTCTTAATCTGTAAAATAATTTGTGGACTTGAAATTCGAACCAAGTGACAAAAATTCAAATATTTATAACTTTTTGGTATCGAAATTCAGCCTGAAATTCAAATATTTTTGACTCGAAAAAAAGACAGTATTTGCAATAGCTATCTGATCAAACTATCTAATCCGATTTAAAATGGTCGTTTTTTTCTAAATTTAAGTGAGCCAACAAAAACGGCTGGAAAAAGTTGGTCCGTTTGGTCACTTTTTACAATGCATATTTTTTTCAAGTTTACAAAATTTGAAAAAGTTTTTTTGGCGTTTTTTTCAAAGAGCCTTTTACATTAAATTCATTGAAATAAACACAAAATATCCTATTTTGAGCCGAGAATAATCCTTTTTTCGAAACCTGATTGAGAATTCTACGCTTAAACGATTTAACTGAAAAAAAACTTTGACATTTTTAAAAATGGCCACTTTGGAAAAAAAAGACCGAATTTTCAAGCATATCAATACCACCAATTGTTGTTTCGAAATCAACCAATTTACATAATTACATTTACTCCCGAAATTCTTCAAATTGTTAACCCACTCAGACAAATGCCTCGGTCTCTGCATGTTTGACTCGGACTCGTCATTTAATTTGGTCTTCATTTGCGGGTTTTTATCTTAAGGTGATTTTTCCAGGCGCGCTGCCTCTGTCCACCAAAAGCGCGCGCCCGACTCGCCGTGACTTTCGCGTCCTATCATCCTACATCGGTGCGGTTTGGTTAGAAAAGCTCTACTTGCCCCTATGTCTCGTTTTTTTGATAGGAAAGAAAGGGAGCTTTTTGTGAAAAATGAAAGAAATATTTCGAATAAAGCAGAGAATTTTTTCTAAAAACTCTCGCGGAATTTTTTTCTCGAATGGAAACAAAGTATAAAGAAAAATTATTTTTTTCTTAATGACGTCCTGATGGAACAAAGTTTCTTCGACTGGTTCCCAAAACCACGAAAACAACCAACAGCAGCTGTCAAGTGTTTTTTGTTACCCGGCAAACTTGCAAGTTTCTTAATTTCTCCACTTTTCCTCAACAAAGTTTATCTCCTCTCATAGAAAGCTAAACTCTGGTCAAAATGATAGTTAGAAAAAAAAAATCAGATAAGCTCAAAAAAAATGATTGAGAAGTTTCGAGTTTTCCAAGTTGACTCTGTTTCTAATTAGAAACAAAAAAAACGGAGATTTCTAAATTTTCGAAGATTCTTGAACCTTGCAGGACTGAAATCCCGCACTCCGATTTTCAAAACTGTTTAAATTAGGAAAAAAATAATCAAAATAGTACAAAGTTGTTACAAAAATTGAGTCGATCATCTCAAAAATATTGGGAAAAAGTGGCCACTATAGAGGCTCGCCAAGGACTACTTAGAGAAGACACTAAAGTGGCCACTAAACCCACCTCTATAGTGGCAAATATTCTTAGTTTTAGTGCCCGCTATAGAGGTTCTCTATTCAGTGGCCACTTCAGTCGTTTTTTATCTAGTATTCCTTCCAGTAACTGTGATAATTTTAAAACAAACAGATTGGACCAGTTATGTTGATCCATTGACCCCTAAAGTGACCACTAGTGGTCTAGTAGTAGCACTTAGATCTCTATAGTGGCCACTAATCTTTAACCCCTTAAGTGGCCACTAATTTGACTACTATAGTGGCCACTAAATTTTAACCCCTCAAGTGGCCACTAATTTGACTACTATAGACTATAGTGGACACTAAAAACTTTCACAGTACAACCAATTTTTTTTAAACAAGCAAGGTTTTACTTAAATACGAGCTTATTAAGCTCAGTCAAAGCCTGGATTTTTCAAATTATAAGTTGTGGTGTAACTCGAATCAGTGAAAAAGACATTCATTCCAAGAAAATAATGAAAAAATGGCAAAAAAACATGATCAGTTGGCTTGGACGACGTCTTCGAGAAGCGGCGGCCTCTGGTCGAACCTCTCGATAAAGTATTCCATGATAATATAGTAGGTGAGCTGGACGAACAGGTTGCCACTGTAGGTGCAGAGAAGAGCCAAGCCGAGCAGACCCATCGTTGGATAATTATCGATTGAACTTCTCAGCGGAAGTCGGAATCGAGGTCGTCGTCGGACAGTAGCCAAGTGAGGAGGGTGCCAGAGATGCAAAGTAACACTGGACGTGTTTTTGGGGTTTTCCCAGAAAAGGGACACAGATGCAACTGATGGTTCGGTTTCGTTTCAGAACGTTTTTTTTGGGGTAAGACAGGTTTTCCATAGGTTATAGCTTCAAGGTTTTCGAAAAAATACAAGCTTTAATAGAAGAATTAAAAGGAGAAGAATTAATAGAAGAATTAAAAAGAAAAGTCCCGTACCGAAGAGTTTTGACGCCTCTGAAGGCCCAGAATTAATGAATTAAAATCTTTATTTTAAACAAGGAGGTGAAGATACAGTCTGAGAAGTAGATCCGTAAGGTTAAGCCAGTCCATAAAGTCTAGAATAGTAGTCCGATCATGCAAAATTTGAAAAATCTACTCCTCCAAAGCCACTGAGTCCATTACAAGGAAGGTAATTTTTCTTTGCGGTCGGGAATGAAAATTGAAAATTGGTTAGAACTCTCCTTGAAGTACCAAACAAAGTATTCGGGAAGTCTCAACCTGCACAACTTTTTAGTTTTTGAGAGAGGACACTCAAAGTCAAAAAAAACCCTTACAGGAAGGCAGTTTTACTTTTCGGTCGGGAATTTCTTGAAAACAAGCCAGAAAAATCATTGTTTAACCAGACAAAGATCCTGGAAGTCTCAACCTGCAAAACTTTCTACTTTACGAGAAATACCGGCCTAAATTAGTCTATTTTAATGGATTTTGAGGGATTCCTTTTTGAGGGGAGGCGTCTTTTCTCGAAAGTTAAGAAGTTGTGCAGGTTGAAACTTTCAGAATCGTCTTCTGGTACATCAAGGAACATTTTGACAAAATTTCAAAAAGTTCCCAATCACAAAGTAAAATGCCTTGTAAGGATTTTGGCGACTTTGAGGGCCGAGTGAGCGTTTTTAAAAAGTAAACTTTTTTTTAATTTCCAACAAAGAAGCGAAGAAATACTCCAGAATGTTAAGCCATTCCAAAAAGTTAAGAACACCAGTCAATTTATCCAAACATATATATATATATACTCTTCCACAGCCAAAGAGTCCCTTAGTATCTCACTTTTCAAAAAGAGACCTTTTTTTACTAGGGATTTTTCTAACTTGATTTTTTCCAACTTTTAAGGTCCATGGTCTCTTCAAAACGCTCTCTGACAACATTAAAGATTTTCCCGTACAGAAAAAAAATCCAACGAACTAACCTGGCATCGATACTGCCGAAGGAGCTCTCCATGGAAGTCTCGACGGAAGTCTCGCTGTTGTCCGTGAGAGACGAGTTGTGCAGCCATCGGTACATCTGCAGGTGCCGATGGTCGAACTGGCTCAGTTCTGGTCCTTTTCCGTCCATCTTTCTTGATTTTTCTTCTGGAACTCCCTGAAAATTCAATAATTCTTCCTTTTTGCCCACATTATGTGTTCTTTAGCTTCAACTTCGTAAAGGGGTTTGAACAATTGTTTGAAACAGGGTCTCAAAAAAGTCTTAAAAAGAAAAGTCTAAAGCTCGAGTTCCAAAAAAATGTCAAAAGTCTCTCAGAATCTCCTTTCTTTCCGCCTCCTTCAGTTTTACCCCCTTGAAAGGTCCTTTGAGGCTTTTTGAGACTTTTTGGAACTTGCCCGTGAAGGATTTATAGCATTTTTGATCACCCACAAAATGATTATTTTTATTTATTTTAAGGCAAATCATTGATTTTTTCGTCTTTGAAAGGCTATAACTTTTTTCAAACAGCTCCTAGACATTTTTCAATCCCAAATTCAGAATCAGCTCAGAAACTTTATCTAGGGGTAAATTATTCATTCAGAAGTCTTCACTCGTTTATGAAATTATTATGATAGTTCTGAAAATGTATTACAAAAAGGGAAAAAAATCATGTATTTTTTTATATTTTTTTCAACCGAAAAAAATCCAGACTTTTTCTTTTTAAATGAGCTTCCCCCGTATTAAAAATCCAAAAATCATAAATTCATCCTTTTTCTCATTCAAAACAAGCTATATGCTTCTATCCAAAAAAATATTAATAAAATGGTCAAATTATTGTCAAAAATGTCGAGAGAAAGTTAGGAAAGACGGCCGAATCGAACGAGGAGCCGGCCGATAAGTGAAACCGATTTTATCAGAAATTCATTGGCCGCTTCTTTTTTCTTATCAAAAAATAATCGTTCACAAACATTTGCTGCCCGCGCACCTGGCGAATTCCAAGAATGTCGATGGAAAAATGGATGGATAATGGAAATTCTTAATGGATCTCGAGTTTTTTGAAGTTTGCCGATGAGAAAAATGCGTTAAAGATGGCCGTTTTTAAGTGGCTTTAAGTGAAAAATGGAATTTTTTAAACTGTCTGGGCGAAGTTTTCATTGAAAGTATCTACTCTTGAAGGTATTGAAAAAAACAGATTTTCAGAAAAAAACCCGATTTTATCCTTTATCCATGGGTCTTATAGGGAAAGTATGGGTAAAAATGAGCAAAAAATAATATCTCAAAACTGAGATATAAAGAAAACACAAAAAATCGCTAACTCCATCGAAGCCTGTGTAAAATCATCATTTTTCACCAGAGAAGCATTTTGCGATCAAAGTTTGCAAATATAACATGAATAAAAAGCTTTTGTGACGAAAAAAACTTTGGTGAAAACAGAAAAAATTGAAATTTGAAAGAAACGAAGAAAAAAGCGAAAATCCGAAAAATGGCGAAGCCTGTTGTCCATGGAGCAAATTTACTGCAAAGCGCCCTTTTGGCGGGAACTCAAGCTTTCCTCTCTCCGACTTTGAAATATTTTTTCTACAAAACTAGGAAGTTCTGTACGTTTCCATGTTCACCGTTCGATTCGCAATAAAAAGCTCTACAAAGTACTGCTTTGAACTGAAACACTGTTTTTTTACTGCCCTATGCCTTTAATAAAATCCTAGTTGTGAACTTTGAAGAAGAAAATTTTTTTCGTGACCTGAAAAGACTCTACTCGGAAACTTCATAGAAAATCGTCAATCACCAAATAAAACGATATTTTCCGTTAAGGGGTCCGGAAAAATAGAAAAGAACGAAGGTTATGACGCACAAGAAGGAACTTTGAACACTATTAAATTCGAAGAAACGTTGGTGGCGATATGAGCCGAGTTAATGGCCGCCCATCAACCATAAACAATTTTTTTCCAGAATGTATATCATTGAGTATTTGAACTTTCCCATCAATAGATTCTTTGAAATGTATTTCAACAACAAAACATTCTTTCAGAAACAAAAACGAGCGAAGAACCAAGAAACCAAATGTGAATCAGATTGATTTAGATAACAAAAAAAATTCGAAAAGAAAAGAATGCCTGGAACTTGAGGCCGACGCAATATCGTTTTTTTGTTATGAAACGGTAAGCGGAAAGAAATGATAAGATAAAAAAAAAGAAAAATCGAAGGAACACAACCATCAAATCGCCCTTCGCAGATTGATTTCCAATAGGAGACTATTTCGAATGGCATTTTTTATATTTTGTCAAAGTAATCATGAAAAATAATCATAGGCAAAGATGGGAAGGTTGAAAAAAGGTCATAGAAATATTCCTTTTAGGGTGACAAGGTTCCTTTTTTGCTGCCTTTTTGCGCCATTTCATGGGCTCTTGTGCACCATGTCTGCTGCCTTACCCTTTTTTCACCGTTCCTTGAGCTTTTAAAATACCAGAAAAGTGGAAGGCTTGATAAAGGGACTCTTTTTGCGGCCTTTTTGCTGCCTTTTTGCGGCCTTTTTGCTGTCTTTTTGCTGCCTTTCTGCGACCTTTTTTGAGCCTCCTCCTTTTAGCGGTCATTATCCACCATTCCGACTTTGCCGAGTATGAAAATTGAATAAAGACATAAATTATAGAAATTCGCAATCCACTTCCAAAGATCCACTCGGAATGGCCCGAACGTCCGTTCTTTGTCAATTTCTTTACTTGGAATTGCAAAGGAATCTCGATTTTTAGCTTTCATAAAAAATATCATTTTAAACTTTTTCTGAGGGATAGAGACAGTGAAAATCGAATATTTTTTTCCAAATTTTTTTCTATTTTTCTTTGCAAATCAATCATTCGCTTTTTCCAATTAATAAATGACGAAAAATAATCCGGTTATCAGGTCATGTGATCGAGTTATCAGTAAACTTTTCCCACTGGAAATTTTATTTTCCAGAGATCATTGATAGTGTTTTCGAAGCATTGAACTCCATTCGATTCGTTTTTTCAGTTTCTGAGATTTTGAATGAAAAATAGTGATTTTGTTTCCGGATTGATATGGTACAAATATAGCCTATTCCGCACCAACTTATCCCGAAATTTTCTTTTTTCGAGTTCTAGGAAAAAAATGCTCCATGAGACTGCGCATGCGCCTTTAATTTGAAGGAAAGAGGGCCTTTATTAAAGGCGCAGGCTCATGGACAGGTCGCGTGTCTCGAAGCGATGTCCTACTGTGACCCAGAGGGAAAAAATCGGAACAAGCTGACATGGAATGAGCTAATCGAAACAAATTTACAGGTGTCACCGGAATTGAACAGATTAGCAGGGGCGGAAGGGCGGGGCAATCGCAAAATCATCTGCAAGCCCCCCTGACGTCATTTTGACATTTTTCCGTCTTATCGGTGACCAATTGAGGTTGGAGTTATCAAAAGCACTATCGCATTTTTTTTGGTACAAACTACGAAATTTCAAAATTCAGTACGAACGATAATAAAAACAACTTTTTGAACTCATGAAACAGAAAAAGAATGAAAAAATTCGGGCTTTTTCTCTATAATTACTTCAAAAATGTAGTGTCCGTTTTTTTGGTCTGAAATTGAACCCAAAACTCTTCAGTTATCCCTTGACTCACGTGAACGTGAACGGTTTAAAAAATTATCGTCTTTCAAAATTTTTCTCATCTTCTTTCTGATAAAGGGGATGTCAGAAGGACGTGAATCATAAGAAAGTGAACGACGGAAGTAATTTTCTGGAACTCTTGAAAAAGCCGAAGTTGCGCTGGCAGGATTTAATTTTAGAGGTCCTCGAATAAATTTTTCGAAGCCTCGGGTCAGTCGAGAAGATTGTCAAGACCTTTATTTTTCTCTACAAATAAATCATTTCTTGTCTTTTGTAAATTCGTGAAGAAAATTCGAAAAATCGTAAGTTTCCTCATAGTTTGGTGATCAAAAGTACAACAGGAAGTTGTGAATAGAACAAAAACTTTAAAGTTCAGAGCTTTCGATTGGGCCAAGCTTAGGCTCTTACAACTTACCCCGTGATCCGTCGTCTAAACTTAATTCTAAACCGTTAATTTTCATTTTTTCATAATTTTCACGGATACGGTACCTTGTTCGGCCGCGAACATCACTTCTGCGGAAAAAAAGCATATTAATTCACGCGCAACTCCTGTAGATTTACAGAAATTTTTATATAAATTTTTTTCTTCACGGCTTCTTGTACTGAAATTTGATGAATATATTTTTCGGTTTTTTTGCCAATTGTTTTTTTCATTTTCATATGGCCCACTGATTGTATCTCGAACACCTGCGATATAAAATCAATTAAAGCTGCGATTTTTTCGAAGCTTAAAATCCATTGGATGCGTTTTTCGAATTGCTGAGAATAAAAAATAATTTTATTTCGGAATATATATGGTACAAATAAAGGATAATCGAAGGAAAAAATTTACAGGTGTCTGCGGGATTGAATGGTTCAGCAGGGTCTGACGGACGGACGAGGCGTTGGCCGCGGGGCAATCGGAAAATCATCTGCAAGCATTCATGACGTCATTTCGACATTTTCCGTCTTTCCGGTGACCAATTGAGATTGAAGTTAGCAGAATAACAGCCATGTTTTGTGACGAAACTTTCGAAATGAAATCAAATTTTTTTTTCAAACTGTATGCGGTGTTCAAAGTAATTTCTGCGAAATCCAAAATTATCTCTGACCCTCCAAAATTTCGTTCTATCTTTCTTTCTCTGACGATTATTCAGAATTTCGTGGGATCCCTTTGAATACTCTGCGTGCATTTCTACAAGGTTAACAAGTTTTTTTTCCTGGAAAGAATAAATATGGAAGAAGCTGACCAGTCACTAGATTTTTTCGAGAAGAAAGCCAGCTATGAAGTAACTATGATAGCTCGTATCTTCTAGCGATTTCAGAACACGATTAATCAAAAACAAAGAAACCGTCTGGCCGCGATGGGAAGACGAAATCGGCGTTGGAGTCGACGCTCTCAATGGGACGAGCCATGAAACTTGGAGTGTTGAGCAGGAAAAGCATGAACCAAACCAACATCCACAAAAACTTCATTTTCTGAATTCCTTGGTTTGAAGATTTTCTAGTTATAAAGTAGGATAATGTCCTGAAGTTCTCGGGCAAAGTCAGAATGGTGTATAATGGCCGCTAAAAGGGAGAGGCTCAAAAAGTACCGCAGAATGGCAGTAAAGAGGCAGCAAAGAGAGTTCCTTTATCAAGCCTTCTACTTTTCTGGAATTTTAAAAGATCAAGGAACGGTGAAAAAAGGGTAAGGCAGCAGAAATGGTGCTTGAGAACCAATGAAATGGCGCAAAAAGAGACTAAAATGAAGATTTTTATGGAGCCTTTTCCCACCCTTTCCGACTTTGCCCATGTTGATAAATTTCTGTCTAAAAACGGAGAATTTCAAGGTCAGAAAGTTCATACTCTTTGAATTTTGAAAATCAGAAACTTTAAATGAAAGCACCAAAAAAACAATCAGTATCATGCCAGGGAGCCGAGTGGAAGTGGACAAAATCAAGGGGAGGATCTTCGAAACAAATGAGTCCGACAGCTGCCCCAGCACTGCTAGTCCCTGTCAACAACAACAAAAAGAGCTGAATCAGCTCGAGGTCAAGGCAACTTTAGGATGAAGAAATTTGTTTTTTCCACTTTTTTTGAACAGAAAGTTTGATCAAGGAGGAGTAAATAATTGAATAACCGATTTAGTTTTTTTCTAAAAAAATCCCCGCTCCCTCCCCCTTCGATTTAACTTTCAATGAAACTTGGCTGAAGTGTACTTTAGGACCTCCTTATTGCAGAACAAGAATGAAATTTCTCGCATTCGAGTTAGGACACTTCAAAAGCTTGAAACAGCCTTTTTTGGCAGAACTTGGGTGGCTTTGAAAGTTCATAACTCGAAAATTGCGAGAAATTTTTCTTGTTCTGCAACCAGTAGGTCCTGCAGTACACTCAGCCAAGTTTCATCAAAATCTCAACCTGGGGGTGGGTACTTTGTCGAATTATTAAAAATTTTTTTATTTAAAAAAACATTTTTGAGTGTTCAAGTTCACATTTTTGAGTGGTAGGTTTTGTTCCATCTTTGAAACTGCATCATTTTTTCAAAGGAAAAAAATGGCAAAAAAAAGTTTTACCAATAAGGATTCGAACCTACATCGTAGGCTCCACAGCGGTAAGCCGCTAGCCACTACACCACGCCATCTGCTGGCAGCAAGAGTTAGCCGCCGCAATACATTCCCTCCTTCCGTTCAATGCATTTTCGCGTGCAAACTTCGAGATTCCATAACTCGACTAAACTGAAAAGGCGCACTTTTTTTCAAGTTCTTTGGATTCAGGGTGTTCGAAAGTACCTATATACCAAGTTTCATCAAAATCCAATACCTCGACCTTTTGCACTTACGTCCCGACGAAGAATAACTCCAAAAATCAATGAGATAATCACCAGCTTCATCTTCAGGGGAAAAAAAGTAGAATCCGATAAAGGAGATGACAAGGTCTAGCAATGAACTTAAATTTTCACTCCCTCTCATTTTCAAAAACCATTTTCAGAAAAAAAGTCGAACGTGATAATCACGGAAGATAAGGCCGAGTATAAAAGGGATAAATGAGGGATGGACGGTCAGTTGAAGACGACAATATCCACGTTTCGACGAGATGACGTCTGCTTATTTCGGTGTAGCTGGCGGATCGGGCGGCGGCGCGACATCGCAATATCTCGGTGTGCCGGGCGCTGGAGGTGCTCCTAAGCCAGCGGGCATCTCCGGCGGCGGCGGTGGCGGAGGAGGAGCTCCGGGACAATCGGCCTACTTTGGAGTTGGAGGTGGCGGCGCGCCAGGAGGCGGCGGCGCCCAATCGGCTTACTTTGCTGTCGGAGGAGCTCCAGTTAGCAGCGGCGGCGGCGGCGGCGGTGGCTGCTCTGCACCCCGTGAGTCTTCCAGAGAGTCTTTGAGAAAGAAATGTGAATTTTCAGCACCACCAATTGGAGGATCATCAACGATGACGGCTGTCGGCGGCGCCCCTGGCGGTCGTTCTACCATGACTGCTGTCGGTGGTGCTCCAGGCGGCGCTTCGACCATGACCGCTGTTGGAGGAGCCCCGGGCGGAGGTCTTGTTCTTGACCACCTTTCCTTGAAACTTTGGGGTTTCAGCTTCAACCATGACTGCCATCGGTGGCGCTCCTGGCGGCCGTTCTACTATGACTGCTATCGGAGGTGCTCCAGGCGGAGCTTCGACCATGACCGCTGTTGGAGGAGTTCCAGCCGGAGGTCTTGTCCTCTGTCATATCCCTGTGATCTTGAAGTTTTAGCTTCGACCATGACTGCCGTTGGTGGTGCTCCAGGATCTACCATGACCGCTATTGGAGGCGCTCCAGGAGGAGGTAAATAAGAAAATCAGGGCCCAGAAAGTGTAGCTTGACAGAACCCTTGTTGGATAGATAGCTATCATATATTCCTTGGTGGAGAAATGTTTTAGCCTCGACAATGACTGCCATCGGCGGGGCTCCTGGCGGCCGTTCGACGATGACCGCTGTTGGCGGCGCTCCAGGCTCTACCATGACGGCTGTCGGTGCCGTTGCTGGAGGTACTAGAGCATTTGTCTACTAAGGAAATATGATGGCTACCAAATTTCTCATTTTGAGAGCTTCTTCATTCAAAATCTTCAGGTACATCTACCATGACCGCTGTCGGCGGAGTCCCTGGCGGAACTTCTACCATGACTGCTGTCGGCGGAGTTCCCGGTGGAGCTTCTACGATGACCGCTGTCGGTGGCGCTCCTGGAGGAGGTCAGATCTCTTCCAAGTTTCCCATGAGATTGGAGATTTTCAGCTTCTACCATGACGGCTCTTGGCGGCGCTCCTGGCGGTGGCTCTACCATGACTGCTGTTGGTCAGCCTGGTGGCGCTTCTGCCCTTGGCGCTCCTGTCGGCGGTACCTTGAATAAATCTCCGGTGAAACATTCCAATCTTCAGGCGGCGGCGGCGCTTCCTTCGGAGGCGGCGGCGGCGGTGGCGGCGGAGCCACGTCTGCCTACTTCGGCGTCGGTGGAGGCGGAGCCCCAGGAGGCGGCGGAGCCCAATCGGCCTACTTTGGCGTCGGTGGCGGACCAGCTGGCGGCGGCGGTGGTCCCAAGCTTGGCGGCGGCGGTGGCGGAGCTCCGATCCCCGGACAATCTACCTACTTGGGAGTTGGCGGAGGCGCTGCTGGAGGCGGTGGAGCCACGTCGGCATACTTCGCTCCCAAGTAAATCAGCCCTTCTGGACGCCCAGCTCGTTCTCTTCTCAGTAATTTCCACGCTTTAATAAAACGTGTGATAAATTTGCCGTTTGCGCTGTCTCTTTTTCGATCTCTTCTGAACTGGAAAAACTACATGGCGCCCGAATCTATCGCATAGCCGACCTGAATTTTGACCAAGCCCCTTGTAAATCTGAAGCGAGGTGGCCAAAATATCAAACTACCCATCTAAAATCTCCATCTGAATGTTGAATCCTATGTTTTGGGACTGAAAATTGCTTTTTTTTTTTTGGTTCTTTCGAAGATATTTTTTCACTTTCATCTGACATAAAAACAACGGGATAACAACAGTGTAACGTCAAAATCAACAAAATTCAACAGCATTGAACAATTAAAATTATCATTTCTATACAATGACGTAATGTAAATTTACTGAGGATCCAGTAAGGTTAGTATGTTGAGTCCAATAAGAAGTAAAACAATCCTCAAGGTTTTATGTAAAATTACGAAGGTATCACTTTAGTGGTTCCTACCTAAGAAAGACCCAGAAAATACCTAGAAGCCAAACCTTCCGGCAAGGCCACCATAACAGCCGTACTCTGCATACGGATTGGAGGAGGTTTCGGCAGTTTCTGGTTGTTTTTGGGGTGGTTCTGCTGGGGTTGGGGGCTTTGGAACGTCGTTGGAAGGCGTTCCATCGAAATCCCGACGATACACTCGATTTTGCGCCGGTCGGTTGTGCCAATCCCATTTTCCGCTGAAGAAATTATGAAAATACTCGACTTTTTGGTGTCTTTTAGAACCTAGAAATTTGTTCGGATACAATTAACCCTTTTTATCAACCTCAACTTGGAAGATTGAAGCTTTAAAATCTCATTTCTCGCAAAAAAACAGCTCTTTTAACCAAAAAAAAAAAATAATAATTACAAAATGACAGTTAAAGTGAAAGATTTCAAGACAAAAAGTTGAACTTTCTATGAAGAGATTTTCGAAAACCATGATTTTCAACTTGGTTACCATTTTCTGGTATTTCAAAGGCTCAAGAAATAATGGAAAAAGGGAGAGACAGCAAAAAATGTTACAGAATGGCCGAGAAAAGGGCGCAAAAAGGCAGCAAAAAAGGAACATTTCTATGGATCCTTTTTCCACATCTTCGTAAAAATAATCTACAAGCTTACGGTCTATCAAAATTCCCACGCCCTTGCTGATGATGGTGTTCATTTCTTCCTTGATTATGCTTACCAGAATCGCTTTCTAAAATTTAACCATCAATAATTACTATTTCTACTGATAAACCTTGACGAGAAGATGACGCCGGGCCAGCAAAAGAAACTCGATTTCCCGCCCGATTTCTTTTTCCCTTTGTTCAGGTTTTTTTGGGTCCAGAGGCTGCACCTGCAAACTTTTTTGTCAAACTAAAACAATATAAAGATGAAAAAGACGTTTTTGTGATTTCCTTTAAAAAATGGACCTTTCTGCTGTTTGTAGGCCTTTTCCAGTTCATCATCACTGAATTCATTGCAACTGTCACTTCCATCATTTTCCTTCGTCGCCGCGTTTTGGAGCAAAATTTCCCGATCCATCTGCTTATTCATCTCGGCGATTTTACGTTGATCGATATTTCTCAGGTTCAAGCTAAACTATTGAATTTTAAAAAGGAGAAGCAAGGTTATTTTACCCTTTGTAGGGAGTCTTCGAGAAAGAATCTACATTCGGAGCGTAGAAAATTTTCAAACCGATGGGGATTATGGAGGCCTGGAAAGTTCGATAGAAATGGTAGAAATTACCTTTTCAGAATTTAGGGACCTTAGTGATTTTAGAGTGATCGAAACTATAGAAAAAAGCACCAAGAAGGTCCCTGAAACTCCTGAGTTCAGAGTTTTCTCACCTCCTCCGCCGTGTTGAATCTTATAGCATACTGAGGATCCTTAACCTGGCCGAAAATGTCGAAAACTTGCCCGACAATTTTTTTATCCTAAAGTTTACAAAATTGGTTGTTTTCCTTGGTGGAAATATTTAAAACCTCATCAAAGAGATACGAATCGAAATCCAGAACTTCCGTGCAATTCGGCTCAATTATCACTAAAAATTTAATTTCTTTTTAAAATAAAATCTCCAAAAACGTACCCAAGCAGTCGACAATTTTGGAAACGGTCCCGAAGCTGACAATATCAACTTTTTCTTCGCATTGAATAGTCAACTTTTCTAGTGGCGGCAGGTGCTCATATTCGCGAACATTTTCCTAAAAAAAATATTATTTCGCGTTTTTTCAGAAGGATTCAAACCGTTTTTGGCTGTTTTGGCGTTGGGCGACTTCGTTTGGAAGACGAATGTCCGTCCGGATACTCACTATTGTGAATTTTCTTCAGATACTTGTAGGATTTGTGGACGAATCTAAAAAAATGACATGGAAAAATGTGGAATTGCTAAAAATCAAGTTTGGTCTTTAACGACATAAAACAAATCAATTCGTTTTGAAAAAAATTTAACGATTTTTTTCCGAAACAAAAATCTTGATTATTTTTCATCCAAGGATCATTCCCATGTTGTAACTCCACACAAAATTCAAAAAAATTCGAAAAAAACTCAAAATTAGAAAGTACGTAGTAAGAAAAATAAAGAAAACCTGTCAAACTCTGCGTCAGAATCACTGCCAGCACCAGATTCCAGGAGAAATTCGCTCAAATCGCTGTCTGCGTCACTCAAATCCCATTCACTCTCCGTATCTCCTCCATAACTTGCTATTGAAGGCGCTCGTCTTGTTTCATTCCTCTCTACTTTCTAAAAAAATAACCATTAATTTAATAAACTCGATTAAGAAATATTACCTGAACGTCTTGATTCGCGATTTCGTCAAAAATATTCTCAAAAGAACTTTCCTTAGTTTCGACGTTTTTATCAGTCGTTTTTCTGAACCAAAAAAAATTTCTTTCAGACATAGGTAATAAAAAACTTTTCTTGGAAAAATATTGAAGAACCTGTTGGAACGCGGTCAATCTGAAATTTAAAAAAAAAGCCGGTTTTGAATGAAAACTGTCACATGCCTTTATGCTTTCTTGAATATCAGCTTCTTTATCAACGTTTGTCGAAGAGGACTCGAGATGGGAATCCTGCTAATTTCAAGTATTTTTCTGTTGCGAAGCTTCAAAATATTCACTCACTGATTCTGTTCGAAACTGGGCTTGAACATTTAAAGCTGAAAAATAGAAAAATTATAGTTACATAGAATATAAAACTCACATTCTGACAGCAAATCATTAGGCACTTCCTCAGACTTTGAAAATGAGCATTTTTCGGGCTTCGAGCTCACCACTTCTGTCTCGTCAGATGGATTGTCACATGTAATTTTCTGCTCAGTTTTCTGAAGGTCCATTCCCTAAAAACAGAGTAATTCGAAATTTCTGGCTTTAGGCCGAGAGCGCTAATCTGCGCCATCGCAACCGTAAAGTGGAGCGTCGAGGGTTCATTTTCTTATTTTTAATTTTGTTTTAATTTTTTTTTAAGTTTTCAAGCGAGATATTGTGTTCTACCAGGCTGAAAAACGTACAGCTGTGCCAAAAATTGTATGCTCTTGTTTCATTTGTTCCTGTGCTGAATTTTTTTGTTTGTATGATAATTTTAACTCTATTTTTGAAGAAATGTCAAACGAGGGCAAAGAAACTTGTGTTGGAAAAGATGTGGAGGACGTAGAATCTGACAATTATCAAGAAGAAGAAGATGAAGAAGGTGTGTTTGAACTTGCAACATTTTTTTGCTTTTTCTTTGAAGAATTTCCTAATTCTCTCTTTTCACCCCGCAGTATTCTGCGCGTGAGCGAAAAATAAACAATAAATTTAATATTCCAGTGATTGAAAATAATGCCGGAAGTTCGGAGAACAGTGGTCTGTCGAGAAGGGCGCAGAATAGGATCCGTGCACGTGAGAGGTACAAATTCCACAATAAACTATTCTCTTTTTTCAGTTATTTGCAACATCGGAAGAGGAAGCGAGTGGAAGAACGGGAAAAAAGAAAAGCGAAACGGAAAACATTGAAAGAAGCTGGCGAGGTGGAATCTCTGAAGAAAAAGCCGTTCAAGAAAATGTCAGAGTCTACTTGTCAAGTTGGTATAAGCATATTTTTGAAAATTCCGAAAATTATAAGTCAAATTAAAGAATATATTTTAGATAAGAACTTTTTTCAGTTTGCATTTGAGCCACGGTGAGACTTGGGGCTTCTAAAATCTTCAAAAAGCTTTTTTCGTGTTCTTTAAAATTATTGTAGCCAACTGGACGAAGCTTAAGATTAACAATCTGTTTCAAAATAATTGAAGGGACAAAAAAAATTTGAAATCTCTTTCTTCTAATTCCATTTCCTCAAGTTTTGCATTCAGCTAAAAATCGCACTCGACATGTCTTTCGACGAATTGATGAGCGAGAAAGATCAACGACGGGCGGTGCACCAGATCGGCTGGTGTTACACGGCGAATAGGCACGCACCCGAGCCCTTCCAGTTCTATATCGTCGGCTTCAACGGCCCAACTCGCCATGTAATTTTTAATTCATACGAAAAACCAACAAATCTCTCCAGATTTACGACAACGTGCCGCACAACAGGAACCAGGACATTTTTCTCAAGGAATCCAAGTTGGAAGAGACCTTCGAACTTGAAAATATCGTTTATTTGACTGCTGAATCGGATAACGTCGGTTTATCGTGTGTATGAGAGATTGAATCAAATTTTGAAGGTCCTCGGAACTTTAGAAGATTCGAAAGTATACGTGATAGGCGGCTTGGTCGATCACAACTCTCAAAAAGGACTTTGTCATAAGTTGGCCGTTGAGAAAGGCTTCAATCATGCGCGGCTTCCGATCGATGAGTTCGTAAATCTGAAGACGAGGAAGGTTTGTTAATTCGAAATTCTTTGAAGTCTACCTGAAACGTTTCACATTTCTTAAAGTTTTTGTTTTACTGCCAAGAACTTTGCGAATAGATTGAAAATGTTAGTGTAATGAGTAAAAAAAACATGGAAATTAGACATTTCTGTTTTGTATACAATCTTGGTCATTTTCTGAACAGCTGAACTTTTTAAATTTTGAAGTTACTGGACTTTTTCATATTTCTTTAGAAGTTAACCCGAATTTTTTTTATCGGGAATAAGAATTCTTTAGTCTGGAACTCTGAATAAATTTAGAGATAGCTATGTTTTTCATTTGTCAACTAATTCACTATCAAGTTTCTTGAATTTACCAAATTTATGGCTTTTGACTCGATTTTAATCTATTCTCAGGTCCTGACCATCAACCACGTGTTTGAAATCCTGGTCCACTACAATAGCAGCGGAAACTGGGAGCAAGCCTTCTTCTCAGTTATCCCTCAACGGAAAGGAATGCAAAAGAAGGAGGAAACAGAAGGTTCCAGCTGAAGTTTGGTATTTTTCTTATCCTTGTACGTTTGTTGTTATTTTTTTTTTTGTTGAAAATGAATATTTATTTTTAAGAAAAAAATGTACAGAAAAAAACAGTAACAGGAAGCGAATAATTACTCTTTAAAAAAAGATTCAATAAAAATGAAAATCATGTGCGAATCGGCGAATTTTCGTTGCTCTCGCTGCTATCTTCCTCTTCAGAACTGAATATCGGACGAATCGCGATTTTGCTACTGCGTCGTCGATCTTCAGGCCTAGTTTTGAGCCGCTTGTTGGTGTCGGGTTTCGGATGTTTCACAGCATCATCTAAACTTCGTTTCTGAGAAGATAGCCCTAGGAAATTTAGGCTTCAAATTCAAGAAGGTTCGCTCCATTCTGTAGCTATTCTTTCCTTATAGATTATACCAACCAAAAAAGAAACCTCCATGGTCGGCCATGAAAGAATCATCGAAGGTTTCATCGGAAGAGATGGGGTCATCCGTGAGGTCGGACTCCTCCATATCCTCGTCCGACCATTTGAAATTGATGATTGACCTATCTTTGTCCACCTGTAGGTAGCCGCCGCTTTCCTGCAGTTTCTTGATTTTTTGAAAAACGATTTGCTACTGTTCAACCTCTTGAAACCTGGAGAAAAGTGCGCTGTCGGTCTTGACCACTTCCTCTTCGACCCATCCTTCTTGTTCTCCGGCGTTCCAGGTTTCGAAAATGACCTTGGATTGGAAAAATAAGAATTTTAGACCAACTTGGCCAGGCGAGGAGCATCTCAAATGCTCGAATGAAAACAAAAATATTGGGTTTTTCGACGCCTCTTTCTAGAGTTTTCTAGTTTTCTAACTTCAACACTCAGCTTCTGAATCACTCTTTGAATTCCATAAAAAAAAATTCAGATTTTAACTAAATTACAACTTACAAAGCTCTTCGCTACCGTTAGATATCTGTTTCTGCTCCTTAAAACACTCCAGGTGCCACTCAATCAGACCTTGTAGACGTAATCTGGAGCCACGGAAGTGTCCTCGTAGAGGCGTGAAGGCTTGAATCCCAGAGCTCTTCGGTTTACATAGGCGTGTTCGAAACTGGAAATTTTCTGATTTTCAAACGTACCGAACTCATTCACTCTTGTCTCAAATGTTAGAAAATTCTTCAAGCCTTGATCATTGGACTTGCGAAGAGAATGATTAAAAAAGGATCCTTGGAAGTTCCTCTAGTGTAACGCGTTACCGATGCAAACAAAACAAATCAAGAATCAATCGACAGACGATTGTCTGTTCATTGTTCAGTTTCGCGTCTAATAAATGGCTCTGTTGACTATTGGCAATCGAGAAGCTGGAGAGCCCGATCATCGTAACAAAGTGCGAAATGGAGGAGAAGACGCACGTTAGCCGCTCAACGATCTTGTTGATCCACATGGGATCCGTCGGCTTCTGTCGTCTGATGCGTCGAGCCTCTTTCCTCGGTTTCGACATCTGCGAAATCGCTGTTGTTTATCGTCAAGCTCATTGTAAAATATCTCGAAGACACAAAAAAAACGCGGAACCTGGTTCTATGATCATGATCACTTGGTCACTGAACAAGCGAGCAAAATTACACAACTTTCCCGATCAAATTTCAGAACTAAAATTTGGAAAATGACAATTTTGAGACTGAAGTCACAGACAAACTTGAAAGAAATATGCAAAAAGTATTTTTTTAGTGTTATTTTAAGTCATGGAAGGCTTCTGCGCTTTTGAAAAAGGAAACGTTAAAAAATATCTCCGAAACGACAAAAGCTCTCACAAAATTTCAAAAATTGATAAAATAACAAAAATCCGAACAAAAAAAAAATCATACGTTCAAAAAATTAATAAATATTTCATTCAAAGGTCATTTTCCAAATTTACATTTAATCTGTATCTCAAAACGAACAAGTTCGTCATCTGTTGATGGGAATTTGAACGCATTAAAAATCCATTCACAACAACAGAAAATACGAATACGTAAAGATTGAAAACAGAGAAAATGACGTTCCACGAATGACTACGCCATTTTTTTCGACAATTTTTTTAATATTTATGTCTTTCTTTTTAACATAGAGCACCGGAAATTATCATACCAATAATTAAATGGTACAAGAATGTACAGAAAATTTGGCTAGAACAAAAAAATTCGACCATATCGCGGGCCGCAAGCGATATCGCCAAGACTTCTTGCTGCGACCTCGTCAAAGTTTCGCTTCCATATCGCTTTCTCTCATGAACTTTAGATTAAAAGAAAATTTTCCTGATAAAATAAACCAATTGAAGAAAAAATTTTCAAAGAGCGATATAGCGTGAGACTTTCGCGATGTCGCAGCGAGATGCGAGCGATATTGCTCACGGCTCCCTCACGATATCGCGTTACTGCGACATGGTCCATAGCATTGAATGAATGGTCAAAAATATCTACGTTGCGCAAAAATTATGATGCGTGGCAAGATCAACTTTTTTGATCTCTACAGTGGAGGAGTCTTTTTTGTTGATGTTTTTTTTCCAACTTAATTTTTCTGACATCATCATTCTCCTCAAGTGCAAGTACTAGAACGAACCGGAAAATGAAGTTTATTTCAAAGATTCGAAAAATTGTAGAAGTCCTCCATGGATAGGTCGTCTGCCCTCTCAGAAGGTCGCTTTCCTAGAACGGTCGGCTGGATTTTTCGAGTGCTTTCTTCAAACCGAAATTTTCACAAACACTTTCAGAACCTTAATTTCGCACAATAAAAGTGTTATTAGCAATTTTTACAGAACTTCCAAATTTAAAAGAATCTCAGAAGCCGCGCTCAAAGAGCAGCCGACCCCCGAGTGGCGTGTTTCTCGTCCCGATGCACCCAGAATAATGTCTTACGGTAGTCTCCAGGCGGAAAATACGAAGGAGAGAGCCAAAACAAAACACCAATTGGCTGGAGACATTATCAGTCGGGTCGGAGGAGCTGGACCAGTTCGGTAGACCTTCTCCAGCTCTCGGCAACTCTGCCAACTCATTCGTCTCTTTTGAAAGTTAAACTCGATGTATTATGGGGTGGTCAATGATTCAAAAGTTTGTTAATGGCCAAAACTTGATTTTTAGTAGTCACTCTGTTTTTCCTTTCACAGGAACTCTAATGAAAATGGCCTTAAAAAAGAAAAATTCCTTTTGTAAGAGAATTCGTACTGATTCGGGCCTCTTTTCATTACCTCTGGTAACTTCTTCATGTTAAAAATGTAGTTTGAACGTGGAAGAACCTTGTTTTTCATGTTACTTTCAATTTTGGAATTCAAATCATCCAATTTTGATCGGACCGAAAAATGTCTACGATAATTGCCGTGCCGACTGGATTTCGTATGAAATCCTCGTTTTCTATCTACCGAAAAATCCAATTATATACATGATAGTCGAGAATCCAGTTGCCGTTTTTCCTGTTGCTATTTTTGCTTTCTTTTCTGTGAATTTTTATTATTTTCAAACTTTCGACATTCCCATTCAAAAAATAGTTTTATCAGCTCTAAAAAATTGCAAGTTATTGTGAAATTTTTTTTTACGAAGGACTAGATCGGAAAATAAGACTCAAAACAAAAATTTTCATTCAATTTCAAGTCTACTTCTGATCTTAAAAGTCTCTGGAGCACGTGGAACGGCTCAAAGTGTAGTTTATGATTCGTTCTCAAGTGAAATAAAAATTACAATAATCAAAAAGTTCCGCAGAATCTTACTAGTAAATCAACATCTAAGAAATCGAACCAGCGTTGCATAAGCCCAGCAAAAAAAATGCGTTCTGAACAGAAAAAAAAATTCCCGATACAAATTGACCCTCTTTGTGCCTCTCTTTGTCTCGCTGGTCGTCGATGATAACATCATTTTGTTTCTTTTTTTTTGCTATTTATTGTTGTTTGCGATTGGCAATCTCTGAGGCCTAAAACTAAGACGTTCGTGTCCCGAAAAAGTATGAAATTTGAAGTGCCCGTTCGCCAAAAAAAATTCATGAAGAGAAAAACTATCAACTTTGAAAATAGTTGTTCTTTGTTAACATACACAGTTCAATCACGGGCAGAATCCATCGAAAGTGTTTTTTTTCTGCGGAAGAAAACCGGTTCTTCATAACTTAATTCGGAATTTCTCTTCAGAGGCGTATTTTTCATAATTTCCAGAACAGGTAAATTCAAAAACTCTTCAGAAATAAAGAATTTCCCAGAGGAAAACAAATTGAATTTCAGTTTTTTTCATTCCATCCTATCAGTACATAATCTATTCACCTCTAGCTTGGGAAAAAATATTATTTTTGTCAAACTTCTTCATTCGTTCGAAGGCCTACTTCCAATACTGACCCAAGAAAGGGACAAGTTTTTCGGAACTACTAGCCGACCTCAAAAATTTGATTTTTTTTTTCTTCGTCGAAAATTTCCCTTCAAGTCGATTTTTCGAAAGTTTCTGACCTTGTGGTAACACAGTACGAACCCAAAAAAACGCCTCGTGAAACCGGCGGCAGACAGTCTAAATGACGTCAACTGTTGAATGGAGCGCGTTTGTTGTTGTTTACCGGCCGGAGTCCCACAAAACAGATGCTGTTTCTTCGCTCAAGCACACTTTGTCCTGTTGGATCGAATTGGAGGAAGATCTTCGAACTCTTTATCTTTTTTCTCGCCTCAAAAACCAAATACCTCTGCACGAATCCATGTGCTCCGCCTCTCACTTTTTGGGCTCCGTCGAAATTTCTCGGCATCTCCGCCATTAGCGCTCTCTCTAAGAGACTCCGCCCCATTTTGCAACAAACAACAACAACAAAAGTGTGCATATAAATGGTGGGCTGATAGGGTTTCTCCTAGAAGTTTCGCTCATTTTCAAAACTTTAAGATATTCTTTAAAACTCCATTCACCGCTAGCTTTGGACAAGATTTACTCTATAAACATTCCAATCTTCCTTTTTGCATTTTTTTTTTTCGCTACCCTTATGAAAAATCTTATTAAACTTTTGAACCTAAATGCAGCACTAACTAAACTTTAAAAGCGACTTCATATTCTTCTTTTTGAAGTTTCTTATCTTTGCTAAATTCCAAAACTTGAACTCTAATAACTTTTTTTTTTGATTTCTTGATAGCTTTAATCTCTTTCTATGCTTCGAAAATCTTCTTTAATTAACATACAATGCTTTTTTTAATATGCATCTCGATAAATGACCGCTTTATTTATAACTTAATTTGAAAAATTTTTTCCTTTTTTCTAAAAGGTTAATTTTCAAGTCTTAAATTTTCAATTTTTCAAATTTTCAATTTTTCAAAAGAAAATTCAACAAAAAAAGCCAAAAAACCCTTTTCATGTAGTTGCTACGTCTTCGGAAAATCCCAACTTCTTCCCAAATCGAGATTTCATGCCGAACGACCTCTTAAGAGCTCAAAAACGACAAAATGTAAACATGTTTTCCTTACCCTGCGGTTGTTGTTTTTCCTGCGCGTTCGCCTCTGAACCTTTAGAACGAAGTAAAATTCCCACCCATTGCAGCTGCGGAAAGCCAAAAAAGGTCCGCCTCCTGCAAAAAATATATAAGTGAAAACTCAAAAAAAGCTGCAGCTGAAAATCGCAAACTTTTCTCTGCGAACTCTCAAAATCCTGTAATCTCTCGCGCTTGCGTTAGGGCGCAAATTCAAAAAAACTGCAAGACGTAAACAATTCTGGCGAATGATGTCATTGTAAACAACCCGCTCTTGTTTATTTTTTTCCCTCATTTCACTCTATCCTTCTACTATTTAACGTCTCATAGATGATTCCTATCACTTTCGTAGCGGTCATATAGATTTCTGAATCCGAAAAGGACTGTTGCTCAGATTATTTCAAAAGTCTAAAATTCCGGAGTTTACTCTTTTTTCTAGAAGACTTACCACTGCGCAATGTAACAAAGATTATAGGGATCTTAGAGCCTTCGCTTCATTCTATGTCTACAATACTCTTTATAAGTGCAGAAACCTGAATGATTCCTTTTTTCTTGTTTTTTTTTGCACAGTTTTGGCTTTTTCTTCTCTATTTGAAAAGCGTTCGACCTTGCGTATATCTAATATTTTTGCGGTTTTCGCTCAGCAAAACGGCTGTTTATAGTGCAACCCAAAGAAAATCCAAAAAATTTTTTGCGCCGAGAAAGTGGCGAGAGTGTGATACGATTTTTAAACACTGCTAGTGGTTCCGCTGTGATTTGACAGCCGCTTGGTCGAATTGCTATTCAAACACCTCACTTTCCGCTGTTTTTCTGTCGACGAGTAGCCGTTGCTTATTTTCTTCGCGACCAACCTTCTCTACCCGGCTGTTTTGCAGAAAAAAAAAATGCGATTTTTGTATCTACTTCCACTTTTTATCGCACTTGCGGCCGCAGCGCCGTATCCAGAGGTTTGCGATAAACAATCACTTTTGGTAAATTTTCATTTTTGTGTGACTCTTAATAATAATTTTATCTATAGGTAATTTCTGGAGTCGAACGGATCAAACGAAGCCCTGACGGTAATTTTTTATTTCTTGCTATGTCTTGATTTTTTTCCTCAACGAATGGGAAGCTTTTTGGAAGAATTTTTCACGGTCTGTGAATTTGCTCAAAAAAATGAAAATGTTTCAATTCCATTTTTTTGAGCATTTTTTTATAGATTCTAACGTCGAATTTCGTATCTTTAAAGTTTTTTTAAAATTATTCATCCAAAATTTCGAACTGGAAACACGACATTTATGGCACCAAAAATAACCCAAATAGTGTAAAAAAAAGACGTTGAGGAAAAGTCCACTCGCTTTTCTTTCCCCTTGATCTTCTCACTCTATCCCTTACCCCGTAATACGGATTTCAGAAGCCGGCGACAGGATAGAGATAGCCAAGCAATCGGCTGCAGACACATGGGACAAGACCAAGGACGCGGCTTCTGCGGCAGCTGGTAGTGGACCGTTGTAATTGGCGGAAGAAACAAACGTTTTTCCAGACAATGTCAGTGCTCGGGCCGGCGAACTTGCCGGAGCCGCGAAACAAGGCTACGAAGAGGGCAAGGCTTCGGCTGGCCGTCTGAGACGTGCCGCTTCTGGTGAATAGTTATATTTTGTTCGATGACCGGAAAAGCACAGAAGTCTTGCATACAGAAAACAGCTTACGAGACTTTTTTGAGATTAGACTTGTCCATTTTCAACCACAGCCAGCCAATTTCACGCTATTTGAACGGCATCTTCTACTCCAGAAGTCTTGGAAAAAAGTTTTATCTGAAGAGTTTTTCAGCCGCCGTCGAGTACGCGACTGACGTCGTCAACCGCTTCCGACGTGACAGCGGAGACAAGCTCGAAGCCGCCAAGGACTACGCCAAGCTCAGCGCCGACAAGGTCAAGGATGCCGCTGATGAGGCTACTGACCGTGTGAAGAGAGGTAGCTCCATCCAAATCAACCTTATAATCCTTTTGATTTTCAAGACGCCGGAGACAAACTCGAAGTCGCCAAGGACTACGCGGCCGAGAGTGTTGAAAAGACCAAGGAGGCTGCCCAGGAGGCCGCCGACCGTGTCAAGAGAGACGCTGGCGACAAGCTCGAAGACGCCGCCGACTACGCCAAGAGCAGCGCCAACAAGGCCAAGGAAGCTGCCGAGGACGCCGTTGATCGTCTTAAGCGCGGTGAGTGAAAAAAATTCGAGATTTAGAGTAATCTTGTTTTCAAGGCTATAATTTAGGCTTTTTTTTTTCAGTTTCTCTCTGAATAAATTTAGGTCTTCATAATTCAAATAATAAATTTCGACTCGCTATTGAATACATTCAAAATTTTCTTTTTTAGATGCCGGAGACAAGCTCGAAGTTGCTAAGGACTACGCCAAGGAAAGCCTCGAGAAGACCAAGGAAGCTGCTGAGGATGCCGCCGACCGAGTCAAGCGCGCTGCTGCCGACAAGTACGAGGAGGTCAAGGAGTACGTCGTCGACGACGCTGCCCCAAGACTGAAGCGCGCCGCTTCTGAGAAATATGAAGACGTCAAGGAATACATCGTCGATGACGCCGCCCCAAGACTGAAGCGTGCCGCCGCCGACAAATACGAAGAAGTCAAGGAGTACGTTGTCGAAGACGCTGCCCCTAGACTCAAGCGTGCCGCCTCGGAGAAGTACGAGGAGGTCAAGGAGTACATTGTTGACGATGCCGCCCCGAGACTGAAGCGAGCTGCCGAGGAGAAGTACGAGGAAGTCAAGGAATACATCGTCGATGACGTCGCCCCACGACTCAAGCGCGCCGCCGCCGAGAAGTACGAAGAGGCCAAGGAGTACGTTGTTGATGACGCTGCCCCGAGACTGAAGCGCGCCGCCGCCGAGAAATACGAAGAAGTCAAGGAATACATCGTTGACGATGCCGCCCCAAGACTGAAGCGCGCCGCTTCTGAGAAATACGAAGACGTCAAGGAGTACATCGTTGATGATGCCGCCCCGAGACTGAAGCGCATGGCTGAGGAGAAGCTCGAAGACGCCAAGGAGTACATCAGAGACGAGGCCGCCCCACGAGTTGCACGAGGTGAGGAGTCTTCTGAGGCTTAGATGAATTTGGCTAGTCTAATCAAATAAATTAGTTTTTTGAAAGCAGAATAAAAAGATACAAAAGTTTTTATTTTTACTGACAAAAATGACTAAATTTCAGCTGCCAGCGACGCTTACAATGACGGAAAGCAGGCTGCGCACGATGCCGCCGAATGGGTCGGAGACAAGGTTGGAAGCGTCGGAGCGACGGTTGAAAGCATCGGAGAAACTGCCGGAGAACTCAAGGAATCCGCCAAGGCCGGTTACGAAAGAGGACGCCAGGAGGCCCACCACACGATGAAGCGCGCCGCTGATGGTAAGCTTTCCCTGGAACTTTTCCAAAAAATCTCTCTAATTCCAGCCGTTGAAGACGCTGTCGAAGATGGAAAGCAGACGCTGAAGAAGGTCAAGCGCGACGTCAGCGGTAAGATTTATCCTTGAAAATTTCCATCCTAACCTTAAATTTTTTCCAGAACCCGTCGAAGATGCTGGTGTGTTTTCTTTCCTTCTCACGATTTTGCTTCCTGGATTTCTCATAATTTATGTATTCCGTTCTCTAATCTTTTCGTGATCTCTTGTACATAACTTATTTGGGTGTGTCATGTGCTTCTTTTCAAATTCTACTTGCCTTTTTGTGTGACGTTCCTTTTTGCGTGTGACGTCATTTTTCAAAGCCAGACAATCCGCTTATTTGTTGTTGTTAATAACTGTAAATATCTTCTTTGCATGTGTTTTTGGTGTTTCTAACAAGAAGTTGTAGTTCAACGGCTGGAACCCGTGCAGACTTACATCTACACGGCCAACGGGAAATTTGTGGACCGGATAGGTATTTAGCGTTCCATTGGCATCACTTCTCTGCACTTGCACGATTTTTCTTTCTTTCTTAAAACTCATTTTCGGCGTTCCATTCAGAATTTTTAGGGTGTCTTTTCTGACTAGGTGATGGTCTCAGAGTGTAGTTGGACTTTTGGAAGAGACTGGGCTCACTGAAACTTCTGAAAAAAAAAAATGAATCTAGGATCTCAGTCTCACTCAAAAGTCCGACGGCGACCAAAGAGCTTCCCTAGTGAGTGTATCTAATCTAGAAAAAACGGTAGTTGCAGCAAATCGTCGTTTTCGTGTTGCGGCTAGGCTAGAAACCTTAAACGATAGGCTGAAAAGACAGAGAGAGTATGAGGATGGTAGGGTCCAGCAGCAGCAGCAACAGCAGCGGTATGATCAAGAGCGGGAGCGGCAAGAAGCGGAACGAGCTCGGCAGCATCAGTCTCAGAGCCGTGAGGAGCAGGAACGAGCTCGAGAGCTGGCTGAGCAGCGTCGTAGAGACCGTTGCCGGAATCGTCGACCGCAGCCGACTTCGCCGCCTCAGCCGCGCTACAACTGCCTGCCGCCACCTGGTCCTCCCGAGCAGCAGCGTCAGCCTTGCAACTACCCACGTCAGCCTCAACCTCAACCTCAGTACGGTTGTGGTCAGCCTCAGCCGCCAGCTCCCACTCCTTATCCTTATCCTCAAACTGGCGGTTGCTTGCCGTCTCCTCGAGGTTACCCAGCTCCTGAGCCGAGGCAAACCGGCGGTTGTCAGCAAGTTCAGCAGCAGCCTGAGCGAAGAACTGGCGGATGCCAGCCTCAACCGCAACCTCAGCCTCAGAGAACTGGCGGTTGTCAGCCTGCTCCTCAACCTCAACCCCAACAAGACCGAAGAACTCCCTGTGAAATCAGACAGCAGCAGCAGCCTCAACCTCAGCCTCAGCCTCAGCCTTGCCAGATCCGCGTTCCAGAGAGACCTCAGCAAGATTTCCGGGATTATTACCGCGGAGGTTGTCAACCCAGACAGCCACCTCCGCCTCAGCAGCAAAGGCTCGACGAGTTCCGAGCCACGACCATCGAATGCTCGGGAATCGGACCGGCGCCTTGCCAGCCTGAATATCCGGCTCCAGCGACCGACCCATGCGTCGGCAAAGTCAAGATTGTTTCAGTGAACTCGGCTGGTTCCACTGAGCATTATGTGTATAAGAAGGCACGCGACACCAGCGCTGTTCTTTTGGGTGGGTCGTCCGGTCCTGGAAGTACTTCAAGAGTGTCTTTCTTTTTTTCATATAATTCTTTTCTCTCTCGAACAACTTTTGTGTGGCTTTTCTCCCATGTGGCGACGACGATTAGCTGTTCGAAAAATGAGGTTTTGTTGAATGGAAGGGAAACGGTAAGAATAATTGTTGATTGGAACGCTGGAAGGGTTTTTCGAAGCATCTTGGCTTGTTTAAAGGCGCATAGGTCGAGTTCAGCTTGAGACCTTTTTGGAAACCAACCCATGCTCTTTTTAACAACCCAGCAAGCTTTTCAGGAATTTTGTAAATAGTGTATTTGTGTAAATTTTCTTGTTTTTCTATGTCTGTGCCGTCCTTTTTTTCATCAAATATCTTGAGTTTGCCGTAAAACTATCAGTGACGAGTGTTTTGAGGGTATCTTCGGTCCATTATGTTTCTTTTTCGAAAATTGAAAAAGCATGGAAGACCGTTTCTCTTCAAAATTGTTTCTGTAAAGGTTTTTCTAACAAAGTACAGATTACATTTTATTGTTCATATGTGTCTAATAAACGCTTATAAAATTCTGTGTTCTAACAACAAAAAAAAAAGATTGAGCAAAAATCCAAGGTTCCCTCACTAACTCGTCACTGTAGCTAACTTTTTTTCTCAGAATATCGAGTCCTCACAAATCCTAAAGCATGTGTTCAGGAGATGCTGCTCGCCAAAACGCTGAGATCGCTGGAGAGAAGGTCGGACAGGCTGTTGGTGAGTGAAGCTGTGTAGATGGTCCAGCTCATGTCTGCTCTCAGAAAATGCCGGTGAAGCCGCTCACCGCGGTGCCGCCTACGCCGGAGAGAAGGTCGGACAGGCCGCTGAGGGAGTCGTTGATGCCGCCGGAGCCGTCGGAGAGAAGATCGGAGAGGCTGGCGAGCGTGTCGCCGAGAAGGCCCACGAAGGATACGTCGAGGGCAAGCAGGCCGTTCACAACGCCGGAGCCGCTGTTAAGGATGCCGGAGGTAGCGCATTACTGAAAAAAAAATCTATGACTCTCATTATTTTATCATGCCACCGATATTCAAGTATACCCAGTAGTATGAGTTAAAGAAACGTAATAGCTTTCTAGAAATGGCCAAGTAAAGATTTTTCTTCCAGAATGGGTTGGCGACAAGGCTGCCGAGGGAGCTGAGGCCGTCAAGGACGGAGCCGTTGCTGGAGCCGTAGCCGTGAAAGACGGAGCCGTCGCTGTCAAGGACGGAGCTGTCGCCGGCGCTGAAGCCGTCAAAGACGGAGCCGTCGCTGGAGCGGAAGCCGTGAGAGATGGAGCTGTCGCCGGAGCTGAAGCCGTCAAGGACACGGCTGTCGCTGGTGCCACGGCTGTCCGAGATGGAGCTGTCGCTGGAGCTGAGGCTGTAAAGGACTCGGCCGTCGCTGGCTACCAGAAGGGAAAGGAAGCCGTTCATGATGCGGGTGAAGCTGTCAAGGACGCTGGAGGTGAACATTTCAATGAAAATGAAGGAGTTTTAACATTACTCTAGACTTTTTTGAGCTCAAATTAGGATCTAGCAATCCTTATAGTATAGTCTCTACCAAAAATTCACTGTTTTTACAAGTTTTATCCTTGGAGTCCATTTTCCTCAGTAGAGCGCACTTTCCGAAGAACTTTACGCCTTGAGAGTTTTTCGTCTCAATCTGATCCTAAGATTCAAAAAAGTTACGGAAAAATTTAGAATGGGTCGGCGAGAAGGCCGCCGATGGAGCCGAAGCCGTCAAGGACGGAGCCGTCGCCGGAGCCGAAGCCGTTAAAGACGGGGCTGTTTTTGCGGGTCAAAAAGTCGTTGAGGGTGCCAACGCCACCAAGGAAGGTGTCAAGGAGGCCGGAGTCGCTGTCGCCGAGGGAGCCAGTTCGTTTTTACTCCTTTTTCTCGAAGTTGCATGATCCCTTTCCTCCGAAAATCTCTTGCATGACCGTTTCCTAAAACAGAGGAAGTAGCGGACGCGGCTGAAGACGCTGCAGATTCTGTTGGTAACTTCATCACGGAAGCCGGCGAAGCAGTGGCTCATGCTGCTGGTAAAATTAATTGATTGACTACTTTTTGGCAGCTCTAACAACGCTGGCTTCGCTTGCTGCGGATTTCTCGTCCAGTCTTTGGAAGATTCTTAACCTTTTTTAGATTACAGTAGCTTTTACTAAATTTTTCAGCTGAACATTAACAGATTGATTGTTTTGCATGTACTTCTGATCATCGAGAAACAAAAAGAAGAATTCAGAAAGCTAACATTTAAAATTGTCCGAGTTCTACTAATCTCTCGCATCTTTTCTCTCAATCCAAAAACGCCTACCTCCTCCAGGCTCAACAGCAGACAAAATCAGAGCTGAAATCAACTTGGTGTTCGAGAAAACTCTAGAAGGCGTCGTCGGTGGCCCAGAAGTCGTCGGCGATTTGGCCCGTAATCCTTTTTTTCAGATATTCCTCCTCACTAACAAACCCATTAATGTCTAATAACGCTCAAGCTACCCGAAATAGAAGATGAATGAACCTTTAACTAAATAATGAATTTAAGAGACGGTTGGTGAATCTGTCGTCGAGGGAGCCGCGGCCGCCGGTGGCGCTGTTGTCGAGGGAGCTAGTGAGTTAACTATTCAGGAGCCTGTTTATTGATTCGTGGAATCTTGAAGGCTGGGTCGGCGAGAAGGTAGCGCAAGGAGCGACGGCCGTCGTTGAGGGCGCCGCCGCTGCCGGTGGAGCCGTCGTCGGAGGAGTTGCCGCTGTTGGAAACGCCGTCGCTGATGGAGCCATCGCCGCCAAGGATGGTGTCGTCACTGGAGCCAAGGCCGTCGGTGGCTTCCTGAGCGGAGCCGCTGAGGAAACTCAGAACGCCGTTGGTCAGTCTTTTTTCTAGAAGATTCGTAACTTTATTTAAAAAATAAGCCATTCTTGCCTTTGCTCTAGTTGATGCCTTCGTATGAATTGATAGAAGAAAAGTCCTAGTGATAAGTCAGAAAATTCGACAAGAAGAATTTTTGAGATCGGTTTGGTTCAACATCGATTCTTATAACTGGGGAAAGTCTCAAAACCCATTTCCATCATTTTTTTTTCAGGAAAAGGATTGGAAAAGGCTGGAGAGGGTCTCGAAAGCGCCGGCCAGGCAGTGAAGGCCGACCCCAATGCGTAGATGCCATAGTTCTTTCTTTCATCGAATGAATCTCTTCTCACGCTCACCCCAATTATTCACGTTATCCTATCACTTTCGGTTCTATACTCTTGCCTTTGCATAATCTCAACAACCCCCTATTGTATAAAGTTCCCGAATTGATCTTACATTGCTTTATGTTGTCTTCAACTTATTATCACCAGGTCAAACCTAAAACTCCAAATAGATTATCTACTGGTTACCCTGACTGTATTTGTTTGTTTTTTGTCTTTTTTTTTGAATTGTATTTAAATATTGGATGTAAATAAAGAACGAATTTTCCCAAACAAAAGTTGGAATGTGGAAAAATGGCATAACGCAAGGAAAGAGTATGGTTGGGAAGGAGGAATGATCAAAAGTAAATGCGACAGAAGGAAGTGAACAGATCAATCGATATTCAACGGAATTTTTCATGAACATAAAGCGCTAACACCGAAAGTGTACAAGATTGAAGAAAATACGAAGTTTCAATGAAAAAAAATACGAAATTAAAGCTTAGAAAAAGGAAACATACGGGCTTTGCGTACTCGCAAAGCCTTGGAAAAAAGTAGAAAGGCGAAATTTTTACAGAAAAAGAATAATAAATAAATAAAAGTGGGAGATCACCTCGTAAAGTTCGAATAAATAGGTATTATGAAAGGATGCGGGGTGCCAAGGAAGAGGTGAAGGAACTATCGGTAAAAATCCACAAGACTGAACAATTTTTCGAGAGAAGTGGTTAGTTTGTGTTGATAAAGAGTAGAAAATTGAAAAATGAGAGAAATTGTAGTCTTGCGGTTCGTAAAAAGTTCAAAAACACACATTTTTCTTCTACTCATCACACACACCAAAAATAGAAGCTTTCCACATTCTTATTTCAAAAATTGGCCGTGACCTTATATAGGGTGCTTCAGTGAGTTGATTTAAAAAACATGTTGCTCAAAAGAAGTCATGAGCCTTCAAGAAATGCTTAGATGGTGAGAAGTCGCTGAACAACGACAGCGAGGAGGTTACTCTGGGCAGTGGACAGAGGGAGAAGCTCCATGTCGGGATGTTCGCGGATGTAGGCGGTGATGAGCGTCATGTTGTTGGAGACGAATTCGAGCTCCCGCAGCGGCGACGGCTTCTCAACGGGAGGCGTCAGGAGCTTGGCCAGAATCTGCGGTCGTGCTTCGAAGTAGCGACAAACGTTGTGGACCACCGACAGCAGCGAGGTCAGCTCTTCCTGTAGCTTTCGGTTCGATAATCGTCAGATTTTTCAGGCTTACCTGAGGTGCGGCGTTGCCGACGAGCTGAAGGAAACTGGCGATTTCGATGCTCGAGAAATTGTTGGCTTCACAGTCGATAGAGCTCGCCGATTCGCAGTCGTCGTCCTCAGGCTCCGGCTCGTCGCTCACCTGTCAGGACAGGTGATGTAAAAAAGAAAAAGTCAGGAGAAAATCTCTTCTCAAAAGCTCTTTAAAGGTGCAGAAGGCCGAAACCTTGCAAAAATGATCACTTCTTAAATTCAGAGCAGTCCCTAAAGGGGTTGGGGGAAAAAAAAACGTAGAAAGGCCGAAAAAGTGGTATCTATAGGGGTAAAATTAAAGGGGTCCCTGTAGGAGTTTAGGGTCAGACCCCTTGGCCCCTAAAGCTCAAGTAGACCCTATAGGGGTCTTTCAATTTCATTCAAAGAACGCTTATTTATTCAGTTTTTCCCATGCAGATGCTTCTTTGCTTAGAGTTCATAACAACTATCGACCAGCATGTCCCCTATAGGGGCCACTTACTGAAATCCTTAAAGAAACCACTTTTGCAAGCTTTAGTGGCCCCTTTAGGGGCTGGTAAAGTGGTACCTAGAGGATCTGTACCTTCGAAAAACATGCGGACAAGTGGTTGGTAAAGTGCTACCTCGAGGGTAAAGTGGTACCTAGAGGGTACAATACAAGGACCCCTATAGGGAAAATTCTGTAGTTTCTAAGTACCATTTAGTGAGACCCTTTGAAGCTTCATATCTTTGAAACTTCAAACTTTTTCAAGTTGCGAATCTAGACCTTCAGAAAGTGTTTGAGACAGTTTTTCATAGCTTGTCAGATGAAAAAAGCTTGTTTCTTACCTCGATGTGTTGCTCCTCGAAGGATCCATCGCCTTTCGGCTCACTGAACGTCTCCACGGCCACAGAAGCCGACGCGACGCCGTTCCCGTCGTCGAACGGATTCGAAATCGGACTGAACAAATGTTTTTATGTTAAAGCACCGCTAATTTTTTTCTTCTGCTGAATACCTTAACCAACAAACTTCATTTCAGAATACCCACCCTTTGTTTCGAAATCTAAAGAAATTCAAAAGAAAAACTTCAAGGCAATCATCAGAAGGACCGCCAGGAGATAGGATCGGCCAAGAAGGTTCTCGATTCCGTTCATGTGTCAATCCCTCGGCAGGAACACCTCCAACAGGTGGCAAATCGTTCCTTTGTTCGGAGGAGTGTGATCTCGAACGGCCGACAAATTATTCAACTCTCGCCGGAGGCCATTAGGAGTATTTCATGTTCTTTGTTGTATTCAGCAAGTTTCAAAATTTGAAAAAAAGTTAGTAAGCTCACAAAATCACGCCAGATCAGTTAGTATTTGGTAGTTGAACTGAAAAATTAAGAATAATTTTTTGAAAGCTTGAAACTTTTGAAAAGTCAAGGCGAAGGATCAGAAGTCCACGAAGAGGAGATTCAGTCCGATTATTCGCTTTTTCAAAATCTCACTAAAACTCAAAAGAACTACAGCCCGTCTTTCAGGATCTTATAAAAGACTGCCCTAAAAAGTACCCAAGTACTCAGCAAGAACCTATGCGACTTATTTGAAAATCAATCCAGGACGCCGTCGCTGTTCAAAAATCCCCACAAACTTTGCAACAAGTCAACGGTGACCGTTGCAAGCCGATCAATCAAGTCACTCCTAGAAACCAAGAAGTTGACAGAGAAGTGTTCGTGTCAGAGACGTGCCCTCGACAAAGGCCCATAAAATAAGAAACATTTGAAGGTTCTGAGGCGAAGCCAAGCGAGAGGAACCCCCACCGAGCGGTTTGCAAATTGAGCTTTGTCCTGGCTGGTCGAAACGGTAGCCGCCTCCGAGAACTGACATCCATCAGCAAGTGCACGTGGTGGCGTACTTTATGCCGCACCGGACCCACTCATTTTCAACGTCAAAATCCACTTTTGTAGGTCAAAGAGAGCGTCATTACTTTTCATTTTGAACTCGGAAAAGCCTAGCAAAGTTAGTTGACTGTTAGACCCAAACAGAAAAACAGCCTTGAAGCCAGAAACTCAAGTTTGGTTAGCGCAAAAGAATTGAAACAAACTTATTGACGTTGAAGATGGCGCCAATCTGCTGCCGCATCTGATTCAGAAGCTGCGGACAGATCGTCGATTGGAAGACCGTCGCCGAGGGCATATGGTAATCCGGCAGAATGAACCTGATTGAAGAATCAATTTTTTGATGTTTCAGAGAGGCTATCAGTTCAAGTTTCTTTTTTTTCCTAGCAAAAATCTTCTCATCCCTAAATTTTCCTGAGATCAAACCGTATAAGAGATCGGAAACCGGGCCGATCGACAAGCTGAGGCGGGTGCTGGTCGAGTAGAAGCATCAGAGCAACCTGAGAACATATTTCTGCTTTTTTTCTGTTTTAAAAAATCTGGCTATTCTCGTCTAGGCACTCTATAAAATTGTGGAATCGGCCAATTAAAGACCTTTGGGGATCTGAAAGAGAGACAGGTCATCAACAGGTTTTTCTTGGACTTCGCTTGAAAAAAAAACTAGGTGGCTCAGCTGGTAAAACTCATTTTTAGCCTTCTGAAGGTTCCTAGATCGAGCCCTCCTAAGGTTGATTTATTTTTGAAGTCATATAATCAAGTTTCTGTAACCTTTTCCAAAAGACAAAGAGTTGTTAAAAAAGTTACAACAAAAATACTTCTTTTAAAACTGAAATATACCTGCATATGAATCTTGTACTGCTCCTCCTCGCGACGCCTTTGGTCGGCCTTCTCGTCGGAAGACGTGATTGACGTCGGAAATAGCGCTGAGAATGCAGAGGTCTTCACTGTCAGGTCTGTCGGCTTCTCGACCTCCTCCTCGACCTGAAAAGAGAGCCTATGGGATAGTCTCGGTGAAACCTGGAAGGGAGGGGAGGGGGGGGTTGCCAAAAACCGTAAAAAATTTTCAGGGTGTATGAGCTTTTTCATAATCTATAGATTCAATGAACGGTCATCTTCTCTAAAATCCAATTTTCCCGGTACAAACCTCTGTAGCTTCGCACTTGACGTGTATCGGCATGACCAATGGCTTGAGGGCTTTCGGGGCCGGGAGACCCGAGGGCGGCAAAGGCGGGAGGACGAGATTCGGCGCGAAAAGCGAAGAAGTCGTCGATGAGGCCGTGTCAGAGGCCGAGGATGAAGCTGTAAAGTTATCAACCTCAATTTTGAAGTTAAAATGCAAACATTAAGATACCAACTTCGTAAATTCCTAAAATGATCAATACGAAAATTCAGATTGAAAAACGCAGGAATTTAATTAAGATTTTCAAGTTTCTGGATCAGGATTTCCTCTAGAAAACTCTGCAGAAAAGCCTACCGGAAGGGCTTTTCTGGCTCTCCTGCTGTTCTTTCCGGTTGACGTGATTCACCATGCCGCTGGTCACTTTGTCGTTCATCTCCCGCAGCAATTTCGCTCTCGCCTTCTCCTCTGGAAGTTCTAAAGTCACTAGTTGACTAGTGGAATAGTAGAATCACTGGATCTTTCAAAAAACTTTATTAGGGCTTCGGAAATTGATGGATTTTGAAGCTTCATCTCTTGGATTAATTTTAAAAAAGCTGATAGAAAAATTTAGAATCTATTTTTATCGAAAAAATGTGAAAACTCTACAAGACGAAGAAGAAAACGGCGTTGAAAGGGAGATTAATAGGAAACTTATCAGTTGATAAAATAATTTCCTAGGGTCGAAGGTAGAGAAAAAATATAGCTGTTCTGATTTGAGTCCTTGATGATTTTTTTCAAATCATTATTTTCTATCCATCGGGTTAGCGCGGTAGCTAATTTTTTTCTATCATATATTATATATTTGAACATTTTTTTCGACCCTTCTTGAGCCTTTAACTCATCAATCAACACACTCTGTTCCCATATCATCGAAAAATGAGGAAAAAACTCAAAAAAATCATCTCAAAATCTCATCATCTCAAAAAAAAAAATTAGCTCAATTAACCCTAAAACTCGTTTGAATTCCTCAGATAGCTGATTCGAAAAAAAGACAAGAACATCTGGTTGGCAGTCGAATCAAGGACTCAAGATTTGAATATAACGGAAGAGTAATTTGCAGCCGGCTGCCCTGTGTCCGTTTGACTCGCCAGGTGCGCCGTTCTACAGGCGGTTTTTTTTTTCGCTTGTTCCGATCCGATGAATGTCTCGATCCCCGGTGATACAGGTGTTCTTCGGTAGCCTCTTCACGGCCCACCCAACCAGTTCCTTCTTTTCAAAACGAGGCATCATTCGCGCCAAAAAGTATGGAGGAAACTGTCCCTTTCAAAAATTTCTCTCTAAGTTCTAGGTGATAACAGTGATGCTCGTAAGGCTTCATCATCCCGATGACATGCTTGAAATTTATAAAAATAAAATGGCCAAGCTATATTTCTCTTTTCAAGAAGATAAGTTCAAAAAAACTTTCAAAATGAAGCCAAACCCTTGAAAAATGTCCACCGCAAGGGAAATTTGATCTTTCGACTCTAAACACTTTGTCGATTGCTAGCAGGTTATCCAAAAAAGGTCTAGTGAAAAGCCGTTTTTTCTATAAATCCAGAAGCCCGAGTTTCAACTTTTCCCTCAAAAGATGTGGCCTAGGAGGAGGAAGCTTCATGTCCAGACCCAAGGATCTGGCTTGGGCCGAAAACCGGGTCTCTTCCGACGAAAAGTAGTGGCAGACAGACAAAAAACGAAATATACAGTTTGTTGCGCGCGAACGCCTCTCTCTCTCGCGTTGCGCAATCCGATTCGCAACTTTTTCTCGCGGCAGCTGATGAGAAATCTTGCAAAAACAGGGGGTTAATGAGTGATCTTTGGTTGGGTTGGAAATCGGCGTGCGCTTGGGTTCGGAAAAGGAAAAAGTTGGATTTCCAGAATGAATTTGTCATTTTCCTAGTTTACTTAAAGAAAAATCGTGCCTTCACAAGCAAAAACTGATTAAACTTAGGAACTCGAGAGTGAACTCTATAGGGGCAACTTTAGGGGCCCTTGGAGGGTCCCCTTTAAAGACCACTTCACCAATCCCTACAGGGGCCACTAAAGATTGCGAAAATGGTATAATTTTTATAATGCGAGAAAGCATTTTTCATGCGAAAAAAATGAATAAAAAAAGCTTTTTTTATATAATTGAAAGACCCCTATAGGAACCACTTAGAGACTAAGAATTCAAACCCTAAACCGCTAAAAGGTCCACCTTGATTTTACCTCTTTAGGGGCCACTTTTCGGCCCTGTTCAGGGGCAGTTTTTCCTAACTAACCTCTATAGGGATCACTCCAAAATTCCTAAAAAATTACAGCTGTGTTTTTTAATTTTCTATAGTCTTCCTCGGGTTAAATCTTTCCGTCAATTTTCCTTAAGCCGACTCATTTTTTCTCATTTTTTCTCGTAAATCAGGATAAGCTATGAAATCCTTCACCTAAAAATTTTCAACAACTCGAAACTAACCCATTTTGACGATCATACTGCTCTGTCGAGCCTCCTGAACCAATTGATATTCCTGGACGTGGCAGCTCCGCAAGTGCCGGATCATTCCAGTAGTGCTAAAAATTGCTTTCATTTCTCATAGTTTTCGTCATGAAGTTCCTCTAATTTTTAATCCTATGCTCCTTTAAAAACCCCAGCTACACAAATCAGCGCCAAAAAACAAGAGCTTTTTTTTTCAAAAAACAGGATGAAATATTCACTTCTTGATATTGTTATCTCGAGGGGCTGAAAAAAAGGGAAAAATAAGGAAAAAGGCGTCTGAATGGTCTTGGCGCCGCTCCAATGAATCCGGACGATCGGCTCGCCTTCCCAACTTTTTAATATTTCATCTCGTTATTCTTCTCTTTCATTTCAACTTGTTTTCTCCCAAAATCTCTCAAAAAACAAAGGAATATTTTTTTCTGGAGCATTTTTTTTCGAACCTGCTGTTGGTGGCCTTGATTTTCTTCCTGCATATCCGGCACTCGGCGGCTTGCTCTGGAGTCGGGAGCTCGTCGAAAAATCGCCAAACTTTGGCGGTTTTCACTGTTGAGCCACCGACGCGTTTCCGGGCCGGCGGATAGTCTTGAGGCGTCTTCAAAGGGACATTTTTTTTTGAGAAAAAAAGCATGGAAAATGGTTCTTGTAACTGTAAGCTAACCAAGTACTCAGATTCAAAGCTCACGCTCCTACATATAATAAAGGCTGAGCTCAATAAGTTAATTGTTCCATTTTTCTCTAGAAATGGCTTCCCAAACGCACCCTCTTCCCTTCGATGACCGTCGGCTGGAACGGCCGCGACTGTAGGGCTGCGACCTGCGACTGAAGCAGCGTCTGGAGCTGCGTCGTCCGGAGCTGCGACGCAAAGGCGGCGAACGCCGATGGGAACGACGCCAGCGACACCGGCGAACCGAGTGTCGCTCCAGCAGACGTCATCGGCGACGACGTCGCCACTGCGGCAAGCGAGGCAAACGGCGACTGCGCTTGCATTCCGCCTGGAAGAAGGTTCAGTAAAAGGATGAGAAAAAGTATAGTTCTATGAGAATCGAAAACGTATAAAAAGAGGAAGAACACCGAAAACTGGAAAAATGATACAGCAAAAAAAAAAATGAGTTCAAAAATTATTTGTTGAAAAATTTAAACGTATAGGTGTCATTGAAGGAAGAACTCCAGCTTTAATTTAAAAAAAATCAGAGAAATTGAACTTTTTTCGAAAATTCCACACATGAAGGTGTCATTGAAGGAAGCATTTCAGCATTAATCAAAAAGAAAAATCGAGAAGAATCAAAACTTTTTCACTTTCTGTCCGCAGTTGGAATGGCTCAAACGTCACGCACTGAGCCATCCACTGTCGCAAGCCTCAGAAAGTTACCTATTGAAAAAAAGGAACCCAAAAGTCAAGAAATGGATCAGGAGGATCGTCATGTCGGCAAAAGTACAAGGAGAGCCATTCCGACAGACGCCTCGCAGCGTGTACACGATTAATTGAGGACATTTTTGGCACTGGCGCCGCCTCTTCTGCCTCAAATTTGGGTCAGAGTGTTATTGACCGGAAGCTTCTCGCCGGAAATGAGAAGTTTGAAAAGTTTTGCAAAAATGAGAAGTTGAGGTGGTGTGGCTGGCCGGTGTAAAGATGGATCCGTGCCTAATCCGCTCGAGAATCGCGATCGGGACGTAGGAAAGGAGGATCGTCAGCAAGTTCTTTTCATTGAGAAACTGACCGCTGCGGGGAGGATTATCCAATGGCATTGGGACCACGAGCCCGGAACCTCAATGGAATTGAGGTCGCGGTGGTCGAGAGTTTCTGATAATGACCATGATCTGGTGGGGGAAGTTTTCTCCGCTGTCAGCGGAAGTGACTGGAGCCCTTAAGTGTCCAAAAATTGACCCAGACTATCTAAGATGTACCAAATAAAGTTGTATAGCTGATTCACGGCTAATTTGGGACTTTAAGGGGCGTGACCGGTATGCGCTCTCCACGATCCAGGAACTCTCTCGTGTATTATCGTGTCAGGACCCTTTTTTCGATGGCTCGAGCTAGCCGTGAAGCAGCTTTTGAGAATAATTAAAACTTTCTATTTTTCAGAAGCAAAAGCCTAAAAGCTCTTACAGATTTTTGAAAAAAATATTCTACTTCTCAAAATATGCAGACTTTCAGGATTAATTCAGCACTTCTAAAAACACTATACAGCTTTTTTTAAGAGGTAGTAACTTCAATAATAGAATCACAGCTTCAAATTATCCATTACTGAACTCTTCCAGCACAAAATTTCATAAAAAGTATGTTTCCGGAAAGAATAAATCATGGGAGCATCACCAAGAGAATGAGCTACAACTTCAAGAGTAGAAAATCAAAAATAAAACTGAAAAAAGGAGCAAGGAAATGGAGGCTCATCAGGAAGGAACAAAAGCTTGTAAACGACAGATCCTGTCAAGATCGTAGCCACGAAGATGAGGAAGGAAGACCCTCTTTCGCTGTTCCTTTGGCAGAAGCGCGTACACACAAATAGGAGGCGGAGCCAGGCCGGCGAGTGGACAGCGTCGGCCACGCCCCCGTTTCCTGCGCGGCTGTTGGCATATTACGTGATTGTGGATGCAGAACCAGCTTCGAGGCAAGAATGAGAAGAAGAAGAAGTCCACCAGGCCGAATGGCAGAGAGGCGCCAACGGCAATCGGGCAGAAAAAAAAAACAGACTCGCTGGTCAGCTTTTGACGATCTTCGGTTACGCCGATTAGAAACTTAGTTGGGATGCCTGAAGGTGAAGCTTGCAAGGGAGATCATTTCACCTTCGACTATAATTTTCTGGAAAACTAGAAGGTTTTCAAAAGTTTTAGATGATAGTCCAGAGAGCCTAAGCTTGCTCCTTTTTCAAGAACGGGTTTCTTAAAAAACTTGGTTTGAGGGAAACTCTCTGACTGAAAAAAGTGCTTCGAGCGATCTTTTTTGAACCATCTACCCTTTCTTTTCGTTTCAAAATGAAGAACTGATAAAAACTCAAATCTTGATGGGCATTTTCCAAATCCGATCATCGAGATTTGGTCTCGTTGGCGCCGTCAATTTGACGCCATCAGTGCGAAGCCGACCAAAAGACCGAAAAAGCTTTCGCGCCATCGGACCTTATCGTATCAAGCCAGCAAAAAGCGTGTCGGAATAACGGAGACACACAAAAAGTGTGTATTCACCTTCCACTTTCAAAGTTCAAACTTTAAACTTTTTCAAAAAGTAGCCGTCCTAGTATTCTCAATATTTGAAAGCCGAGGTTCGCCTCGATAGACAGGTGATACTCCACTCAGGGAAGGTCAGTCATTAACCATCAATCGGGAGGGGGACATGGTTGGGTGCAGCCGTTTTCCAATAGACATCTGCCCGCTGCAGCCGACTCCATGGTTCATTTCCATATATGTCGCGGCTGACGTCATCGAGATGGTCTCCGAGATCAGACCGTTTGTATTTTGAAGCCGTAAGAGAAGCTGGTTCCCGATAAATATCCACGCGAGGAGGGTCCAATTTTCGTCTGTTGATTTTTTGGCTGTACTGTGGATGGATTCGAATCAATCATTGGATGATAAATGACCAGAAGGGTCTCTGGATGCGTACCAATACTTTTCTCATGGGTTAAACTGATTATTAAAATATCTCGATGACAAAGCTCTATTGGAGAAAAATACAACTCAAAGCCAATTTTCAAGAAAAAGTGCTTCTGTGGAAAAAAGACCATTATATGTCTAATCAGAGCTTCCCTTCACTGAAACTTTAAAAAAAAAGCTATCAACAAGAATTCCTGGCAAATCCAGACCTAACAAAAACTTCTTCTTTTTTTTTCGTTGAAAGAGTTCTTCTTGGAAAACAGCGTCTTCTCCGCAAGTGCGTGATTCGGCGCCGACGTTCCCACTGACCATGGCAGCGGAACCGGTGGCCGCAGTGCCATCCCGACGGTCCACTACTTTGCTACAATTGGTCAGAGACGGCCGCCCTCCTACGTCGCCTGTGGCAAAACGAGTGGTGGCGCAACACACGAGGGCGAAGCTGTTCTATTAGAAGAAAAGTTGACGCTATATCAAGAAAAGAGACGGCGGCGGCGTCAAGAAGAAGCAGAACTGGATATGTGTTGCGCAACGGGGCAGCTTCTGGCCGACGAGATGAACGCCCCGGCTGGTTTGACCACGCGCCGTGCCAAAACGACTGTCGCGTCTTCTAACTGCCAGCCTTCGACGCCTTCCGAGGGACTTTCGGATATGCTTTGGGGATGAACACCGAACAGAAGCAACACATAATAATTCATAAAAATGTATTCTCTAGAAAATCCGAACATAAAGGAAATTTTTTTTTGAAAAACCTACTCTGATCTTGAAAAAACTCTTCCTCTTCTGTTAGCAAAGAACTTTGAACAATCAACTTGGAGTAATACAAAAGAAGATATTCCATTTTCCAAAAAACTTTCATACTCAAACAACAAAGGACTGTTGAAACTAAGCAATGCTCGAACATCTGCAGAAATAAGAAGTCAAAAGATTTTTGCGACAAGCCAAGATGTATGCAGAAACTCTGAATGCAAGGGCGAACAATGGATAGTTTACAAGGACCGTCGAAATTTGCGCGCCCGTCGCTTTTTAAACTTTAGCCCAGTCTGCTGTATCGTTTCGACTCGGAAGATAAATAAATAACCGAGAAGTGTTTAAGATCTTGAACTTTTAACACGAAAAAAAAACTGCAGATCGGATGAACTCATACAATGTCCTAGATCAAGATTTTTTGCCTCGTCAGCCGAGGATCAAATCGAGACAGGACAACGAGAAACTAGGAGGTGAAGAAAAGCAATAGATGGCTATCGGTGCGGTTGCCGTCCGCCGGTCTGACTGCCAATCCGACGAAAAAACTGTGTCCTTCCGACCCCCACCCACGTCGTTAAGACACCTTCGTTGCGCTCACATTCTCGATGTACTCGATTCATCGCTTGTTTGTCACGAAAAAGTTCAAAATTTTTACGAAATATCCAAAGAAAAAGTCGCAAAAAACGAGGAAGTTTACTCTCAACAGTTAGCGATAAATTGAGTTCACACTTCAGCCTAAAGTCCGTTATATAACACGTCCGAGATCCAAAAAAATTAAATCATCAATTCGAAGTCATAATCCTTCCTTTTTTTTTTACTGAACTACTTCTTATTTTTCAGAAAAAAATTATATATTACTCCAAAAAAAAGAAACTTTTTATTCTAAATTAAACTTTTTAATGAAAAAAAAGTTGACTTTTCGGTAATGGTTTCTCATCTCACATCAACAGACAGTGATAATCTCCACTTTGAAAAAGAGATAGCTACTTTGAACGTAAAAAACATCGAAAAACCATTAAAAAAGGAATGGAAATAAAAAGAGAAATTTTTAAATATTCCCTGAGCTGTTTTTTTCGGGCTTCGAATGGAAGAGAGAAAAGGGGAGTATTTAAAAGGCAGACTGCGCCTTTAATAAAACTCCCATTTTTTTCTATTTGTTTTTTATTTAATCAAAACGTTGTTTGAAGGAAATGTAAGTTGATTTTTTTTTTCAATGAATTCTTATCATAAATTTTCTGTTTATGTAAATTTTCTCATTTTTCCAGATAAATGGTATCATGAAGATTCACTCAAGAAGAACGAAAATGAGTTGTTGTCGTCGCGTTTCGAGTTTTAGGGCTCTGAGAACTGTTATTTATCCAGTTTTATCACGCCCATAGGCGATAAAAGTCAATGAGACGTGGTTTCATTTCTGTTTTCAAATCAAGGCGCTCGAAGAAAAATCTTTCAACTTGATAAGAACAATCAAGATTTCAAAAATAGTTCAAAGAATGTGAATATAAGCCGAGAAAGAGGTAGGGGAGGCCGCTGAGATGAAAAATGGCGATCGGCAAATGCTCAGCGTTTATGAAAATGAACAGTTGGCACGAAAAGTTTCGTCGTTCCATTTCAAATTCCCCGGTTTTTTATCTTTCTGTAAAAAAATGTCTCGGGAACTAAAGATCGCGTGCCAGTGTGCAGTTTGAAGTTTTCTTCAGGTTCTGACATTCAAATTTCAGAACGAAAGAGTCTCGGTTTTGCGTGGTCAGTTCAAATTGGAGACAATGGGACTCGAGGGGAGGATCTGACTCTAAAGAATTTGAACTGCGCCAGAAAAAGTTGACGGTGCAGCTACAATGGGACGCGTCCGAAAAAAGTGAACCTTTCGATTCCTGCCTCTTTTTTTCATAGTAGGATTCAAATGGAAGTTGCGAAGTTTGAAATGGATCTGTTTCCAAGGAGAGAAGTCGTACAGGGAAAGTGGTGAAAAGGAAATAAATTGTGAGGTATTTTTTCACAATTTCTAGAAAAGCTTGAGACTCCAAAAATGTTTCTTGGGAAGTTTAAATGAGATATATTACAGTAGTTACAGAGTTTTGTGATAAAAAAGCAATGAATTGAGTTTTTTTATAGGTTTCCCAGCGTTTCGAGATGCGAAAAAAAGTTACATGAAGAAGAAAAAAAGTTGAGCATCTCGGTTAGGGCCTGGGAAACTCACCCGCAAAGGAAATTTCGAGATTATCTAGGAATGAAGGAAAAATAGTCCTTCGATTTGATGGTAAAAAAATTTTTTTAAAAAAATCTCTTGAGAGAGCAAAATTTTTTTGTCTCAAAAATAAAGGCATAACTTTAAAAAAATAAATAAATGCTTTTTTTAAACGATGTTTTTCTTGAAGAATTAATTCAAAAAGAGTTTATGATTTTAAGGATTAAAAGAAAGCTGTACGAATCAAATTTAAACAAATTTTTTTCTACTTTTTCAGGGCAAAATTTATTATTATTTTTTTGAAAAATTTGGTAGCTATCCTCGTTGAGGCGAAATTGCCAAGACTGGATAATTTCAAAAAGAGGAGTAAATTAGCGTGAGAATCGTAGAGTCACGGCTACATTTTTTTTGTTCCGAGCCAATCATGACTCAGCTTTAGCTTTGCATTCAAAAAAGAAAAGGGTGAGCAAAAAAAGACAAGTTGATAACGAAAAGTAGTTCAGGAATCTTATGGGCTTGCAAACTTCTTCAACAAGTTAGGAGAGTTGTAGGCCAAGCTGTAACCAAGAACAAGAACAAGGGAGCAAAGAGTCGTTTTCGCGACGAGAGCCACGCCCACAATGGACGCGACACCAATCATTTCGTTACGGTACTCTGCACATCGGGCCTCCCGAGTGATCATTTTGGGCCATTGTCCACTCGCTTGTGCTTCCGGGCGGTGTCCACACAACTTTTGGACAGGTAGGAAGTGAAAAAAAAAGGGAAATGCAAAAGAAAATAAGCGATTCTTAGGAGTATAGTCGATGTGCCACAACTTGAAATTTCGTGGAACGACACTCCGCTGTTTTTTTGATTTTTGTGCGCGCTGTCGCGAAGCGTCTCGCCAATTAAAAAGTGTAAAATTGAAAATAAAAGAAACAAGTTGAGAGCGCGACCGAGATTCGCAAAGGCTACAAGGCTACGCAGCGGAATGTCATTCCATAAAATTTCAAGACGTGACCAGAGTGGCCCCTATAGGGATTTAGGGTCTGAGCCCCTATAGCTCAAGTGGACCCTATAGGGTTCTTTCAACTTCATTCAAAAAACGCCCATTTATTTATTTTTGCTTCTTCGCTTAGAGTTCATAACAATCATAGACTGGCTTTTTCCCTATAGGGACCACTCTTGCAAGCTTTAGTCCTTATAGTGGCCCCTTAAGTTGCCCCTATAGAGACCTTTCTTGAATTTCTAAGTTGGTAGCTTAACTTGATCCTTATAAAAATTAAAATCAACTGTTATTTTTGGACATCAGAAATCAGACATAGAGCAACCGTGACAAATTTGACTGGAACTATACTCCATCAGCTCGAATTTTCCACAAAGAAAAATATAGAAACGTCTAAAAGTCAAAAAATCCTTGTAATCAAACCAAATAAATGTTCCAATGACGTCAGTTCTGAAAATTGAAAGCTTAAAAATAATTTTTTTCAAGTTGAAAAAAACCATTAGTCAACTCGGAAAAGAAATGAAAATAAAAATCAAAGAGCCTCGCGGACCGAAGCGAAAGGACGAGAATCGGATGTGGGTCAGCAATTTTCAGAGGATTATCAAACGCCCCCCGTCGAAATGTGTGCTGCAAAAATAGAAGAGGAGACTGACCGGCGGCCAGTAACGGATCAAAATATTGTCAGCCATTTTTTTTTCCGACCGTTTTGTTTTTCTAGTCACAAATTTGAGGCTCCCGAGTCATCTAAAATAAAAAAAATGAAAAAATCGAATCGAAAAAAAATTTCCAGCGAATCCTTGAAGCTTCGTGATCGGCTGGAAAGCAGTTTATGGCGAGTTTTCGGTTCTGAAGCCCGATTTTTCAAAGTTGAATTATGCAATTTTGTAGGAAACTACCCAGAGCAATTTTTATTAACCGTTTCTTCAAATTTCGATCATGCTCCACTTAAAAAAAGACAGAATAAACATGGAAAAGTATTTCAAAAAAAGAAGATTGGAGGTGCGAGGACAGAAAGGAGTATGTTTTGAGGGGGGAATGTCGTCCCAACAATGCTCATTAGTTGCCGATGTCATAACCCAGTTGCGTACGTTTTGCGCATGCTTCGCCGCACTTCGAATCGGATGGCGTCCGTGAGCCGCCGAAATTTACCTTTCTCGACGAGAGTACTGTTATTGAAGAACTTGTTGGTTATTTTTTAAGAGTCAACTTTGGCAGAGAAATCGAAGTAAGGTAGCGCCATAGTCTTTTCAGTTTTTAAATGTCAAGTGGTCGCTCAAGCTCCGCCCCCTGATGGCGCGATAAACCAATCAGAAGCGAGCCATCCAGAGAGCGTTTTTGGATGACGTCATTTTACTTGGAAAAAAAGGACCGAAAAAATTGAAAAAGCTTCCTTTCGATTCCATATACAGAATATACCTCAAATCGTCTTGATTTCCAGCTCGCCCGACCAAAAACTACTTGCGCTTAGTGTTATCCTATAGCAGATGAGAAATCGATAAAAAGAAAAATACCAAAATTTAAAGTTGATTTTCTACCGCCAATACGAAACGCGACCGCGACGCGTCAAGCCGTTCCATGCAAGTTATTTTCGGCTTTACAAGTCATGCTAGATTTGGTGGGATACATGACTCGAACTCGGACTTTTTGGACATCGTGGTCATCATCGGCGATGAGCAAGGTCGACCAGCCGGTTGCCCCCTTGATGACCGCTTTTTTCCCGTAGAGACATCCGATCGCCACCTTTTCTCTTTCATTAAACGCATTTTCAACAGCTCGCCAAATTTTCGAATGTTACGCTATTCACAGATGTGCAAAAAATCGGCTAGGTAGAACCGGATTTTTGGGCAGAGGTTTTCAAACTTTCCAGTGTTGACTTTTTTGATTTCAATGTTTTTTTTAGGGGAACGGCTACAAAGATTCAACAACGAAAAAAATCAAATGTTTTTTCTCGATTTTCTTAATTCTTGAGAACTTCTCCTGCTTCCAAACCTTCTACCAAAAAAAAAGGATGTTCAGGTGTCCCGAATACAAGAAGATTTCCCGACAGACGAATGGACGATCTGTTCTGGAAAACGGGACATGTGTCCAGCCAACCGGAGAGCCGACCAGCCAAAGCAAAAAGCAGCCCCTTTTCTAGTCCGGCGCAAAGTCGCGAGACCAGGATTTTTGCTTTGAAAAAAGCAGATTTTATAGAGTTTGTAAGGGGGGCGGGAGGTAATAAGACTCAAGAGGAAGGAGTTTATAAATCAGTTTCAAATTATTTGGTATAGGGGGGGTATAACGTTTTTTTGAAGGAATACTTAAGAAAGCGCTGCGACGTACCGCCAATAGCTCTGGAGTTTGCAGTTAGACCACTAAAGGGACTACTCGTATTCTTCCGAAACTGAAAATTTTCTCAAAACCTTTTATTTTTATTACTTAGAGAGCTCAGAACTTTAGATTCAAGACGACTTTCAGCTTTCGAACTGAAAGACCACTTTTTGTCGGATTCTACCTGCTGGCTCAAACCCAGCGGAGCTCTGCGCGTGATTACGGTAGCTCATAAAAAAGTCGGACGACTGGCTCGCCATCGTTATTTTTTTGACGAATCTTCTCGGATGTCGATTTCTTTTTTTTTTGCTCATCGCTTTTTTTTGTTCAAAGCTCTGCGTCTCCGTTTTTCTGGTTGTCTTTTCGGAGACAACAACGAGCAAAGTGGAAAACGCACACGCCGCCAGCCATATGGTCAGAAGTTAGCCGTCCGACGGAGAAGAGCCTTTTGTTCGGGTCGCGCACACCTCACAACTCCGACGCGTTGGGATCGCTCAAGTTAACTTGGCTTTTGCGAGATTTGAAACGGTTCAGGGATCGTAGAAGAAGAAAGAGCTTTGCGAATTTTTGAAAATTTTACCATTTGCCGTTCTTTTTTCACAGCTTCTCTTCTTACCTTAGGTCTAAAATGTTATAATTTATGAGCTCGATATAAAATTATCAACAAAGAAAGTCTCCGCGTTCGCGGAGCATATAAAAAAAAATTATCTTCGATTCTTTCTGCAGGTGTTGAGGAGTTCACAATAAATTAGCAAGGTTAGCAAAATTCTCAGATCTTCAAAGTCCAGTTTTTCCTATACTTTATAGATTATGTTGCCCCATTAATCTTCATGGAAAAAGACTTTTGGACCTTTTTCTGAAAAGAACCTTTTAAGGAAGTGTAAAAAATGAAGGCGGAAAAAGGAGATTCCGAGAAACTTTTAACACCTTTTTAGGAACTCAAGAAGGAGCTTTGGGATCTTTTAAGGCTTTTTTGCGGTCTTTTGGACTTTGTCTGTGTTTAAATTTTCTTCTTTTCAAAAAGTTGATAATAACTGAACTTTCCTGAATTTTTCTTCAGCGCTTCATCTCCGCAGGGATTGAACTAGCCACCTTTCAATCACTAGAAACAAATCTTACCAACTGAGCCACGGGAATTTATTTGCAATCCTTTTTTGCTCTAGAACTATTTGTTTTGCAGTCAAGACAAAAAGCGAAAACTGCGGCCGGCCGGCGACGAGTGAAACAGTAAAACAGGCTGTGTCGGACTGGCCATTTCGTGGATGATCGGACGAGGCAAATATTGGTCGGATCTTCGAGGATTTGCCGGTCGGGACACGAATCAGGCCACGACGTCGTCTTCTCACTTCGGATTCGCCGTCGCCACGCTTCGCCGCACGCTTTCCGGACACAACGTCTTCTTCGAGAGGTCGTCTTACTGTTTGCCTTTTCCAGTTGCGGCGTCTTTTTTTCGTTCAGCGCTAGGGCAAAAGAGATATACGCAGGGACTTTGGGATTATTTTTATTGGTTTTGCAAAAAATTGGTCACTTTGATTATCGCCAGAAGTGATTGAGTTCTATTATGAAAAAAAAAAATTCATTTTTCAATCTTTGGAAATATTTTTCGATTTTCTTCTCAATTCACAACATGAAGACACAGTAGACCCTTCTCCAAGAAGTTTTTTCAAAAATACCAAAATTTGCCCCAATGATTTTCAGGAAATCTTCAATTCATTTTCTGAACCGTTTCAGTCAGAAGTCGATCAGAAACTCGCTCGTTAGGAATCAAAAACTCTCTTTTCTTTAAATCGACCTTTTTCCGGATATTTTTAAAAGGTTATTTTGCTTATAACACCATTTAATATACGAAAATAAAACTTTCTCACATAAATAGAAAAAAATTAACGAATTTAGAGCTTTTTTTCCGTACCAATAATTGGGGGCCCTTCCTAGAAACAAGTCACTTTTTTTGTTTTTTTACAGTTTTCAAAGTTCCCTGATATGAATATGAGTAACAAAAATATCAATTCACTCAAAAATCCGGAAATTCAACTGAATTTGATCATTTTTGAGACCACTATTGGGACGGAGTTTTTTTTGAAAAATTAAAAAAATCCTTATTTTTTTGTCTTCTTCGTAGTTTATCAAGCACATTCTTGTTCAGAAATTTTAGCTGAACTCAAAAATATAATTTTCATGGAGAAATTCGCAAATCGAAAAAAATTATGTCACTTTTAAGACCCAAAATGCTATTTTCGGGACATGGAAATTTTTCATTTTTCGAGTTTTTCGAAATTTCAAAGCTTGATCCTACTCATAATTTGCTCTTTAACACAAAAATTTAGTTTTCAGATCTTATTTCGAGAAAATAACACCAATAAATCGCTTTTTTTTAAATTTTAAGGGTTTTATTTTGCGTTGTTTCCGAGTCTTGCTACAGTTTAGAAAAAAGCGAAAATGACGATTTTGTCCGTGGAGCAACTTTACTGCAAAACGCGCTTTTGGCATTGATCATGTATACAGTAGAGCTTCAGAGAGAAGAGGAAAAAATAGAGCTGTTGAAATATTTCTGTTGAAGCTAGCAAGAGATTCCATAAAAACTTATTCATACTTTTCAGAAATTCTCCGACAGAATGCGACCTGACTTCTCTTGTCAGACACTCCCCTTCGAAATGCCCATCTCGACAGAGCAACTGTGCGACGGGGGGCGCCAATGTCGACGAGACGCTGGCGCCGAAATGACAAACAGCTCCTGGGCCGTTTGGAAAGAACGATCCTCCGACGGGGGTCAGACCATAAATCCGGAGGCAGCCGCCAATTGGAGTCGAACCAAGCCCATTGTGCCGCCCAAATGAGTTATCGTCGCGCATTTGTTGCCTTTGCCTTTTCCGACGTGTTTACGAGAGGTGATTAGTCGTGTGACAAGCTCGGGCTCTGTTTTGAGGGGTTTTTAGAAGATGTTAGTGGGTTTCAACTTTAGTTTTTCTCAGAGAAGCTGGAAAATCTTTTTTTGAAGCTATCTGGGAAGTTCAAGAAATCTTTTCAAAGGAGTTAATAATACTTATAGGTTCATAAATTTCTGAAATTAGGCCGGAATACTCTTCAATGTATCAGGAAACCATCCCGGAAGCCAGAGTCAGATTCAATGCTCGTTTTTTCGAGAAATGCGTCAAAAATTGGACTTCTTAAGCGTATCTTTTTTTCAGAAAACCATAACTTTGAAGTTTGGGGATTTCAGAATATCATCTCCAGTTCCAATAGTGGTCGCTGTAGGGAAAAAATCAAGGTGGTCCTCATAGGGACTTAAGGCCTGACCCCTTAACCCCTAAGCTCAAGTGGTCCTTATAGGGGTCTTCCAATTTTGTTCAAAAAACGCCTATTTATTTGGTTTTTCACATGGAAATGCTTCTTCGCATAGAGTTCATTAAAGTTATCGACTATAATGCTCCCTATAGGACTATAATGCTCTCACTTTTGCGAGCTTTAAAGGCCCTTGTAGGGGTTGGTATAGTGGCCCCTAGAGGGAATCCTCCAAAGGCTCTTCAGGTTGCCCCTATAGGGACCATTCTGGAGGTCCTAAGTACATTATTTTTTCACAAAACTTCCGCTTTTTTGTACGACTGAATTCCCTTCCAGTAAACTATCCATCAACGAGCCTTTCAAAATATCGACTAACTGTGGGGATCGTGTTGAAATCCGGACTCGAAGCCGCTCGACGCCCCACAGAGCGTCGGGGCGTCAAATGGCATCGGTCCATATTGTCGGCCGCTCGTATAACGTGTTTCTTTTGAGTAAACTTGATTCTACAGCCTGTTGCGGTGTTTAAAGGAGCATAGTGGTCACTTGAAAAGTTTTTCAGTCTTGCCTTCAAAAAATCCAGGAGGATTATTCAGTTAACTGTACATTTGAACGAAGACTTTTTGTAAAGAGCTACGGATTTTTGAATGTACACATGTCCGCTGTTGACTGACCACCCAAGTAAAAGTTGAATTTTGAATTTTCTTGGTCCAACGAGAAAACTCGTAAAAGTCAAGTGAAGTCCATTCGAATCGACCTCGCCGGTTGCAAACCGTAAAAGGGTCGGTTCAAAGGTGTCGCCCCGTGGGTTATGACTGATGGCGATCTGCCGCCTCGTATTGCCAACGTCTTGAATTTCGACGCCTTCTACGGCCGCCGCTACAAGTTTACGACCTCAAACTTTCTCGAAAAACTTCGTTTTTGAGAGGTTTGAAAATGTTGCGAAATGGAGAGAGTAGGAAAACGTAGGGACTTTCTTCAAAAAATAGAAAATTTCTGGCTTCAACTTTACTTCAATCTTCAGAACTGACTAACTGTTTTTTTGCCCCCAATTGAAATTTGGACCAAACTTTGCTGAATCTAAGTTGCTGTAGAACAGGAGTGAAATATCTCGCAACGGATCTGGTTTTCGGATTTTGAAGCTTCAAAGTTCGTGAAATACCGCCGTGGGGGGCAGTGAAAGTCTCTAGTGAAAGATGTGGCCACTTATCAAGAAAGATGGGCTTTTCAACTTTTTTCCGGTCCAACTTAAGTCAAACTTCCAGAAGATCCCATTACCTCTTCCCACTCTCGATAAAAGAAATGAACTGAAGCGAATGGGGTCTCGATACGATGGCATACGGTAGAATGAATTCGCAACAATAACAATCGAGCCATCGGATCCGCCGCCGCCTCGAATTGACTATTAACGACCGTCGTCGCCAAAAATGGGAAGACGAAGAAGAAAGAGACACGGGAACAAGGGCGGTAAAACGCCATTAGGGCCTCCGCCAGGATATACATCATTCATCTGTGGCGGTCGCAACTCGTTGTTGCGACCGGAGAGCATCAATTTCGGAGCCATTTCCATATTTCGGCCAAGCAGCAACTCATTTGCATTAGTCGGAGCATTAGGGTTGAGAATTCCGGGATTTCCATGAAAACAGAGTGGAAAAAAAGACATGTTGGCTGAAATTTCTCGAGAATTTGCGCTCTATCGATGATTTGGGCTCCGTTGCGTGTTCACCAGGCTTGTGCGTCAGGCCGGGTGGCCCGGGCTTTGGGCCTGCGTGGGCTCGGACCAGGCCGGGCTTCGAAAGAAATCTCATTTTGAGAAAATTTCACGGAAAAATTATTTATACTTGTTGAATCATAGTTTTTCTATGAGAAAAAATAAGCAAAAATCCACTTTTCTCGTTTAAAAAGGCAAAAAATCGACTTGAAGAGAATTTGAGTTTTTTGGGCCTGGCCGGCCATTTTTGCTTAAGGCCTCCCTAGGGCCGGGCTTGGGAAGTGGCCGGGAGGCCGAGAGGTTGATGGGCCGGCCCTCGCACAATCCTGGTGTTCACTCGGACATTGGTAACGCTAAACGGGCGTTTCTGGGCGTTTCTGGGCATTTCTAGTGACCACTTTAGTAGCTTCAGCATTCCTAATAACACCCTAGGATCGCCCAGGCAAAGTTACGTCCTTTTTTTTTATCTTGAAATGAAAATTTGCCTTTATTGGGTAGCTTCGAAAACGTAGAATTTTCTTTAGTTTTGAAGCATAATTTTTGGTCGCACGTGGAATGGCTCAAAAGGGACGATATCCGAGCAACTTGGCAGTTTTTTTCTGTCCGCAGCGCGACCGCGACGCTGAGAGCAATTCTAGAACTCGCCCGATGCGAAAGTTAAAAAAAAAGACACTTGTTATCCGTGGAGCGCACTCTGTCACTCTGTTCCAAGCTTCTTCGTCAAATACCTGCCATCAAAGCCGATTTGTTCGGATAATAACAGGGTGGAAGGACAATAATCGCCCATGTAATTTACAGTTGCGAATCCAAGTCGCGTGTGTGTGTTTCTCGGCGAACTGACAGCGAAACTACGGGTTGTCGTCGACACACGAAAAAAGAAATCTGGAGGGCAAAACGATCGCGTGACTCTCAGTCTGACACAATAATTAGCCGGGAAACCTTGACGCTTGTCAAAAAACCTCAACAGGACGCGTTTCGGAACACTTCGAGATGGTTGCAAATGGCCTTTCCTAGGTCTATCCGGTACCTTTATTTATCGATCTTGAGGGGTCAAGATCTGAGCTTTTTTAATTTAAAGTCGATTCACAGCTTTGCAAAGAAGTTAAAGATTCCCTAGGAAAATTCTCGCCCGCGGTAAGATTTTTCAACGAAAATATATACTTTTTTCGAGTTTGGGATCGGTTTTTCGCTCAAGTAACTGGTGAATGGAGTATAGGTTCATAATATGATTTTTTTTTTCTCAGTCACTTCAAATTTGGGTTAAAACATCGCTTTTGATAGGAAGAAAGAAAATAAAAAACTTTGAAAGAGCATTTTAATTATTTTAAAGTGGTCCCTATAGGGGTTAGGGGAGAAACAGTTCCTATAGGGGTCGAAAAAGTGGTCCCTATATGGGTAAAATGAAGGTGAAGCTCCTAAAGCTCAAGTGGCCTCTATAGGGGACTTCCAATTTTGTTCAAAAAACGCTTATTATTTATTTTTTCGCATAGAGTTCGGAAAAATTATCAACTAGCATGTCCCCTATAGGGGCCACTAGCCAAAACCCCTATAGAGACATCTTTTGCAGCTTTAGTGTCCCTAGAGAGGACCATCCAAGGGCCCCTAGGGTCGCCCCTATAGGGACCACTCTGGAGCTCCTAAGAAGACATTTTTTTTTTCATTTCAAGTATCAGACCAACCATGGAAGTTAGCTAAGTGACCAAGTATTGGTCGGCGCCAGTCCCTCTAGTGTACTTTCGAAACGGTGTAATTATTGGCCGAAAGTCCGAAAAAGGACATCATCGGGACTGGAAGATGTCTAATGGGCGAATTATCTCGTCAAACTAGAAGTTCCGGCTGCCATTTTTCAAACAATCTCTCTTTTTTGCAAGTTAGGGACTCGAAAATGGTGGTTATGAACGCGACAAAGTCGATTCTAGGTTATCTTCTGAACAAATCTTTGCACTCTGGCCAAGAAAGTCCAATATGGCGATGCATTGATCCTGATTTTTCGATTCCCGTGAATGCTTCTCTCGATCAAAAACTTCAACGAGCATTTCGTTAACATCTTGTTGATATCGATCGCTTTTTACTCGGCTTTATTTGTTTGTTTCTACTCTTATCGATTTTCTCGAATCGATGACATTAAAATTGTCTCTGCAACTATTGAGAGCAAGTAAGTTGCAACGAAAGATGTTTTTTGAGGAAATTGAACTTTTCCCGAACCCCGAAAAATCATTCTTTTCAGCCACGAAGTCAATATTCTCTTCCATTCATCTTCATCAAGTCCGATAACTTCGGGACTTTTCCTACTACAAGATGGGAATGCCCTGACTGTAGAGATCATAAGTGCTTCTGCACTTCATCCAACCTACGATATACCGAAAAACGTGCCTCAAAGAATATGATTCATTAGTTCATCAAAAAATTTCAGTTCTGGATGGCCAAGTCTGAAATATCTCCAGAGCTTCCGGAAAACTTACGTTTGACGGCCGAATACCCAAAGACGCAACTCCTGGAGCAGCACTACGGGCGGCCGAGTTTAGCGGTTGGTTTTTCTGGTTTCACTTGATATAGTTTGTTCATATTTTGAATGTCAAGTACAATGACGTCATTCGAAAACGCTCTGTGGATGGCTCACTCTCTGATTGGTTTATCGCGCCTTTAGGGGGCGGAGCTTTAGAAGCGACTTGACATTCAAAATCTGAACAGACTACAAAATCATTTAATTTCAGTTAGCTACTCGGAAAACGAATAAGAGAAAGCACAACGTTGTGAGTTGCGTTGAGCCGCTTCTCAATGAAGATTCCTTGAGGGTTTTCAAAAGTAAGTTTATCTCAAAAATCTTTGCAGAGGTGCTTAAAGGAGCATAGCTATATTTAAAAAAAGGTCCCGAAGCGAAGTCTATTGCTCCTTTAATTACGAAAGCAAGGATTTTCGCCATAAATGGGATGAGCATGACTGGCGACAGCTAAGCTGAACTTTAGGAAATGAATTTTTTATTTTTATAAGACCAGGCTAGAACCTTCCAGCACCCTGAGAACTATTTTTTTACGGTTCTTGCCAATCCCCTCCCCCCCACCCATTCATTCCTTTTTTTGTCAAGTCGCCCCCCTCCCCCCTCCCTTTTTCAGGTCCCACCGAGATTTTCCCTTGTATGATTTTCGCACTTTTTTGCTTTTTCAGCAATCTTCACTTTGACATCCCTCGGCTCCTTCGTGCACCTACCTATAATCCAGATCCGACCAGAGCTTTTCTCAATAATCCGAACGTTCGAGAAAGTATTTCTTTTATTTTTTTTTCAAAACACAAAAAATTAGAGAAAACTGGTCCGATTCGAACCGCAAGTCCCTCTGAAACTGGATCAATCCGAATTGCGGGCGATAATATCCCAAATCGACTGCATGCTTCTCTACAGGTTTTTTTTTCAGATTTCAGTCCAAAAATCTTTCAGAGAAACCGCCGATTTCATAGTCTACGCGAACTTCGATGAAATGTTCTATCCCCACACGGAGAACGACTACAACAACGAGTTCATACTCTCCTTTCTACAAGCTCCAAGTGCGACGCAGCTTTTTTACAACGTGCTACCAATCGTTCCCACATTCGGTTTGTACCCAAAATCCTTAATTTTTAAATATGTTCAATAGAAAACGACATCGACTCGAATGCTATCGAAGAACTAGACAATACGAGGTTCAACTTCACGGAGCATTCAAGGACTCTTGTGTTAAACGTCGAAAATATGAGAAGATCAGAGGTTTTTTTTTTTCGGAATTACAGCAAAATTCTAGGTATTGAGTTCAGAAATCCCAAAATACAATCCAAAAATCAGTTTGAATTTCCTCTGTATGATGAACTTTTCAATAAGAAGACCTAATTTCCGTGAAAATCCAGAAATATTCACACTTAAGCTTTCGAAAGTGGCGCTACAAATGTACAATTTGCTGATAATAGAAGACACGGAGCTACCGGACACTGTGATTCGAAAATTGAGCATCGACTATAAAACTCTTTCAAGAGAAGTTCAGCTACAACTCGAGAAACTCCGAATACCGCTCCAAAATCACGAAAATACAGGTATAAAATGTCTTGATTTACATATTTTGAAGATAATTTTAAGAATGTCAAGTTACAAAGTGCATGACTTCGAGAGGGAGAAACGAGAGGCTTCACAGCCCCTACGGCTACAATTTTCATCAAATCGTGGACCAAAAATTGTCTCTTGTTTTGAAATAAATTGCTAGGATTATTTCATTTTTTTCGAGCAATAAAATTGGAAATGGAGACTCGATCACTGAAAAAGTCAAAAATCGAAAAATAAAAGGAAAAGTTGGGGTTTTTAAGGAATAGTTCATCGAGAAAAGCTTAGAAATTTCAGAGTTGTCCCTGTAGGGGGGAAAAGCCCCTATAGGAGCTCGAAAATTAGCCCCTAGAGGGTTCAATTTTATTCAAAAAAGGTTTTTTTTTTAGTTTTCCGCTTGGAACCACTAGCATGACCATATAGGGGCCACAGGTATACCCCTTTTGTAAGCTTTAGTGGACCTGATCAAGGTTGGTGAAGTGGTACCTAGAGGGGCCTTCCAAAGGCCCCTGAGGTCGCCCCTAGAGGGACCAATCTGGACCTCCTAAAAATTCTGCGCCTTCTAGAGCCCTCCAAAATTTTAAAATAAGAAAGTAGCCATCAAAAATGAAAAAATGCTCGCGAAAAGCTGAAAATCCTCCGTTTAAATCTCATTCCCCACATAAAAAATCATCATTCGATGAATTTATTCGCGAAAAAAAACAGTAATGTACAAATTAAAACAAGTTAAATAGTGCTAAAGATAAAAATTGAACAGAAACACTAGGAAGTAACTTGTCCGGGATGTTTGTCGGGCCTATTTTTTCTCACCAGAAACTTCATTTTGCGGTTCATATCCTCGTTGAAAATCGCCGTCGAAGCCTCCATCGAGAGGGTTTTCCGTTGCATGTACGGCTTCTGGTAGAACTGCGTCCGTCGGATGATCTTCAGCAATCCTTCCGAGTCCATCAATCTGGAAACAAGGGAATGAAATAATTTTCCGATACGGAAGGTACATTCAGTCCTGCCATATTGAAGGACTATTCGACCTTGAAGACTTAAAATTCGTATCAGATCAGATTTTTCCTTTCTAAACTTCGGAAAAAGAGAATCTACAAGTTACCAGAAAAAGAAATTCAGAAAAGATTCTTTCAAAAATGTATGGACGACAGGCACGATTAACCGGGAAAACTTCCAAAAAAAAAGAGGAAATTTCTAATATTCACTCTTGTCCCTTATAAGAAGCTTTTTATTTAGAGTAAATAAGATTTGAAATGAAGAAACAAAAATTTTTGTAAACCTAAAGTTTAATCCAAACGTTTCAACCATTTATTTCTGAATTTCGTACGAAAAAAAACAAACCTGTTCAAAAGACCGAAAGCCGAGTCGACATCATTGTTTTTGACCAAAACTGTCCGTGTGGCAAAACGAGGATGGGCATTCCAAATACCTGAGTATATTACTCCAAAACTTACCTGATTATTATTTTTATACCTTTGAAAAGTTTGACGGCAAACGGCTGCATTAATGTACCCCTCCAACGCCATTGTCGGACCATTCTAGAATTTTTTAGGAATTTCCTTTTAGTTGAATGAAGGTCTTATGGCGAATGACAACCCTTTGAAGCTACCATAAGCCAAAAAGAGCTTCTTTATTTTTTAGAAAGCCTAACAGGCCGTTTGAATGAAATATACAGCCCGAATGAAAAGTATTCGATTTTGAATGTTTCTTTCAATTTAACATAGTCAAACTTCAATTCATTATATTTATGTTTTTTTCTGCTGAAATTTCGAAACAGAGACTTAACATTATCATAACTGCCTTCACATGAAAAATAACATTTTCAAAAATCTCGGAAAACTTTCTTGGGTGTCCAATCCTCACATCAAATCGAACAATATATCAAAACCAGAAGGAACAATTTATTTTAGTCACGTAAAAACTAAGTTTAGATTTTGGTATGGTTACAGATGTCACTATTTTGTCTAGTGTTGAGCTTTGCGCGCGGCCACCCGAGCGTCGATTTCCTCCTGGACTTCTGGGGCCAAGGCGGCGTCGGTGCGGGGACGGAGCTGGTCGAGCCGGAGAAGCACGTAGGTCGGGTACGACAGGAAGGCGAACGCAATGAAGCCGTACAAACCAATCTACAACCCATGAACCGTGTGAAAACAATTATAAAAAGATGATTTTTATTCTTATACTTTGTTTGAAAAATGAGTTCTATGAAGTTAAACGGCGAAGAAAAAACGTTTTTCGCTCTCAAAAAATCATGAAAACTTTCTATGCTCCTTTGAACACAACGGAAAGGATCAAAAAATAGTAAGAAAAAAAAAATCTCGCTCGGTGTTTGTAAGTCATTCAGCTGTCCTATAATTTCAGTTTCGCTTTTGGTGTCTTAAAACAACGAAGTAACTCTTTTTCGGATGGTTTAAATAGAATTATAAAAAAAGTATCATTTTTCTAGAATTACAAGTTCCATTCTAGCTCCTACCATTCATAAAAACTTAAACTATTTGAAAAAAATCAGAAAAAATAACTTCTATTATGACTTCAATAAAGGATGAATAAACGAAACCTTCTCGGTGATGGAAGTGTATCGAAGAGGCGGCGTGGAGTCGACACCCTTGTGAATAGCACGGCGGAAAACTGCCGGATTCTTGGCCAAGGTGAGCAAAGCACGGTTCATTTCTGCAAAGTAGCTTGATAAAAAAATGTCAACCCTTAACAAAAATTTCAAGAAATTATGCTCGAAGTTTGTCACAAAAAAAAATGATACTGAAAAGGAAATCTATGTTTCAACAAAAGTTTTTTTAAAACTTTTATGTTTCATAATTTTTTTTAAATAAATAACGTTACGAAGTTATTCCTAAAAGTAAAAAGAAATAGAAATGAATGAATATAAAAAGTGCATCTTGAAAAAAAATGATTATCGTATTCAGAGTATTCTTATTACCACTATTCTTTATTCAAAACTTTCTTGACAATAAAAAGTAAAGGGGAGAAAATTCGAGTGAGATTAATGCACAAAAATAATTTTACAGACATACGAGAAAGCGTTAACTTCGATGAATGCTGTTTTAAACCATCCAGTACAAAATTTGCAAACATTCAAACATGCGAAGAACAGAAATTTCAGAAGAAAAGGCTTTGAAAAAGGAATTTAAAAAAATCTAAAGTGCCTCTATTATTAAAGGCGCAGAGGAGGCGAACATGTCTGTTCGTTGCGGTGCACTATTGGAAAATTGCCAAACGATTTTCTTTTCTCTTATTTTGAAGCATCTTTTTTTATTTTTAAAAATTAAATCTATTAATTTATTAGGCTAATTTCGTTCTTAATAATGCATTCCGGTTCTTTGCTGAATGCCGCATGTGAAAAATTTGAAAAGTTCTCAATTGGCAATTTATAAAACGGATAATACTGTCCAAAAACTTTTTCTCCTTTCTTTTTTTAAAGTTTTTTTGAAAAATTTAAATTAATTCTTTAAATTTTTTTAATAGTACATAGTATCTAATAGAAAATATTTCGCATTAAAATTATCACATAGTTAAAGAAAATTTCAATGCTAGATTCTTTTTCGAAACGAGTTGATTTGAGTCTTAACAACATTTTTGGTTATTAATACTTTTATTTAAATGAGTTATTCAATTTTTAGCTATCTTCCTGATCGATTGTTTTAATTTTTTTTTTGCCATTCCATCTAAACAAACCATATGAAACTGCACGAAGTTGATTTTTCCCGCAATTGTTTTTTTCTTTCATCGTTTTTTTATGCGCTTTTTCTTCATTATTTTAAGTTTTATAGGATATATGGAAGTCAAGGAGGATGCTGTTGCGTCGGCTCCTTGCTGCTCCACTCATATTCTTCCTATACCGCAGGCAATATTTCAGTTTCCTTTTTTTAAAGGGTTTTTTTTTCAGACAGAGTCTTTTGCTCTGCCTGCAAGTCTTCCGTCATTGCCATTTGTACTGACAGTCGACACAAAGGTTTCTTTTGTTTTATTAATTGTTTTTTAATCGTCTAATTTTATCAGGCAGCTCCGGATGCTCAACAGCCTGCTCAATTGAGCAGTAGCAACTTCTGTCTTCAGTGTGGCCGGCTCACACATATTGATGACGATGATGACAATGATCCGGTGCCACCGGGAGAAGTTCCACAGAGAAAAAAGTTCAAGAAAGATGAGCCCATCGTCAGCAAAAAACAGTTTGTTTTTATTTCGAAAAAAATTCATTGTCGTTATCTTTAAACAAAAAAGAGGATTATCATTCTAGCTTTCTGAAAATGGCTTCTTCTGAATTATATGAATTTTTTTCAGACAACGAACGTCGCCACTGAAGTGGATTCAATGTGACGGATGTAATAAATGGCTTCATTTGAAGTATATTCTGATCAAGTTTACATTCATTCAACTGCTTTACTTTCAGGTGTGCCGGCCTTGAAGAATTTGAATCGGATATTTTCGATCAATTCCACTGTACAAAATGTGCGGCGGTGAATGGACCTAGTATTCGTGAGTTCTTCACTTTTTTTGGGGCCTAATTTCTCTTTTCAGTTCACCGAAAGCTGGCACCTCATAGATATCGATACTATGCCCCAGATGAGGTTGATTTGCCAACAGAAATGGGAACGGAAGTTTGGTGCGAGAAGTTCAAAAGAGTCGAATCGACGTTGTTCTCCCCACCGTTAGTTTTAAAGCCATCTTTGGCATTGATAAACGAAAAAAAAAACATTGAAAATTCTGATTTTTTCCAGAACTGAAGATGAAGTCACGATATACAAGAATGGAGCCGAGTTTTCGAACGATTTTTCCCGAGACACTGAGTGGAGAAAAATTTTTCTCATCAAAAACAAGGGCGGCCTGGATATGAATATGCCGGAGCCGGGAGCCTTTACTGTTGAGTCGATTGTCGAGATCATGGGTTTCGAGAAATTTAAAATTTCTTTGGACTTGATAGTATTTTAGGGGAGAACTATGAAGTCGACACGATCGATGTCTACCGTCAGGAGACTTACTCGATGAAATTGGGGAGTTTTCTGAAGAAAATCCGGGATTCGGCCCCTCGCGAGAAGCTCTACAACTTTCTTTCGTTGGAGTTTTCCGACAGTGATCAGTGAGTTTTTTTCAATTAAAGCCAAAGTTGTTTCACATGGCGATGTTCAATTTTTATGCTCAAATTTAATGAGTGAAAATATTTTTTTCGGTAAGAATGTTTTAATGATTTTTGGAACCTTGCCTGACGTACTAGCCTGCCCGGTTGTTTTAGGCCTTTTGAGTCTCAGTTGTGCTTAATAGGGGGAACAACAAGTGAAAGAAAAAAAAGGTTACCCAGCCGTGCTTATTTCGAAATTCTGTGACCGAACTGTGCGGAGTCTAAGCTGGCGTAAAAATTGCCAAAAGTTCCACCAGCTGTGCTTCTACGGGTTTAATAGGGGTACGGGTACACCTGTTAAGAACCCGAGCTAGCACGGCTGGGCTACCCATTTCATCTTGAGAGGAAATGGATATGTTTTTGATACAATTTTCCCGATTTCAGGATGGGCGAACTGGTGTCTCCGCCGTACTTTGTCAGCGAGATCTCTTTCGTCCACCGATTATGGCCGGATCGGAATTCGCCGGCTGTGAGGACCGGTCAGATGCATGACGTCAACTCCTTCCGAGTCCTTGACGAACATCTTCCTATGAAACCTAAAGTTTGGCTTTTTTTGTTTCTGAAAATCGAGTTGCAAAAAGAAGCCTGTAAAAATGGCACTTTTTCTATAGAAAAACGGAAATTCTTATTTAAAATATTGTTCAGAAAATAATAGAAGTTATCGGGAAAGATCTTTTTTTGAGCCGCGATTCATTTTTGCAGCTCGCTTTCCATATACGAACTTTTCTTTTCTGTTATCGTATACACTAGTTTTTTTTTAGGTTGCCGAGTTTTGCCTCGTTGGAATGGGCGGCTCATACACGGATTTCCATATCGATTTTGGAGGGTCTTCTGTTTGGTACCATATTTATAAGGTTCTGAAAATTTGACTTTCACTTTTCATTATGTGTTTTTTTACAGGGAAGGAAAATCTTCTACGTCGCGGCGCCGACCAAGGAGAATTTGAAGGCCTACGAAATGTTCCAATCGGAAAAATCGACGACCGCGTGGTTCGGAGATTCGTTACCGCCAGGGACCATCAAAAGGGTGATTTTTCCGTTTCTTTTCGTTTTTTCTTTTATGATTTTCTTAATTTTTTTAAAATGATTTTTGCGTTTTTTGAAGAAGGAAGGTTATATTATTGACCGAATTAAATGTTTTTTGTTAAAAACGTAAAGAAAAAATACATATTCCTTAGGAACTCCAGACTGTCAAGACTGTTCTTCCCCGACCCCTCTAGGGACCACTTTAAAAATTCCGGAGTTTGTGCGAGAATTTTCATTAAATCTGTATCAAGCCAACGGTAAACAGACTAATGAGTTCAGGAATCCTAGAATGCCCCCTGAGTGGTCCTTGAAGGTTTTTATCTAGGGACCACTTAAACAACCTCTTAGGGTCACTAGAGCTTGCAAAAGTGCCCCCTAAGGGTTCTACTTAGTAGCCACTAGAGGGGATATTCCAGTCGATTAATGTTATCACTTCTATGAGAAAGGGCCACGAAAAAAAACTCAGTAATTTAGCGTTTTTAAATGAACCATTAGCTCCTCTAACCCCTATAGGGACCACTCTAAGAAGGTCTCTAGACTTCGTATTGACATCACAAAAAAATAATTAAAAAAGGTAGAATATCGCACTTTTTAAAGGTAGTTATCGATGAAGGAGAGACTTTGATGATCCCTGCGGGTTGGATTCACGCCGTCTACACTCCAGTCGATTCTATCGTTTTCGGAGGGAATTATCTTCACAGTTATAATATCGAAATGCAGCTCAAGTTTGTCCTGAGACCAGTTTTCATTCGAATATTTTCATATTTCAGAATTTATGAGCTCGAGAATCGAATCCGGTCCCGTGTTTCAACAGACGAGAAGTTTTTCTTCCCGTCCTTTGAGCTGGTCAATTGGTACGCCGTCAGCAACTTCCTCGTCGAACCTTTGAGAGGTGAGAATTTTTTGACCGTTTTATTTTATTTTATTTTCAAGTGTTTATTTTTTCAAAGAAAGTTGTAATAGGATTAGTTGAAACTCGAAAAAAACATCAGAAAAGGTGGTTTTTCAGAATACAATGACGAGGGAAGCGCTGTGGATCAGTTGACTTGGAAATCGGCCCAATGCTTTCTGCCAGTCCTCCAAAAATGGATCGAACGTGACAGAGTTGGAATCCCCCGCCTAATTTTACCCGAAATTCCCGTTTCCAGGCAAAATCTGAAGCTAGAGGAGGCGAAAAAGTCGGCTACACGGAAATATTCACCAAGTTCTTGAAGGAGTTCCGTCGTCAGGAGGTTTTTTTGGATGATAATTGAAATTCGAACGCTTTTCATTCAGAAAATCCGAGTCGAAACGTTGTCGCCGAAGAAAAAGTACAAGAAGAGGCGTTCTGATGGAACTGGTAGGAGTTTTTTTGGTATAATAATCTTTTTTTCTTTTTCTCAGAAGGTGGATTGTCGCCGACGAAGACGCCGAAAGCGGCGGAGATTTGTTGGTTTTTTTGTCTTGAAAAAGAAAAAAAATGAAAGAATGGCCAGAATGAATTTTTTGAAAACAAAAGAAGTGGAAAATGGAACATGAAAAAAAAAAACTGCTAGATTTATCTATTTTTTTGCTTATTATATCGATTTTTTTGATTTTTCTTAGCTTCCAAAGGTTTCCATTTTTTTCCATAGAATGAATTATCTTTGTTTTCTATTGATATTGATTTTTCCAGATTACGAAGCTACACCGAAAGAGGAAGAGAAGTCCCCGTTTTTTTGAATGAAGTGGAGAAAAAAAGAGGAACCCTCTGAGGTAAATCGACAAAATGGCTCTGAGGATGTTCCAAGGTATTTTTTTCCTCCAAAAAAAATGTTTAGAATGTAGGTTTTCTAAGTTCCTGTTTGAGAAACCAAAAAGTTTTTAAATTATATGCTTGATAATACTAGAAAAAAATGATAGTTTTTGAAAAAGCTTGAAGGAAAATTCAAAAATTAAAAGAAAAAGATGTAGTCAATACACATGAATGAATGAAAAAAATAAATAAAAATAAAGACGCTTTGTTTTTTTGTTGTGCCCAGGTGGCCAGTGAAGAAGTTGTAGTAGAAGATTTTTTTTTTATTGGAAGAATTCGATTTTAGTAAGCAGAAACTAGACCGTTAAAAATAATGGCGTTTTCATCAGGCAAAACGAAAATTGTTCCGAAACGCAAGAAAAATGCTCCAAAGCAAAATTTTGTACAATCAGCTTTTTGGAAAGCAAAGTTTGTTCAGAATTTCCATGGGCATGATTACTCTGCCGAAAATCTCTCTTCGTCTTCCCCGACCACCGTCTCCGGATAAACACAGCGCCACGCAAATGTTCTCCAATTCCAGGAGTAGGTCCGGCAGGAAAATCCAGGTTTAGTTTTTTTATTCAAGATTATAATCATCAATTATTTCACGGCGAAATGGAACGAAACGTTTGATTTTTTTCAGGTTTCTGCAGCTATGAAGCTCGCCACCGGCGATTCCATCGTTCAAACCGATGTGAAAGAAGGTAGGAAATCGAAATTAACAAAGGAAAATAAAAATCTGTTTTTAGAAGAAAGAAACGACTCGATGTCACCTTTGTCGTTCCAACAAGCCGACCGCATGCTCATGAAGGCCGAGGAAAAAGCCGCGGAAATTATTCCGAAAAAAACGCGGCCGGCCTCCCAAACCTCCCACCGATAAACGTTAGTTCTTAATGCAGTTTTCGAAAACCTAACCATCTCTTTGTTTTTTCTACCTCTTTATTTTCGAGTTTGAAAATCTTACCCTTTTTTTTCCATTAAGTTTTTAAATAGACGCTTTTGAGAGTACATGGATTTTCAATAAGTTTACAATCAAAGTTTAAAATTGGTTTTTTGTCCCACCTGTTCCTAAAAGTCCAATGAGCCGTAAAAAACCGGGCTTTTGAAGGGAAAACATTCACTTTTATATGTTTTTATGAGGTATCAAACGGTCCACTTCAAAAATCACAGATTCGAGTATTTTTGAAGAAAAACGCGATTTTATTCTCACACCTTTTAATTTTGAAATACGCTTGGGATCGGTGTACAGAAAGTTTTTCACAGGAACGAATCGAAAAAAAAATTCCCACTGGAAAAAAGATGAAAAGACGGTTTTAAAGAGGTACAACGAATCCTTATTTTTTCTTTCCGCGTTTTAAATATCCTTGAAAAAATTTTGTAGGTTTGAATATGTTTAAAACTCAAACTTTTCAGCCAAAAATGCGCCCCCGCCTCCGAAAAAGACAAAAGCAGTTACTGCCAAGCAACGCCTCGCCAAATGCTTGAAACTCAAGTGAGCAACATGATCTCTCGAATAATTTGGTCCCCGTTTTTTTTTTCTAGGGTTTTCTCTGCATTTATTGTTCTTTATAACACTTTTGAATCTTGTTTAACTGGTCGAAGGTGCTCTGGTAATGACTAAAAAGATCTCAGTAATCGCGGGCGACAAACGGGGTGGTCGCTCTCTTAAGTGATCACTAGAAAAATATAAGTGGTCTCTCGAGCGAATATTTTTCCTTTAGTGATCAGTTTAAGAGGTCGATTACACGGTTTGTCCGGGGTTGTCGCCCGCGAGATATGAAGTTCTTTTGTTAGTAGGTTTTTTTTTAGCTTCCGAACTGCAAAAGGTTCTGTTTCATGCCATTTTTGCTTCCTTTTTTCATTCATAGACGCCAAGAAGTGAGTTACTTTTGAAAGCCCCCCGAGATGGTTTATTCACTTAACTTTTTGGGACCATATTTGAAGGATTTTTGTCGCATTTCCAAGCGCTTTGACTAGTTGAGAGACTGGATTTTCCCCTTTTTGTATTATATTTTTTTTTGCTAGAATTTTCCCGATCTGTTTTATATATTTCAATTGTTTCTCACGGGTGTCTTCTATTTTGTCCAAAGGTTTTTGTTCTCTTTGCGAGAAAATATATACATACCTCGCGTTTTTTTTTTTGACTGCTGGTTTCCCTTGTATCAAAATTACCTTGTTTTTTTTGTTTTGGTTTTTCTTGTTTGATGTGATAAATTTGAACCGCCAAAAGGTTTTGTCAGTGAAGAATCGTGGATTTTTCGGATCTATATATGAGAAAAAAAATGATAATTTCCTTGGAGGATGGCTTTTTGGCTTGAGGAATGTCGGGAAATGACGTCGAGATTGCCGCCTCGAAATTGGGGACCAAAGAATTGTTAGTTTTTTTTGAGGAAATATTTAGGAATTCGAAAAATTCCTTACAGTTGGGATGAGCGATACGAGGTCGAATTGAAGAATTTCGAGGAATTTGGCGACGAAGGCGAGATTTGGTTTGGCCAATCCGCCGAGAAACGGTGAAAATATGTTTCGGAATGAATGTCAATTTTTTTTGTTGAGAAACTTCGAGTTTGACTAGAAATAGCTTCTAGGAATTTTTCTAAAAATAATATTTTGCTTCAAAATGTTGAACTTTAGTCGAAAAAATGAATACTTAAGCGCTTTTTTTCGGGGTTTTTCATCGTCCTGAACATTTCCACGTAAGATTTTCTTTAAAAAAAAACATTTCACAGAATTTAACAGTTAAAAAATTTTTTATACGCGCCTAAATATACACGGACAAACGGCTCCTAAAAGTGCGCGACAGTTGCGCTAAGCCACGCCCACTAGCCACTTTCTTCATGCCGTGTTCAAAATAATTTCGGCGGTTTTAAAATTAGACGCCTTATTCGTTTAAAATTATTTCGGGAAATAGGCAGAATATGTATTTGAAAATTCCGTAGAAAATGCCCAAATAAATCCAAAAGTTTGAGTTCCCGCGTAGAATTTACGGTAAAAATGCATATCTAACGATATATCGTTGTAGGACTCATTTTTTCCCCTTCCCCAAATGCCAATTCTGCCTATGTCCCGAAGCCATTTTGAACGAATAACGCGTCAATTTTTAAATCGCCGAAATTACTTTTAACAAGGCATCAGCCTTTCTAAACTGCTTTGATCAGTCCTGAAGTTCAGGATAGTCGATCATTTGGGGAAATCGAAGACGCCGAAAAATTCGAAAATTGTCGACATTGGCTGTGGAAATGGTTCAGTTCTGCGGAGACTGGTAAGCGGGGCTGAAATTTTTTTTTTCGAACTTTATCCATATGCGCACTACAAAATGAAGTTGATTCATTGGTTATTAAAAAGGAAATTTCTTCTCAAAACCTTTTCCAGAAGGAAAAAGGGTTCACGGATCTGATCGGGGTCGATTATTGCGAGGCGGCTGTCAGATTAGCCGAGCAGTCTTCGAGGGAAGACGACGGATTTCCTCCAGAAATCGAGATCCGATTTGAAGTTGACCCCTTGCTCCAGCTCAGAGTAGACGGAGTTTCAGCAACTCGACATTTTGGCCCCTCAAAGGCCGTTCTTCGACGGTAGTTTCAGTATCGTTCTCGATAAAGGGACCTGGGATGCGATCAGTCTAGCCGAAGACAGAGGTAAAATCCTTCCAGAGCAGAAAAGTCATTCAAAAGAGTGTTTCTTGTGAGAAGACTGTTGTTGAAAGTGAAGTTAAGGGTTTCAAGGATTTAGTGGCCACTTTAGGGCTTTGAGGTTCGAGAGGTCTCTTTAGAAGTCCAAGCGGTACTACTGAACAACTAAAACTACTATAGTGGTCAATAAGACACAGAGTAGTGGCTTCTATAGAGGGGGTTTCGGTGGCCACTGTAGTAATCGAGTTAGTGGCCACTTAAGTGATTAAAATCTAGTGGCACCTTCAGAAGTCTAAGGGCTACTACTAGATCTCGAGAAACACTATAGTGGCCACTAAGACGCAAAGTTGTGGCTTCTATAAAGGTGGTTTTAGTGGCCACTGTAGTAATCGAGTTAGTGGTCACTTAAGTGACATAAATTGAGTGATAACTTAAGTGACTAGATTCTAGTGGCACCTTCAGAAGTCTAAGTGCTACTAGTAGACCTCGAGAAACACTATAGTGGCCACTAAGATGCAAAGTAGTGGAGGTCGTTTTAGTGGCCACTTCAGTGTCCTTTCTTAGTAGCACTTGAGAAGTCACCCAAGTGGCCACTAGAGTTGTTCTTGTTAGGTTAATAGAGAATTCAATAGGAAGGCCTATTTCGTGAATTTCTGTCACAGTAGAATCTTGATCAAGAATATTATAATGAAAATATATCTTCTATAACTTTTCAAGACAGAACAAAGGCTTCCTTTTTTCAGAAGAGCGGCTGAAAAAGTACAAAAAGTCGGTGGTGGACGCTCTATCGCCTGACGGCCAATTCATCATTTTCTCTTGCAATTTCACAGAGTGGGTTCAAGAAATTCCTCCTTTCCGTAGTTTCGGCGAGCGCCAGAGTGGTCCCTACAGGGGTTCGGGAAAAAAAAACTTCTGTAGGGGACCAAAAAGTGGCCGCTATAGGGCTGAAAAGGAAGGGGAGCACTAAAATTGCCACTGTAGGGGCCACTCTGGAGCTCCTGAGTAGTTTTGCTCTGAATCCAGAAATTTGAAATTTTTCGCTTAAAGCATTCTTACAGATTTTTTTAGATCATGATTTAATTTATTTGACTGTGGAACATTGAAAATTGGGAAGTTATAGTCGTTTCAAAGCGTGAAAAAAAAAATCAGAAACGGTGAATTTCTGAATTTTTAGAAGGTCCTTAATTTGTTCACAAGGCTCTTGAGCATTTCCTGAGCTCAGATTCGAAATTAGCATGGAAAAGAACAGTTTATGAACCTGGCCTCATTCAATAGCCTTTTTGTAAGCGGAGGCCATTCCCTAGTAACTTGTCTCTGAACAAAATCTATCAAAAGTAAGTAGGAAACTTTAGGGAGGAGCTGAAGGGCCAGTTTTCGGATACTCTGGTGTTCGACGCAGTTATTCCGGCGACCCACTCATTCTCCTTCGGCGGAAAGGACGGTGTCACAAGCACAGGCATCGTTTTTCGCAAGAGAAACTGTTGATAAACTTGAAAATACACATTCAATACCACGGCTCAGAACATAGAAAGCAAATTTCCAAGTTTTCCATCTCCAGTAAAAGAGAGCTTCTCGCTCTCAATTCGGAGAATGAGCGATTGCTGCGGGAAGGCAGTTCAATCATGAGCCTTGTTGGCAGCAAAACAATGATGAATATGTTCTTCACGTGTCTTCGAACAACGGAATTCTGAAGCGGGCCGGCCGACGAGTGTAAGATGATAGGCTCGCGTTGCAATTGTGTCCGTTTTTGTCATCAGCGAAAACTCACCGAAATGTACTCTTGTTTGTTTCTTTTCCTCTCATTGAAATTCATAATGCCTTGGTAATTTTTGCAAAATCCAGAGTCATCTCTGACTCTCCAAAATTTAGTTGTCTTTCTCTACTTCTGACGTCGATTTTTAATTTCACGATATTTCTTTGAAAACGGCTTAGATTCCTCGATTTTGCTCGTCTTTTCGAGAAAAAGGGCTGATAAACTCCTCCACGTGTTCTCTTTGTGTATAACCCCCCAAAAAACGCCTTTTTCGTAGGTTGTCGTGAGAAAAATTATTCATGAGAGTGTGTTTCAAAGTTTTAAACAAAGTAGGAGAACGCGGAAGTGGGTTGGACCTTTTTTGTTCTGAATATCTGTCAGAGGTGTTCTATTTCTTTTAACAAGGTTCTCAGCTAGCATTTTTTTCCGAACTTCTTATTAGTTTTTTTGTAGTATATCTTCGATGTGTATACCCTTTGAGTTCAAAATTACCAGAAAAATTCTATCAATGTCCCCCCCCACAAGAATAATTTCAATTTTCTAAGTTAACATTTTGCGAATATTGATATTTTTTTGAGTGCTTTTTTGGTGTACATCTTACAAGAAAGGTAATTTAAGTTTAAAGTTCGAAACTTTTTTTAAAAATCACCCTGAAAAGTCTTGAGAAAACATTCTATCAATGTCGCCCCCCCGGGCGGAAACTTCCAACCAATTTCAAGATATTGAGTTCTCGAATTTCGCATTTAAAGAGAAGCACTTGAAAAATTCATCTTGAAAGAAATTCTAAGCTGGTAGCATCTCTGAGATCACCTAGATCTTAAAACTTAAAGAAAATTCCAAACTTCCTACTAAATTGACCTTCTTCCTCAGTGAGGAGTGTCGCTTTTTTCGGAAACACAAGCAAAGCGAGGCGAACCAATTGAAGAATGCGTCGTTGATAGTTTTGGGAGGAGTCGATCTTGAGACATGGGGGGGCCTCTGTCCGTCCCTTGGGCGCATATCCGCGGAAGGATCCGCAAATCTCCTCCTCTACGACCTTTTGCAGGCAGCTTTTCCTGTTCCTTTTCTTCCATTCGACTCTAATTTGGTGTCCCCACTTGACAGTTTAGATATCTTCTCTAAAACCCATTGAAGAAAAATTTTTTTTAGATCAAAAGTGAAACTTTTAGGGCTCAGGATTGCTCAGAACTTTTCATTGAATTTGTAAAAAACGAAAATTATCAGTTCAAGTGGGCTTTCATGCTGATTTTTGCATGTTCTCTTCCGTTTTTCGGGACTTCTCTGCGCCCTCCTCATCTCTTGACATCTCTCTCATGTTTACGTGCTATTTCCATGTTTCTCTGACCTCCACGGTGAGGGAACAGAGAGACGCAGACACGCGATATGATGACGATAATTTATTCATTCTTAACTAGAAAAAAATAATTATGTGAAGCCTTGTACTTTAAAGGAATTCAAGTCAAAAGCTCGTTTTCAAGGACTGCTTTGAAAATTATTCTATTTTTTCCCGGGTTTGAACATTTTCTATATCCTGAATGAGTGGGAATCTCAAAAACAAAGATTATTTTCGAATCTTCTCCTTGTCTTTTTCTCTAGCCTCACAAGAGCTCTCAGTGGTCAGCACATGTATTATTGAATGTTATTACTTAAAAAGGAAGACGAATTCTTCTCTTTCCAACTTTTCCTTCTTTCTTTTCGTTCCTACTGCTTCCTTCGAATTCAGAATCGTATCGAATTACAAAGTGAGTTGGCGTCAGTTTTTTTTTTCGACTCGTAGTGTCAAATTGAAGTTTTTCGAGCCCATTCCTCTACTTATTTCTATGAAGCGCGGCATTAAAATTACAAATTAGGAATTTCAGAGTGGTCCCTATAGGCGTTAGGCGGAAAAACAGCCTCTATAGGGGCCGAAAAAGTGGTCCCTTGTTTGGATTTTTTTTTGGAGTCGTAGTGTCAATATTCTTGAATAATTGATGTTTTTTGAGTCCAGGGCTTGGCCCCTAAAGTTTAAGTGGTCTCTTAAGGGATATTTCAACATCATTTAGAAACGGTTTTCCGCAAGGAAATGCTTCTTCGCAGAGAGTACATGAAAGACTAGAATGTCCCCTCTAGGGACCACTTTTGCAAGCTTTAGTGACCCTGTAGGGGTTGGTAAAGTGGTCCCTATAGGAGACCCTTCAAGGACCCTTGAGGGTGCCCCTAAAAGGACCACTCAGGTGTTCCTAAGAACAAAAGACCTTTTGGACTTCTTTTATCAATCAAAAATCCTATTTCCCACTTACCTGCGCCTTTAAAGGCGCATACATCATTCACTTTCCAGTCTTCGATAAATCCGTCTATGCGCCTTTAAACACCAGCTTACTGTTTGGAAATCGGTCTCGAGATTCGCGAAAAGGTCGGAAAAAGCTTTGCCGGCGGTCGACGCCCCGAATCCAATTTGAGCTTTTGACGCTTCGGCCTCGGCTCATTTCGTTCCCTTTCCATTGTCCTTGTTTCCTGTTTCCATCTCCTCTCCAAAGTTATATATATTTTTTTTCCATGACAAGGCGAAATCTCGATAAAGAACATGTTCAAATTGCGGATTTATCGTGAAAATCGTCTTCTTTTTTTGAAAGAAAAAAAAAATTCAAATCACCTCATTTATTTTTCTGTTTCATTTGTTGATTGGCATATAACCAAGATATGGCTAAAAAATTTCTGATTTTTAGATTTTGTATCTCAGTTTTGAGCTTTTTTTCAATTTTCGGGACTCCAGCGTGAACTTTCAGCTTTTCCACCTTAATAATAGGCTTCTGCTTTTTTTTTATTGGTTTTTTTTTCCGAAAACCTAGCCTAGAAACGCCTAATTTGAACAGATTTCGAGCTTTCCGACCCTGATTTTTGAGTTTACTGTCGTTTCAAAAAAATAAAATGAAAGCTAGGCACCGCAAAGCCCCGCCTCCTTTTCGCGATAGAAAAAGTGGCTTTTTTTTGGTTTTCAACTTTTATTTTGTTGTAGTTGCAAAATATGTGGAATTGAACACACATGTACAAAAAAGCTTCCTCTTTCTTTTAAAAAAATCTCACGCTTTTTTGATGCGTTCTCGCGGAATGTCGTACAACAACGTGAATAGAACTAAAAAATTTTGTAATTTTTTTAGTGAAACTTTATTATAAAGCTTTACAGAAAAGTAGTTCCTCGTGACGTTCCTTTCATTTCAGTGTCTCAAAAAGCTTCCTGGTAAGAAAGCTTTGTTCGCTACACCAATACAACAAATGAGGGGATTTGAACGTCGTGGCATTATGGACGCCAAATCGAATTATCCTCCGTTTTACATAATAAAGTCTCTTCTCTCTCTCTCACTCAGCGTCCTCCTTGGCCGATTCTTCTTGAATTTTTTTTCTTGTTCTTCTTTTATAGTATATTCATTGACGCTTACTGGTTCCGATTTTCCGGATTTTTTTTTTCTGAACCGTTAAAAAAAGGCTTTACAATTGTCACTTTATTTGACGGTTTGAAAATTTCAATAAATTTGCTCAAACACTTTCTGAATGTTTAGATGAAAATTCCTCTTAGTCACTACCTTCCCAACTTCCAGTTTTGAAATATTAATTTTTGAAACTTGCGTAAAACACAAAGTTATACCCCACAAGAAGGTCATTTTATCTTACGACTTGGAATTTTATACTTATTTTCTTAAACACTATCTGAAATTTTATATGAAGACCCATCATAGTCGCAATCCGCGCCAGCTTCTAGTTTTCGAGATAATTGTCTTTGAAGCTCGAAAATCTAGGCTTAACACTTATATTTTGCAACTTTGAAAAATCATATCTGAAAAATTAGAAGATTGCGCAGATAGCCATTATGTGGGTTTTTAATTTATCCTTCTGAAGAGTGTTTTAGCAAATTTATAGAAAATTCCGAACCGCCAAGTAAAATGACCTCCCTTGTGAGCGAATTTTCCGAAAGTAAAAATTTCCAAAACCCTTCAAATTTCGTTCAAACTAAATATGAAAGTAAGCTGATCGAAAAATAAGACTCCCCTAGAGCAAAGCTGCCACCTGTCGATAGCAAAAAAAAAGAAAAAAAAGAAGAGCTGTTCGGTTCGTAGATTGATAGCGTTGATTTTCACGCTTCTCCATTTTTCCTCGAAAATTTATCGGCCAATTTGCCAGAATTTTCTGTCACGTTTTGCTCAAAAAAAGTTAAAACTACGATTTTTTTTTAGTATATTCTGGGAAAAGTTTTAGTTGCCACTATAAAGGCTCGCCAAGGACTACTTGGAGAGGACACTAAAGTGTCCACTAAACCCACCTCTATAGTGGCCACTATTTTCCGTTTTAGTTGCCACTTCAGTAGTTTTTCATCCAGTATTCCTTCCAGTAACTCTGATGATTTTAAAACAAACCTATTGGACCAGTTATGTTGATCCATTGACCCCTAAAGTGGCCACTCAAATTTTTAGTGGTCTAGTAGTAGCAATTAGACCACTATAGGGGCCACTAATTTGATTACTATAGTGTCCACTAAAACGTCAAAACCCTTTAGTAGCCACTAAAAATGTTCCCAGTTTGATTCATTTTTGAACCCTTCTTCTGTTAGTAACTCAATACTTTCTCTAGTTGCATTCAGGTCAAACATCAGTGTTCCTTGTGTTCTTTGTCTAGTAGTTTCCATCGAGTTCCATTATTTTATTACCTTCCAGAAGTGACGTGGAAAGGGGGTTGCCACTCAGGTTATTAAGAAATGAGCTGGGTCAAAAAAAATCGGAAATAATTTTCATCTGAGCGTGTCATTTTTAACATAGCCGGGGCAGAAATTTGTTATAGAAAGGTGCCAATTTTTTTTGGACGTGGAGGTCCTCTTTTTCTGACGGCTGAATTTTCGAAGCCTTTTTTCTCATTCTGCAGACGTCTTTTTCAGTATTATTTCAAATTATTTTCGACACATGACCTATTTTTAATCTTTTGAACAACCCAAAAAGGACTTTTGAGCATAAATTTTACCTTAAAGAGGTTTCGCATGTTATTTTTCTCGAAAAAAGCTCCGAAAGTTTCTGAGAAGCTCTAGAGACCACTTGAGAGATCTGAAGCCGCTTAAGTGGCCCCTAGGATTGCTTTTCGGTAAGGCCCTGAAGTTTCTGAGATGTTCTAGGGATCACTTAAGAGATCTGAAGCCACTTAAGTGGTCCCTAGGACTGCTTTTCGGTAAGGCCCTGAAGTCTCTTAGGAGTTCTAGGGATCACTTAAGAGTTCTGAATTAACTTAAGCAGTCCCTGAAATTCCCGATTCGCGTTGCTAATTTTTGACTTGACCCTCCAAATCGTTCAGAATCCTTGTCTCTCTCTTCGTTTTTCGGAACTCAAATTGAAAAAAAGAACTGGTGAAGAAACAGATGCACCTGTGCGAGCAGCCGATGAATTTGACGCGGAGGGCCTGCTGCCACCTGGTCCTTCTCCTCAACGACACTTCAAAGGCTCGTTTTTTGAAATCACGTGTGCCGGAGTGACGTAAAATCTCTTATACTCCGTAAAAAAAGGTTTTGAAAGGCGAGATGGATAGGTTGGCATGGGCGACGCGTTGAGTGTGCGATGCGGCTTCCTGGCGAGCCGTTTTTCTCCTTTTTTTTTGGCATTTTTTTTAAAGAATTGTAATTTTCATGAGTTTGAAAAGATTCTGTAGAGAATAAAGGTTTAAAAATAATTTTAAAAAAACTTATTTTTTCTACATTTCCAAAGCCGCGTCGCACACGCAACGCGTCCCTCTTGTCAATCTAAAAAATCTCGACTCCGGGAAAATTTTACTATACATCTTCTAGTAGATCATTTCGATCACCAGCTCTTGATTTTTTTCTTTTTGAAAGATTCGTTTTTTTTTCTAGAAAAGGTGCATTAACATACACAAACCAAGAAAAGGGCAGAAATCGCCAGTCTCCAGCTCGTATTCAAAATCAAACCGATTCAATTTGAAAGAAGCGACGGAGTCACAAATTGGATAGAATCATGACCTTCTTTTTTTCTTCGAAATCAGCCTTCGTCTGAAATCCAACATTCTACATTTAGATTCGATTAAAATTGAGCTGTCCTTTTCTTGTGTAATTACGCATTTTCAGGTCCCTTTGTGTACGGTAGACGAGTTTCTGGATAATTCAACGCGAGTTCTTGTGAGTTTTTGAATTATCTCAAGAGAATATTTTATGCTTCCCAATAGTAAGAGGGATTTAGTCAATTATCAGTTCTTTCGTAGAAGTTTGGCTGATCTTCTTAATTTGAAAGTCTTGGAGCAATATCCCAAGTGAAAATATCAAATTTTGGTCTCAGAGAACGCCAGTCTACCTCGCTGAACCGGCCGAGGAGCGGGAGGACCACGTCACTTTTGTCGTCGGAATCTTCCTTCTGATGTTGATCGCCCTCGGGTGCACCTTCACTCTCAGCAAACTCACCAAACCCAAGTAATCGTCCAATCTTAACCTTCAAAGATCTTCTACAGAATATCCGTCGGCTACGGTACTTCTTCCAACTATGACGTCATGATGTGGATGCCATCGTCCTACCATAGGAGGTACTAATATAGGCAAGGCGGAGAGACCCTTTGAGCGTCCTTTATAAATCAAAAAGTTCCGTTTATTGTTCCTAAACGGTTTCCTTTTTACTGCCTTTTTCCGTCCTTTCTTCGGCCTTCATCTACCCTTTTTGGACCCTTTTGAGATAGAAAATTTTTTTTTGTATTGAGAATAATTTTTACCAGTGACTGTGTATGAACCCAAATGTAAAAAGACCAATGCCGAGAAAGAAAATATCAAGAAAGGGTCAAGGCTGCAAAACGGAACCCTTTTAGCGGCCATTTTGCAGTCACTTCCTTTTTGCACCCGTTTCCGTACTTCCTTTGGCAGTGTAAAATCACGAGGTTTCCGGTCTTTGAAGCTGGATTTCTTAAAAGCACAGACTGTCAGTTGCTCTTTCTCAAAAGGGAGCACGTCCCAGGGATCAAAGTTAAACGACCTTAATGAGCTGAAAAACCTTTAAAAATCAAAACTATCCGATTCAGATCGTCTGTACTGGTACTCCTCCGCGGAATGACCTGCCGAAGAGATCCTTCCAATAGGGAAAGTAGCGTCAGCGTCGTTTCTTCACACGTCCCGTGAGCTTTTAATATTATATCCACAAGATGAAATTAAAGTTCGTTTAAGATTTTGAAGAAGTTCCAGATTATTACCATCGTATCAAACGGCGACGACGACGCCGACGTCTTCGCTTCCCCCGCCGCCGTATTCTGAAGATCGGCCCATTTTGTCATAGTTACTCTGGGAATACTCTAGTGGTCACTTAAAGGGTTCGCAAACTTGGAGAGGACACTAAAGTGGCGACTAAAAACTATAGTTTGCGTCTTAGGGGCCCTAAAACTTTTAGCAGAACCACTTAGATTTTAAAATAGGTAAATAAATTTTAGTCGCTTAAGTGGCCACTTCGACTACTATGGAAACCACGAATACTTCAAAACCCTCAAGTGGCCACTAAATTTTGCCCGCATAGGGTACTTCTAGTCTGTTCATATTTTTAATGTCAAGTGCAATGACGTCATTCAAAAACACTCTGTGGATGGCTCACTCTCTGATTGGTTTAACACACCATTAGGGGCGGAGCTTGAGCGACGACTTGACATTCAAAATCTGAACAGACTATATTCGCCTACTATAGCGGTCACTAATACTTCGAAACCCTGAAGTGGCCACTAGAAGTTTACCCTGCTCTTCTAGTATTCTTTTCTCTTTCACGGGTTTCTGAAGCCGTTTAAAAAATTTTTTTGAATTTGTTCTTCTTAGAACTGCCCTTCTTCATCGTGTCTATCAACTACAGGTCGCTTTCCCATTTGAACCAAAATCTTCCCCGCTTTCTAAATTGAATATAGGCTTTGAAATACCATTTTTGCTTTCAAATTGTGAGTTTTGTTCATGTTTTACGGGAATTAATATAAACTTTGCGGTCCGGTTATGTTTTGTCGAACTTCTGCAGACCAAAAAGTGAGGCGAAAGGGGATGGAAAAGCCGAAAAACGAGGGCATGATTGATGTGATTTTATCTGTGCGAGACCCCCGGGGAGCTCTGAATTCGTCGTTGGGAGCTTCCGCCGCCGTCATTACCAGCCGTTTTTGAGGGGAAGAGGAATACGGTTGAGACATCTTTTCGATATTCTTTTTTCTGGGAAGGAAAGATGGGATATCTCACGAGGCTGCTATTTAATCTGCCTGGAAATGATGACGTCCGCAGTTCTTCTCATCAGGTTTCAGAGAAAAAATGAAAAAGAAAGCGAAAATCAAAGATTTTTCGGACCAGACACCTCGGAAGACCATCAAAAATAATCGGAACTGTTAATTTAAGGCATATGGGCAGTAAAAAACGGTGTTTTAGTTCAAAGCAGTACTTTGTAGAGTTTTTCATTGCGAATCGAACGGTGAACTTGGAAACGTACAAAAGTTCCTAGATTTGGAGAAAAAATAATTCAAAGTCGGAGAGAGGAAAGCTTGAGTTCCCGCGAAAAGGGCGTTTTGCAGTAAAGTTGCTCTATGGACAACAAGCTTCGCCATTTTTTGGACTTTCGCTTTTTTCTCCGTTTCTTTCAATTTTCAATTTTTTCTGTTATCAACAAAGTTCTTTTCGTCGCAAAAGCTTTCTATCCATGTAAAATTTGAAAACTTTGATCGCAAAAATGCTTCTCTGGTGAAAAATGATGATTTTACACAGGTTTCGATGGGGTTAGCGATATTTTGTGTTTCTTTTATTATCGGTGTGTGTTTTTGTTTTCTTAATTGATTTTTCAGAAATGAAACCCTTGACTTGAAGCAGATATCCGGTTATTTATCACAAAATGCGAGTTTAATGAGACGTCCGCAGCATCGCGTGCACAGCTACTGTAATCAGTTGTCTGAGCACCGATTCAAAGCGTTTTCAAAAAAAAAAAAAGGCATGAAAGGAAAAATCGCGTTTTTCTTCAAAATTAGTCACATCTGTAATTTTTTCGAGTACACCGTTCGATCCGCAAAGAAAAACTATACAAGATAATGCTTTCACCTAAAACCCCATTTTTTACTGTCCCTATGCCTTAACCTTAAAAAAACCTTTTTCAGAACATGGAAAGAACTTGACAAAGGACGCAAAATTGAAACTTGTAAGATCCGAAAAAGGACTGATCTTGAAGACCACCCAGTCAAAAAAAAGAAAAAAAACCCGCATGATCAAAAAAGGCAATCTGAACACCGAACGAAGAGGCCTTTGAAATCGCAAACAGCTGGGGGCCAAACGGAAACGAAAAGGAACACGGCAAACAGTCGTCTTCTTCTTCCGCTCCTATCCTCGGTCACTCTCTGTATATACTTTTCGAGTAGTTTCTACTTTGAGCTCCACTTTTTTCATACGCTTTCACTCGAAAATTGAGTTCCTAATGGTTGTTTGTCTTTCAAGTCACTGTCATCGTGAAGAAAGTCATTTTGAAAAAATTTGTGTGTTTTTTAACGGGCTAAAGGTCGTTTGCATCATATTTTTGTATTTTCGTTCATTTTTCGAAAAAATAAAGAACAAAGTAACTCCTAAAAAAGGCTAGCATCGATAGCAAAAGTTTTAACCATCCTCATGAGCTCGAACTCAAAAATCACCTTAAAGGTCTTCGAAAAAAAGTTATATCAGGCCAAAAATCAGCAGGGCATCATCAAAATTTGTTACAACTTTTAATATTTCGATTTTCAGCTAAAAGAAGCTTGAAAAAAACTTTCCGAAGCTGAAAAGACTTCAAAAAATCATAACCTAAAATCAAACGGCAGTTAATGAAAAAGAAAGTATATTTGGTGATTCAAAACTCATTTATAAATAACCTGGAAGAAACTTGATAAAAGTAAAGTCATTGTCGTCCTGATTTCAACCGCGACGCGACCGCACCGCTTCGAGCCATTCCATTTGCGGCTTGAATTATGACCAAACAGAACAGAATTTTCGATAAACTCCTCTTTCATTTCAGAACCATCTTGCTGCAAAATGCGTTTCATGATCTCTAACAGCCAAAAAAAAACTTGAACCATCACAGACCGTAGGAAATGGAAGATATTTGAGAAGGCCCAAAAAAGGGCAGAAATTCGATCTTTTTTCTGAAGTGCATCGGGGGAAATTCAACCGTCGACACGTTTCCGTCATTTTTTTTTAATTCATCAATCTTCCAAGCTTTGCTGGCACAAAATTCTTGTCACCATAATCGGCGCGACCGACCAAAACCTACTCTCGCGCCATGGCATCCCTTGCCAAATTTTGAGCCTGTTCTTTTTCGAATTTCATGCCAAACTTTTTCAATTTGAAATGTCGATTCTGAGAGAAAAGCGGCGCCAGCTTCTGTGCATACAAATAGGCCAGTGATAGCCCTGTTGGTTTTTGAACGGTTGAGTATCTCTGTCGGTTTTTTTCTTCTTTCTGTTTACTTTCCATTTTTAACTGGCTGAGCCAAAGTTTTAGCAAGTCGGAGCAAAGGTTCAAGCTGAGAAATCGCTCAGCTTTATTCTAGAAAATGATCTAAAAGCAGCCTTTTCCAGGTGGGCTTCAGAATAGTCCCTCAAGGACTTGGGGTGAATGGAGTTTCTCAGAATTTTTCTCAGACGTTTTTTTCATTAGTGAATCTTGGGTTATGAGATTATTTATTTCAAATTTGATTTAAAAATAATTGTGCCTTGCTGATCGCGAGGTTAATGTTATCATTCCCTCTCACCTGTCTGTGCTCTCTCGATCTCTCACCGAGCGTTCCTTCCAGTATGACGAGAGAGAAGAGAGTGCAGACAGGTCAGACAGGTCAGACTGTTTCGAAAAGTTAGAGCCAACTCGGAGCTGTTGACTTCATCTGACCTGTCTAAACTCCCATCACCAGGAAAAGTTTCGTATTTTGTGTTTGGCTAGAGAAAAGAGAGCGCAGACAGGTAAGACTGTTCCGATAATGAAAACCAACTAGGATGTCCTACCGATAGTGGGACACGGGTTCGTTCGGACTTGAATCCATCAGACCTGTCTGTGCTCTCTCGATCTCTCACCGAACGTTCGCCTTTGCCGTTTTCCTTTCTGTATGAAGAGAGAGAAGAGAGCGCAGACGGGTTGGACTGAGAGTCTAGCGGACTTCTTTCTAAGTCGAAGGAAAAATTCTCATCTTCTACTCTGTCAGAGAAAAGAGAACGCAGACAGGTCAGGCTGTTTCAACAGTGGGAGCCAACTCGGATATCCGCAACCGTTACTGTACCGATAGCGGAGCAGTGGTGTGTTGCGGGAAGGAAGGCGTTGCGCAAACAGGCGCCAGGAGCTGCCTCGTGGGGGCGGCCTTGTTGGCTCAGAGGGTCCTCCGTCGCTACTGCAACGCCACAGCTTTAAGCTAAACGCAAGGGAGCGAACTGTCACACCTGTAACTGCCCCGGCTTCTCTCCCTCTCTCTCAAACATACACTTGAACCGAATTTTATATATCCTCTGCCACGTTCCTCGTTTTGATCCAGTTCCTTTTATTTTTCTGAAAATTGCTTGAAATACAGCCGATTCACGGATAGCTTGAAGCCTGTCTGCGCTCATAGGCAAAGTCAAAAAAGTTGGGAAAAGGCTCCATGTTCCTTCTAGGGTGACGAAGGCTGCCTTTCTTCTGCCTTTTTGGCCTTTTTTAAGCTTCGCCCTCTCCATCAACCAGGCGCTGTCCCATTTCGTGTCAGGACCCTTTTTCGATGGCTCAAGCCAGCCGTGAATCAACTATACTGTAGAAACTCAAATATTATGCTTTATACACAATATTTTTATTGCCAATCGTGTAGAGGACCCAAAAAGGCGTGGTCTGTCTGCGCTCTCCATCAACCAAGCACTGTCTCTTTTCGTGTCAGGACCCTTTTTTTGATGGGCTCAAGCCAGCCGTGAATCAACTATACCGTGTAGATCTTCAAACCCTGTTTTTTCGCACAATTTTTTTGCCAATCGTGTAGAGAGCCTTAATCGAAGCTATAAGAAAAATACCAAAAAAGGACAAGTTTGGGGAAGATAGACTCTTTTTGCATTATTCTTCTTCTCGTGCATTTTGTGAAGCTGTAATTTTTCGATTTTCCGGAGTCCTTGGATGAATTGGGAACCTTTTACATCTCATCAGAATTCTTTTCTACTTATTTTTTTGAATATAATCCTTTTATTCACTGATTTTTCTTCAAATTTTATTCAGGAAGACCTGAAACGATCTTTTCGCGTAGTGAAGGGCTTAATGTCCCGGTTAGAGTAATTCAAAGATTTCTCTTCAAACTCAATTTTTTGCAACCGCTTCGCGTTCGCTACGCGTTCAGCCATTCCTCATGCGATCAGAATTTTTCCATTCGAGGTTTCAGGTCCTATATCTCTTTCTTAAACAAATCCCCACTTTTTGAAGTCAATATTCCGAGAAATATTGGCAGGTTTGTTAGCGATACTTCTAAAAAAATGTTTCTTAAAAAATCTAACAAGCTCAAGTGGCCCGAGTAGTCGGTTGCTTTGCATGAGTAATTCGAATGTAAACAAATGACGAAAAGTGCGGGCAAAAGATGGATGAAAAACTGAGGGACGAAGGCCCCCAGAAGCCGATGAAAGTGGCAAAGTGTCGGATTGCAAAGTAAATACGGTTCGCTCAGAAGCCTCGGGGAGGGGAGCCCGAGTTGGCCACAGGCCACGCCAACCCATTAGGTTCGGCTTCTTCGGCTGTTTGTTTTTGGCTCGGCACAGCGACACTTATAGCGATTTGCTCGACGATGCGGCAAATCCCCACAAACTTCCGATTGATCCCTACCCAAGTGATCATCACTCGTTTTTGACTTCCGGAACGGTTTTTTTCGATTTTTTGGCTTCTCACTTGATTTGGCTCTCTTTGAATCAAGGCCTAACAGTTTCTGATTGAAAAAAAAAAAATCAAACCTATCCTTTCAATTTTTATGTTGTGCGTCATAATTATTGAAACAACTTGGCTTTTCGAAAAACCTGCAGAAGTTTGGGCTTTAAAAGTGATAAGATCAAGCAAAATCACTGCTCAATATTGACCTGCATCTAAAATTATCCCTTTTTATTACGCACAGTTAAAATTTTCTTTAAAAACCTTTGGCAAGACTTCCGCAACTTTTTTTCTTCGGTTTTTTGGCTTCTCCCATGATTTTGGTTCCTTTGACCGTCTTAACAAATTTTAATTTAAAAAAAAACCAAAAACATCCTTTCAATTTTTATAAAAACATGTTTCTATCTTGAAAAGGCTGCGAACTTAAGGTGCGTCATAATTATTGAAACAATTCTTTTTTCGAAAAACCTGCTGAATTTTGGGCTTTAAAAGTGATAAGATCAAACAAAATCACTTTTCGATACTGATCTGCACCTAAAATGATTGCTTTTTATCCATTAAAGTAATAACGTTCCTTTGAATTCAACAAAATCTGGTGAGACCTCAGGAGAAGCTTCTGGAGGGCTTCAATATTGAGCAGTTGACCTGAACCTTTTTTTGAACTTTTTGATTTGAAAAGAAATCTTTCTATTGAATCTTTTCACTGATTCAGGCTACCTCTAGTCAAAACCGTTTCCCCTAAAAGACTGACGATAAGGCTCAGCACCATTTGAATAATCTTAGGATGGCTAGACCTAACTATTTTCCGAATATTGTCCAGCTGAGCAACTCGAGCCACCCAATAATCAGTTTTGAGCCGCCCGCAACGGTTTTCATTCATCAGTCACCGTTCGATACAAGTTCTCGTTCTCAGCCTTCCCCATTCTGAATCATCCTCGGGTTGACAAAAGCTTGGCATATATGGTGACCCTCCAACCGCTTTTCCACCTTTTCCAACGCAAATCACCATTTCTGACAGCCCACAACCATTTATAATAAATATTCTTTTGTTAGGGAGTTTCTCCAAAACTTTGCTGCCTTGAAATCCGAAAAAAAGGACGCTGCGCAAACAAAACCCATCCGTTCGCAATGCCGATCTTCTGTTAACTTTGGCGCAATTTTTCATTGCAACCCCTGCTTCATCATCAACAGCTCAAATACTGTGGTGGAGCTCTCGGAAAACTTTATTTGCTACTTCAAGAGTTTCAGTATCTTTCCATCCTCTCAATGAACGTTTCTCTGTGATGTGTGATGAAATGACTTTTTTTCAAACTCTTTTTTTTTTTAAAGGCAGTCTTGAATTGAACGCTCCTTGAAAAAAAAAGAAAAAAAAAGTTATCCAATTTGAGGTTAATTTTTCAAAAAAACAACAGAAAGAGTCGGTTCATTGTGTTAGCTTTTTCAAGAAAGTTCAATTTTTTAGGTCCGAATTAATTTACGGTCGTCTGTAAACATTTAGAGCCTTGAAATCCATTATTTCCAAAACTAAGAATTATCTAATCTCATCGCCTTCGAAGCTAAACTTCAAGGCTCCTAGGAGGTGAAGAATGTCATTTTTCATCAGACGTCTTTCAAGGAAACTTTTCAAAAAAATTATAATAATTTTAATTCTAAATTTTATTCGCAGCCTTTTGAGCATGGATAACAAGTTCACGGGTCATTTTTGTTTCTAGGCCCAGCTTAAGTCTCTTATCTACAAAAAAAAAACCTTAGAATCCTTCATATCAAAGCTCAGGAATGACCTGGTCTCATAACCTTCGAGCCAGAGCCTCAAGATCCCCCGAAGAAGAGAAAAATCGAATATAGAGGTCTTTTTTGCGTCTAAGACCATATTAGGTCATCTATCTACAAGTAAGACCTCAGAATCCATCAAATCAAATCCTGGTAATGCCTTGATCTCATAACCTTCGAGCCAGAGCTTCAAGATCCTCATAAAAAGACGAAAAATCAGATCCAAGGGTCTTTTTTGGATCTGAGCCCAAATAAGGTCTTCTATCCCCAATTAGTACCTCAATAACCATCCTATCTAAGCCTAGAAATGACCTGGTCTTACAACTTTTAGAGCTTCAAGATCCTCTAAAGAAGAGAAAAGTCTTCTATCTACAAAAAAAACTTCATAATCCTTCATATCAAATCCTGGGAATACCTTGGTCTCATAACCTTCGAGCCAGAGCCTCAAGATCCCCCGAAGAATAGAAAAATCGAGTTTATTGGTACTTTTTGGGTCTTAGCCCATATTGAGCCATTATCTACAAGTATTACCTCAGAATTCATCATATCAAAGCTGAAGAGGAACCTGGTCTCATATAAGGTCTTCTATCCCCAATTAGTACCTCAGGAACCATCCTTTCTAAGCCTAGAAATGACTTGGTCTTTTAACTTTCGAGCCAGAGCTTCAAGGTCCTCAGACGTAGAGAAACATCAAGTTCACAGGACTTTTTTGCGTTTAAGACCATATTAGGTCCTCGATCTACGTCTCAGAAACCCATATCAAAGCCTAAAATTAACCTGGTCTCATAACTTTCGAACCAGATCTTCGAGATCCCTTCAAGAACGAAAAGATCAGGTCGATCGGGCCCTGTTGTGTGTGAACTTGGCCCTCTCTTGAGAGAGACGAATCGATGCAAATCGTGAGGCTCTCATGGCGTTCTTCCTACATGCATGTGGTGCATGGAAACGGAGGCAGAAGCCGCGCCGGTGATGAGCCTCGCCTCCCCGAGTCGGCCGAGCATTGTTTGAGCATGATTGTTTCTGTTTGTTCACCCAATGCTCCTGGCGCTGGGCCGCCGAAGACGTCTGGCCAGTGTCTTCCCGGCATTCCACTATGGTTTTTTGGCTTCAAAAATCGAAATTTTTCTCAAGTTTAGCTTCATTTTGTGCCGGCATACTTTTGAATGAAGATTTTTGATGAACTGCCCTTTTTGTGAAAATTGTCTTTATATGGCTCAAATTTCTCTTTTCTTGAACTTCTCTGTCTACAGTAATCCGATTATTTGTAAATTTTCAAACTCAAAAACCAAGAAGAAAGTATGATTTTCAATTTTAACGTAGATCTGCCGATTCTTAGGTTGCGGTTTCAATCCCAGGTGGGGGTCATATATTGTCAAATATACCTGTCAAGTAGGCTTCCTTTCCGAATTTCAGGTTGCGGTTTCAATCCCAAAGGGGTCTTATTTTTCTGAAAAAAATCATAAATTTTTTTGAAAGAAATTTGAAAATCCTGATTTCTTCATACCCTTTTTTCTTAAATACTCATGACAAGATGTTTTTTTCAACTTCCATAACCTCACTTTTGAGCAAAAAGCAGAAAAATCAGACTTTCTGTTTCTCACAGAAAGAAATAATTCAGCTTATTTTTTCGAAAAAAAAGTTTATTTCCCGAAATTTCTGTTCAGAATGGGAGAACAACAGCTTGTCTTTTTCAATTTGTACACCTGCTCATCATCAACTTTTTCTCCTCAAAATTTCTCCTTTATTCCAAAAAAATCCTTGTCCCTGACAACATTTTCCTCGTTATACATTATTTTCAGTCGTTTATTTTTATTTTCCAAGGTAACAAAACCTTCAATATGACTTTTCTTTCAGCTCGGCAAATAATGCCGCGGCTCTTCATCTTGAGTGCTATCCTGATCCCTTATATAAGGTAGGTCGGATTTTTTTTTATACCTGGATTCCATGTTTTCAGCACATTTTCCTTGGTTCAAGACACAAAAGGAAGCGGATGTGTTGAGTTGTTATGTCCAGCCGCTGCCATTGATTTTGGTGAGTCTCAATTTTTTTTTTTAAATGGGACAGATTGTAGTAGCTCTCATGCTAGCTCGTGAAAAATAAGAATCTGACAGGATTGGTCAAAAATTGTGTTATAGTCTGTGTACCACGACTTGGAATTTCACCAAACGACATTCCGCTGTTCCGCCGGGCGCCTTTGCGAATCTCGGTCGCGCTTTCAATTTTTTTCTTCATTTAAATACTTTCAAGTCGTGGTACACAGACGATAAGACACGGCATTCCTAATGGGGTGAGGGAAGGTGAGCGAGGCGTCAAAAGTTCTGAATTTGCAAAAAAAAAAAAGTAAGTGCGCGCCTCGGATAAAAGGACTGTGACGTCACAGTTACCTATCGTGGCAAATCAAACTGAGTATTCAACGGCAAGAAGAATACATTTGGCTGCGTTCTTGAGATTTTTAATTTCGCGCAAAATTTTTATTGACGTCTCCCCACCCCGTTTGGGAACGCCGTGTAAGAAGAGACATTCCTGGTTTCTTTCGACAAGCAAAAATTCTAGTAAAACATATGTAGAAATAGAACACTGATGATGTTCTTCTAGGGATCAAGAAGCTGGTGAACGAGGACACCTGGGCCAGCGAGACATGCAGCACCTGCAAGCAGTGCACGGACAACGGCTACAGGTGAGTTCTGGAGCCTCGCTTCTTCGATCTGATCGATGGCTCAGCGTGTGCCTGCGGGTGCAAGACTCACGAGCGGCCAGGATCGAGGGCGGCTGTAGCTGCTCCCACGCGGTTCCTTCCAACTGCCACGGCGACGTCCGTCAAACCGTCCATCCGGCCAACATCACCATGCGCCTCTACACCGTCTGCTACTCTAGCGGTTCGCTAGTGCTACTAACGTTTCACAACTAACATGAATCAAATTTGGTCTACCATGGCATTTGGGGAGCTTTATCTTGTGCAGGTGGCACAAATCCAAACAATTGACCTTAAATTATCAAATCGGGACGGGAAAGAGGATATTTCAGTGCTTCAAACACCCGCCAAACCAATTGCCGTCAACGAGAACTTCACTGTGACGGTTACGGTGGAGCCATTTTGGGCTGAAGCCTATTGGCAGCCGCTCAACGTCACCAACCTCACACTTCATTATGAATACGTCACAAAGGTTGGGAAATTATTTATCGCCAATTCAAAGATCCTCACTTCAGAATCCGGAGCACTGTGAAGGAGACCTGACGACGTCGTCGACGGGAGTTCACACTTGCAAAGCCTCGCATCCTGTCAACCTCGATGAGGCCGAAGCTGTCGAGCCTGAGAATGGCGATTATGAGCACAGCGAGGTTTGATCCATCTTGACTTTTAATCTTCCAAATATGGAAATATTTTGCGACCAAATTTACCGTATCTCTGTCAACAGGTATTTTTCATGTTGAAGAATTTTATGAGAGCAACAAAAAAGGGGTGAAATGAAAAAAATAAGCAAAAACCAAGAAAAAAAATTTTTGGAAACTATTTTGTCCATAGAGCAGCCTTGCTTCTTAAATAATTTCGCGCGTTTTCAATCGAAATATTCATTTCGCACGTCCACGCCTCATCATTGCTAGCAAGCATGCTTTTAGCACCAATAAAAACATTTTAAACTTAAAATTCTATTTCTTTAGTATTTTCCGTCTTGATATTGAAAATAAATGTGAAAATATTCACTGTTTTTCCTTTTAAGCTTCAAGAGGAGGTTTTATTTTTATTTTTCTTTTGCATCTAATGATCATTTGAAAAATATAAATTTCGGCAGTATGTTAATTTTCGTCAGCGATAGATGCACAAGAAACATCATAACTGACGACTTTTTGTGGCAGTATGGTAATTTCCGTGAGCGGTTAATGCACAAGAAACATCATAATTGACGGCTTTAGCTTTGGAAACGTCCTGTTCGTTTTTTCTTGTTTTGTTTCTCGGTTTCTTTCATATATAATGTCACGCTCTCCATATAACTGTTGGAATTTGGGGGAAACGCTCTATCAGATGGAATCCTTGTTAAAAATTTTATAGAAATCGATATTTAGCATCAGCATAGAACTCGAAAACTTTATGACTTTTTTCCGTCGTAATTTTGGTTTTCCCAATTTTCCTAGGTTTTCTATCTGAAACTCGAAAGATACTAGTCATTAACGGCGATTGATTTAAAGATAAATAAAAAAATCATTCAAGTGTAATTGGTTTTTCCTGCTCGAAATTTTTCTGATTAAGCTGTGACTGTTTTGAGACTTCTTTTTCAGAATTATGACGATGTTTTGCCGGAGATTCAGTTTGATCGAGTCGCATTCCGCGGCGTCAAAATGGTCCGCTTCTATTATACGGTAAGTGGCTTTTTCAAAAAAATCTCATCTGTTCGAAATTTTTTTGGGGTTTTGAGGGAGAAAAGATCATATGAATAATTTTTTTCTAGCAATGAAAAAAAATCTTTGCTTTGAAGATTTTTGTGATGTGTGTTCTTACATCGTTAACAAAATTTTAAGCAGGCTTAAAGGGAATTTATCAATTTCCAGGCGTCTGTCAAGAGAACACGTCAACTCTCAGCCAGCTCTCCCCATTCCAGTGGCCAGCAAATCCACGACACGACGACTGTCATCACCTCGGAGCCCTTGGACTTTGACCTAAAGCCTGAGGTGTATGGCAACGGAGTTCGACCTGGAAAAGGTTCTGGAAAAAACATGTTAAAAACCGAAAAATGTGTTCAGATGACCAGCCAGTAGCCGCCAAGCCTGTGACGACGTCGGAAGATGACGCCACGCCCGTGCCAGAAGCCGAAGAGGAGGAGGACGAAGGCGTTAGCGAGGAGAAGGGCGGCACCGACTTCTTCCGTGACGATGGTCCCGCCGAAGCGGATAGTGGAGAGCAAGAGAAAAAGGAGAAGGAGGAAGAAGAAGAGACTGAGGTAGGACGCGTTGAGGTTGAAATAAAACTCTCGTTTTTTCCAGGACTCTGCCGTCGAAGTCAACCTGGCCGACGTGAAGCCCACTAAATTGGAAGTGAACACCAAAAAACCGACGGACAAGTCTCCGATTGAGCTTTCCGAACCTATCGATGACGCTAAGGTTATTTGCAATCAAAAAAATAAATAATAAATTATTCTTGAAGGCGTCGGAAGAAGTTGAAGCGACGACGGAAGCCAAAGAAGAAGAAGAAGAAGACGAGGAGGCGGATGAAGTCGCTGACAAGGACGAAGACGTCGAGAAGGAAAAGGAGGAAGATCATCTCGAAGACGGAGGTTTGTGGAAAGAAAAAAATAGAGAAAAATGCCTGGTAGACCAAATTTGAAATGGGGGGAAAACTTCTATGCAACTGGGAACTGTCCTCTGTACAATATTTCAACAGCTTGTGGCTTCTCTGCACTCTCTGCTCTCTCACAGAAAGTGAGAGAACAAGAGGGTGCTGACCAGTTAGACAGTTTCAAGTCTATACGGAGTATGCCAGGATTGGCTGCGTCGCGAAGCATTTTGCCGCCAAAAATATTCAAAATTTTACGCGACCTCCAACGGTTTGAAAAGGACTTGTAAAGTTGGATCTTGAGAAAATGAAAGTCCGAAGCCGTTTACCCCGGATACTGAGCTTCGGGAGTTTGGAAGTCCGAGTTTTCGGCGCCCTCTTCTTTCTGGGCGACCATCTCGCGAACACCAAGTTTCAGAAAAAGATGAAGAAGAAGCTTCTGAAGAGAAAGAAGGAGAAGAAGCTACCACAGAAAGCGCTGGAGAGGAGGAGGAAGACAAAGAAAAAGACGACGAAGATGAAGATGACGTCACCAGCTCGACCGTTTCCGAAGACGAGACGACGGCTGGGGAGGACGACGAGGAGACGACCGATGAGAGTGAGGAGGGTTCAGGCGACGAGGAGGACGAGGTTCAGACATTCACAAAGACCTTTTGAGCAGTTACTTCAGGACCTCTCGTTCTTGGAGAAGTTTGTCAGGCGGTCGGACTTCCCGCGAGTGCGGCTCGTCTTCCTGATCACTTTAGTGGCTTTCATCACCTTCCTGCTGCTCGTTTGTCTCGTTCGCCACCGCAAGAACTTCTGTGGAAAGGTTGGTGCGGAAAAAACTCGAAAATCCGTAAAACCTCTTTTTTGTATTTCGGGCCAAGGAGGAATTTTCGGCTCCTCGTGACGATTTACGGAGGATATCATAGCAATATCGCGCAAGTAGAACCGATTCACGGCTTGCTTGCGACGCAAAGAGGCGTGGCCTGTCTGCGCTCTCCAAAAAACATGCACTGTTTCTTTTCGTGTCAGGACCCTTTTCGATGGCTCGAGCCAGCCGTGAATCAGCTATATGAATAATCTACTTGGAAAAAGAAATAACTGAGAATTTTTTAGCGAATAGAGGTTCGCCAAGGACTACTTGGAAAGGACACTAATGTGGCCACTAAACCCACCTCTATAGTGGCCACTATTTTCCGTTCTATGTGCCACTATAGGGGCTCTCTATTTAGTGGCCACTTCAGTAGTTTTTCAAACAGTTACTCTGATAATTTTTAAAAAAAACAGATTGGACCAGTTATGTTGACCCATTGACCCCTAAAGAGGCCACTAAAATTTTCAGTAGTCTAGTAGTAGCACTTAGACCTCTATGGTGGCCACTAACGTTTAACCCCTTAAGTGGCCACCAATTTGACTGCTATAGTGGCCACCAAAAATTTTCACAGAATGAATTATCATTTTGTTTATGAGGTGTAGTTTGTAGTGAAACTATAGATTGAACTTCTTCCAAAAAATCTTATCTGAGACAAATTTTTCAGTTCTTTTGACCTTTCTAAATCAACCTTATAGCCTTCAAAGTGAAGCAGATCTTTCAGGCTGAAACAAAAACGTCGAACGGCTACCGCTACTCGTCGGCTTCCGGAACCGTGCGCGGCACCGAAATGGTTAGTCCCGAGAAGGAACGCCTCCGGCAGTGATCCGTCAAGTCCCGATCCGTGTACCTTCCCTTTCCGAAAGACCCAAGCGCCATAAGAAATGGATCTAATCTCTCCTTAGTCCCTCTGTTAGCCCCCCAAAAAATTCAACACTCAATACGGTTATACTCTTACCAGTGCTGGAAGTTTTCGTTTCCCACGTTCGTTTCGAGACTTATATTTTATTTTTATTATTATCAATTTTTCAAGCCTGAATAGATCATGACGAGCTTTTTCATCCCCACAGATTTTATCGGTGTCCGTGTGCTTCCTGATCCGTTTTTTCTCCTCCAAAAATCCAGAAGACGTCAATGAAAAGTGGCTATAAATTGCTTTTTTCTTTGTTTCTCCTCGTCCTTTTTCGTTGAATAACTTTCTCATTTTGTTCCACTTTTTTTAAATTTTCCAGTATTTTTCTGTTAGAAATAAATATTTGAACATAACTAACTCGTAATAATTCAGTTTTCAGCATACGGGCACCGATTTCATTTCGTACGTATTTTTTGACTTCATTCACCACTTTTTTCGAACAGTATGGCTTGTCTGCACTCTCTTATGTCTCGCTCGTATAGATGAGAGAGAGAGCGCGCAGACAAGCAGAGCAAACTTGATCGTCCCGGGTAGCTTCCGGCGAGAGAGAAGAGAGCCTAGAGAAGCTGGATGTTCCGAAACCGTGGTTAATGAAGTTTGCACTGTGTGCTCGAGGGTTCCCTCATTTTTTAACTTCTTGAGAGGCCACTAAAGGGTTTTTTGGAGGTGATAGAGAAGAGGTTGAGCTGGAAAATTTCGAAAAATTAGCAAAAAAATTGGTTTCGAAAAGTTTTAGAGATGATCCTCATCAACAGTTTTTGAGATGGTTCAGTGCTCTGAGATTGCAAAGAAAATATAAAGTGGTCTTTTTAGGGTTTTAAGGTACTTGAAGTGGTTTTTAAAGTGGTCACTTAAACATTTTTATAAGATATTCACTTCTTCAACATAAATAGAGTTTTCTATCATAATATTTGCGGGCAAACCGCTCCGCGACCGCAACGCATTGAGCCATTCTCGTGCGGGAGAGAGGCCAGAGAAAAAGAATTTATTTCTTTCTCTTCCGTCTCTTAAATCTCCCTTGCTCTCTCGTTCAACATAGTCTTTTAAAACAGAAGGGAAATGTTGAAAAATAGGCTTTTCAGAAGCCCCTGACTCCAAAAACCAATGAGAAACGAGTTTCGGCTGATGAAATCGCTCTTATCAACCAATCAGATGTTGAAACGGAAAGGACCGCGTTAAGGTAATGAAAATACGGTTTAAAAGAGCATAGTCGATAATAATCTTGGTTAGCCTTCTGCGCTTTTGAAAAACCTATAAATCCTGATAAGACCCTCAAAATCCAAAAGTTAATGCTTTCAGAGAACTCGTCCGCACCGCCACTTCCTTCAACCCATCGAAAATCGAAATGGGAATGTCAGTGGGTAAGAGTTTGCTCACAAGGAGCTTATGTAGCTCGAATTTTCATGAGAATAAGCCTAGATGTTCTTTGATATACTAGAAGAAGGTGTTGAATATATCAGAATGCAGAAATTGGAATTTTGGGGAATGGTAGCTTCAACATTCTCCGATTTTTCCAGGCGTAAGATCCTTAAAAATGAAATATATATTTTTTTTTTTTTCTGATCGTTTCCAGAGCTAAGCCCACAAAAAATTCGTCAAATAAGATGTTTCTTGTGCATTCACCGCTGACGGAAATTAACATACTGTCGACATTTTTTTGAATTTATAAATGGAAAAATTGTTCATATAAATCACAAAAAGGGCATTCCTTCTTGCTCATTTTTATTTTTTTCAGGGTTTCATCCGTTTAAAAATTAAGTTTGATTAATCTTTTTTTATCTTCTAAACTTCATTTCCCAGAAAAATTCTACAGCTTCATTTCATTTATTATTGAATTCAGTTTGTTTTTTTACCTGACTAGAGCATTTTTATATATTTTTTTTTAATTAGCGCTAGATTTTTCATCACATTTCTTTTTTTATTCAACTTCCCCTATTGGTTTTCTTTTTTGAATATTTATTCCTTGTTATTTATTTTTTCGGTTCTCTGGAATTGAATCTAAAGATGGCTTTTTCTTCAGAAAGTTCTTCATAATAAAAAAAATTGTCGCAGTTTGTGAAACTTTAATCAAAATTATCTTCTTCTAGGTGTCGGTCAGTTCGGTTCGATCCACCGCGCGATTTTCAACTCCTTCAACGGCTCTGTCCATGACGTCAACATTTATCTTCTCAAAGGTGCGGGAATTCCAAAATTCTATCATTTTTCTGCCTTTTTAGATGTGTACCATCAATCTGCGGCTCAATTATCCGCTCTGACGTCACAACTGCGGATGAACGTACTTTCTGGAACCCATCACAACGTCGTGACCTTGAGGGCCGTTGCTCAGAATTCCGGAGGTTTTCTTCAGATTCTGAAGGCTTGAATGAAAGATCGATTTCAGATTTGCTTCTGATGTGGGAGCCGTTGGCGCAGCCGACACTTCAGGGCGTCCTGAGGGAGAGTCGTTGTGCCCGCTTTGGGCCCGACGCCTTCAAGTCGGCCTCGTTTTTGTCGGCGGAGCGACTTGTCGCCATGGCTATTGGTGAGTTTTCTTGCTAAATCAAGAGGGATGTGAAACAAATCTATTAATTGGCTTACTGTATCTTAAAGGTACGTGTGCAATTTTAGCATTTTAGCTGCATCAAGCTTTTTGAACTTTAATATTCGTGACATCATTTTTTTTTTCGTACGTTTTCAAAGCAATACAGCCGATTCACGGCTAGTTTTTGACGCAAAGAGGCGTGGCCTGTCTGCGCTCTCCACCAACCAGACACTATATCGTCTATTATCGTGTCAGGACCCTTTTTTCGATAGCTCAAGAGTCAGCTATAAAAGGCGTTTGGATTTCTATTCACGGGCACAAGTATAGAAGAAATAATGTCCAGCAGAATCGACACTTCAAAAGCCATGATTTCCAGGATGCTGCAACGGCGTGGAACACCTGACGAAGCGCGGCGTGATGCACCCCCATCTGGCGACGGCGAACGTTCTTGTCGCAGAACGAGGCGTCGTCAAGATCTCCGGCTTTGGTCTCGCCGACCATCAAGCCCTAAATGCTTCCACGGAACCTGTAACCCCGAAAATTCCTCCAAAACTTGAAGATGTTCCTCCAGAAGCCTCTGCCATTGCGTTGGCAGTCCCCGGAGCATTTCAAGACGGATTCGACAGTCGATGAGAGGAGTACGGTTTGGTCGGTCGGAGTACTGCTTTGGGAGATCTTCTCTCTAGGTTTGTCGATTTTCAGAACTGAGTTTTCAACTTTCAACTCGCAGCGAATGGACTATAGTCTGTTCGATTTTGAATGTCAAGTAGAATGACGTCATTCGAAAACGCTTTGTGGATGGCTCGCTATCTGATTGGTTTACCGCGCCATTAGGGGGTGGAGCTTCAGCGACGACTTGACATTTGAAATCTGAACAGACTATGACCCTCTCGTGTTCGCGCGCTATTTTCATGTTTCCATGACCTCTCCGGTGAGTGAACAGAGAGGCGCAGACACTCGGAAGTTGTACTTATTGAATCTTTTCATATTTTGAATGTCAAGTAGAATGACGTCATTTGAAAACGCTCTGTAGATGGCTCGTTTTCTGATTGGTTTATCGCACCATAAGGGACGGAGCTTAGGCTATGACTATATATCTTACTTGAAAATGTTTTGCAGGGTTATTAGGTCAGAAAATTGTCCTTTTTGCGGTTTCCAAAGGGTTTTTGGCGCGAATTTTGTATTTTCTGAACCAAAAGAGTTCAGGCGGGACTCCATTCCTGAGCATCCGGCAAGCCCAACAATTTGTCGATTCGATGCGAGACGGCTCCGCCACGCTTGACCCAATACCGTACTGTCAGCCGGCAATGTTCGTTCTTTATTTTCGAATATTTTTTGCTCGAAAACGAAAAATGTTCTCTTCAGAACCCAGCTTCTCTCTGCGACGACTTCTCATTCCGCCGATGCTCGCCCTGATTTGAGGACGATAATTCGGAGATTAGAATGCGTTTCTGCGGATGCCAAGGTCTAGTTTTCACTATTTTTCAAATAGGTTCAAAATCAAAAAACGACTTTTTCACCAAGCTCACATGGCCTTTGCCGACCCCCCACACGGTGCTTATTTCACCCATCATTTCAGAAATTGTTGAAATTTTTTTAAAACACTCTTTAACGTCCAAGTAGAGATCGGAGTCGGTGGAAGTAGATACAAATTTTTAATTTTCGAGAAAACTTTTTTTGATAGTGGATTTTCGGCTGAAACTTCGAGTTGTCTTTTCTGGAAAGCTGGCGATTTTCGCGTTCTAAATTTTTTTTTTTGGTTTTCAAGTAAAACTTGGAATCAGGATCTTTCATCAATCTGCCAAGAAGTTTTTTTTTGTCAAATTTCGAATTTTTAGGGGAATTGAGTCCTTAATAGGGCTAGGAATCATTGAAACTTCAGAGCAAGTGGTTGGTGAATTAATTTTTTAAAAAATGGCTCAAAACAACATTCAAAGTTTCTAGCTTGATTTATAAAAAGAATCAAGAGTAAAAAAAGAGTCTAAAATAATTAATTAATACTCAAAAAAATTAAATATTTTCAGGCGCACATCGACCTGTCCCTCCATGACGCCTTCCCCTACGTTCCAATTTCCTCCCAACTGGAACATCAAACGGAGAACTCGACGTGAGAAATATTTATCATTTTCCCAAGTGTATCATATTGCCGCTCAGCCATGAATTCAGTTGATCGATTGTTTGTTGCAGAGTTTATTAAAGAATATGGAATTTTTGCGTTTTTTCGATTCAATCTTAAAAAGTGAAGTTCGAGCCGTTCCAGGATTATTTTAGAACGGACCGTACGACCTATCTGATCCCCATAAATCCCCCCACGAACTTCTGGGTTAATTTGTTCCTGCGGCCTTGCTTTCTTTTCGAGGCTTCTCCCTATGCACCCAGAATGCTGTTCTTGCAAGTTCGGCTTTGCTATCTCTGAGGAGATCGCCGCATTTTAGAAAGCTGGACGTGTTGCGTCACGATAATATAGGACACTTGAAACAGTTAAGGGAAGATTTTTGAGGTTTTTGGAAACACCAGGAAGTGTTTTATCAGGAAACAGCTTTGAAAAGTATCTATACGAAAGCGGAGGCGAGAGTGTGAGAGGATGAAGAGGTGACAGAGAAAGAGAGGTTATCTGTTTCTTTGACGTCTCTTCAGATCGCTATCGCTTTTTCAGCTCTGATTCTTTAATCTTGAAGAAAGACCCTAGTCTGGCTGTTGAAAGTAGAAAGGAAGTGATACAGCGATTTTTAGAGAGGCCAGAGAAATAGAAATTCCCTGCTTCTCTGGCGTCTCTTCACGCCACTGCTACTCTCTCATGAATGCTTTTTTTCCCTGTTTTTTAAGTTCGAAAAAGCCGCTCAGGAACTCTTGTGTCCCTCATAAACAGGTATAAATTGGCAAGGTCTCAGCCAAAAAGAGCGCTTGGAACCGATGAAAAAAGTTGGAGACTGGAGATGCGGATAGGAGGAGCCGGCTGTAAGCGGCGAACCGTGAACGGCAGCAGATGGCAACGTCGTCTATCTGCTGCCGGCGATCTCTCAGTCCCCGACGACACCTGACGACGTCTCCGGCTAGCTTCATCCTTATTCCTCTTTTTTTCAAAGAAAAGGTTTCCTTTCTCTTTTTACCGCGATAGTTGTTCGGAATGAGATTTATTCGCTTATTTGAGGTCTCGTGAAACTTCTTTCTGAACATATAACTAAGGGTATCATTTCACCTTTACTTTTGAAGAAATATGTTTATAGTTTGATCTCACCTGTTAGCTGTTGTTTCACATAGCCATAGTAAATCCCAATTTTCTTCTTACCTGAAAGGTAGACCTAACTTCAAAACAAATATAATAAATTCATAAACTTTTCAAATAGACCTCAAATTCTCGCTTTGAAGCTTTTTTTTTTGGACTTCTCGTTCTTGGAGAAGTTTGTCAGGCGGTCGGACTTCCTGCGGGTGCGGCTCGTTTTCCTGATCATTTTAGTGGCTTTCATCACCTTCCTGCTGCTCGTTTGTCTCATTCGCCACCGCAAGACCTTCTGTGGAAAGGTTGGTGTGGAAAAATTCGAAAATCCGTAAAAATGAGACCTCTTTTTTTTATTTCGCGCCAAGATTTGATATTTGAAAAATTAAAAAGGCGTCTTCAACTGTTCTGAACGGTTTTGAGGAATTTTCGGCTCCTCGTGACGATTTACGGAGGATATCATAGCAATATCGCGCAAGTAGAACCGATTCACGGCTTGCTTGCGACGCAAAGAAGCGTGGCCTGTCTGCGCTCTCCAATAAACATGCACTGTTTCTTTTCGTGTCAGGACCCTTTTCGATGGCTCGAGCCAGCCGTGAATCAGCTACATGCATACTCTACTTGGAAAAAAAGAAACGACTGGGAAAATTTTAGCGGCCACTAGATAGAGGCTCGCCAAGGACTACTTGGAGAGGACACTAAAGTGGCTACTAAACCCACCTCTATAGTGGCCACTATTTTCTGTTTTAGTGGCCGCTATAGAGGTTCTCTACATAGTGGTTACTTCAGTAGTTTTTCATCCAGTATTCCTTCCAGTAACTCTGATAATTTTAAAACAAACAGATTGAACCAGTTATGTTGAT